GTAGTCGCCGTTACCCATATCATATAGTACAAGATACCAATTAGGTGAAGAAGGTGCAAGATATGCATATAGCAGCCAACAACTAGTGGGATCGCCACGCTAGGTTCTTGCATTCCCGTCCCTCCCTGCACCGTCCAATTCAACAGGGTATCACGAAAAGAAATGTCCAAGGAATCAAACCTAGCTAACCCTTCTGGCAAGGAACTCAGTCGTTCTCTGAGTAACCTCGAGACGGCAAAGGACCATGAGGTCCAACGCAGTCGTTTGCGCTCCATTTTTATCGTCATCACTTGTACCGCTGCAATGGTTGTTAATGTGAGTGTCCATCATACCTTTGCTCGCTGATCCTTTGTGACATCTTTAACCGCAGATATCTAATACTACCTCTGTCTCTATTTCACTCCCAACGATTGAGAAGGGGCTAGCTATTGAGGAAGAGCAGCTTCAGTGGCTCGTATCCGCGTATTCTCTCAGTTCTGTACGTTTTCGCTTCTAGTTTTGCACATTCTTAACATGGTGGCTCACCTCGTGTTTAGGGTTGCCTGCTCCTGTTCTTCGGCAGATTGGCGGATCTTTATGGACGAAAAAAGGCATTTATGCTTGGGACTCTTTGTCAAATTGCCTTTTCTCTCGGTTGTGGCTTTGCACAAGGTTGGTGTGCCCACCAATCGTTCGCGTGTTCCATCCACTCACAAATGTAAATCTAGATGGTCTCACTCTCGCCGTCTTGCGTGGCTTCCAAGGTATTGGAGCCTCCGCTACAATACCATCTGCAGTAAGTCCTCCTGAGATGTTTTTGAAGTAAAAGTACTCACTTTCTCAGCTCGGTATCTTAGCACATGCGTTCCCTCCATCAAGAGCACGTTCAATAGCATTCGCTACCTTTGCAGCCGGTGCTCCTGTCGGCAGCGCATTTGGCATGATCATCGGCGGTGTTCTGACTCAACTTACCTTGTGGGTCATGATTACTGATCGACGCAGGCTATATTTCTCACGATATCGTGCAGGCCACATTGGCGCTCTGTATTTTACATGGCCGCGGCAACTTCAGCTGTAATTGGAATTTCTGGTCTGATTTCGTTCGATGCCGACGTTCCCTCAGCGGAAGTTGTCAAACGTGTCGACTGGATTGGCGCTTCCCTTGTCACAGTTGGCTTGGTTTTGATTGTATTCGTACTTGCTCAAGGAGATATTGCTACGGATGGCTGGAAAACCCCATGTAAGAATGTCGTCAAACCATACTGGTCATGTGCTAAAACCATCAACAGATATCCTCGTGCTCCTTATTATCGGAGTCATCTTGCTTGCGCTATTCCTGGTTTGGGAGTGGAAGCTGGAACAAATCATTGACGATGATCCATCAAGAGCGACGTCTTTCTGGACACCGCCACCACTCATGAGGCTCTCGCTCTGGACTCGGGCAAAGGGACGCATGGCCGTTGTCCTGGTTATAGCATTCTTAAATTGGAGTGCCTTCATTAGCTGGAGCTTCTGGGTTCAGGTATGTTCCGGTTCCGCTACCGAAGGAATGATGTCGCTGACTCCGTTTTCTAGTTGTATTATCAGAACTACCTGCTATTGACGCCGGTCGACACCATGATCCGATTCATTCCCATGTTCATTGTCGGCTGTTTATGTAACTTTTTCGTGGCGATGGTCGTTGCGAAATTGCCCTTAGTTATCTTCGTAGGCAAGTGTCTATGTGTGGAATATTAACATGTCAAGCTGACTTGTGGTCCAGTCAGCGGAACGCTCCTGACAGCAACGGCCGCCATCCTGTTTGCCCTAATTGACCCGTCTGTAACATACTGGGCCTTTAGTTTCCCGTCCACGGTTCTTATCGTGTTCGGCGCTGATTTCGTATACTCCTCCGGTACAATTTTCATTGCCAAAACCTCGCTCCCACATGAACACAGCGTAGCTGGAGCGCTATTTCAAACTATGACACAGGCGAGTCCCGTGAAACAAGTAACGCTGTCCTATGCTAAACTAACAGGTTTTTGGTTAGATCGGCACTGCATTCGGTCTAGCTATATCCACAATTGTGTTCAACACTGTAGTCGATACGGAATCTGCGAAGCTCGGTGTCATTGTAAACTCTAGCGACTACCAATGCGCCCTTGTCTGCGCAACTGACGGGGTATAAAGGATGCGCAATGGACCTCCGCTGCGTTTGCCCTTATGGGTGAGTACTGCAAATTTGTGTTGTGTTGAAAGCGGATCATTGACGGTTACTGTGATTATAGCCGCGCTGCTGGCAGCGCTTTTCCTCCGCAGTGTTGGTATCGTCGGTCGTCGGACACAACAGGGTCATTAGGACATGTTGATTCTGACCAGACCATAGGCTGCCCATGCTGCGGCTGACGACACTGGGATACCCTGATATGTCCAACTAAGCAAGACATCAATGTTCGAACGGACGTTACTTATGCTGCATCATGAACTCGTATATGCCCCCCCCCCCTTTGCATTTATTCAATCACACTTCACGTTGCAGAATCCACAGGAACCCACCAATCCAAATTCAACATTGTTACCATTAATCGTACCCACGCATACCGTCGTTTTGACTCTTTGGCATTGCATGTTTTTCGTTTCGGTCGTACGCCTGCAGAAACCCGAAAATCCAAATTCAACATTTATTCATTGGCAATTGTCCCCCTATGTAATCAGTAGTTCCTGTACCCACGCACGCCATCATTTCGATTCCCTGGCATTGCATGTTGTCGTTTTCTGTCGTTTCTTCTGCCTATAGAGCATTACCCGGGCCCTTTGGACTCTAAAAACACTCGTCTCCGGATCAACCGATCACTCGATTAAAACGTGGAATACTACAACATGGAAACAGATTTCACTGCTGGACGAGCACACCGACGGTGTCTTGGCCGTTGCAATACTTGAGAATGGACGCATCCTCGCAAGCGCATCTGAAGACAAGACAGTGCGGTTGTGGAACCTCGACAAAAGCCAGCCCATCAGCTCGCCCCCCTCAACCATGCAGATTCAGTGACCTGTATGTCGCTTTCGGCAGATGGAAAGCTGCTAGCCACTGGCTCCGATGACAATAATGTATACACGTGGGATGTTTATGCGATACTAAGAGAAGCTGGCCTCGACGACCTTCTGTTGGATGTAAATGTGAGTTGAACGACAGTGTCTCATTCTATTTCATTCTCACATAGAATGCACTCTAGTCAATACTTGCTGTATGTGACACCTTCATAGATAGATTTCATTTCATTCAAATATTTTTTAGGCTGACGCTACAAGACGTCCGGTCCAGCCAATCAAGGTCTCGAATCGGGTACCCCGAGGGTTTTTCGACGACTCCCCACATCGGCGTGCTCCTGTACGTCATTAACTTCTCATTCATGTACTGTCTTCTAGACCTCATGTTCTCAGCTTTCTGCACGACCCCACGCCCAAGATACGCCGTCCCGACCCTCCCTTTTCCGTTGGGCTCGAAACCTTCTCTCTGGCGGACCAAGTGGTCCACAGGTCGAGCGGCACGAGCGTAGCTTAGTAGCAGTTGACGTCCCGTATGCCAAGGGAAAGCGCGTACGTTCTTGTCTTTTTCCTCGAATGTTCAAACTGCCATCTCATATCACACAGAGGAATACCTGCGCAAGGGAAAAACGGAGGCCAATTCTGTTGAAACCCACGAACGCTGCTGCAGGCAGCTCGCGCCCTCCCAATAGCAACGTCACACAACAATCGGCTCAGGCTCAGTTATCCTCGCAACAACAAGCTGCTGTCTCTACGTCGTCCTCCACACCTCCCGTCGGCGCTACTACCACGTCGAGCACCAATCCTAATGTAACGATAAAACACGCTGGACGTTGGATTCGCTTCTGGCTCTTTATCTGTTGTGCCTCTACCGAGTATACCCATGACAGTCATCATTAATTAATTTTCTCGTTCCTGTGACATTCATTTCATTCCACGAGTATACACATACGAGGCATAAAGTCGTTTATATATATTGTATACAAAATAGGGATCGGCCTTCATCATAAGATACAACAGAGATGGAAAGGGCGGGCGGGTATACGACAAGCTCCTGACTCAAGATATGGTCATATACTGTGTAGACGACATTTGTGATAAGTACCGAAACCGATCCCCGTATCCTTGACATGCGAGCCCATGGTTCCCAATTTAGAGTACACGGTTCTTCTACCCATCTTTCACGTTATACAAAGCTTCGGTAATAGTCTGGGGAGTAGCGGATAGCTGGAGCCCAACGCTGAGCAAAGACTCAGTGGTGAATCGGCCTTGCGCATACAAGCAGGTGCTGTTTTCAACTGCGGTGCCCAAGGTCGTACCTTTCTGCCAACCACCGCTTTAGGAGTAGACAATCTTCTGCACCCGCCTATCAACAGTGATGTAATACACGCGGATCTGTTATGATAAAATGAGAATGAGATTACGGGGTGTGGAAGGACTAGCGTCGAAAACTCGTAGTTCATCCACGCCACGGCTGCGATGGGCGTGTTGATACGGGGAGCGGGTATTGTAGAATTGGTGAGTTGTCAGAGGTCCCCTTTGGGTCGTTCAACGACATTTCGTAGCTCTGATGGTCTTTGTTCTGAAAGTAGACCTGAAATCTCCCATCCTCGTTCTACATGCGAGCCATAGCAGTCCCGACGAAGTTGGTAGGCAGAAGGTCTGAAATGCCTGCTGACTGGGAAACAGTTGCTGAATCGGACATGGTGGCTATAACTCGTGAAGATGAATATAATCAACCACGGATGTGTTGCTAACTGTGACTCATAATGCCAGTAGAAGGTCGATGACTGTTAAGCGCTAAGCAGGCATTAATTAACACTGCGTTCTGGGTAAAAGTGGATGCTATGTGGCAAGGTTTGTAGATATCCGTATATGTATACGTACGAACGCCATGTGTATATTCAGAATTCAGAGTCTAAGCTGAGCGCTGAGCAGGATGACTGGATGACTTTACGTAGGATTTAGGTACTTCTTGTGCCGACAAGCCGACTCTGTCATTTTACGCTAGGCTTTCACACTCCGCCAAACGTAGATTTCGTACTAGTCTGCGTCACTCTGAGTTTTATCGCTATGCACAATTCTCGACAGTCCGAGTGACTGCAGCAGTGCAGCACCAACCTCGGTTTAACGATTAAATCACAAAATTATAATTAAAGTAAGATCCGCTATTATTGGCAACTGTGGTTTACTCAAAATACATATCACACACTGCTGTGAGTGAGTTACTAGTTGACCATCATCTGACTTTGTAGTCGTGATCTCTAGATTGCACGAAGGCCTGGGTGCCCATGGAATGTCATATTTCTCCTGAGGTCGCACGGTGGCAGCATCTGGGGCCCTGGATTTGTTGGATCGCCGTGAGTCATTACCATTTCGTTTCCAAGCAAAGGAGACATCGAAGCTGCGGTGTAGTAGTGTATGTTTGCATGGATAGGCTGTTCACGACGGAGTCTCGCCCCTATTGAACATCATCGACAGTTAAAATGACTAAATCATGACTGCATTATCAGCCTCGGCCATCGAAGCTAAATTCACCGTCGTCATAGGTTCAGTACTTCTGGCCCAGAGATGTATCACGCGCTGGGTTGTGCGCGAATTGACTGGCTATGTGGTCGTGGTCCCTGGATGATGTGTTGGCCTGGGCTTGCCCGGAGTGACTTTCTTGCTCGATTGTCATACAATGACCGCATCTGAGGTTCGCAGATCTGAGGCCCTGTATCTTCTAGATCACAGTCAGACAGTGTCAAGCTGGACAGGGATCTGACTGTGCCCAGACAGCGCTGAAACTCCCACTATTTCATTTGCTTGTGTCTTCTTCCAGCCAAGAAATCATTAATATCCGCAGACACTGGAAGTTTAAAAGCAAGACTCATTGCTTGCTTAACAACCATCGCATCAACGCCCAATCTACCAAAGTGAGTTACGGTTAGCAGCACATCCGTGGTTGGTTTTGTTCATCTTCACAATTTACAGCAGACATGACCGAGTCAGCAACCACGTCAAACCTTCTGCCCACCGACTTTGTCGGGACCACTATGGCCGGCGTGCAGAACGAGGATGGCAAATTTCGCATATACTTCCAGAACAAAGACTACCAGATCTGTGAAATGTCGTTGAACGATCCGAACAGCACGTCCCACACCATTCTCAAACTCACCACTGCTACTATTCCCACTGCCCGTATCAACACGCCCATCGCAGCCTTGTCGTGGGACAACTTGCGACAGGTACGAGTTGTCGACCACCATTCTGTGCGTCATAATCTCATTCTGACTTCATCGTGGCAGATCCGGGTGTATTATATCACTATGAATAGCCATGTCCAGGAGATTTCCTACACTCAGGGCGTTGGTTGGCACAAAGACTCGGATTTAGGCATTGCAATTGACAACAGCAACTGCTTGTATGCGCAGCGCCAACCCAAGGAGCCCTTCGTGAGGGTCGGGTTCCAGTCTTCTACGGCTCCCCAGACTATCACAGAAGCTTGTTACTATCAGGGCGGATGGAAGAATCGTATACTGTAAATTGGAAGAGGGTATTAGTGTACATTGACTCGCATGCCCAGGAAAGAAGTACATGTCACGGTCTGGGTTACCAGATGTATCAGTTGTACTTAAGTAAACTTGCAATGCTACATGTTGAAGATGTCAGGACTACATTGGCCATTGACCTCTGCAATCGATATATCATCGTAAGTATCTTTCAGTTTGTGAAGGAGACCGAGGAATTGGGATATGGGACAGGTAGTGCTTGTCTGAATCAGTATGGTAGTGGCCGCCAGTGTGAGCTCAAGTTTGAAAGTCAACTCAGTACGATCAACATATACTGTACAAAAATTAGGGAATAGATTGTGCAGCAGAATTTATCGTGAGAGGACTCAACGGTTGATGAAGCAGCACTGGCAGGGTCGATTGCAAAGAAAAGTGCAAGCGATCACAGTGGGAATATCATGGACATTGGGCACTACCAGCCTTCTTAACTCATTAGGCCCATCTGCATCAGGGCTAGGGATCAGTTCGAGGACAAACAATCTCGTAGTCTTGATCAAGGCAGAGTGCCAGTGTAGATTTTTGAGGCGCACTTAGAATTGTGCTATTCAAAGTCTAGACTCACATGTATACGAAACTCGATAATATTTGAGGTGACATGGATACAGATGATTCAGATGGTACGACTGTCCTACACGATTCTAGCACGCTTTTGCCACTGCAACATATGCAAAGAGCTGCAGTTCGATTTAGACACTACTCGCCGTAGGCTATACTTGCCGGGCCCCTATAACGGATCGAGGTGACGGAATGAATCATAAAACTGTGATTTGGGCTTACCGCATTTCAACACCCTTTGGGATGTTCTCAATCAGCGAGGAAGTAGATAGACGAGAACGAGAGGCGAACCTTATACTTCCAACAAATTTGTGCTTTCAGTTCTGTGTGGCCGAATAGAATGACAACGTCGTATTCAATCTTATAATACTTCGATTGATCTAAAGTTGATTTTAGGGGACGCAGTGTTTTGGATACCTCGCTGAGGTCGGCAGTGATTGTGCATAGCGTGGTGAATGAAGCTGAATTGGATCAAGTCAGTATGAGTGTTCGAGTAGTGAATAACTCATACATCGATCACTGTCTAACCACTCCGGCTCCCGGAGGGCACCCTGGTAGCACAATAATTCCGAGTCATGACTCTTGCATCCAGCAAGCGTTTTTTCGGATTTTTTGGAAGGATTTCCGGAATTCGCGCCGCTCAGATACTTTAGTTCCCTATGAGGCAGATCAGCATGTAACGAATGAGTGGAAATTGAGTGGAAATGCTTTATTCACCTTCAGCAAAATACTCTCAAAATATTCGGGGATACACAGTTCGCCGGTGGGATCGATGAAGCTTTTATGTAGTCGGACCTGGTGTTCAGGATCTCCAGAGTGGTACGGAATGAAGCATTCAACGCCATAAGTGGCACGTGCAACTCGAGATGATACTAGGTGGTCAATATAGAACGAAACTGCCCCATCAGCCACAGCCTTGTTGCTGTGATCTGATGAGTAGGAGTAGTCATGTTGATATTCGAGGGCTTACACATGGGCATCAGGGCGACAGAAGCTGATGCCTAGAGGTAGAAGATATTCCCGGAGTCTCGCAAACAGCCAGTCGCTGGCAGCGAAACCGCCAACCAAACAAACCAACTTCATGACGATGTCACGATCGTCTAGTATATGAGCGAAATATAATGCTCACACTAATTGGAGTCGAAGCCACGCGTCTCTGCTGCTCAAAAGCCTCGATGATAGCTTCGATGGATGGTTCAAACAAGTCTGCAACGTCCTGGCTGTACGATAAAACGTGAGGGTTATGAGGAAGGCATCCTAGTGAATATGGACGAACCCAGCCAATTTTAATTGCCCTGATCGAATATCATACTTCAGATCCTTGTCGCGGATGGTACCAAACTTGATGTAAGATGGTTCATCAGGCTTACGGAACCGAAGTTTCGTGCTTTTGTCAAAGATGTCCGCCATTTGTGCGACGATCTTGGGGTCAGAGTAGTGCTTCGAGCCCGAAAGTTTCTCTGGGCCAAGCGACTATCAGTTGTTGGTTTATGCATGACCAATTCATTCACGGACTTTGTAAAAGAGTACGAGCACGACTAGTAACAAAGACTGAGCCTTGCAGGGAACCTGAGCAGACTTCAGCAAGGGACCAACACAGGAAAGCGGAACTCACATTCAGCTGGGGCAATCTCCTCGAAAAGAGGTCGGAGATAACTTCATCGAGTAGGCGCTGAGATCGATGGTTCCGCCTCCAGCATCAACAACAATGACTCCCTGGCTGTCAGATTGATCTTCCTCATCATCGGAGTAATCTGACACATCCAAAGGGGTCTTGGAGAATGTATCTGATGCAATCACGTTGGTAACACAGAAATGAAGACTCGCTTCGCCCTCAGTCAAGAGGTGCACGTGCGATTGCTCCTCCTTAGATGAAATCAGGCCAGCGAGCTCGACAGCACGTCTAATTTGTTGTTGTTGTTGACCTTCCCAACCGTTCGGATGTGTGAGCACGAACTCAATGGAGTTCTCGACTGATCTCCAGAAATTGAGATGTGATTCCTGGATATAAGTTCGAGCGCATTGGAAGAGGTAGCGCATGAAGTCGGCGAGGACCTCTACTGCGGATTTGCCTTGTGGGAGAGGTTCTATATCGATATCCCGTATGTGAGACGATGGCAGATGCTTGGCGCGAAGATGAAGTTTCCACCTGACCAAGATTAATATACAGCCTATTTTTCCTCGACGATATGCATACCATGCGAGCCTCACCCATCCCTCGTCTTCTGCTTGTTCGATGACATGCTCTTGTAGAGCTTCAGCACCCACAGCGCGGACGTCTCCCTGAAGGTCGTAGTAGAGAATTGATGGTATTTTGGAGTCACCTCCGACACCCTCTTGCGCAGGATATCTACAATCCCACCATGAGCAAGAGACATAGCGCTTGAGCTGGCCACTGACCTTGATACTCCTCGAATTACAGGCACCTCACCTGGGTCTAGCATACAATACGAGACACCACTGAACGTGGTCCCAACATCAAATGCAAGCACTAGCTTTCGCGTTGGGCCCTTGTACGGTTCCCGTAGAAACATAATAGTAATATGAAGGCTGGCAATTCGTGTGTTGAAGTTTATATGCAAAGGAGCATGCCTTACATTTCAAAGGTCACATACCAAGATTGGAGGCGCAGATCAAGGCGTGTGTGCCTCGTGTGGCAATTGATTGTGCTAGGGTAGCAGCAAACGCATGGATGTCTTGCATCTCCTATGACCTGTTCTGAACAAGACAGATCCTCCAAACCGGAGCCCTACGCCCAGTTTCAGCGTACCATTCACCGAGGAATTTATCTGAGTTCTGATCGTATATGTGCATGAGCAGCTTCGAAGCTTCAACCCTGTGTACATGCATGATGCATTCGACATATTGGCACTTGGTATCAATTTGGGGTCGCCCACACTACTAATCAGCCTGGCGTACACAGCCTGTTAGTAAATGGTTTGAATTGGGTTTTGTGGTCGAAACTCTGTTACCTGAAGTTGACCTGAAGTGTTGATTGGATAGTGTGTCGTCAGATTTGAGTCAGTGATGCAGCTTGAAGTTGGATTGTCTTCGAGACTGGTCGGTGCCGATGAAGTTTATTGTCAATTTTCAATGTTTTGCTGCCTGAGGCCTCCCTTCTTTATGTCTGACGTTGACCTCTGTTATAATTTGTTACTGATGCGAACATGAACTTCATTGAACCTGCCCTAAACCATGTTGGTTCTTCATTCAGTGATAGTTACAGCTATTTTCATATCGATAGACCAGAATCCAGAAAACTCACTTAGCCGCTTTTATTTATTACTGGAGCGACACCAAACAGAGGCGCTTAGGCTAGGTAAGTCGCTGACCTTACTTGCAATGTTGAATGGGGCTTGTGTGGGGCGGTACAACTATGCTCTGACGAGACCCTAGAATCACGGCGCGCACGTAAATCTACAACCAGTTGCACATGGTGATGACTGGTACTATGCTACTAGTACATAGGTAACTACCATGGTCAAGCAACGAAGCCTTCGTCGTGCAAGACACTACAATGTTGTCAAAGGTAAGCCGTGCTCGTCATCAGATGACGCTCCACTTGGTTTCTCTGGTACTTGAGCAAGATCGTCTCTTCGTCTTCGTTGAAAATGATATATGTCGATGTTTCCGTGCATGATGATGACGGTCGGCAGTCGTTGTACTAGCACTCTCCAAGTAATGGTGACGACTTGCGCGAGTTACAAAAGTTGCTAGCATGAGCGCCTTTGTTTGCTGTCGCTCCAATAATAAATAAAAGCGGCTAAGTGAGTTTTCTGGATTCTGGTCTATCGATATGAAAATAGCTGTAAGCTTAGTAAGACGGAACGACTACCTTCATTCAGGTGACTCATCTATGGTCTGTCTTTGGGAGACTAGTCCTTCACAGTGAATTAGGTCCCAAATTGGGTACCCTGAGGGTTATTCCAAGACTCACCACATCGGCGTGCTCACGTACGTTATTAACTTCTCATTCAGTACTGTCTTAGGACCTCATGTTCTCAGCTTTCTGCATGACCCCATGTCTATGATACGCCGTCCCGACCCTCCCTTTTCCGCTGGGCTCGAAACCTTCTCTCTGGAAGACCAAGTGGTGCACAGGTCGAGCGGCACGAACGTAGCTTAGTAGCGGTTGACATCAAGGGAAAGCACGTACGTTCCCGTCTTTTTCCTCAAATGTCCGAACCCATCTTATATCACATAGGGGAATGCCTCAGCAAGAGAAAAACAGAGGCCAATTCTGTTGAAACCCATGAACGCTACTGCAGGCAGCTCGTGACCTCCTAATAGCAACGTCACACAGCAATCGGCTCAGGCTCAGTTATGCTCGCAACCATAAGCTGCAGTCCCTATATAAAACACGCTGGACGCTAGATTCGCTTCTGGCTCTTTATCTGTTGTGCTTCTACCGAGTATGCCCATGTCATTAATTAATTTTTTCGTTCCTGTGTCATTCATTTCATTCCTGGAGTATACACAAGGGAGACATAAAGTCGTTTATATTTATTGCATACAAAATAGGAATCGGCTTCCATCACAAGATGCAACAGAGATGGAGAGGGCACGCGGGTGGACGACAAGCTCTGGTTACACTAGATATACAACATTTTGGCAAGTACTGAAATTAATCCCATATACCGTATCCTTGACATGGAAGCCTATGCTAACATTGGTTCCCAATTTAGAGTATACGGTTGTTCCACCCGGCGTCCCACACAGCTTCGGTGATAGTCTTGGGATCAATGGACGACTGGAACCCAACCCTGACCACGATACGAGGGCTGACTACGACTGACGTATACAAGAAGGCAATGGTCTCAACTGCGGTGCCCAAGACCTGACCTTTGCCCCAATGACCACCGCTATAGTAAATCTCCTGCACCTGACTATCGGTAGTGATGTAATACACGCGGATCTGTCACGATGAAGTGAGAATGAGATTACTGGGTACGGAAGGGCTAGCGTCGAAAACTCGTACCTCGGCCAAGTTGTTCCACGACACGGCTGCGATGGGCGTGTTGATACGGGGAGTGGGAAATGGAGTAGCGGTGAGATCCCCGAGGACATAGGTAGTGCTCGTTGTGTCGCTCAACACCATTTCGTAGAGCTGATAGTCTTTGTTCTGAGAGTAGACCCGACAACTTCCATTGCTTGCGCTCTGCACGACGGCCGCAGCGGTCCCGACAAAGTTGATAGGCAGAAGGTCTGACATGGTTGCTACAATGTGAGAAGATGAATACAATCAACTATGGATGTGTTGCTAACTGTGACTCACATTGGTAGAAGGTCGTTGATGCGATGACTGTTAAGCAGGCATTGAGCCTTGCTTTTAAACCTTCAGGTAACCCCTGTCTAGAGTATAGTGCGGATATCAATGGTTCCTTGCTCGGAAACAAACACGAGAATATGAAATAGTGAGGAGTCTACACGGTGTCTGGGCACATCTGACAGTGATCTAGCAGTTGTGAGTCATAGACATGGCTATCGTGCGCCTTCAAAAATAAAAGTGTCACTCGATGTGCACCCAGAGTTACCATCAGACTATTGAAACATAGTAGATGATAATCTGTCAAACGTCTTTGGGAACCTCGCCGAACATCATGAAGCCTGGTGCTGCCTCCAAGCCTCGAAACCTCACACTGACTCCGACCCCCGGGCTGCGCCAGAGGCCCTCCTGCCACTTCCTGCTGTCGCGTCACATCAGGAAAATGGCTAGAGTGTTTATTCAGCCTTATTCTACTTAGTAAATAGCATAAGACGGAACGTGATTTAGGGAATACAAGTAAATTTGATCATTTTCTAACTAGGAAAGACAACACACACGATAAGGAGACATAAGAAATTTTCATTTCCAAGCAAAAAAAATGAAGAAGACATGTTTCTATGTTTTTAAAGCTCGTCCAACTTCAAAACAGGATCCCGAAACGGACAACATGTCAAGCCATCGTTGCTGTTGGTGAGTACGAGGAAGATGGTTGACAGGGGTGGTGCTGGCGCAGGCTCGTGTTTTGAAATACCTGGCGATGATGATGCCGATAAGATACGAGCAATACAATCCTCCATACCTAGGGGAAATGCCGGTCGAGGCTGGAGACATTGATGCTGAATAACTCAGTGACGGTGTGTCCGATGCTATCGGCGGGATAATGTAGGATGAGTTTAGCAGAGGGAAGGCAGGGTTTGGCGGATAGCATAATGACAAGGGTGGCCATACAAGGGCGTGGGCGCCAAAAGCGCACCTTCAATCACTGGAGAAGGACGAGGGCAGCGAAGGTGACGGACGAGTACGACGGCGCACGCCGCCGCATACACTGACGAAACTTCAGTTGGGAGCTAGATGAGCACGGATGGCGGGTATTCTGGACAAGCAAAATAAACAACCCGAGTTATAGGTTAAGTTTAGGCAGCGCCTTGCATGTAGACGCATCGTCGTTGGCGTTGGCGAACGCCAGAAATTTGTCCCGTTCGTGGTCAAGAGGTTTTCGTGGCCGCTGTTCCTATTACTTGGGTAAGTCAGAAGTAAATTTGCAGCTGACGAAGTTTTCGAGGTCTTGTCATTACATTCACACGTTACGCTTGTTTTCGGGAGCTTTGGGGAGCCGAAGTATTTCAGAAGGGCACTCATCACCCGGGCACATAGTATCGACTAGGCCAGGAGCGCTGAGCACTGATGGAATGAGCTGTAATTTCCAATGACGGGCGGATCTTGCTTCGATTGCAAAGCCAAGAATGTCAGTTAATTTAGCAACCTGAGGCTGATCCTGCAATGAGATCAATGGTGACGGCGTTGTTGTGACCAGCTGACCCGCACGGACAGATGGCCGAGTCCGCGCTAGCACTAGGAACAGATTGTCTGAGCATACCCGCTGCTTCAATGTTAGGTAAGATGGTCAGGGCGAGGCTACACCTGGACCCACCGTCGTTCTCGAGAGACTTATGTCGCTCTTAGTCCGTCGATACGCTGAATGCTTCGCTACGGGAAAAAAGATTCTGGAAGAGAGCAGCGAGATGACTTCTGTCCCGGTGAAAACAATGTTATCGACATCGCTGCAAGTTGGTAGGGGGAGTAGAAAGTTCTGGCAGTTGGGCACAACGTTTGGTGACCAGATTGATCGATCGGAAACCTCTCGTCGAGAAGGACTCATCAAGAAAGCTTATTGGGATGCGGGAGGCGTCGGTTGTATCGTCCTGTGATAAAATGCTGTGAACAGTCTATTATGCCATCGAATACGATAAATTGACGAAACGTTACATATGGGCTAATGTCAATTGCGGTACTACTACAGTTGGGAGTCCCTGGGACTGCACAACTTCTGACCTCGAAAATATGTAGTACCTGCAGCAGCACCGTGACGGTGGTTCACGACGCATCACTTCGGCTTCCCACAGTCAAGGTTGTTCGTTGAGGTAAATAGACCGAAATTCTGGTTCGACATGTCAAACCTAACCAAAGTTGATGAGGCGAACAATATTCATGTCACATTGGTGGTATTGCTTCCGGTACATTATAACCAGGTCCGTCATCTTCAGAACCGTCACCCTTCACGGTATTTTGTAGATATAAATCGGTTGTGGGAAACGTCGCTGAACGACTTACTAATAGTAATTAGCCATTGACCTCTGCGATTAATATGTCATGATAAGTATCTTTCAGGTTGTGAAGGAGCCCAAGGAACTGGCATATGGTCCAGGTAGTGCATGTCGGTTTGTGATCAAAGGGTGGTAGCACTGGCCATTGGCAGGGTCAATTACAAAGAAAAGTGCAAGGGATGGTGGGAATATCATGGACATTGGACACTACCAGCCTTTTCAACCCATCAGGCATCTACGCCAGGACTGGGGATCAGTTCAAGGACAAACAATCTCCATCGCAGTCTTGTTCAGGGCAGAGTGCCAGTGTAGATTTTTGAGGTGCAGTCAATGCCTTAGAATTGTGCTGTTTGAAGTACAGACTCAAATGTACACGAAACTCAATATTCGAGGTGACATGGATACAGATGCATTCAAATGGTACGACGTCATGTCCTACACGATGTTAGCACGCTTTTGCGACTGCAACATGTGCAAAGAGCTGCGGTTCGATCTTGACACTACTCGTCGTAGACTATACTTGCAGGGCTCCTATAGCGGATTGAGGGGATAAAATTGAGCATAAAACTAGCATGAATTGGGCTTACCGCATTTCAACACCCTTTGCAACGTTCTCGATCAGCGAGGATGTAAATAAGTGAAAATGAGTCGCGAACCTTTTCCTTCCAACTGATTTGTGCTTTCAGTTCTGTGTGACCAAACAAAATGATGACGTCAAATTCAATCTGATAATAGTTCGATTGATCTGTAGCAGATTTCTTGGGACGAAGCGTTCGAGATAACTCGCCGAGGTCGGCATGAATGGTACACAGCGTGGAGAATGAGGCTGAATTGGATCAAGTCAGTATGAGTGAGATCAAGCCGCGAATAATTCATACACGGTTCAACGTCCAACCACTGTGGCTCCTGGAGCGCACCCTTGTAGCACAGTATGTCCGCGCTGTGACTTTTACATGCAGCAAGTGATGTTCGGATAGTATGGAAAGGCTTGCGGAATTCACGTAGCTCAGATACTTGAGTTCCCTGTAAAGCAGATCAGCATGTACCGAATGAGTAGAAATATTCTACTCACCTTCAGCAAGATACTCTCAAAATAACCATGGATACGTCGTTTGCCGGCGACATTGATGTAACTTTTATATCGTCGAGCCAGGTGCTCAGGATCTAGAAAGTCGTAAAGAATGTTGCATTCAATGCCGTAAGTGGCGCGTGCAACTCGAGAGGACACTAGGTGGTCAATATAGAACGAAACTGCCCCATCAGCAACAGCCTTGTTGCTGCGGTTACCTGATGAGAAGTAGTCACGATGATAGTCAAGAGCTTACACATGAGCATCAGGGCGACAGAGGGTGATGCCTAGAGGTAGAAAATATTCCTGGAGTCTCGTGAACAGCCAGTCACTGGCGGCAAAACCGCCAACCAAGCAAACCATCTTAACGATGATGTCATAATCCGCCTAGTATATGAGCGAAATATAATGCTCACACTAATTGGAGTCAAAGCCACGCGTCTCTGCTGCTCAAAAGCCTCAACGATAGCTTCGATGGATGGTTCAAACAAGTCGGCGACGTCCTGGCTGTACAATAAAACATGAGTGTCGTGAGGAAGGCATCCTAAAGAATATGGACGAACCCGGCCAATTTCAATTGCCCTGATCGAATGTCGTACTTCGGATCCTTGTCACGGATAGTACCAAACCTGATGTAAGATGGCTCATCGGGCTTACGGAACCGAAGTTTCGTGCTTTTGTCGAAGATATCCACCATTTGTGCGATGATCTTAGGGTTGGAGTAGTGCTCCGAGCCCGAAAGCTTCCCTGGGCAATCAAATAATTATTAGTTTTTGGTTCCCCGTACGATTGATTATTTCACGGACTTTGTAAAAGAGTACGAGCGCGACTAGTAACAAAGACTGAGCCCTGCAGGCAACCTGAGTGGGCTTCAGCAAGGGAACGACGCAGGAATGTGGGACTCACATTCAGCTGGGGCAATCTCCTCGAAAGAGGTCGGAGATAACTTCATCGAGTAGGCGCTGAGATCGATGGTTCCGCCTCCGGCATCAACAACAATGACTCCCTGGCTGTCAGATTGATCATCCTCCTCGTCGGAGTAATCTGACACATCTATAGGCGTTTGTAGAAAGTATATTCGATGCAATCACGCTGGTAACACAGAAATGAAGACTCGCTTCGCCCTCATTCAAGAGGTGCACGTGAGATTGCTCCTCCTTAGATGAGATAAGACCAGCGAGCTCGACAGCACGTCTAATTTGTTGTTGTTGTTGACCTTCCCAACCGTTCGGATGTGTGAGCACGAACTCAATGGAGTTCTCGACCGATCTCCAGAAATGCGGATGTGATTCCTGGATATAAGTTCGAGCGCATTGGAAGAGGTAGCGCATGAAGTCGGCGAGAACTTCTACTGCGGATTTGCCTTGTGGGAGAGGTTCTATATCATCATCCCGTATGTGAGATGATGGCAGATGCTTGGCGCGAAGATGAAGTTTCCACCTGACCAAGATCAATATACAGCCTATTTTTCCTCGACGATATACATACCATGCGAGCCTTACCCATCCCTCGTCTTCTGCCTGTTCGATAACATGCTCTTGTAGAGCCTCAGCACCCACGGCGCGGACGTCTCCCTGAAGGTCGTAGTAGAGAATTGATGGTATTTTGGAGTCACCTCCGACATGCTCTTGCGCAGGATATCTGCAATCCCACCATGAGCAAGAGACACGGTGCTTGAGCTGGCTACTGACCTTGCTACTCCTCGAATTACAGGCACCTCACCTGGGTCTAGCATACAATACGAGACTCCACTGAACGTGGTCCCAACATCAAATGCAAGCACTAGCTTTCGCGTTGGGCCCTTGTACGGTTCCCGTGGAAGCATGATAGTAATTTGAAGACTGGCCATTCATGTGTTGATGTTTATATGCAAAGGGGTGTGCCTTACATTTCAAAGGTCACATACCAAGGCTGGAGGCGCGGATCAAGGCGTGTGTGCCTCGTGTGGCAATTGATTGTGCTAGGACACAGCAGAGGCGTGCATGTCGTGCATCTTCTATGACCTATTCTGAACAAGGCAGTCCAAACCGGAACCCTACGCCCAGTTTCACGTACCATTCACTGAGGAATTTATTTGAGTTCGGATCTTACTTGTGCATGAGCGGCTTTGAAGTTCGAAGCTTCAACGTTGCATCCGAGAACGGAGGTCTGGCTTCAGAGTTGTTACAGTCGATCGGCCGCATTCCAATAAACAGTGCGCAATCAATAGCCTACTTATAACCTAAATTGAGAGCTGAGCGCTGAGCAACCACCTCGACATCGTGATGTACTATATCTCTCAACAGGCCTCATAGCACGTTCCAGCAGAGAATCCCTTCTATATATGGGTGTGCGAGTCAATAGTGACCATGCACTTTGAAAACGACATCAACTTGAAGCTTACGACATCACAGTAGCAGAGAGCGGTATGCTTGCATTTGCTCGCAGTGCTAACCTTGGTGCAGCCAAGGAACTGGCATATGGTCCAGGTAGTGCATGTCGGTATGTGATCAAAGGGTGGTGGCACTGGTTGGCAGGGTCAATTACAAAGAAAAGTGCAGCAAGGGATGGTGGGAATATCATGGACATTGGTACCAGCCTTTCCAACCCATCAGGCATCTACGTCAGGACTAGGGATCAGTTCAAGGACAAACATTCTCCATCGCAGTCTCGTTCAAGGCAGAGTGCCAGTGTAGATGCAGTCAATGCCTTAGAATTGTGCTGTTCGAAGTCCGGACTCAAATGTACACGAAACTCAATATTCGAGGTGACATGGATACAGATGATACAGATGCATTCAAACGGTGCGACGTCACTGTCCTACACGATGTTAGCTCGCTTTTGCGACTGCAACATGCAAAGAGCTGCAGTTCGATCTTGACACTACTCGTCGTAGACTATACTTGCAGGGCTCCTATAACGGATTGAGGGGACAAAATTTGATCATAAACCTATGAATTGGGCTTACCGCATTTCAACACCCTTTGCAACGTTCTCGATCAGCGAGGATGTAGATAAGTGAAAACGAGTCGCGAACCTTTTCCTTCCAACTGATTTGTGCCTTCAATTCTGTGTGGCCGAACAGAATGATGACGTCAAATTCAATCTCATAATAGTCCGATTGATCTGTAGCAGATTTCTTGGGACGAAGCGTTCGGGATAGCCCGCCGAGGTCGGCATGAATCGTGCATAGCGTGGAGAATGAGGCTGAATTGGATCAAGTCAGTACGAGTGTGATCAAGCCGCGAATAATTCATACACGGTTCAACGTCCAACCACTGTGGCTCCTGAAGCGCACCCTTGTAGCACATTATGTCCGTGCTGTGAGTCTTACATGCAGCTAGTGATGTTCGGAGAGTATGGAAAGACTCCCGGAATTCTCGCAGCTCAGATACTTGAGTTCCCTGTAAAGCAGATCAGCATGTACCGAATGAATAGAAATATTCTACTCACCTTCAGCAAGATACTCTGAAAATAATCGGGGAGAAGTCGTTTGCCGGCGACATCAACGAAACTTTTATATTGTCGGGCCAGGTGCTCAGGATCTTGAGAGTTGTATATAGGATTGCATTCAATGCCGTAAGTGGCGCGTGCAACTCGAGAGGACACTAGGTGGTCAATATAGAACGAAACTGCCCCATCAGCAACAGCCTTGTTGCTGTGATTTAATGAGTAGGAGTAGTCACGTTGGTATTCGAGGGCTTACACATGGGCATCAGGGCGACAGAAGCTGATGCCTAGAGGTAGAAAATATTCCTGGAGTCTCGTGAACAGCCAGTCACTGGCGGCAAAACCGCCAACCAAACAAACCAACTTCATGACGATGTCACGATCCATCCAATATAAGACCGAAATATAATGCTCACACTAATTGGAGTCGAAGCCACGCGTCTCTGCTGCTCAAAAGCCTCGATGATAGCTTCGATGGATGGTTCAAACAAGTCTGCAATGTCTTGGCTGTACGATAAAACGTGAGGGTTATGAGGAAGGTATCCTAGAGAATATGGACGAACCCGGCCAATTTTAATTGCCCTGATCGAATATCATACTTCAGATCCTTGTCGCGGATGGTACCAAACTTGATGTAAGATGGTTCATCAGGCTTACGGAACCGAAGTTTCGTGCTTTTGTCAAAGATGTCCGCCATCTGTGCAACGATCTTAGGGTCGGAGTAGTGCTTCGAGCCCGAAAGTTTCTCTGGGTCAAGTGACTGTCAGTTGTTGGTTTATGCATGACCAATTCATTCACGGACTTTGTAAAAGAGTACGAGCGCGACTAGTAACAAAGACTGAACCTTGCAGGGAACCTGAGCGGACTTCAGCAAGGGACCGACACAGGAAAGCGGAACTCACATTCAGCTGGGGCAATCTCCTCGAAAGAGGTCGGAGATAACTTCATCGAGTACGCGCTGAGATCGATGGTTCCGCCTCCGGCATCAACAACAACGACTCCCTGGCTGTCAGATTGATCTTCATCATCATCAGAATAATCTGATACATCTATGGGTGTTTGGGAGAATGTATCCGATGCAAACATGTTAATAACACAGAAATGAAGACTCGCTTCGCCCTCAGTCAAGAGGTGCACGTGCGATTGCTCCTCCTTAGATGAGATGAGGCCAGCGAGTTCGACAGCACGTCTAATTTGTTGTTGTTGTTGACCTTCCCAACCGTTCGGATGTGTGAGCACAAATTCAATGGAGTTCTCGACCGACCTCCAGAAATTGAGATGTGATTCCTGGATATAAGTTCGAGCGCATTGGAAGAGGTAGCGCATGAAGTCGGCGAGGACTTCTACTGCGGATTTGCCTTGTGGGAGAGGTTCTATATCGATATCCCGTATGTGAGACGATGGCAGATGCTTGGCGCGAAGATGAAGTTTCCACCTGACCAAGATTAATATACAGCCGATATTTTTTCCTCGACGATATACATACCATGCGAGCTTCACCCATCCCTCGTCTTCTGCCTGTTCGATAATATGCGGTTGTGAAGTCTCAGCACCCACAGCGCGGACGTGACCCTGAAGGTCGTAGTAGAGAATTGATGGTATTTTGGAGTCACCTACGCCGGTACTCTCTTGCGCAGGATATCTACAATCTCACCATGAGCAAGAGACATGGTGCTTGAGGTGGCTACTGACCTTGTTACTCCTCGAATTACAGGCACCTCACCTGGGTCTAGCATACAATACGAGACACCACTGAACGTGGTTCCAACATCAAATGCAAGCACTAGCTTTCGCGTTGAGCCCTTGTACGGTTCCCGTGGAAGCATAATAGTAATTTGAAGGCTGGCAATTCATGTGTTGATGTTTATATGCAAAGGGGTGTGCCTTACATTTCAAAGGTCACATACGAGGTGCAGATCAAGGCGTGTGTGCCTCGTGTGGCAATTGATTGTGCTAGGATAGAGCAGACGCGTGCATGTCGTGCATCTCCTAATAGACTCCTATGACCTGTTCTGAACAAGGCAGATCCTCCAAACCGGAGCCCTACGCCCAGTTTCACGTACCATTCACTGAGGAATTTATCTGAGTTCGGATCTTACATGTGCATGAGCGACTTCAACGTTTCAACCCTGTGCACGTGCATTCGATATATTGGGACTTAGCATCGACTTGGCGTCGCTCGCTCTGCCAATCAGCCTGGCGTACACGGCCTGTTCTTTTAGTAAATGGTTTGAATTGGGTTTTATGGTCAAGACACTGTTATCTGAAGTGAAGTGTCGATTGAATAGGATGTCGTCAGATTTGAGTCACTGCAGCTTGAAGTCGGATTGTCTTGCTTCGAGACTGGTCGGTACCGATGAAGTTTATTATCAATGTTTTGTTGCATGAGGACGTTGACCTTTCTTGATGTTACATCTGTTGGCAGCGCGAAGTAATTATGTAACACAAACTTACCTGCCCTAAACCATGTTGATTCTTCACTGTCACTCATGATCAGTGATAGTTAGTAAGAACCTTCGTTCTGGTCTTGGCTCACTCCTCCCGAGAAGCAGAGAGGGCGGGCTTCAAACCACCGGGCCTCCCCTCGAGGACGCTACACGAGAGTTCGGAGGTGGAAACAACCCCATGCCCCATCAGGCGCTGCACAACCATGCGCAACCTAATAACGATACTAGAAACCAACCAAAAAAGCGAAACAAAACAAGAGCTAACCTCCATATCGCATCCCTGAACATGAAAGGGAGAACATCCTCGCAACTAGACCACAGTGCAATATCAAAATGGTCAGTCATACACCAAGTTATGAGAGAGAAAAAAATAGGAATCCTGTGCCTACAAGAGATGCACCTAACAGAAGAACATGAAAACCAAATAAACACTCTATACTCCCGCAGACTAAGAGTAATCAACTCCAGAGACAGAGAATGCCCAGGATCATTAGCTGGAGTAGCCTTTGTACTAAATAAAGAATTAACGAACACTGAAAACATTGAGTTTAAAGAGATCATACCAGGAAGAGCGCTAATCTTAAAAACCTGATGGCATAACAACGAGGAACTCGCCGTCCTCAATATATACACCCCAAACAACCCAGCGGAACATCATAACTTCTGGACAACCATTAAAGACTCGGAAACGAGCAGAAACAACCAACAGATTGACTTACTACTAGGAGACTTCAACCTAACAGAAGACCCACTAGACAGAGCCCCCACACGAACGGACAATGAAGCAGCGACCGACGCTCTCAGGGACCTAAGAGAAACGTTAAACGTACATGACTCCTGGAGGAAAACACACCCTACATCTCGTCTATTCACCTTCTACAGCAATGCAAACTCCTACTCCAGACTAGACAGAATATACTCCTCCCCCTCACACGATAATAAGCCTGTATGACTGGTCAGCATGCACATCAGCCATCCCGACGGACCACCATATGATCCTAGTGAGATACACACCCCTGAATATGCCACACATAGGCAAGGGACGATGGTCATGGCCACTTGGCCTTGTAAACAACGAGAAACTATTGAATAAAATGAGTAAATTAGGACAAATGACACAACGAAAAATAGAAACAAACCAACAACCAGGTGGACTTAACCCACAGTCAGAATGGGAGGACTTCAAGATTAAAATACGCCAAGAGGCAAAGAAAACATCCAAAGAACATATGTATAAAATCAACACCAGAATAAACCAACTAGAAAACGACATCAAACTCACCCTACGAAATGACGACATAGACACCAACAGCAACACAAGGAGCCAAAAAGCATGGCTTGAAAGCGAAATTAACCACATGGAAAAAAAAACGATTCAAGAACCTTCAGCTTCAATCAAAAGCGAAATGGAATGCCGCCAGGGGAAACCATTAGCAAGTACTGGTGTAAGATAAACACACCAAAAAAGCCGCGAGACATAATCTACCAACTTAAAATACCAAACTCAAACCAATTCACCTCACACTCTGGCAAGATGGCAGAAATCGCGAAACAATACCACGAGTCCCTCCAACAAGAGAACATACACCCTGCAATACAACTGAGAAAAGACGAAGCAAAACAAAAAACAATGAATGAGATACCAAGCGAACAAAAGTTCAATGACAATAACTCCCCCCTAAGTCAACTCCTAGAGGAACACCACATCCATGAAGCGTTATATTCCTCGAAGTCCAGTAGTGCCGCAGGAATTGATGGAATACCATACGAGATATGGAAATGACTACACGAAAAACACTTAACAGACTCAGAGGACAATGAACCAAGCTTTAATATAATCAAAACACTTACCTTAGTCATAAATGATATACAAAAGAATGGAGTAAAAGACGAAACTGAATTCACGTTAGGTTGGATGTGCCCGATATACAGTATAAGAAAAAAGAATGTACCGAAATCGCCAACTATAGACCCATAATGCTACTAAACACGGACTATAAACTCTTAACAAAAGCGTTAGCAATACAATTAGCCAGAGCAGCCCCGAGACTAATACACCCAGATCAAAGCGGATTCATACCTAATAGATCAATATTTGACCCCATCCGTCTTGCAAAAATGATGATTGAATACGCTGACATCTCAGAAGAAGACGGCGCCCTTATTGCGCTTGACCAAGAAAAAGCATATGACTGAATCAGCCATGATTACCTGATAGAAACGCTCCAAACCTTTAACCTCCCGAATATGTTCATAAACACAGTCAAAGCCCTATACTCAAACACCCACACAAGAGTAGCTATAAATGGTATGTTGAGCGAACTGTTCAAGGTAACAAGGGGAGTAAGACAGGGAGACCCACTGTTGTGTTTACTCTTTGACCTGGCCATAGAACCACTGGCGTGCACCCTAAGAAACTCCAACTTAATAAAAGGCTACAACATCCCAGGAATCACTCACTGAGTGAAAATAAACCTATACGCCGATGACACAACAATATACCTGAACAAAAACGACAAATACTCCAACCTTGAAAACATACTAAACGAATGGTGCCTAGCCTCGGGAGCCAAATTCAATATGGACAAGACAGAGATAATACCGATTGGGTCAAAAACTCACTGAGAACGAGTGATCACAACAAGGAAACTCAACCCAGACGACACCCCCCTCAAAAACTCCATCAGAGTAGCCCCAGACGGCCACCCAATAAGATCATTAGGAGCCTGGATAGGCAATGAAACAAACGACGACCACGCCATGGGAACCAATCCTAGACAACATAAGCGAAACATTAAACCATTGGAACAAAGGTCACCCATCCCTAGACGGTAAACGTCTAATTGCCCAAATGGTAATTGGAGGCATGACACAATTCCTGGCAAAAGCACAAGGAATGCCCAAGAACATCGAAACCACACTAACAAGAATAATGAGGAATTTTATCTGGAATAACGAAAAAACCTCACCCATCAACCTAGAGCAACTACAAAAACCAAGAGCGGAAGGAGGAATTAACCTGATAGACCTTACAGCAAGAAACGAAGCAATTGAAGTGACATGGCTCCGCTCCTATCTCGATCTGTCAACAAAGAGACCAGCATGGGCCTTCCTAACAGACATTCATCAATAACCTTAAGCTGACAGGAATCAACAACATGACAGACCTTAACACATTCCCCCAATCCTGGAACCCACCAACAAAAGGGACAAGAGCGAACAACATACCAAAAGATATAATCAATATGCTAAAAATAGCGAAGAAATACAATGTTAGCTTCGCACCAATCAAACTCTCAAAACAACTAAAAAAACAATTACCTGCATGGTACCACCTAGGCGCCCCACCCAAAACATACCACAAACAAAAAAACGAGTGCCTCCCAGAAAATCAAACACTTAATTAAAATAAGCAAAAAATCTCACTCACCAACAACGAAACAACCGATAGCAACAAAAAACACTACCCTCGAAAGAACTGCGCATGCAAATACTGTAAGAAAGATAGAGATAAAGGATGCGAAAACCCACATAAATGTGCCATCATAGCGAAAGAAATACTAAACAAAATCACCCCAAAATTCAATACAAAATCCAAACCAAAAAAAGACAGCCTATCACTCACCCACAGCAGAAAAGAGAAAAACCAACAAGCACACGAGCAAAGACAGGGAGAGATCATCTTTGACCCCACAACAACGATACGAACAACATTTGGAGACTGCTTTAGAATCTTTACCGACCCATCAAAACAATCAGACAGACCAGCTCACCGCCTGCAAGCCCCAATGAGAGGACTAAACATCATAGAAGAACGCATCTCCATCTACACAGATGGCTCATGCCTAAATAACAGAAAATACAATGCAAAATCGGGTAGTGGAATATGGATATCAGCGGAAAACGAACAAAACAAGAGAATAAGAATACCTGGACACCAGCATTCAAACCAGATTGCCGAAGTAACAGCGATCCTAGTCACCCTACAACAAACAGAACCCTACATCCCTATAACATTCATATCAGACTCAAGATACGCAATTGACGGACTCACCAAACACTTCAGTCAATGGGAAGATAAAGGATGGATAGACATAGCGAATAGCGAATAGCGACTACCTAAGAGCCACACTGTACCACCTACGAAAAAGGTCAGCACAAACATCGTTCATATGGACGAAAGGGCACAACGGAGACCAAGGTAATGAACAGGCAGACCGCCTGGCCCTAGAAGGAGTGAATAAACCCACCGAAGACCAAATAGACCTCTCGATCCCCAATGAATGGAACCTACAAGGAGCAAAACTATCCTCAATATTACAATCACTCACATATAAAGGAATAAAGAAACAAAACGGGACCAAGAACCCACCAAGAAGAGTGACAACAGGTAATCTCGATATCGCAAGATATGCGATCCAAGAAATCACAGGCAACCTCGAACACAACAGCGCCATATGGACTGGATGCTGAAATAAAGACATACAAAAAACAATACGTCAATTCTTATTCAAAGCAATACATGGAGCTTACCGCATCGGAGAATACTGGCTAAACATCCCTAATTATGAACACCGTGCCAAATGCACGATGTGCCATGCAGAAATTGAATCTATAGAACATATACTGTTAGAATGCCCGAACAACTCACAAAAAACAATATGGAAACTCACGAAAGACATATGGCCAACAAAATTCGGCACCTGGCCAAGAATCAAACTAGGAACGATCCTAGGCTGCGGGAACTTACAACTGAAAAAACAAACACCTGACGAACAAAACCCAAACGAAAGAGAGAACAACAACAACAACGAAGCAAACGACAAGACAAAAGGCGCAGCAAGACTTCTAAGAATCCTCATCTCAGAATCCGCTTATCTAATCTGGATAACAAGATGTGATAGCACCATTAATGAAAAACTTACACAACAGACACGATAATCAAACGATGGACCAATAGAATCAATAACAGATTACAACTAGACAGAATATCCGCAAACAAAATAATAAGGACTAAAAAATTCACAGAACTAGTTACACATACCTGGGAAAACACCATCCAAACAAACCCCAATACTCAAATACAAAAAGACTGGGCTACCGCCCTAGAGGTTTTAGTGGGTATTAGATCACCCAGGCCCTCTACGATCGAGGCCCCCTAGGTAATACAGAGTCCCACACACCCCGCATAATATGGGAGTGCATAAACGCATTTTTCCTCAGACCGGGGTTTCCCGAAACCCTGCTATAGCGCGTATACGTAGAACTAGACTTAGTCAGCTGCTACCAATACATTTCGCTTGTCCAAAAAAAAAAGAACCTTCGTTCATCTATGTTTGTCTTTGGGAGACCAGTCCTTCACAGTGAATTACACCCTTATAGCCAGCGATGGCAAGTTATATTACTTCTCCTCACCTTTAATACCTGTCGGGAAGCCACTCTGAGCGATACTGCATTCAGGTCTATTCAAATTTCGTGCATCAGTGACGACTATCATTTTGCCAAAGCGATCCAGGATCTAATTTGCCTACTTATATACTTAGCGTGCATGTGACAAGCTGCTCACGGCTGAATGATACCTGGAGCCCCAATTCTGCCAATGGAGACGATAGTTCAGGGATCAACTCCTTTGCATCAGATTCAGTGCACCATGCCATACTCGAGGACTGTGTGGCATGCTGAATGTTATGATGTTTACATCAGAAGTTCTGTATGGCACGTTCATGATGCATGATGGCTCATCCATGAACGGAGGTCTGGCTTTAGAGTTATTACAGTTGATCGGTCGCATTCCAATAAACAGTGCGCAATCAATAGCCTACTTATGACCTAAATTGAGAGCTGAGCGCTGAGCAACCACCTCGACGTCATGGTGTACTATATCTCTCAACAGGCCTCGTAGCACGTTCCAGCAGAGGATCCCTTCTATGGGTGTGCGAGTCAATAGTGACCATGCACTTTGAAAACGACATCAAGCTTACGACATCATAGCAGCAGAGAGCGGTATGCTTGCATTTGCTCGCAGTGCTGACCTTGGTGCAGTGTGAACCCTGCCAGCCGCTGTTGGTCTATTGTTGCGCATTAATGGGCACAGTGAACACGACGTGGAATATAGTGTCGACCTACATCTTCAGCATTTTTGCAGCACACCAACGTGGCGTCATTCTCACAAGTTGAGACTGCAGACGCAGCTGTGACGCCAGCAAGGGCAAGGATGGCAAGAACGATACGTATGAACATCATGGTGGTTGATGGACACCAGATGGTAAGGGGAAGGCAGCTTTTATAATTTTCTGTGCACGTATGTAATAGGTCATGGCACTCATCATGATCGCTATTTAGTTAGCGCAACGGAGTAAATTCCCTTTCAACCAGTTGACGTACGATAGACATATGCAGATATTTGAATCGTTCGTGTTGTAATTGAACCAACTGATGCTGGTATCGTGTACTCGGGTAATCCAACCAGCGACATTGACGACGTAGTAAGACTCGAGCACTGACGGCATCGGGAGCAGAGCCGGGTAGCTACTTGCACGTGATCCACTAGGGATGGATAACGCGTAGGTGATTTCCCATCATTTGGCTAGTACCTGTCGTCTATTGTGTTGGTCCATGTCATTACAGTTCTTGCCGTATGATCTTCTATTCAATATCGCCCAGGATCTTGACATCGATGATGTGCATAATCTCCAGGCGGTCAGTATATTTTGGTCTCATAATACCATGATATGATCTTATAGCTGACTCAATCTTTCCGTTAGACTTGCAAGTCCTTGCGTTTGTTCACCCTTACCAGACCCGTATATCGCCAGCTAGCCCACGACTTACTTGCTAGATCCAGGCCCCTTCCTCTCCACTCCTTCCAGCGCCTCTCTGATCTCTCAACACCCGCGCTCATTGCTGCTGTCGACCGCGCACGAGGTTTTGAGAAGGCATGGGCGATCCGCGCCCCTCGACCGGCTCGACCAAATCCGTACTACGGAAACCAGTGGTACATCACTATTAGCGTACCTTCCCATGAAGAGATCGATTGGCTATCTCCCATCACCAGCAGCTACACACTCTGTGCGACTAAGAGCGGCCGTGTCTTATGCTGGGATGTGAGGAGGGATATCTGCCTTGCTGAGTGGGACCCGAGGTCCTTGACCTGTTCCGGTGGAGGAGACGAAGATGAAGACGAGGACGATGAGGATAAATGGGAGTTATGGAAATGCCGTGTCGAATTCGAAGAGCGCACAGTATATTTCACCATGGCGAGGGTTCTCAAAGGGTTGCCAGTTTTTCATTTTCTTTGATCTTCAGACTCAACTGACACGCCTTCTCAGACATCATGATGACCGCGTGATGGAATTCATGCTCATGCGATTATTCTTCCCTCACGAACTCGACGATTACGACGAAATAAATCAGGCACAACTCTACGTCCAATCTCCAATTCTTTCTCACCTCGATCATTATGCCAGTGCTGCTGAGCCTCAGCCACGGCAACGTGAAGGGGACTCTCCAATCCAATTAACGCCTAGGGTCCCATCGCCCACGCAAGATCCGCCCCTGTTGATCCCGATTTGCGATCAACCCCCCACCCCCACTCCTTCACCACCCACCTCCCAAACTCCATCACCGCAAGACTCATCCCTTCTTCACTCCGGCAGCTTCGGCCCATCCAGTGCTACATCCAGCGCCCAATGCTCCCCGATGGCAATCAATGCGATGCTACCGCCCGATTCTGCAGAATGCAGCGATCCCCCGCAATTAAGCGGAATTCCTTCCAATCAGGCGAATACAGTTGGAATTAGAGGTGATGGTGGTGCCGGGGAGCCGTACCAGGGACCTGTTTTCTGCCATCCCTCCCTCCGAGCGATGTTCATCCGCAGCGCGCCTGCGACACCCTCTTGGGAGAGATATATCCCGCTTCCTATGAATTTTGGTGAGCATTTACCTTTTATTTTTTTTTATTTGTTGATGTGCCATTAAACATTGTATTCTCACAGATCAACCCCCACCTCCGCCCCCAGTGCCAACTATTCCCATTCCAGAATCGGCACGACCAGTATTCGACACGCTCACGAGCTTCCATACAACGGGGGTCATAATGAACGTATTCCTTCTTGACCCGCCACGTCGCTTGTTAAGCGCTTTTGTATGGATTGCGAGTAGTAATACTATCGGTAAGTATCAAGATCAGGATACCCAAATGTATTCTATCTCCTGCCGTTACTATCATTGCCATTTATTTGAAGCTGCGTACTGACTACTTTGCGTTGCATATGACAGGGTTGTACGTACTCCTTGACTGGGCGAAAGACGACTATGTGTTTGTGGATACTGGTGTTGGATGTGTGAGTGCTCTTTGTCGTTATTGTGTTTCCTAGTTACTATTGCTCCATGTTTGGTATGACGCACGCATTGGTTTGGTACGCATACAGTTAATGCCACGTTCCGCAACTCCTGTGCCATTTTTGGCATTTACACGAATATGGTGGCTTCAACATCACGCATATATTTATTCAGTTGCTTTGCCATACGATATTTTCACCTGTTAACATCTTTTTGCAGCTTATCTCTTCCAACTGGTCCTGCATCCTCCACGAAGACCAAATCGTAATCCACAGCGAAGAAGCCGATGCCGCCTACCAGCACTTTTACCCGCTTGAGGTGCTCAGAACATACGGCCGTCCCCGCTGCACCGCTTCTCCGGCCACTCATGCTCATGCACAGACTCCACCTCATGCAGAAGAAGGCGCCCCACAGGAGGACAACGGCGAGGACATAGCAGACTCGCTGAAGAGCTTATGGAATAAGCTCCCAAAAATATGTGCGAGACTTGCGCCGAGTAGAAGCATCTCAAAGAATTTCGTGTTTCCTTCTGTACCGGGGACCTCGGGTGCAGTGGTCGGCATGCCTCCTGTAGGTAATGAAGATGAAGAAGACACTGAGGAAGAGGATGGAGCTGGTGCGGTGGAAGAAGAAGATCAGGCACAGGCCGAAGATAACACTGAGCCCGTTAGTGAGGAAGAACAGAACGGCGCGACTGAGGTATCTTCTACAGTAACTCTCGCTGAGGATGAACAGTCGGTGGGTCATGAAGAAGAGCCACCAGATGACGAAGAAGAATCCGAAGATACTCACGAGGATGAAGAAGAAATGCCTTCGACTCCGAAAAGGAAAAGCGAAAGGCGTACACGTTTCGAGGATGAAGAAGAAGCAGGAGATGGCAGTCGTGCAGACGGGCCCAGCGACTCCCAGGGTGGCGAGGATGAAGTGAGGGTCGACAATGAACTTAACGCAGGGTCTTCTTCCTCAAGCCAAGCCAGTCCCAATCCTGAACCTGTACCGCAAGACGACGAGGATGAATCATCTTCTCAATCCACCACTTCAGCCACTTCAGGACCTCAGCAGCCCACTCAAGATGTAGTAGATCCGGCAACGCCTGAATCGTTCACAAACCCTTATCCGTTCCCCCCTTGGTACCCCGAGTCTGCACATTTTGTGCGGCAGTGGTGGCCTACCCTCCCTGGCGTCCCGCGGTTGAGCTGTACGGTTGTTCTCCTCGCAGCACATGACCATGAGACGCACCACACGCGTTTTGTGCTCGCGCAGCATTATTTCAAGGTCCCAATAGCCCCTGAGGGGCTACCTGTTGTAGGAGAATCAAGCACTAGCAGTTCATCTCGTTCTACACAAGCGAACGACGACGACATGCTTCATTTGTGGTATGTCAGCACGCCGTTTGAAGTCGTATGCGTGCTCGAAGAGGGGGATGACGATGAAGATACTGCCGATCGGCCACGACCTCTCGTGGCTGTTGATTTTGGGCACGCAGTATGGGTGGAGTATGGTGCTTCTGTTGTACCTCCCGCCCTTAATGTTCGCGCCCACGCCGACAGCAATTCTCCCGGCGTATATGACGCAGATATTGTTCAACCAAATACAGAGCCAGACACGCAGCCTCATGCCCACTTTGCGCATTTCGAGAACGATCACCCACATCCGCATCCGCGGCGGCGGGTTCCTAAATGTCTGCGCTTCGTTACCTTCCCTCCTGTGCATGGCCGCCGGGTGCGGACTGAAGAGGCGGTGGTGCGCACGCTCGAGATCCCAGAGGAGCTGGACTTGGATGTCGTTGAGACGATTAATATTGATCAGAGCCAGGGGGCTGTAATTTTGAGTGTGAGGGACGGTAAGATCTTTATCTTGAGGTATGAATGATATTTTTGGAGAGGGGATGCGGACGGATATTTGCTACACAGAGTTTATGATATACGATCGACCCCGCAAAAGCCGTCCTCCGATAAGTTGGGGACTGTACCTGGCTGTACCTATGCAGACATATGTATATATCATACAAAATAAGATCTCTGTTACTCACATTGATACTAGTAGCAGTACCGCAATGACTAGTACATATATAGTTTACCACTTCAAGCATTGAGAACCGAAAAATTCACTTGATCTTCTTTAAATGGGATCAGTCACATGAGACCCTATGTAACTAGTAGGGCCAGCATAAGGACAGCCTAATGCCGTTTCTGGCTTCTGGTCCTGGACAGTCGTGGAACTGATTATGAAAATTGCGGCTTGATGCATATGATATTTTCTCTACATCCCGGACCACTCCATTTCATAGCCCTGCCCGTCTTGTCTCAAAATACCGCAGCTGTCAAAGGGTGGGGCTCAGTGGGTCATGACTCATGAGTAATACGACTCTAGTAGATAGTCGTTTCTTTGAATTCTCTATTCAGTATCAAAACTTGAGTTGTTCTTGGCTGTCGGACTCCTACCCACTCGGCGACGGGGTGTTTAACGAATCCGAGGGCAAACAAGACAGCGAGACTTAAGCTTGGGTGTAATTACATAATTAATTTTGTCAGAAGCCAGCTTTGTGGACGATATCATCTCTAGTACTATATCGCATCGCATCGATGACATATGCATTGTGAGGAAGCTAGCTATTAGTAAGTAATATTGGCTGCAAACTTGTCCGAGCGAGCATAGCTTGCCATCCAGGCCTGCCAGTTACCTGTCTTTCCGAGTCACCTTGTACCGAGCACGGCCGAAGGGGATCACTTGTAATTACATAATAGTTAATAAGCCTCCACACTTTGCAAGCAATCTGGAGTGGTGAATTGATCGATCGTGGCGCTATCCGACCGTTCCGCCCAATATTCTGATGGCGCGGCGTTGGCCTGAGCTCGATCGAGGGTTATGCATAAGTCCAAAGTTGCGGTGTTTGAAATGAAGTTGCATCTATTTGTTCGAGGCACTAGGATGAGTACACACCGCCGACTGGTTTGGAGTCTGTGTTGTCACCAGAATTCTTGCCAAAGGCCGAAAGTCCCTTGTCAACATGTTCACTTGTCAATGATTATGATCATGACATCAAGGCAGGGAAACACTGCATTTATTGACTGTCAACTAATAATCCCGTCTGGTTTGGACACCGGTATGCGTGCCAGATGGGCCCACTGCTGCGGCGAGATACAACGTAGGTCCCATGACATTTTATTGTAGGCAGCGTTTCTGACACAGGTTTTTGGATCGTTTCCCGGAAAAGTCATATACGATCAAAATGTATCTATAGCTTTTCTATAGAATAATTAGGAGCTGCAAGTGCCTTGCTTTCAAAGCCTGTGTACTACTATGATATCAATATTATGCTCCGATCCACAGTCAAACATCCGCGACTTTACCGAGGCTTGCATTCTTACCGCTTTCCGAGAAATTCACGTCTTAAATCCATTATTAAAAGATGAGCATGCATTTGCATAAGTAAGGCTGAATCTCATAAGCCTATGCATGAACTCATAAGCTTACCCTTCCAGATCCGGATGGACGCCAACATCACACCCATCGACGTCCTCATGGCTTGACGTTGTTGAGCAATGCACAAACTTGACCAATGATGGAAGCTCGTTGCATCATAGAACTTTAAGACGTGCATCCGGTGATCAAGATTCAACGACTTCAACCCTGCGCTCGTGTCTTAAGCTGCTTGACCAGCACTGTGACAGGCTTAACAGTACTTACAAGGAAACTCTCGAGATTCGCGCCCGCATTGCAGAGATTCTTGCCAACTCCCAGTCGGAGGTCGCCATGGGGAATGTGGGCACATGGGATAGCAGCGTTGACCTAATCTTCGGTGATGAGTCCTCCGACTATCACGCCAGTTGCACTCAACGAGCGTGATGCTAATTCACTCTCGTTAACCCCACCAAACCTTTCCCTCCTATCACAGCCGCTAGTATTCCAACACTTGCACAGTCAACCATCAGCACATGAGTACGAATCTCTTTTGCAACCATCTGTCGGAGTCATCAGTAGCCTGCCAGAGGGGACAGACCCTCCCATCCACCGATTTTCTCAAGGTAAGTTTACTACATTTGCAGCCTTTTAAATATACTTACTGCATGAGAAAATAGAACCATTACTCCCGGGTGCATCCGGTTCCGTCAGCTATGAGCTTGGTACACAGCCATTCCAGAAATTCTTACCGGAAGATGACACATGCTCTGAGGAGCTGACTTTATCTGACCCTTCAGTCAGACACCACCTGTATCTCCCCGTTGTGCAGGATGACGAGGATAAGGTAAAGTGCATGTGGTTGGGGTGTTCAAGTGTCATCAGGAAGGATAACTACACTCGCCATGTGAATGAGGTTCATAGGCGTCAGTTTAAGGCTGTCTGCGCCATCTGTGGAAAAGAGTTCCTGCGTCCATACATGAAGAAGACCCATATATGTCCTGGTCGATATGCCAAACGTAGTAATTCCTAGACCGAGGAAGCTCACAAGGCGTCTATATCCATGTTTATTGTATATCGTTCGATTTTCACCTACATTCTCAACACCATCATTTTCCCGCTTCATTTTGAAAAGCAATTCAATCCTCTCTGAGATCTCTGATGAACACACCTTATTGGACCAGTTGCACGATTTCGACGTCCTGCTACAAGTTCCTGAAAGGCTGAGCCAGATTTCGCATGATTGACACTGGGCTTGCATGTGACACTGATTCATGTTCTTGGGCCTGGGATATAACACACTCGTGCGACGGCATCCACGAAATCACGAAAACACAGCCCAGCACTGGAGCCGGAGAAGGGCAAACAGCACTCGTTGCTCTGGCCAGCGGACCGCATTGGCAGGCGAATTCAATTTGTGCGTCTCGTCGACTCTTCCCAAGCTAGACCTTAGTATCTGATAGACGAGGAAAAGACAGTTGTTCGTTCCGGAATCCGGGGTCAGATTGGCGGAAAAGTTCAAGCCTTTTCAATACTTAGTGACGGTCGTCTGCCAGTGTACGCAAGCGCTGAGCTGACCAACCACAGTCTGGGACCTGCTTCTTTTCTCCACCGCTTAATCTAGTCAGCAATATTCAAGAAGATGGTCGTCAGAAAACATCCAGACCCGTAATCTTCTGGTGTTCACGGTGATCAGAGATCACTGGCTTATTCTAAGGCGTAGTTTGGCGGCATCAATGAGAGGGAATATTCCCAATACAAGCGAGCTGCGTTTCCGCGGATTTTTGCCTGAGTATTTGATTCATGAAGTTGGTAATGACGAGCATGGGCCTACCAGGGCCTACCCCGGATGGCAGGGTCGAAGATGTCGATGAAGGCTGGCCTTGATATCGCCCTTCCGAAGATAGTCCAGACAGACACAGTGTTGTGCAGATTGTTATTACTCGTCTTCAAGAGTTACATAGCCAAAACTGGTCGCACTGCTCGATGTCATCCCCTTCGTTTGTTGCGCATTGCCTAGCTCTTGTCTGCTCTAGCGTCCAGTCTCTGCGCATGTCGAAAAGTAAGTGGACATCAGGCCACCGGTGTTTCAAGCCTCCTTCATGGCACATCTTCTAACTCGGATAAGCGCAGCCTGTTCAATGTTGGTGTCTGTCGCGGATTACTCCAGTGGATCTCCGAGTCTTTTCAAAAGGATTGGCAATATAATTTGAGTATGCAAGCGGAGACTTCGTTCGTTTTCGGCGTTCTTCAAACGCCGATAAAGGGGAAAGATAGGATTTAGAGTGGAGCTTGCGGTAGTCTTGATTATTTGTAAGAGGCAGCAAGCCTCACGCCCAGTCTCTCACCTTGCTTGAGCCAAGCTTGCACCAGCAAATTTTCATAGCTTATCGCCGACCGTGATAATCTTAATCGGCCCATGGGCCATGGTCGAATAAGAAACATGCTCTCATGTGTTAAAATATCTCCAGGGTTGATTTATATCCGATCGGTGACTCCACTTGTCCGACCTCCCAGGTTTTTTCATCAACCTTTCTGTCCAACTTCTCCATGTCGGACAAGCGGGATCTCGAAAGTAATGACTCTACGACGCTAACGAGCTTGAAGAAGTACCTTTTCACGGATATCGATGGAGACAAAGCTACTGCTCCGCTGTCTGCATATTGTTTTATGACTGGTTTTATGTGCGTCTTCCGATATCCTCCGTGCTTCCCAACCACTCACATTCGTCCTCATCTCCAGCGACGCTGTCTGTTTCTCTGCCATCTTCGTATGGTGTGCTTTTCAAACCGGAAACACCGTACAGGTACGATTTGACATTCTTCGTTACTCGGCCCATGATCAAAGTACTCATGTATCTATGTCTAGCTCGGACTCGCCATCGCCCGCCTTTTTAATGGCCAACATGACTACTCTTTCCATATCGCAGATCAACAAGCCCTCTGCTCCCTCATCACGTTCATCTTGGGCGCATCCATCGCCCGCATCGGTGACAAGATGGGTTGCAAAACCCGGGCATGGCTGGCTCTCGGCACTTTCATCCAGACCCTCTTCACCATGGCTGCAGCCATCGCCATCTGGAAGAGCGGGCAGTCGGCCGTTGCGGATTCACGTGATGATCCTGCGTGGACCAATACGCTGTCCTTTGTCTGTGTTGGGTTCATGAGCGCAAGCATGGGTCTTCAAGGAATCATGGGCAAGAGAACGAATACACAGTTTACCACCACGGGTGAGTTTTTTCCACATCATTCGCTTGTTTCTTGACATCCCATACTGAATGTGCCATTCAGTGGTATTGACGACGACTTGGTGTGAGCTGATGGCTGACCCTCAGCTCTTCAACATTCGTCGACTCGTCATCTCCCGCGATCATAAGATCATGGCCATCGGCTCGTTGTTCTTGGGCGGGTTTTTGGGACGTGCATTACTCGACGTAATAGGGTCCGCTGGTACTCTTGGCGTTGGCACGGGCTTGAGGTTTATTGTCAGCATCTGGTGGCTCTTTGTCCCCGGCAAGGCAGCGAAGCAGTGACCGTCAAAGTCCATAACATTTACTGTAAGCAAACATAGATGGGTTGTAGAACTGATACAAGCGTTGTTTTTTTGTAATGATGAGGAACTTCTCTGACGCTTAGTGTCGATGGGAACTTGAACACATCAATATGAGCAGATCTGCAGCTTCACACCTTACAGGTTTGTAATTCTTGCGGGAGATTAATGGTGATATTCACGACCGTCACGGGATTATGTCATCTCTGCATGCAGTCGTACGACTATTAAGCACGCACCTTGTGAAGGTTCAAGAAGTACGTTACGTGGTGATGTGATGGCTGTTCACCCTCGGCTCTTCCCAGAATGTGAGATCTAGATCAATCTGGGAGCATCACATTATATGAAAGACACATGTACCGCAGGGGCCTATGCCTCGAGGTCATGTGCACGAGGAATGAGAACTGCGCGGCAGACAAGTATTCTGCATCGTCCTACCCACGCTACACAACCTCATCGACCATACCCCAATCCAACCATGACGTGGAGCGTCCCATACTGGACGGTGTCGTCGTCCTCAACTGCCAGACCCATCCTCACTACCCAGACCAATTATCAAAACGCTGCCCAAGCGGAGTACCGCACCGAATGGGAGGAAGTATCCCCCGTGTTAGTCGACAGCGACGCAGACGTTGTCAGCCTTGACGGCAGCAGGACGCATGAGGAAATGCAAGTACTGCACCTGTCAAAGCTCCTCGACGAAGCGAAGCAAGAGAACCGCCGTTTTGAGGAGCAGGTGCAATCCCTGCTCAACCAGTCCATGACTGAGACAAGCAGCCTTCAGTCCAAAATCGCGGAGCTGCGGCAGCGAAATAAGGAGGCTCTCGCTGAGTGCGAACGGATGAAAAAGGAGAAAGAAGATGTTGTTGCTGCGCTCACGAAGAAGAACGATGTCATCAAGGCAACGCTGCAGCAGCAAAACCAGGAAATGCGGCAAGCGCTCGAGGACCTGAATCGCTCCAGTGTTCGTGCTCAAGCTGAGCTACTGGATGCAAGGAACAGCATGCTAGTGTGCCGTGAGCAGCTCACGCAAAGCTCCGCCGAACTCGAGTCCTTGCAGAAAGAGAAAACCGCAAGGATGAGTCTGACAGACCGAGTTGCTGTGCTGGAGGCCGAGCTGAAGGCCAAAGATACAGAGCTCGCCCAGATGAAGAAGCTCAGCTCGCAGGCAAAGAGCGCAAACGTCTCCATTGCCCGCGATGACTCGACAACCCTTGTGCAGGAATTCAACAACGTTCGGGCGCTGCTGGCAAACTGTATCCCAGAGCGCCCTGCGAGTACGTTTAGCGCTATGATGTCCTCGAGCAACGAGGTCGTCAGCGCTCTCCGGAAGCTGAACTCCGATATCCATCAAGATGCCACAATTATGGCCGAGTCTATGGCCGAATCCTTCGGGTTTGAGAACGGAAGAGTGAAAGGGAATGAGGAGACAGCGCTATTCCAGCAAGTAGGCACGACCATTGGCGCAGGTTTCGCCCACTTCCTGGGCACCAAGAGTCATACCGAGGATCCTATCCTCATCCAGATCGCTTTCCAGACATATATCGCTCGGTACCTCTGTTGGCTCTCGAACTAGCATGGATTGCTAGCGGAGGTAAGGAAAGGCTTGGTACGGACTGACCAGAGTAACACTAGTAAGTCATACATCTGACGCACAAATGCAACTGTTTACTGACTCATCTAGCAGCCCAGACGATCACCACAGCATGGAGTGCACTATCGCAAATTCTCTCCAAGCATCTCCAGTTCGATGATGTCCAGCTTTGTTCCGCAGCCACATCCAAAATCGTAGCCGGTCTCGCTGACATTTTGCTTGTTGCGGGCTGTGATGGCACTCGGTCCGCAGCTTTGTGATGCCCTGAAGCAAAAGTTCAGCGAGAAGATTTCGCTGCTTGCGAAGTCTGGCATTCGCATCAATAGGCTTATCATCAATAGCATCGACCGGGGCCTTGATGTCGTGGTAATTAAACCAGCCACAGTGTTCGATTCCACGTGCATGGACGATGGGTACGATGACGGCGAACATGACAAGAATGCTGCGAACAACCGTGTCCTGTGCCCTACTGATATCGGGTTGTGGCAGCGTTCCAAGGGACCCATCACCGGAGTGAGGATTCTGTTAAAGCCGAAGATCGCTCTGGAATCTGTGGTGGATAACTTGGACGACTGAGATTGGCCCGTGTTTCGAAATTTCCATGGACGCTGAGTGTGATTCTGTGTACTTCTTCTGTATATTGTGACATACCTACCTCGTGTTTTGAATAATTATCTGTCTGTTTTCATCAACGGGTGAGAAAAGACCCCTGATTGAATGTACTATGGGCGCAAGCGGACATGCTTTCTGAGCAATCAATCTATATCACCGACAGTACGGTTTGATATTCGAAAACGCGGATAACACATGCCCGTGAGAGGTGTATGTTTCGATCATCTGGGTCGTGGGGTTAAATCTGACAACCTGCACAGATGTCCTCCATTCATTCTGAACTTCGCCTCAGATCGACCCAATGTTCGAAAAACATTAATCACAACCATAACCCCATTCCTGCTTTGAGTAATATAATACAAGGTCCTTCCACTGAAACGAACACAGCTTCCACAACCGAGACAAAACACGCAGGGAGTTATAGCCGCCGGTCACAAGACGACACGGCGGGGAGAAAGAGAGTAGGCATTGAGCAGGAAGCACCAGCCCAAATATGCGTCCATACTCCACGGACGAAGAAAGGAGAACAAGGGCAAGGGCCACGATAGAGCGTACGGACGGGACAGGATCTTCACGGCAGACAAGGGCGATATCATACATTCCGCCGTCTCCAACCCCTCCGCGGGCCGTGAGACAAGTAGCCGCTCCACTACAGTCCGGAGTACCAAAGAATGAGATGAGGGCTCCACCACAGGCCGACGCAGGTCCGTCTCGCCCCCTGGATCTCCAGCTGTCTCCTCACTACGCCAACTCAAAGCCTCTCCGATATTGCAAGGCACTGAAGAATCCAGAAGCACAAGACGCCCCAGTTCGTATGGCACAACACACGATTATTCTCAGCAATTTCCAGCCCCGCCACCTTCTGTTACACGCAGCAGCTCTCACATGATTGTACGAGACAATCACAGCGTGGAGATTGAGCAGTTGAGGAAACGACTTGCATCATATAAAAGCAAGAACGAGAAGTTGACTGGCGATACTGAAGAGATTGTCCGGGGCTTTAAGGCCTCCTTACAACAACGAGGACGAAGCGCAATGGCTGCATGATGAGCTGAGCAAGAAAAAATCAGAAAATGATAAATTACGGCAGGAGATGGAGCATCTGAAGGGATCTACCAATATGTCACGCATCGCTCGAAGCTAAGCTCCAAGAGACCGAATCCGCGCTCGCTTCAACAAGGAACGCTCTAGATGCCGCAACGAACCAACTAAAGGCCATATCAGAGCAAAACACACAGCTGCACACCCTCCTCAACGACCGTACCTTCGAGCTGAAAGGCGCACAGAGCTTCTTGACCACAGCTGACGCCTCCTCAGGCGCTGACGTCATTTCCATGCTGCAGAAGCTCAATGCCGAGGTGCTCCAGAGCGCTGCCTACATGGCGGAATCGATGGTGGACACATTTTCATTTGAGTCGGGTGGGGTAAGGAACCAGGATGCCTATGCAGCGGTCACGGGATTGTTCGGGCAGTCACTCGCGCATTATTTGGCCACAAAGAAGCATAAAGACGATCCCCTTCTCATTCAAATCACATTCCAATCGTGCTTCGTCCAATTCCTCGAGTTCGTGGTTTGCTCATGGACCCTGCCTGGCGACGATGTCAACAGAATGCTCCACAGCACATACGAAAGAATGCGACGTAGTGGTGAGTGTAAACAGCATCATCCGATAGTGTGTATGACGACACTTTCGTTCCAGAGGCACAAGCGATTTCGGGGAGGTGGCGGGCGCTCACGAGTGCATACACCCACAATCACGAAGAGAGCCAGCTCATCGCATCGGTTATGCCATACCTCACGGGACATTTCTCCAACGTCATGCTTGCTGCGGGATGCTCCGTAGAACCAGAAATACTTCGCGCATCAGTCGAAAAAAAGTTAAGTGACAGGATCGTACTCCTCTTCAAACTGGCCTTGCAGCTTAACAAGATCATGATGGAGGAGATCACGTCTGCCGACTTGAGAACGGTTACAGTGCCTTTCGAGACCACATATTCTGTGGAGCAGATGGAGGATGCATACGTAGACGGAGACCCGGCTGCTGATGGCGTTCGGGTGCTGTGCACGACGGATCTCGGCCTGAGGCGGATGACCAGGCTGACCACATCAGGAGACAAACAGTGGGACGACAAGCTCTTACTAAGGCCGAAAGTTGCGCTGAAGACAGTGGTTGATAGCATGGATGGGTAAATGGTAGTCTGATTCAAAAGTACACTCTATGCCTCTTCCAACTTGATCTTTTTCGTCACTGTGCATGCTTGTTCGTCCTAGGTTTTGTCATGTAGAGGCTGTATCACATACCTGAATGTCTTCCGTCCATATTTTTCCTCTTGTTTTGCGCTGGGCCTATGTTTAACAGTATGATCGAGGACGAGAGGAGGACACGCACGTGGTGGGTCCGGAACCGGCTTCTGCTCGTCTTCGCTGGCTGTACTCTGCTGATGTAGATCGTTAATTGCACTCGTCAACTCGGCAGGTGGCCGATATACTGAGGTATGCAATGTCACGTAGGCTCGTTAGTAAGATTGGTAATGACGCACGAGGCTTCTGCAGAGAGTCTTGCAGACGCTGAGGGCCGCTCTTGGTGAAAAGCTTGTTATCGAGATTCCGCTCCAGGATTGTATTTTCAACTGCGTCCATATGCACTGCAGATTGCGGATAGGAAGCTGCTAAATGCATCACATTACATTGTGCGCAAATATCACGACGACTGGTTAACGTACAAGGCCCTGGCAGTGGTCCGTTGCTCGATCCAACTTTCTGTTCCTCGTTCTGCTTCTGTATCAAACTGTTGAACGCTTCTATTAGTTGCGGAGATGGGTCGTCTTCTTCCTGCGTCAAATCTCTTTTGACGTGTTCAAGTTTGACGGGCTTGGAGTCACTTTGAGAATCTCGTGGAGATGTTTGCAAGAGTGCCAGAGCGTCTTCCTCTGCAAAGAAGGTTACATGCACCATAGATATGTGAGTGTGAGAGGTGCTAACATACCTTCCTGGTAGGGATCTAGCTTTTTCAGGATTTTCGGGGCTGGGACATGTTCACCTTTGGCTGGAGTTGGCTGATGGCTTTGCCGGTCCGCAGAAGGGCTCTTTGGCTGATTTGTTTGGTTAATGAACATTCCGTGAGCAGGGTGTTGCATAGGGGGCTCGTAAGGTTTGAATGCAGGCTGTAGATATTTAACAAAGGGATAGAGAATTTTAACCACATATAGCTTACAGTGATATTAGCAGGTGCTGCAGGCGGAGGAACGAGAGGTGGATGTGTTTTTTCTAATACAGGGACAGGTATTGGTGTTGGAGCAGGTATTAGTGCTGGTTCAGCTTCTGGGGTAGGTAGCAGCGGTCTAGGCGGTATTGGAAGGACGAGACTGCGAATGGAGCGAGGGGGCTCAGCCCAGCCTGGTTCCGGGTAAGGGGACTTTGCAGGAGGTACAAGCTCTGGAGTAACGTCAGGACATACTTCTGCCCAGTTATCTAAAGGTCTGAATTAGGCGTACAACAAAGTAAAACCGAGACACCTAAACTCACGATTACCGGGGTCACCGTTGTTGCGAAAATTGTATTCAAAGAAACAGGACGCTTTATCATCGTTTGGATTCCCATCCCACTTCTTTGAAATAATTGCATACTTATGCTCCCCAAGAAGTGGCTGAATATCTGTCCCGAGTGGGAGTTGGACAATGACTTCATCTCTCTAGTGCCGTCATTAGATTGTGTTCTCACTCAATTGGCATACTCACTGTCCCCATACTAAATATAAGCTCAACCTGCGCGTGTATATCTTTGTCCTGGAGGATAAGCTGGACCCACGCCGCCAGGTTATTAAAGTCCTGCGAGACGCGACTCCTGGGGACGCGATCCATCCCCCACGGGGTGGTGACGACGACATATTCTGCATTGCGACCTGTGTACGGGGGTCCTGTTTTACTCTTTGCCATCCAGTATTGGTGTTGGTGCCACTTTGAGTAGTAGTCTCCTCCCCTATTGGAGTCCAACACGGATGAACGATGAAAGACAAAGCCGCCGATTGATTACATAATCACCAGTCAACCTTCTGAACCCTGCTGCCACTGCAAGTAAAGGCTTTTGTCCGGTTTGCAGCTTACTGGCCGCAATTGCTTGCGTCGTTACTGAAGGCAGTGAAGCGCGTACAGGCTCGAGTCGTTTTTTGAGCGAAAGATGGCAAGCATTTCGATTGACTCGAGCTACTAGCATGACATCCATGGACCATGTCCCACAGGTATGTCGAGACTCGAAAGGTTCACCAGTGATGCACTGCGTTAATAAACATCGAATAGATCGGTCATGAATACTTTAGAGTAATGAAGAACAAAAGTCAAACGAATAGAATACGTGGTGACACAGTCCTGGAAGTAAGTTAGTCTCCTGACACCTCCGTCTCCCTCTCCATCCCATCTGCGATAGCTTCAAGTGCAACTTTGGGTTTCGCCAGTGTGAACATCTTGTTCTCTGCGCCTTCCCCGTTTCCAACCTTCTCTGACCTCTGCAAACCAAGCGCAGTCGTACACAAAACCACCCCAGATTGCGCCCCGCTCCCCTCGTCGAAGTCCTTCATCGATTCCGTGTCGAACCTCTCTCCAACCGCAGCATGGGTAGGCCAGAGATCTGCTGACGTGACTTCCTCGCCCATGGCTCTGTTAAGCCTTGTTGCCATGCGGACGATGTTCGACACACGTTCGCCGAACTTCATGGTGAACTCGCGATACGCATCGTCGTAGTTCTTGGTGCAACCAGCCGCAATCATCACAACCACGAGGGTATCGCTAATATGCGTAACCATTGTTGAGTGCACGTCCGCTTCTTGCAGAGCAACCTTCTGTGCATGAGATCGAGTCAAAGCGCGCCATCGGCCGCTGACTGCCTGGCTTTCTGTCATGCGCTTTAGTATGTTCACTTCTTTAGATACAAATTGATCCTTACCTGTCTCCCGAATGTCGCCATAGATCTCCGCCAGTGGTTGCTCAGCCTGCAAGCCGTCAAAGTCCCAGGTCATTATGATCCAACGAGAAAACTCGACTGTGGCGGCCTGCAGTGCGATTTGGATCAAGAGAGGGTCTTCCCCGTGCTGTACGGTACCCAGGAGTGACGTCATGGCAGGTCCAATCAGCTCACTGGTTCGCGCACTGGCGTCTTTAATTTCGTCTCTGTGTTCAGGCTTGCGAGCGAAATCGAAGGAGTCCGAGATGAAAGCTGCCGTCTGCATGATCTCTTGGTTGAGTTCGTCTACCAGTCTGATAACTTCCGCTCCTGAGAGCGTGTCGGCTGTGCTCAGGAATGCCTGTGCACCCCGTAGCTCCCGTGTACGGTCGTTAAGAAGGGTGGTTTGATCGTTGAACTTGGTCTGTAGGGCCTGCAGTTCGTTTTTCAGGGCCCTCTTTTCGGTCTCTCGCATCAGTAGCTGCTGCTGGTATGAGCTGAGATCTTGCTGCAGCTTTTGATACGCGTCTTGAAGCTTGGAGCGTTCTTGCTGGACCTTTTCTCTCTCCCTTTGCTCTTGTAGTAACCTGACCTGAATTTCATCGGCCTCCTTGCTAGCTTTTTTCAGAGTGTTCGAGAGCCGGGTATTTTCCGTTTTCAGGCTGCCCTGGTCTTGGGCTGAAACTTGATGCTCCAACTCGAGTTTCTTCAACTTATCCTCTACTGATATGCGCTTCTTCTCCTCCTCTTCCCATTTCTTCTTCCACTCAAGCAGTTGTTCTTCCGCCTTAACGTCGCGGAGGAAACGCAGAGATTTCAGCCAGACAAAGAACGCGCGAGGTCGGCGTAACCACCAACACATGAGGAATGGCAAGCTAGCGCTGGCAAGGGCAATGGGTACAGTGAAGCCTTTAGATGGTAAGAACCCGTAGGTTGACAGGTTCATGGTCGTATTGGTCGCAAGGTAATGAACGTTCACTACATATTGAAGGGCTATGCCATGTGGTAGAAGCATGTTCATTTCCGCCTCGTGTCCGGTACGACGCCCATTAAGGCGGCGTCGGAGCCACGCCGCGGTAGCGTTCCAATTCACCTCACAGAACACACTGCGGACCGCGTGTAGGCGTGTCGGTAGTCATTTTGTCTTCACATCAGTCCCTTAGTTATGCTGTGGTCCGTCACAGCGGCATGCTGCTACACCCTGGGCCGCGGTGTGTTATCCACCAATTTAGACGGCATTAATATTATTCATGGTGCATGATAATCCGGGCGTATTATTGGCGTATTACGTCCATTGTACACCGCTGATATGGTCTTGTGATATAGTCATCCTTCATCAGATCTTGATTTGTATGGTTGCGGTGTCATTTAAAACGTGTCTCATGAGCATCTTCCTGCTGCGTAGGTTAGCTGGAACGAATACATTCTGTGACATCAATCACCGCAGTAAGTCCATCAATTCGTGGAGTTTTGCACTGACAAATTCCACACAGAAGTCGCTACATTCCTTACCCGAGCGGGGCGTAAGTAGTTTGTGCATCACTGAAGCACCTATCTGCTCAGGCTTGTGGGGTGGCCTCGAGGCATCCATCGTCCGTTCATTTCTTGGTCTGACACTATTTCTATCTAGAACACTCAGGAACTTCCCGTATCAGGGTTAGTTGTCCAGGCCAAATGGCATCTGCAGATCACTCGCACCAGACCTCAAGACTGACACGAACAGTACACCCCCGCTACCCCTATATTAGATTATCATCCGTTGAACGTTGTAGGTGAGATCGTGAAAGTCGTGAACGGATAAGCATCCACGCGGCCTCTGCCATGAGGTATAAGACGGTGTGAGCAACGTACGACATCCATCCAGTCACGCAAGAAATGCTTCCCCGTCAGCCGTATCGTGGATCAGTCCGCAAATTGGTCCTTGCCTTCGACGTAGGCACTACATACAGTGCAATTTCCTACTGTATACTTGATCCTGGAGAGGTTCCAAAGATCGAGCCTGTCACTAGGTCAGTTGTCTTAATACAACATACCTGCTTTATTGCCAATCATTACGAATATTAGATATCCAGCTCAAGAGCACAGCGGAGGGAATTCGAAAATACCCTCTATACTCTACTACGATTCAAATGGAACTGTCCGTGCTATCGGCGCTGAAGCCCGACAGGAGCACATTGTCGAAAGGGCTGAAGAAGAAGGATGGACGAAACTTGAATGGTTTGTTTCGCAAATAATGGAGTTTGTATTTACTTAACTGACCATGCTAAACATTTAGGTGGAAATTGCACCTTCGAACCAGGAATTTGGCCGCCAACCATATCACCGACGATGACATCCCACCACTTCCACGAGGCAAAAATGCCGTTGAGGTTCTTGGCGACTTCATGCAATACCTCTTTCGTTGTGCACGCAGCTATATCGAGGAGGCTCATCCAAGCGGATCTCATCTTTGGCGGTCACTCGAAAACCGCATTGAATTTGTCCTTACGCATCCAAACGGCTGGGAGGGCCCGCAGCAGAAACAGATCAGGCTAGCTGCCGCCCTTGGCGGTCTCATTCCCAGCACAGAAGATGGCATGGCACGTGTCCATTTGCTGACCGAAGGAGAAGCGAGTTTGCATTACTGTGTCGCTAATATTCTGGCCTCAGATGCATTGTCGAAGACACCGATACTTGCATCAGAAGATGTCGAAGATGATGACAGCTCGCCAGGCCAAGGTGTTGTCGTCATCGATGCAGGAGGAGGGACACTCGATCTTAGTGCCTACTCGATGACTTTATCCCCGACGCTGATCGAGGAGATTGCTGCAGCTGAATGTAAGTGACATGCGATTGTTGGAACCATGTCTCAAACTCCACTTCTTAGGTCGACTCCAGGGTTCTGTATTTGTGACTCGTCGTGCTCACGGTCTTCTTCAAGGTTTGCCAGCATGTTCGTGTTAGCCATGCTGTGTCCTTGTTGATTTGACTTGACAGAAAAACTATCCGGCAGTCGTTTCGGCACACCGGATGTAGTCCAACAAATGACAGACATCTTCGACAGCACCACCAAGCTTAGGTTCCGCAACCCGGAAGACCCGTCGTACATCAAGTTTGGTACCGTCCGCGACAAAGATCCTCAACACGATATTCGCAACGGTCAGCTTAAATTGAGTGGGTAAGTCTTGTAGTGTAGTCTTTTGCAACTTTCATCTCTAACATGTTGCTACTAAAAAGACAAGACGTAGCGAAACTCTTTGAACCATCCATCAGCGGCATCATCGAAGCTTTCGAAAATCAAAGAAAGGCTGCAGGAACTCCGATCACAGTAAGTTGACATTACTGCGCTTGAACGGAAAGTGCGCTGACCGGCGTGTCACCTGAAGTTTGTATTTTTCGTCGGAGGCTTTGCTGCAAGCGACTGGATGTTCGCCAAGTTGCAAGCGTACTTCCAGTCGCTTGGTATTAGCTTCAGTCGACCAGACAACCATTGGTGAGCGCCAACAACTGACAAAATCGTCGTGCTGCACTCACGGGTGCTGCTTAGCAATAAAGCTGTTGCAGACGGTGCTGTGTCATATTTCATTGATCATCTTGTGTCGTCCCGTGTGTCCCGTTTCACATATGGCACCGAGTGCAGCGTCCCATTCAACCCATTCGATATGGAGCATCGGGCCAGGCAAAAGGAAGTTTTCCGAAGCGCCTCGGGAATCCTTGCTCTGCCTCGTGCATTTTCATCCATACTGACCAAGGTAGTTCTTTTGACTTGCTTTGGAAGGTCAATTGCTTAAGCGCAGCAGGGAACACGGGTCTCTGAGCAGCAAGAGTTCAGTGAGACATTCGCTATCCGACGGTATAATCAGGCCGCATGTAACCAAGTCGAAGTCGGCATCATGTCGTACAGGGGCTTCCTCCTCAAACCGGATTGGATGGATATAGAGCGAAGTAGTCATACACATTGTTGCCAATCACACTGATGTTTACCGGATTAACCAGGTTTATTCTCAACGTTATGCACCGTCCGCGCAGACACATCAAAAATTGCCGAGAAACTCACACCCAAGCGCTCCGCCGAAGGTTCCACGTATTATGCGATGGAGATCAAAGTCATTCTTCTCCTCGGGTTGACAGAATTGAAGGCTGTGATCAGCTGGGAAGACGGGGTAAGTCATTAGTTTCCTGATAACATTGCTAGTCTAACCTGTGCGTCTCAGGGAGAGGAAATACGGTAATTTCACATCCTGACATCTTCGTTTCATAATTCTGATTGCATTCACAGAACTCCAGCAGTAGTAGTTTACGACGATGAGCAGGAAGAAGCCTAGTCGTTTTGCAGAGCCACCTCACTCTCGTGCTATGCGGTAAGTCCGCAGCATCCTGTGGCTTCGAGGTTGTAATTGTACGCTCCTATCTATGGGTTTACTTTCGAATTGCCAAACATGTCATTTATTTCACCTTTTGCACAATACGATATACCTTTTCTGAGACTCATGAGGGCTATGTTAGAAGTACTCCAATGTCACAGTTTCCTGTGTGCCCACAGACGGCGCTGATCAAACCTTGAATCATCGTGCATGCCACAAAACATGTGCTAATTCATTGATGAGGGAACGAGGGTCACGCCGCCTCGTGTAGCCCATTGAGGATTGTTTATAACAGATGTAACCTATATGCCGTATCTTACACAACTAAACATGCCACCTCGACAAGCATTCACTGGCTCATGTCGCAAACTTGTCTTCGCGTTTGATGTCGGGACGACATTCAGTGGTATCTCTTACTGCTTCCTCGACCCTGGACAAGTTCCTGTCATCCAAGGCGTAAATAGGTACGATGTCGTTTCAAAGGGTTGCAACATTGGTAACTTACTTGCTCGGATACAGATTCCCAGCCCAAGAACACGTCGGAGGGGACTGCAAAATACCGTCCATCATATGCTACGACCCAGATGGCGCTGTGCGCGCCGTAGGTGCCGAAGCAATGCAAGAATATATCGAAGAGGAAGTTGAGGAAAACGGATGGGTGAAGCTGGAATGGTTGGTTTCCACAATCCACCAGCCCTCACATAGTTTACTAACCGTCATTCGCACAAAGGTGGAAGCTTCATCTTCGTCCTAGAACGATGGCGTCCTCTCATATCACAGACCAAGACATCCCGGCCCTCCCGCGGAACAAGACTGCCATCCAAGTCCTCGCCGACTTCATGCACTACCTGCACCAGTGCGCCAAGAAGTACATTAAGGAATCCCAGGCAAACGGCGAGGATATGCTGCGCTCTGTCGAGCACACGACTGAGTTTGTCCTCAGCCACCCGAATGGATGGGAGGGGCCGCAGCAGACGCAGATCCGCAATGCAGCGGTCATGGCGGGGCTCGTACCTGATACGCCAGAGGGCCGGTCAAGGATCTATCTCGTCACGGAGGGCGAGGCAAGTCTTCACTATTGCCTTGGTAGTGGTCTCGCCGCCGACGGGTTTCAAGTGAGGTTTGAGATGGCTATCTAGGCAAGAAGCTCACCAGAATTTTCAGGACGACGAGGGCGTGGTTATTGTCGACGCTGGTGGAGGAACGATCGACGTCAGTGCATATCACATGGCAACAGCGCCATCCTTCGAGGAGATCGCACCTGCAGAGTGTAAGTCTGATCAACGTAACTCTGCATGTGATTATTCTGACAGAATTTGCTAGGCCGCTTGCAAGGATCCATCTTCGTAAGCCGTAGGGCTAAGGCAATGCTCCGAGGTACTCTTTTAAGGCTTTCTTGAGGTCTACATGTTTGCTTACGGGCTGCAGAGAAACTCCGTGGATCACAGTTCGGAGGCGACGATATGGTTTCTCATATGGCCGCGATTTTCGACTCAACAACAAAGCAACGTTTCGGCAACGAGAACGACCCAGCATACATCAAATTTGGTACCACCAAGGACAAGGACCCTAGTTTCAACATCAGGTCCGGGCAGTTGAAGTTAATGGGGTCAGGATACCAATTGCCCGTCAATTCAAATATTCTCATTTCCGCTCAGATCCGATGTAGCAACGTTATTCGAGCCGTCTGCATTGGCTATAATCGAAGCTATTGAGGAGCAGCGCCATGTTGCAACCAAAACCATCAGAGTCAGATCTTTTTTCCTTTGCCTGTTCCACTTAACTGAACAAACCGCAGACCGTTTTCCTCGTCGGCGGTTTCGCAGCTAGTGAATGGCTTTTCACGAGGCTGCAAAACCATCTAAGACCATTGGGGCTCGATTTTTGTCGGCCTGACAGTCACACGTGCGTAGTCCTATTCCAGAAGGAAACGAACCAAGGTGATCAGTGAGTTGAACTATCTATAGGGCTAAGGCGGTCGCGGATGGCGCCGTAGCGTTTTTCCTGGATCATCGCGTCTCTGCACGTGTTGCCAAGTTTACGTATGGTACACGCTGTGCGACACAATTCGATAGGAACGATCCTCAACACAAGCTGCGTGCCAGTATGGCCGTCCCACGCCCATCAGGCAGGACAGTCCTGCCTAATGCATTCAGCGCAATTCTGACCAAGGTGACGACTTGTTATTACATGTTATGCATAGGAGGAATCACTAATACGCACATTGCAGGGCACGGCTGTATCTGAGACGAAAGAGTTTAGCAAGAACTTCATTACGGAGGTAGTAGACCGCTCTGCATGCGATATGATTACCACGGAGATAGTGTGTTACAGGGGTGACAGCCCCAATCCACGATGGACAGACTCGGAACCAGGTGCGTGCGGATAACTTCCAAATGCCGCGCATCGCTGATCTTCAGGGGGCCCAGGCATGTTCTCGACCTTGTGCAATGTACACGCGGATACCTCGAAAGTAGCACGCACCATCAGCCCGCGACGGGGTTATGCTGGGCTGCAGTTCTTTCGCCAGGAGTTCAGTATCGTCCTCATGTTTGGCCTGACGGAGCTGCAGGCGCAACTTTCCTGGAAAGAAGATGTAAGTGCCTCCCGTGATCTTGCGCCAAGATGGGTGATATTGATGCATGCGCGACGTTTAGGGGGTTGAACGAAGGTAAGGAACATACCCCTCTGACCTGTGACATTAATTGCACGGATATTGAATAGGTCACCAGCCACGGTTGTATTCGACCAAGTGGTCGAGGCCGCCTAGACTTAAGTGCTGCAAGCCATCCGATGAGGGACCATTTGAGTCGCATGCCAGATGTTCGTGTATTCGAGGGGTCATTGTAATAGTAACATTTCATTCGCATCTTGTACGTCTGTTCCAAATGTATTTTGACCTTACGCTCCTGTGAACTCTGTGAGAAATTCTAAGGAGTCATCAGTAGTGCATTCCGTGATCGAAAGCCTTCAACTCACCTCGAGTCAACTCAAACGCCGCAAATGTGCTCGCTCCAGCGGGTATGCTGGTGAAGTTGTGAGTATTTCGAGACGTGTAAAAACAAGAACACCCTAACGTTCTTAGCACTGATGTGGCGCATGAATCATCATTATGAGTCCTGCGATGTGCATATCAAACAATTAGTTTCACTTACACGATGGCGACAGACCGCGGAAAAGCCCCGTTCTAGCAGCGTGCGTGTTGGTCAAAAGAATGTGAATACCAGTAGGGGGCAGTCTTACATTCCTGATTCAGCGATAACCATCCTGATTTCATTGGTCATATATTTCCAGGGCTTGCCAGTTGGTGGAGTCTGGCGCAACTGAATGCGAGACTTGATCACGTCTACCGAAAGATTAGTGTAAGTAAGACCCTCATTGACTGCGTTCCGTAACTTGCCTAATGGGTAACAGGATAGCCAGTATGCAATCTGCAAAACATCAGAATATTATAAAGCAATCGGGTCGTATGACATACTCCGCCAGTCGAACCACTAGCAAGAAGGGCCCAAACAGGGACTTTGTCCCCGTACTTACTCTGAAACTTCCGCTTCGAAAACTCAAACGCTACATGAAGTTAGACAAGGAGGTGTTTGTGAGCGCCAACAACGTTACCTGTGTAAAATCTGGATTACCCTCTCAATATCAGAACCCCCTACCAGTATAAATGAGGATGACATACCCCGCATATGCTGGTATCTCTCTCGCAAATGTAACCTGAAACGTTGTTCAGCCAAATTTCCGCAAGAACGCGATATTTGCGAATACCCAGTAGCCTCTCATGATACCGTTCCGAAAGCCCCAGTCTCTCCACATCTCCTTTGCGACATCTCTCAGTTTCTTATCGGTGGCAGCACCATATTGGCCTTGCATGCGAACTTTAAACATCTCGACTGGATGACAGAGTGTTAAAGTGATTGAATTGCGAAAATCAATGGTGCAACAGACCTGGACTGGCAAGAATAGCATTTGCAGCTCCAGCCATTGCCCCTGCGATGGCGATCTCCTTCAGGGACAACTGTGGGAATGGTGAAACGATGCGCTTAGAGTACACGTATGACGCAAACAGCAAAGAGTTGACTCCGGCGATTCCGAGAAGGGGGCTGGCCATCCCTGAAGCAGGATAAGTTTTCGGAATGATGCAACACATCATGTCTAATGTCAACCTTTGTACAGCGCGAAGAAACCTTCCTTTCGAACAGTTTGTGTAAGAACATCCATAGGTCCTTTCTAAGCTGGCCGTGAGCCATCTAACTCTGAACCTATATATTCACGTACAAACATTCCCTCTGCAAATTATGGTTCAGTATTTGACATTTGATCATGGACGGTTAACTGACTCGGAGCAATCTGTGCGCGTGTCTTGACGGTATCGAGTGGCTGGCCTACAAGGACTTGAGCTGCGCCGCCGAAGCTGCCAGCGACCAAATCATTTACGGTTGAGAGGTATGGCATATTTGGATAATCGGTCTGGACTCTAGAGACAATGGAGGACGACAGAAGACTAGTAATTTATGTACATAATCATATTGGAAAGTTGAGAAGACGTGCCAGACTGACGTGATTTTAGCGGTGGTTGGGTCTGCAAAATCACACGCTGATAAGCCTCCTACTACGACGTAGTTTGCAAGCTATGAGTGCATCTGCTGCAAAAGCATCTACGAAAAAAGTAAGTCTCCCACTGCAGCCTTTTTTCGCGATCTCAATTTTTGTAGCAGATATTTCTAAAGGGCAAAAAAACAGAGCAAGGTCCACCCCTTAAACGGCGCAAGCTCGACCGATCACAGCTGAGCTCTGGATCTCCAGCCCGTTCACAAGACACGTCTACTTCCGCGTTTCCAAGAGGAAATTCAACTACAGTCATTGATCCTGAACTCGCAGTCGACTTCACGACCCAAGAAACTAAAAATGGCGAGTCCTTTGCGACACTGCGCAAGATGATTTTCGGACGACTAGAGTATACGTCTACCCAGACAGAGTTGGTCATTTTTATCCAAACAGGGAGCCAATACGGAATCTTATTTTGACGGCCAGTCCAGGAAAATACCTCGCAATCGATTGCGAGATGGTGGGCGTGGGCATCGACGGCGAGGAGTCGTCGCTTGCACGCGTTAGTATTGTTAATTATTGGGGCGCAGTGCAGCTGGATGAGTTCGTGAAGCAGAAGGAACGTGTTGTAGATTATCGGACCAAGTGGAGTGGGATACGCCCCTCGGATATGGTCAGAGGTAGGTAGGTTTTACTTTCTGCATCCTGTGGTTGAGCTAATACTACATCTAGCTAAGCAATTTGAGGAGGTGCAGAAAACAGTTGCGGCTTTGACCAAGGATCGCATTATAGTGGGACACGCTGTGCATAATGATCTCAAAGTTGGTTTTAATATCTGTATCCTCATTCCTGTAGCTCACTCATAACCTGTTATAAGGTTCTATTACTATCGCACCCGGGTCCATGTATACGGGACACACAACACTTGGCGGCAAAACACAACGTAACCAGTAGCAAACGTCCTGCGCTTCGTAACCTCGTAAAACAAGAACTCGATGTTGTCATCCAGGGAGGGGAGCACTCCAGTGTAAGTCTCCTATTGCCCTAGTCCCTGCCTAATTTTTCATCATGACACTCGGGCAGGTCACAGATGCTAGGGCGACGATGGCCGTGTTCCGGCTACACCGAAAAGAGTGGGAAAAGGGATTCAGACCGTTGCCTACACCTGGGGCTGGTGCATCAAATAAACGGAAACGTGTCGAGAGTAGTGAGCCATCTGCACCCACCCCATCAGGTAGAGGGAGGAAGGGCGTCAGTTCTGGACTTTCTACAATAGTAAAACGGACACCGCAGACGAAATCGAAAACTGCAGTCAAGACTACTAGTAATAATTGGTGGGCCACCCTAGGTGCCAGCGGCATCGCAGGGAAGGGTTCCATGAAGCTGTAACATTATCGTATATCGTCTTAATTATTATCTACCACACAGGTTTCCCATGTCGAATATTGGTGGCTCGCTGCTTGAAATTGACGAGCAGTTTATTAGACAATATCAGTGGGCGCAGTGCCACTGCACCCTATACTTGTCTCTCCAAGTTGTGAGTGCCGAGAGCTGAGTGAATGAGAAAAAGAGCGCCGAAAGCTGATTGGTTCACTGTCTTTCCTTGGTCTAAAGCTCATGATGCCAGCGACGACACTGACATCAATCCATTTTCTTCGAACGACTCACCTGGTCGAGTATGACTGAGCAATCATGACGTTCTCTGCAGGACAAATTCCAGTACGCTCACTCGCCTATTACGCCTTATCCTTCGACCGGTAACAAAGTCTTAAACATGTCCATTGGGTGCCTAGAAGTGTAAGTGTACAGGAAGATCGAAAGTCAATTGCAAGCATGTACACATAAATAATGTCAGTCACATCATTCCTCTCATCCACTTCATCCTTATCATCCACTTCATCCCTATCATCCACTTCGTCCCTCTCATCCACTTCATTCCTCTCATCAGCTGCATAACCCGCACGCCCGAGCCTTCGCCGAACATCCCAAAAGTGTACATGAGAACAGGACACTTTGAACCTGAACATCATCCGACTGAATACACTTCTCTCCAGGACTAATGTCGGTAAAGGGCTTTATCATCCGGGGGAAGTATGAATCACGGTGATCCATCCGTAGCGAAGCAGACAACTTCAGCATCTCTGTGTGCAAGTTCATTCGTTCTTGTTCCGGTAAACTGAACGTTGAATGGGGGTTTGATACGCGGGAGGGCCGGTAGGAAGGTTTCAAGGCTCTTGAGAGAAGCCAATGGAGTATTCGCCATCCACGGAAGCGGAGTGGGTGTTCCAGGGTGGGGAGGGTCCGTGGTCGACATTCATATCTGCGCAGGAGTCCTAGGGATGTTCCGGGCAGTCTATAAGAAGATCTAGACTTGACCAGTCGAGCGCCAGTGATGGTGCAGAGAAAAGGACATGAGGCAGGCAGATGCGTACTCAAAATGAAGGTTGTTGTTTTCTTCCTGAGTGTATGCTTTCTGCATACGTAGAACATGCACGAACGCTCTGGTGTTGCGGAATTGCGGTAGTGTAAAGCTGGTTGCAAATACTCAGCTAGAGTACGAGTTCGCAGGGGAATGCGAGCGATCAGGGGAGTAGATATGAGAGCGTGCAAATACGGAGCTTGTTCGGTGCGGAAAACTGTAAATGAGGACTTGGGTCAAGATCTGATGATATCACAGATGATATGTGCCATCTTTTATACAGTAGATGGGTGACAAAGGGAAAAAGTAAGACGACACAGAATTGTCACGGTAACCGAGTGAAAGAGACATAAAGGCGAAAGTACGAGAAGGGGAAATGACAAAATCTTAGGAACAAAGGGAGTGATGTCAAAGTTTAAATGCACGAGGGGATGTATTCGCGTGTCTCAAATGCGAACAGGATAATCTCTTTGCAACGACGAGACACGCGGAACGGCTTGCGCCTTAGCTTCGATCGTAAGTATCAGCTCGGTGCGCAAAGGATATATAGGGGATCCTTACAAGGAAGATGGTGCGCAGGAATGCGGGAAGCACAGCACACCCAATGATATGATGGGATTTATGTCACACAAAAAGTAAGGGAAATGGTGAATGATTGAGTATCTGAGCTCACTGTCGAGGACAGCGAACTCGAGAGTTGTATCGTCGTGCGGTGTTACAAAAATGAGGAGTCGTGTTAGTTTTGAGCCGCCATGGGCGACCCGTCATCGTTAATAATTTGGCAGCATGTATATCTGTCAGCGAAAAATACAGCTCGATAGGTGTGCAATGGTGCATTGCATCACGGACGGTGATTGCTGCGATAGTACCATTCATGATAGTATGGTGGATGAGGTAAATATAGTTTCCATCCATGATTCAACCCCATTACTCACTCTTTGCGCCCTGTCATGCCAATAGATTAAAGGTAGTACAAAATGGTGTGGTGCTCCAATATAGACTGCCTACCGATCGGCTGGTCATTGAGTACACTCTGAGATTAGCAAATGCAACAATGCCGGTTCCTAGGAATCACTGTATTCCTTCGTCTGTATGTCCAGTTTGGAGACTAGCCGATTCCTGGTTCCCAGGAGGAACAAGTCTCCCTGCTAGGCCACTCAACTAAGTAAGACCAAGTAGCGGTGGATAATTAAACGGAAATGAGACAGTACGACCCAACTAATACTCAGCGAAGGAGCAGCTCCAATATGCTAGTGAAGGTGCATAAACTCCTCGAGGGGCCCGCCGGCAGTGCATAAGCTGGGAGAAGTATAGCCTCGTTTAAGCGACCTTGGAAGAGCTGATGCGGCCAATCGAGAGAGAAGTTATCATGGTCGTTGGAGAAGTTTGACTCCGGAGCTCGACATCCAGCTGCACGTATTCGTCTGTTGGAGCGGTAAGGTATGGAAGACACTTTGATTCAGCACAGCGGTTTTGCTGCTAGTCATATGTGAGACCGAAGGAAAATGTTCTTCGGCCTCAATATGACTGGCAGCACCGGGCTTCATGCACATAAGCAAATCATTGATCCAGTATGACCCAATAGTCAAATGTATGGATTCTAAAGTGTATCGAGCAACATGTCTTGTTGAAGATATGCAGGGTATGGATCAACTTAGACTTGTACTGAGCGTCAAATCTAGCCTGAGAGTCTCTGAGAGTATCATCAACGCCGAGGCGGAAGACCAAATTGGGAACCCTAGATTTTTTTGATTTCCCATCCTTCTCTGCAGACAAAGTCCATCCGAGTCAAGTACATGTTGACGGTTGCCTAATAGTACTTATCCTACGACAAGACAATGGGACTGGCCGGCAGAAAGGAAAAACAACGCATTCCAAATGACCCACGAAACTTATCCTGGGCAGATGGCAAGTCACTACTTTACTTCCGAGCACCATTCTCACCTCTCCATAGATGCAGCTCGCTTCGGCCAGTCTTACATGTCCAAGCTCGGCTGGGACCCCTCAAAAGGTCTAGGCGCCTCGGGCGATGGCATGAAATCGCATCTTAAGGTCTCCCAAAAGCTTGATATGCTTGGGATTGGCGCCGCTCATCAGAAAGACCCGCATGGTATCGCGTGGAAACAGAATAAGGAATTTGAGGCTTTGCTGCAGAGGCTTAATGCGCAGGATGGTCAGGGTTCTCCTTCTAAGCATGTGCTAGGAGAATTTGTTCGGCCTGAGCACCCTTCAGCGGACGCACACCCCGAGGAGGACAAGGAACCGAACCAATCATCGAAGAAAGAGAAGAAGCGTAAGCGAAAGGAAGGGGAACATGCCGTGGATGGAAAAGATAAGAAGAAACGGAAGAAAGACAGGCGCCAGGATGAAGATGTCGAAGATTCAGCTGCAGCGGATTCATCAGAATCCGTTTCTCCGCATCTCGATTCTCCTGCCCCTTCTCCAAATACCGCGTCACCCATGCTTCAAACAAGGCCAAAAGGACGCCCTATGGCGTGCGTATATTTCTGATAACTACAACTTCTGATGCTGACTACTCTTCCAGCCACCGTGCTCGCATACAAGCTGCTAAACGCCTTGCCAATAAATCAGCAACTGCCATCTCTGAAATCCTGGGGATCGTACCGACTCCTTCATCTGTTTCCTCTGCAACCCCCTCTGGTTCTCTGACCCCAATCACACCCGCAGACAGCGACCTCCCCCTCGAGAAGCTCACAACCTCGTCTAAGAGTGTCGCAGACTATTTTAAGGAAAAACTTGGCGCAAAATCTGGTTCCAATACCCCAGCTGCAAATGACGATGACAGTACTTCTCGAGGAGGAATTGGCTCTAGTACCCCTTCACGAGACGACGTAGACCAACCGCGAATTGGGCTCGGTGCAGGTCGCAGTTTTGGAGAAGGTGGCTCTTCGAACGTGTTCGCCCAGTTCTTCAATACATCCTCCTCATCACATGCCACTGTTGTTCAAATGGCATCTTCTGCTATACAGGCTATAATTCAACCTCCCGAACCGACAACGACGTCTTCCACAGATAATTCCAGGGATGAAGAGATGACCGAGAAACAGCGACGCAAAGCACAGAGAAAAGAAGAAAGGAAGAAACGGGACGCAGAGGTAGTTGATGTGCCTACGGGAGTAGGAATCGAGATGCCTGGCGACGATGCTAAGGCGGAAAAGAAGAAACGGAAAGAGGAGCGGCGAGCGAAAGCGAAGGGTGCGGAACCATATGATCTTGCTCCATCGGTTGTTGTGGAAGAATCCAAAGAAGGCTTAGAGTCTGAGAGGAAGAGGCGGAAAGATGACAGGAAGAAAAAGAAAGTAAAGTCTGATAATCAAGCAACAGCAGAGGAAGGTGAAAATCGGTCCAAAAAATCTAAAAAGCGTACAGAACCAGTCAATGACAATTCATGACCTCTCGATAGTCGCTATTATACCGTCTAGATCTCATATACCATTACCATCGACCAGTATTACATTATCAAATTTGTATGTAAGGAACACAGAAAGCAAGGTCCACTGTCCGCTATCAATGAATATAGAAAGGTCCAACATCCCCTCGTTCTATGATTACCTCTCAAACACTTTAAACCCACCCTTGAACTCGTCCGGACTCCCGCTTGAGTCGTCGCAGTGCAACTTCAAGGCGTTCACAACCTCCGGAATAACATCCTTATCAACGTCCTTTCCCCAAAGGATGTCCAAATGTTCATATCCATTCAGACGCGTGACAGTCGTATGGTCCGGGAGTTCTTTAAGCATCGTCTGTATGTCAACAAGGCTATCCCTGTCCCCATACAAAAGCACGATTGGCGTGACGATATTCTTGGTCGGGAACCTCGCAGGTCGGTACGCACGTCCCACCAGGAGAGCCAAATGCACTGACATCATCGTCATACATCTGGAATGCACCCTCGCGCATGATCTGGAACCAGTGCACGACGGACTTGACAGACGCTAATGAATAGAGATGGGCATATGCGGCGATCTTCTGGAGATATGGAATGTTCTGACTATCCCAGTTGAAGAGGAAATGCATGGAGGTGTCGATGACGCTTGTGAAGATGGGTGGGTATAGGATGGCTTGCCATGTCGTTGTAGAAGACAGAATAGCTCTGCGTCCGAAGAATAAATACATTAATGTTGGGCTGTGATATGCGAGTGTTAAGGACAGACGGTAGTAGTCAGGCAATGTACTCACGAAGCCTTCATGAGGCCATCGACAAGAGGAGCCGCCAATCCTACGGGACTCATAGCAGGGGCAAGTGCAATAAAGACGTTCACCTTGTCATTCAACTGCGGATGAATGCTAAGTGCGGCGAATGCCTGTGCAGTACCCTGGCTGAAACCAACATAGCTCAAGCTGCTCGATTTCGTGATATCCAGGATATACTGAATGGAATCAGGAATATCATGCCAGGCAAAGTCGTCGAGGCTGTAGTTCCAAAACTTGACTGAATTCGGGTCATGATGAACCGATTTCTTGGAGTACTTGTTCCCTCGGTTATTGCCCATCCATACGTCAAAGCCTGCCATTAACTCCTCAGTATCACGTAGCATAATTATAATAATGATACGCACCTTGCTCAGCAAGGACAAATGGCAAGCACCTCTCAGCGTTTGTTAAACAAATCCATACTTCACTGTTCATGAGTAACCCATGATGCAAATACACCACCGGTTTTCCCGTGCTCGTCCCAGGACTTTGCTTCCTCTGCCCCCTCTTCGTCGGGAGCCTATGCAAACCCAATAAATATCCATCATTTGTCAAAACGACATGTTCCTCATGCGTGTAACCCCAATACTGACATAGCTCTCCGAAATCCTTTGCCTTCCGTATAGTGTCAGCAACATCTTCGGCTTTGGACTTGCCTTTTGCAGGGTTCACAGAGAAACGGTGAAAGAGGGTGCGTGAGTGGTTGTGGAACCACTGGATAATAGGAACGGGGAGGAACTTGATGATGAAACTGATAGCAGTCTCGAAGACTAGAAAGAAGAAGCCCCCAACGAGAGCTGCGTATTCGTGCCCCTTGAGGCGTCCAATGAGAGGAACAACCATAAGTGAATGACTGCTCAGTCCGAGCACGAACTATCCTTGCTCCGTAACGAAAAAAAATCAGTGTAGTTGGGCGATAATAATACGTGTCTAATAAACGACAACTCAAGTGGAGAATAGTTATGAGCATACAATGAGCATAACAAGTTCCGATATAAACACCGAGCTAGGCACCAGTCGAAACGAAAAACGGTTAATATTGTACTGGGGGTCGGCGTTGCCGACTTAATACCTTGCGGAGCATTTTTTTCCGGGGATAACTCAGTTCGCACTCTGTCCAAAATCTGAAAAAGTAAGTGTTGGTGGACTCGTTTGTATAAAATTCGTGGTAACAATTGTCACATAGGCTCGCTACTGCTTCGTACGCGTACATGTCCGTAATATGTATTGCTGTTTCGTTGACTGATGATATCTGTATGGTATTCTGGACATTATCTGTTAGGAGTCCTTGTAGACGTAATTGTTTGGGACCAATAAATCACGTGCATGTTTAGTACCACATGTAATCAACAAGGCAAAACAAGATCTCGAGTTTGTTGCTATCTCGTTTCTCTGAGTTGTTTCAGCAGACATCTTGTGTTTATATCTTGGAATGTCGATGTATTTCTACTGGTTTCAAGGCGGTAAATTTGATCGGGTTTCAATTGGGAAAAGATTACTCTCGCTTGCCATTACATATCACGCTCCAATGTCCATCGTGATAGACCTTGCTCCGCAAGGTAATAGATCATTGGTACAACAGTAATAGGACGAAATATTAAGCATACAACACACGTCCTTCAAAATTTAAAATAAATCCATCCACAGAGAGACAATATGCAAGCGAGAGTCAGTTTCACATATCCGTGCACCAAATCTCTAGCTTCCCCTCACCCCTCCCCTTCGCATTCGCTCGTACAGTCTCGATGGCAAGTTCAAAATCACCGCCGTCCCTCAGCGTCACTTTCACATCATCTTCATCCTTGAATTTGAGACCCAGACCGTCCATAGTAGTGCTAAACTTGCTTGTCACGCGCTCGACGAATTCTTCGAATGTCGCCTCGGATGTTAGCGTCATTCCACGCACTTCGCCTCGGTAGTGCAACTGTAACGAACGCGATAAACCACTTGAAATCATCAATAATACGATAGAACGGACCTTGACACGGATATTCGCCAAATCATAGGAATCGTCATACTCTTCACTCACATACCCTTCCTCCTCTTCCTCGTACGTTGGCTTCGGCCGCCTCTGCGTCCCTCGTCTGGTTGGTTTCCGACGCATGCTTCCCCCACCGGCGCGAGGAGATATTGACAGCGAGTGGCGCCTCAGAGTTCAAGGACCCCTGGTTGCCTGAGCTCATTGCGTGACGGCATCCGCCGTATCATCGAACCAGTGCTCGAGTCCGTAGACCCTGGACCTGATTGTGCGCTTCCCTGGGGCCACAATGCCACACGATCCAAGCCCATATTGGGTAGCGATCCTTGCAGCGACAGAACGTGTATAATCTTCAGTATAGGAACCAATGTAGTCATCGAGGAAATCTAGTTGTCGAACCGATACTGAAAAAAGTGGTCAATGTAAAATAATCAACAGGCGTTAATAATAACACCTACCCTCTTGGGAAGGAGGAGCGGCACGGAGCACAAATGGGGCCTTTGGTACAGGAAGGCTAGGCTGAAGACTAGATGGCGGCACCTGATATCCATTGTCAGGAAGGGTCTGGGTTTGGTACGGCTGAGGTTGTTGGTACTGATTACGTGCCGGCGGCGGCTGGTCCTGATACAGCTGCTGTGGTGCAAATGGAGGTTGGAAGAGGGCCCCGGGTTGATTGACAAGCTGACTAGGCAGAGGCTCCTTTTTCCTTATAGTTAGTCCCCTCGATGCAGCTACACCTGAAGGGGTTGTGGGACGAATGAGAGTGTTGCTTCGGGAAGGTGGGGCAGAGTTGTTCCTCGTCAAAGGTGACGTGGGTGACAGGGCAAGTGTACCGTCGGTTGGAGAGCGACTTGAAGCAAAGGTGGAAATGTTGATGCGCACAGGTGCAACAGTGTTGCTTCTCGACAAACCTGATGTGGGGGGCAGGGCAAGTGCTATATCAGCAGTAGATGGGAAAGCGGGAGTAGTGGGCCTTGGACCCGCATTCGTCGTTTTAGAGCGCTCCACGCTAGGCCGAACGATGGGTTCAGTACCTGACGGGTAATGAACATCAAGAAATTGGGAGCAGACAAGAATAGAGCGTACGTAGCGGGGGAACAGTTGCACTTCTCTTCAACCCATCGTCGTCCCTTTCTTCATCTCTTTCTTTTGCTTTCTCACGCTCCTCCTTGAGTTTCTTGACGCCAGTGAATTCAGTGAATGCATCCGTGGCGTCTGATGCTGCAACAAGTTTCTGCACAACAATAACTTAGCGACAGCCAATAAATAGACTACGCGGAGACGTACCCGCCTTCCCAAGATAGTCTTTACTTTTGGAATTTTTGAGCTTATTCTCTGACGGGCGGTACAACACGCCAACAGGCTAGAAATGTGCGCCATAAGTATCGTCATGGGAAAATGAGGAGAATGACCCACAATACTAAAGACCGTATATCCCTCTCCGCGATCTCTAATGGCATCGTCGATTACGTCGTGCTCATCGGTCACCTTCAGATTGCGCCCATTCTCCATCTCAGCTAGCCCCTCAGCAGGGTAGCCAAGATAAATATGAGAGAGACCTTTATTGAAGAGCACTTCAGGTGAGAACAGTTTGAATTTGAGGCCGATTTGTTCATAGTTACTGCAGGATAATTAGAACAATAATGCATGTGAGAGTTCACAAAGAACACTGACATGGCTTGGTTTCCACGAAGATAAAGTAGCGCATCGTCAAAGTTTTGCAGAGCAACATCGTATCGGCTCAGCAAAAAGTTAGACACCCCGCATTGAAAGTAGCTGTTCCCGAGAAGTTCCGTCAGCTTAAAATGAAAATGACATAACAGGGAAGAATGTATAACATACGCAATAGCAAGGAACGGATCAAGAGCTGTAGCAGCCATAAACTGCTGGACTGCAGCCTCATGCTCACCGATGGTGGCGTAAATTAAGCCCATGTTTGTGAGGATTTTAGAGGAATCCGCAATGCGCTATTGTAACATAAATTTCAGATGTGGCGATCACTATCAATTGAACGAGGAACGCACCGAAAATGAATCTAGGGCCTTCTCGAAATCCTGCTCATCGTATGCCTTCAAGGCTGCTGCCCATATGTCCAGCTCTGCTTTCAATGATGTGGCCATAGTTATTCCTAGTGTTTCGTGATGATGTGGAGGTACAGGAGGCGTTCCAGACGCAAAGAAATCTATCGAAACAGATGCGCAGCAACGAAGTAACTGGAGGGTTGCGACGGAAGGACAAAGAATGAAAATGAGAAGAAAATGAATATACTATTAGGTTAGTTCTAACCAACGTGGACCGGCCCCGGAAGAAAACAAATAAAAGAAAAAGAAACCGAAAGAAGCTAAGAGCTGACAGCGGTGAACGAAAGAGAAAATGAACGCAGTCGGAGGATTGTTGTACATTTCCGGGGCAATAAATAGGCCCATTGTAGGCAGTGCTCCAAATTTGGTTAAAATAAGCCGGCGGCAGTGTGTAGTCCTACAAGGCACATCACACTGGCTGTCCCGACATAGCTACTTACAGTCGTAGACTCGAAGGCACACTGCACAGGAATCAGCATAGCACAACGTGCTGAGGGGGGACCTCTCGACAGTATATCGCTTGTAGATCCGTGGAGCGGTGGAGGGCCGTCACATTTAGTATCCCCTCCGCAAGGCAGTTGTTCTGATTTAGGGTGATTTCATGCTAAAACCCAGATCTAACCGTTTCCCAGCTCAGGCTCGTGTCTTTATATTAAGTACCACGCCGCGCGGATCCTCATGGCAAGAATGTTAACTTATCACGCATGGACAGATGGTTACAGGTCCAATATTAGTCTTGCTTTCTCGTGATAAGCCTTCGATTTTCTCGCGCATAAAGCTTCTTCCGTTTTCATTACTCACTCGCCTCGTTCAAATCACGCACCTTTGTCAATTGTTTCTACCGCTCTAAAACGCAATCTGGACCTGGCAGACGTGAGCAAAATCTAATTTTATTCTCGTGTTCATTGTCCTTGGCTCAAGTGCTGCTACAGTAGATTGCGAATGCAGATTTTCAAAAATCTCGTCCAACACCGAGGGGGTCCCGGAGCTTGCAATCCCAGCTATTCATCATCACAATCAATGAATATAAAGCTACTATCAGAGCCTCGCTATTCACGATGGTAAATTACACAATCGATGAACTGTCACGCTTCATCATGAAATCAGTATCTGATCTCTCCGTCCAATCGACCTATCAAATTCCGTAGACGTGCTTTTCTTTAAAGTTTACAACCTTGCGGGAATTAGGCCCTTAGGTTGGTACGAGCTGTGCAAGGCCGATGAATGTTTTCCAGCTCAGTCCTTTGCGCGGGCACAACATGTAAGGTTGGGTGATGGTTCCTTCCGGCAAGCTGCATTGACGAACCCACAAGGTCCTACGGTATTGGAGGATACCTGACGGACGATGCACGGCAAGGCACTCGATTTGACGCCCCTGAGTAGTGAGCGCTTGAGCAACGTTCGAAACCAATTGCAATTGGGATATCGCCTAATAGCGTACGGGGATTACGGCAGGCCGCAGAGTAGCGGGCTTTTGTAGGTTCTAGTGCGGGACACATTTTCATCCCACCAAAACATTATTCGTCCGACGCACGTTCTGTATACTGTGCATCATTCAAAGTCGAAAAATTATTCTAGTCATATACTAAGTGGGTATGATTTACAGTAGGACTCATGATAATCCCTTCGAACTGGCATACCACCCCTCCACAGATGTTCGGACGTTCTCCCAGGCTGACACCCGAAGTAGACGTTCGGTGTCCGGACGGCAATCTGGGTGAAACGGTCTTTTGGGTCAATTTTTGTGCAGATGCCCAGCTTGGGTTCCATAGGGATTATCATGGGTCCTTTTACTTACGTCCTGTAAAACTTTAACAGTTCGACCTCGGCTAATTACGACACTGTAAACCATAAAATTCAATGAGGTCGAACAGTTGGAGCCCAGCGACAACGGGAGCTAACACAACTGATCACTCCGGGAGCGGGCCGCGATCTAAAAAGAGCAAGAAAATCAGACTGCAGTGCATGATATACGTGGATGGGGCAAAGCTACATACACCTCCAAAACGGATTTCAGCAGATTTACAGACCGATGCGATAGCAACTAGGTTGATCCGTACGGCAGGCGTTGAGGCTACCGTCCAAATCCAGCTTGGCTATTCAGCTAGTCCGAGGATCAATGTGTACCACTTACAGGAAATCAATTAATCACCCACGCCACAAGGAGACCGACATAATTCTCTACTGGCCGCGAAAAGTCGTGATGCATCAATTAAGAAACAACGGAGGCAGTCGAAAATCCCATTGAACAATACGAGCCGCTTTTTACTGCTTTCAGGCAGCTCCTCCTCCGAACTGACCGACTTGGGCTTCAAAGGGGTTCCTGTTGGGTAGTGTGGCAGCCTGTTATGTCCATGAGCGAAATCGTGAACAATTTCGTATTCTATGCATTGCAGACCACACTTCCCAACAGCGCAGGGTGTGTCGCGGATGGCATGCCTGACCGCGACTACGACTTTGATCGAAAGGCACGTCTCAGGTTGGGCCTGAATGTCACTGGTCTCTTGACATGAAGTTGAACGTTCAAATGGCTGACCGATCACATCGGGAGCTGTCGCTAGGGCAGTGTTCTGGCTGTGCTCATGGCTGTTGGAGCAGTATGAGTATATCGTGACCGTGTGCCTGCGTGCCGCGAGCAAGGTAAGAACTTGAAGTGATGAAGAGCACTACGCTATAGCTACGACCAAGCCCAAAGGACACATAGCAGCTGACTAAGCTATGGTACTACATCATGATAGTGCGCCGGTGCTGGAGTGGGTGGTCCCCTACCCCACTGTTATTTTTGACATGTTCTTAACTATTAGTAGTATTGCAGTGTGAGTAGATCGTCCATGTAATGTTAGGTTAACATGTAGGCAAACAATGCTGATCGGTGTTATTACGTTCCACTGGTCGGGGTATAGTACCCGCTGTTTAACACTGGATATACTGGCTATCGTTGTTCCTCGATATATATGGGTTTTCTATAGCTGGAAAAGTGATCTGGTCCCTGCTGGTGTAGGAATCCTATTCCGGGTAGGGTCAGCTGTCGCAACTGCATCGAGCTCGTAAGGGCAGAGAATGGCAGTGTTGTTGTCAGTCGCCGACAGTGCCTCGTTAGCTACGACCCCATTTACGCATGCAACACGTGCAGGTTATAAGATAATAGGATGAGGAGAAGGCTGGAGTGAAGTTCGTGGCAATCCGTCTGGGCGAAGGCATTGAGTTTCCTGATGTGCTGTACATAGTTGTATATGCCTCCTGTGGGCCGAGTACATGAACAGCCAGAGCCTCCGATTCGGTGTGATAATGTCATCGCGCCATCTGCCTCTCCACGAAGGGCCACTGAAATTTGAATGCGCCGATTCCAGGCAAACCGCAAATGGGCGAGGATGGCCTGCGCTGGTGGATCACTTCCCTGGCTCTGACAACAGAGGAATGTGAGTACCTGGTATAGTCTGAGTAACCGTGACAAAGTCGGTGATTAAACTTGGGTAACATCCTCGTCATAGATAAGCTTCGAACCTGCTGCGCATGTGTTCTTATGCCTTTCCTAGTCACGGCGTTTCATACGAAGGTAGGCATGCCAGATGAAACAAATCCCTTGAAACTGATTCTGAATCAGCAACGACGTGGAGACTGCCCAACGTGAAGATAAGAGTGTTCCTGCTGCCTTATAAGTGTTACACTGTGCTCATCTCCGAGAAAGAAATGAGCTTGGAAGCTCGAGAGTAAGGAATAGAGAAACAATATGATGTTGCCGGGCTGGGTTTTAAATCGGCAGATTGATCAATATCTAATTTAGATGATCATCATGACTTGAGCGGCCTGTTTAAATACTAGTAAGTACTGCTAGATCGCTGCTCGCTTCATACTTGTCCAAAGCCAAGATGACGCCTGCTCCACTTCCTGCAACGCTCTCCGGTGATATAGACACGCTGATGATCGATAATTTCGATTCCTTCACGTGGAATCTCTACCAATCACTCTCACTTCTTGGCACACAGGTCACTGTCATCCGTAACAATGCACTCACTGCAGACCAGCTCCCTCTTCTCCGTATCAACCGGCTTATAATCAGCCCAGGTCCTGGACACCCAAAGACTGATTCAGGCGTGTCAAGAGATGCGATCAAGTATTTTGCAGGCAAGGTCCCGGTTATGGGCGTATGCATGGGTTTGGAGTGTATCGTCGATGTATACGGTGGTGAGATCGGGTCAGTCCAAAGTCGTCATGTTTCTTGTATACCAAAATAACACCTTACCCTTCAGTTATGCCGGAGAAATAAAGCACGGAAAACTCTCCCCCGTCATCCATGACGGTCGCTCCATTTTCCTCTCCCTCCCGCAGTCAATCCAAAGTACCCGCTACCATTCTCTCTCCGCATCTCTCATAAGTCTGCCCTCTTGTCTCATGGCCACCAGTGCCACCTCTGATTCGGGTGTCATAATGGGCGTCCGTCACCGCACCTATGTCATCGAAGCCGTACAGTACCACCCAGAATCCATATTATCAGAGGAGGGTGAAGGCCTCCTCAAAAATTTCCTGTCCTTAAAAGGAGGCACCTGGGAAGAGAACCCCCACGCTAAAGTGAACGACCCAGAGATGCCGCCCTTCCCATATGAGGCTCTCACAGACAAGTCCAAATCTATTACCACAGAAGCCGCCAAGTCTTCCGCCCCTTCCATCCTCACGAAAATCGCACAAAAACGCACCTCCGACGTCGAAGCCTTATCCAACACCCCAGGGCTCACCCTCCCAGCTCTAAACGCACACCTCTCCCTGCACCTTGCACCTCCACCGATATCCCTCTCTCAGCGGCTGCTCCACGCGCGCAACGGCATGGCACTGCTTGCCGAAATCAAGCGCGCATCGCCGAGCGCCGGATCAATTGCCCCCCACACATCTGCCCCGCACACAGCACTATCCTACGCTCTCGCCGGTGCAAGTGCAATCAGCGTGCTCACAGAACCAACATACTTCCACGGCCACCTCGAGGACATGCGGACCGTCCGATTAGCCATAGACGGGCTAGATTCCAGGCCTGCCGTGCTCAGAAAAGACTTTGTCCTCAGCGAGTATCAGGTTGTAGAGGCCCGCCTGGCTGGCGCAGATAGTGTCCTTCTCATCGTGGCTATGCTGGGCAAAGACAGGACGCGGGCACTGCTCGAATATAGCATGACTCTTGGCATGGAACCTTTGGTGGAAGTGAACTCCCCGTCCGAACTTCACATTGCGCTCGACATTGGGTCCAAGGTCATTGGGGTGAACAACCGCAATTTACACTCGTTCACCGTTGACATGAGCACGACCTCGGGCGTCGCAGAAGTTCTGGAACAGAAAGGTAAAACTGGAGAGGTCATATTGTGCGCGTTGAGCGGCATCAAGAGTCCCGTTGACGTACGGGCGTATAGGGAGCAGGGGGTGAATGCTGTCCTAGTCGGTGAATCGCTGATGCGCGCAGAAGATAAGGGCAAGTTTATAAGACAATTATTGGACTGGGACGAGCCTATTCAAAAATCTCCTTCATCCGAAATCTCAAAAGCAATCCCTCCTACTGCACTCGTAAAAATCTGTGGTATTCTCACCCCATCCGAAGCCCTCAACACAGCAAACGCCGGCGCAGACTTCCTTGGCCTCGTCTTCGTCCCCAACTCAAAGCGCCACGTGAGCGTGCACGTTGCGCGAGAGATCTCTTTGGCTGTGCGCAACAGTTTCCCACTTCCTGATTCCGATTCCGATGAGGGTGAAGACGAAAATTCGAATCTACCCCTTCCGTGGTTTCACATCACACATCCGCGCCTCCTACATTCCGTCTCACATGCGAAAGACGCGTCCCCTCCTGGTCGGTGTCTTCCAGAATCAGCCCCTGCGGTACATTCAGCGGGTCGTGCGCGACGTAGGCCTCGACATAGTGCAGCTGCACGGCTCAGAACCCATCGAGTGGGCCAGGAGCATCGGGGTTCCAGTCATACGAGTGGGCGGGGTGCCTCCTTCCGCGCCGGAGTCTATTCCTGAAGAAAAGCCTAAGAGTGTCAACGAGGGGAACGAGGCTGAGGAAACTCACACCGCCCCTCTTCCATCTCCGGACCCCCTTGCGACCCTCACGACGCCCGGATACCATCATTTTATCCTGCTCGACACCACTTCTTCTGCTCAGTCCTCGTCTCCCAGCGGTGGTACAGGCAAGACTCTCGACTGGGCGCTGGCAGCGCGTCTCGTCAAGAAAGGGGAGGTGCCTGTCATTTCTCCAGACGTGAGCGTCAACGCATCCCCGAGCAGCGCTGTGAACGGTACTTGGGAACAAAACGTCGACGAAGAACCAGCGAGCACGTTCCCTCTCCCTCTCATCCTTGCTGGTGGGCTCAAACCCTCGAACGTGCGCGAAGCGATTGAGCGTGTGCGGCCGTGGGTAGTGGATGTGAGCGGGGGGGTCGAGCGTGATGGAGTTGATGGAGAGCTTGAGAGGGTGAGAGGGAGGAAGGACGAGGAGAAGGTGCGTGCGTTTGTGAGGGCTGCAAAAAGGATGGATTAGGGTGTTTTGGTGGGAAAGGGGGAGTAATTATGAATCGTGTTTGGAGTTTCGACGTGCATACCCAGAAATATGACATGGATCGTAGTTTAGTGTTTAGACTCATGCGTGATGTTATATTGGTTTATAGGGTGGAATGAAATACTAGCCTAGAATGATGAGTCGATTCAGGTCTTCTGCAAATTAATTCAACACAGCTTGCGGTCAAACATTTCTTCTGACACCTTGCTCCGAGTCTAGCTAGTCGCCTACACTATTGCAAATAAGCTAGTCGCGTGGGGCCACGTGCGCATTAGTCAATCTTCCTCTGAACTTTGAACCACATTCTTCACGTCTAGTGCTGGACCCGGAACTACTGCTATGGCATGAACCCGGGTGTGCGAGGTGGTGAAGAGCCAGTTTGAGACCCACCATTTTCTGTAAAGTACCTCAGAACCGGTGCGAGTCCTCTGGTTATACACCGAGTACCATTGAATATGTTATTTACACTCGCCTCGTTCGCTCAACTACGCATAGTGTTTACACGTCATTCACGACGTGTTTCATCTACATACCACGGTAGTCATTGATTTAACGCGGCGGTCTCATTCTACGAGGCCTAGATCGCTCTTGCGCGTCAATAGGAAGGTCCCCGTTACACTGGCCGCGACACTCTGAAGGAATTGTTTAGCGAAGTACCTCAGCCTTCACAGGAAAGCATAGTGTTGAGCGAAAGCAAGATGAAGCTGGACAAGGTGCCTCTACTGGCCTCATTCCGAGGCAGAGGAACGCGATGCGTATGTATATTGTTGCACGTCACTCAGGCTGGTGTCTACAGCTAATTTCATCGAAAAGATACGTGCCGGACCTTGCTCTATTTTCATTCGAACGTTTTGATCATTGACGATAGACGTGTTATAGTGAGTTCTTTCAGACTGGCCCGTATCTTTTTCTGATTGGTGACTGGTGCTAGATGAGTTCTGCGAATTTGAATGACAGAAGTCAAAAGGCAGCTCGGCTACTGTTGAACAGTCATGTGTAATCTTACAACCCTCGCCTTCTAGGGTGATGGCGACTCTGAATTCGTGCTCGTTGTCGAAGATGGCGACAGGCATCTATACATGGCTGCATGTTTTGCAAGTACTTTGCATTGCAGGCTCTTCTAGGGTGAGACTCGGAATAGCGCGAGAACTGCTTGGGTGTTAGTTAACTTATATACACAGAGCGCCTTGGTCTTATTAAACCTCAGCATGTCTTGCATTGCAGGAAGGAGGTCACCTCGTTCGTGGAATGCATGCTCCCAATATTAATGGAGGAGAGCCTCGATAGTTCAACTTGCCAGCTAAAGTTCTTTCTTGCATTGGTACCGCCTTGGAGTGTTTCCGGTGGGAAAAATGGAAAAGAGGGTCGCCCTAGCTTCACGCTATGTTTCTCCTCATTCCATCGAATCCTTGGAAATTTTGTTAGCTTGCCTCATTGACGTGATTTTCATGCAATTGTGTGCCTGTCAAGAATGTGTCTGCGTGACAGCGCAAGCCACTGCATGTGTGGCATAATGGATCAGTGATCGGCGGCGCTTGTGCACCGTCCCTATCGCAGACTATACCAAAACGCGTTCAGAAGGTTTGTTTACGATCATGATCTTTTTGTTTAGTTCATGGAATACTTCTAGAGTCCAGACCACATACGGCGTAGTCCTTCTCACACGCTCTGGCGGAACCTGGCTTCCCACCCCCTTAGCTGAATCATCCCGATCCTGGCTTTCGTGTCTCACCTTATCTTGTCGGAAACTTCTTTGTCATGACTAGCCAGATTCCCAAGTGCTAGTTCTCATCTTCACCTTCCACGCTCACATACTAAAGCACCCGACTTGTAGGATCCCCAGCGTGTATGTGTCCAGCTGTGCACGGAAGGATAAGTGCGCGAGATCCAAGTGCGCCTGAAAGCCCAACGACTCGGTATGGTCATTTCCGTACAAAGCGAATCGGTTTTCGTCAACCATACGGGATGCCAGTTTCGTGATGCGAAAAAACAGAGCTAGCCGCAGTGCATACATAGTTCTGATGTGCCGAGGTACTTAGTTGCACAATTGCGGTCTGCTCACCTCCTATCACAAAATGAGGCCCTGATCTGGCCGCTAACTGAAGGTGAAAGTACGGACATAAAGCGTTATTGATCAATATCTAATTGTATCATCTCAGGACGAGAAGGATGACGAGAAGGCTAGAGCGGAGTCCATGGCGATCTGGTTGGGCGAAGCGATTCGTCCTGTATTGAGTTTATTCGGCCTTCTTTGTGTGCCTTTTGTGGGCTGGGTACTGGAACGGCCAGCGCCTCCTGCGCCATTTCTCTGTCCCTGGCATATGTGGTCCTTTTGATGACAATGATCCCCTAGACAGCTGGAAGAAATTCACGGTGCGTCGTCTAGATGACATAGCTATATGCGCTAATTCTGATATTGCACTCCAGGCAATTCGTTATAGAACGGCGATGGTCTACGCTGGCTTAGTCGTGGGTTACTACATCAAGCTTGCATTCCTAGCCGGCGATTGAGCTGACATTTCCGATATTGAGATCAACTTCTTTGGTCTGTTCCAAATATTTTGGGTTACATCTGACATAGACAGCAACACGTGTAATTCATAACTAAGGAGTGTGGTCATGTCCAGAGAATGTTGATATCGATCATACTCATGAAGAACCTACGTGCGTGAACTCTGTTGGCGCAAACCTCGTCTTTTAAGTAACCTAGCCGAGAGGCTGTCCTATTACGGCAGGCTTAGCCCGGGAAGGATCGAGATCATTAAGCTTGTTCTTTTCCCCATGGCTTGTAAATTGCTCGCGACAATTAGCTTCAAAGGATATATGTGAGTTGATTCCTCGCTTGAACAAAAAGTACATCTGGAAATTCTGGAATTTACAAGCTAATGTATCATACATTCATGGCGAGGCATAGGTATGTCGAATCACTGGGAAGTGATCGTAACAGAACTGAGAATATGAAAGTGATAGGGATGGGTATGGGTAACTCTGCGAGGAAGCTAATGAAAGAAAGGGGGAAGCTTGGAAGAGTATAACATGAGCTTGATAAGAAGCAAAGGGGATTAATATACTAGACACCTAATCCACCAACGCAGCGAACAAACATCCAAAGAACGCATACAGAGACACGCATTACCGTAAAACACTTCTACACTTTCTTTTTCCTTTTCGAATGGACCATGATGACACAACACCAAGCACAGAACCAACTCGGCAACGAGTTGAGCTTCTTCGACCGGTTGCAGATCGCGGAGATTAAGCAGCGCCCATAATCCGCTGCACTTCCTCGAGACTCGAGTTCATCGAGTCCACGAAGCAGTTGATAAGGGGCTGGAAGTCGCCTTCCCAGGCCTATAGGAGGTCAGCATTGACTGGTGTGGGTACAGGTAGGAGTGAAGTAGTGTATCGTGGGATGACACGAAAAATCCACAAAACAGAACGGAACAGCACGTGAGACAATTGCAAAACACCAGAATAAAGGAGATTGACAATACGGCTCAATGAAAATGGAATGAGCACCAATCCGTAGAAAACGCTCACAATGTTCAATGCATCATAATATACACTCCTCAGTGATGGAGTGATGCAGAGCGGCGGGAATCCATGACGCATAAGCGGGATAGACGAGATAAGGAGTGACATTCGACTATTTCCATCCTTTGTCCACGTCAGATCACAAGGAATGAGGAGGAGAGAAGAAAAACACACATCGAATGGGTGACATCTAACGAAAGTGACATGAAGCCAGGCAGCCGTCGCAAACGGGTTCCTCCAGCGCGCAATGTATTGCTGTATCTTACCGTTAGTGCCCCAGTCGGCGCAAAGCGCCACACGCGAATAAATGCCCACTCACCTTCCCCATCCGACATATATACTCCAGCTGCTGGTCCACGCGCTCCGCAGGGCAAAATGCGAGATTATACTGTTGACTGCGTCTCACCACTGATTTCTGTGTCGTCTGGCGGGTGAACCCTGCATTGATATAATGCATGCCTCCGACTATTGGGTCATTGATCTTCACTTTTGATGTACGCATTAGCTTGGCGTGCAACGCTTGTATCAGTCCGGGGGTCAAGAGCTCTGGTCGCTCGTGGGATGGAATGGTGGCAGAAAAAGCCTGGAGGTTGAACGGGTTGAGTGAGGATGAGGAAGAAAAATGGGAGATAACTCACGTCTTCGAGGTCAATTAACGCTTGAACGATGGCCTCAGGGTCTTTAAGATCGCTTCTAGCATCACATCGCACTAAGTGGGGGGCAAATCCCCAATGAGTGAGTGCATCTGCAGACTAGGTTGACAAAAGCATTAATGCTAGAACTACTATTACAACCGTAACGCTGCTTCTGCGTTTGGTTGTCCACGAGCGAACAACTCACCTCCCCAGCCAAGTGGAAGGTGCCTTCGAGGTGATGTGCCTTGATCCAGATGTAGTTGAGGTACTGCCGCTGGTATGGACTCGTGCGCCATGCCGCTAGGATATCGGCCGACGCTTGTGGGAGCATGGGCCAATTGAAGGGATTGGCATGTTCACGCGCGGGCTTCCAGCGTTGGAAGAAAGTTAGAGAACCGGTGCTGCGAGCTATGAAGTGGTAAGTATCGGGATGTTGTGACGCGCGTATGCAGGATCGCACCTTGCTGCTCCGTATCACCTTGCGCTAACATCCGCACTGTCGACACGAACTGGGCAAATACCGCGCCATTCTGGCCAGTAATACCATGTAGAACCTGCATTGGAAGAAAAGAACCAAATGGCAAGAACCAAAAACAATATGATCGGGGAATGAGAAAAGCGGAAGGCGCCAATGGAAAGCAAATCAGTAAGACATTTTAGCCCTAGCCCACAGATACCACCGAACTACGCGCCTCGTCGTAGAGTGGGAGAGCAGTACTAAGGGACCCGCCGGCCGCGCGTACGTCGGCAACCCGCACCTGAAAGAAAGGAACAGGAAATTTAGGAAGGTAGTAATCTTCCCAGATGAGGGCTAGCGCGCGGAGATGGCGTTCAATGTCGTCCGGGGTGGTCGCAGACTGAATGCTGCGGAGGAGCTCTGTGAGAGCGAGTGCATCTTCGTCGGGCACACAACCAGGTAAGTCCTTGAGTTAGACGATAATGAATCAGGATGAATCAGATGACAAGGGCGGACGGATATGGAGATTGGTTTCAGTAGGAGGACAAGGGTCACATGCACGACGATTTAGGTGAATAGAAATAGATGAAAACAATTAGCAAGAGTCATCGATGGCGGCGATGGCGATTAGACTCACGACGAGCTCTGGGATACTGCTGTAATCCCAGCCCGGAATATGCATCGGTGCCAGCTGAGGCGCATGGAATTTAACACGGAAGTCAGACTCGGGATCTACGTCCATCCTGAGATCCATCAGTACCCATCACCAATTCAGAGGCGAAATGTGCTCACATAGTGTGTGTACTGAGAGCGGCTGCACTTGCACCAAATAAACTGGAAGTGAGGGACGAATCATATTCCTGAATACCGGTAGTCAATCAATTAATATTACCTCGAGTCGAGTAATGACTTGTTTTGGAGGATGGTCCGTGACTGGGCGATAACTTTGTGTGAAACTCTAGATCAGTGCTTGATAAGGGAGGTCATGAGGTTCCAGGGTCTTGTTTGTGAGAACTGGGCTGCTCTAGCCCAGGTCCGGCCGCTTGTGATTAAGGATTCGGATTATGGAATCAGTAGAACAGGCGAAGAACAACTGCTATGGTTAGAGCCAGTTACGAAGATTCAGTGCTGCAGCCTCGTGGCACCAGTGCCTCATCCTTTGACGTATCTAACCGCGCTGATCAGATCGCTCTTTCATCATCCTCCATAATAACAACGCGTAGAAACCGCGCAGAAATCATAAAAAGAGGGTATCTGTAATTCTACATGGCTAAAACCATCAACCTGTAATCGATCAGCACATGCTGGACACGAGGATCAGTGCATCTTCGAATCAGACTTTGTTTCGCTTCATCCTAGACAACGTTATGAAAGAGGTAAGGAAACAAGATGCTGACTAATGATTCGTTAAAACTATTTGTAAGCAGGGGACTTCCGGAATGCCTTTTTTAGCTAGCTCATTCGCTGGCAGAACTTCATCATATATTTCGAAACGCTGGGCAATATGGTATTGCGTATCAATGTACAAGGTTGTGTCACGTACACGTAGCAAACGCGGTTGCTGTCGTGACCACCACGTTTGAGTACATCTTCACCGTGACCACCCCAATTCATAACTGCCAAGGGAAAAGGTGAAGCAATGGAAGTGCGTTATAATTACTTTTGGCACACCCTGTCGTTGTTTCATTTGATGTATAGCAAACTCGCCCTATAATGCAGAATTCAGTGAAACCATTCCACGGAGTTTTCGGATAGAACGACTCCGACCTCGCTTCTACGGAAAAAACTGAAGGTCCGGTGGTAGGTGACATAATTAGTCTGGTTTACTTGATTTGCGATGCTACAGTCCATCTGAAGTACGAAAGGAGGAGTATAAAATCATATTATTTTATCGGGACATGCAATTGCAAGGATGTTAATCAAACTTCAATGTCAATGCTTCATCTGCAGGGTGCGAATGGTACGTATATAGATACTGTCACTGTCTCGGATACGGAACTTGGAATCCAAATCGAACGAAGACTACATTGTGAGTGAATACAGCGAAGGCACTATATGTCACAATTGAGGATTTACAGCAATACCCAAGAAATACCTCGGGAATGAAAATTACCAAGCTTTATAAAGCGATGATATTGAAGTTAGCAGCAAGTGTTTTCTGAAAATGGGGAGACAAATTCCCCGCATGCTTGGTCACATCGGCGGCGCATTGACCGTGAAGAGCGCGACTCTCCAAGAAGAAAGGTGCGCGAGTTGGCGGCAGCGGACCAATATGAGCAAGGGCAACTTTCCTACTCTGTATTTTGTTGTTGTAAGGATCCATGTACATTCTTGTACTCCCGAACCACGCCCGAATGCCGACGCCATCAGCACGAGGAGTGAAGCCCCTCGTGCTAGAGTCATGTTCTGCACTTTCCCTTTTTTCCCCTTACGCACTATCTCATTGTTTCACACTTTCAGAGAGTCACCTCATTGCAGCACACTTCGACATTACCTTGACGCCACTGCAACGCTCCCTTTGTTTCATCCCCCCTTTCTCCTGCATTCTACAGGAACACCTTGCTCCAATAAAATGCCCATGTATAGTCGTCGAACTTAACAGAACATACCCAGATTTTCGTAATTCTATCAGTTCATTATCTTGATCAACCTATTTTCTTCGATCTATTCCCTTCCTCATCAAATTCTGAAATATGGTTCTCGCTGTCTCCAACGACGTTTAGGTGAGTTTTCCTATTTCTACATGTGTATCTGAAGTATAAGTATTTAACATTCGAGGCCAGGATGCGACTCAGATCATCGACATGAGCGAGGATCTGATTATCACACGCGAGCCTCTTATATTCCGCAACCGCCAGTGCGAGATTGTACAGAATGGCTGCCCCAGTCGGACAAGGAGCTCTAATGTGCTTCCATGCTCAGTCTCTGCATAGTAGTTCGTAGAGTTTGCATCAGGAGTTGCCGTTGGCGGGCTGCGATCCGACCGCTTGATGCCCTACGACTGAGGGTACCAAGCGGTCTTTCGATTAGGTCATTCGTCGTCGCGATGCAGATGTCTTGAGCCCAGCCGCCTTTCTGTCATATGCGCGGCTCAGTTCATTGGCCTCCTGCTCACACTTCTATGCGACTCGCGGGGCCAGGGGGGAAACAGCAACGCACAAAGCAGAGATGGTGTCATCGAGTTCTTCCTTCGTTAGGGTCAGTAGCGCAGATCAGTAAGAATTTTTGAATGGAGAAATATCTTCAAGGTTGAATCCTGGTACTTTCCCGATCCAATAAAGTACAGTGACATCGCCAGACTGCCTGCAGAAACCGACCGAGAGCCTTCTCAGTGCCTTCTCTCTATTTTCTTCATTCAGGACACTGAAGATGCCTAACAGTGGATATTCGGTATAACCTTCCTCTGTCGCGACACGAGTGGATGTTCATTGCAGCTTGAGTTGGCCATCATCCGATCCTAGTTAGAACCGATGACTGTCACCTCTTCCACCTCGCGGAGAACGTACTTTCTTGGGATCAGATGACCGATCATCATGACCATACAAGGTCCAATCCTTGTTGAACAAGAGAACGGCCAAAGAGGCAAGAAATTCATTCTTGTAAAATTCACCCTCGTCCACCAGTCTGCCAAATGTGGATGGACCGGAAAGCATCTGACGAGTACGTGATGGTGAGAAATGGATTACGATACCACAGGAACATGGTGATTGATGACTTTGCACCTTCACTTTGTCGATGCAACACGTATTGCTTCGTGTCTATCGACATCCTCGTCAGCAAGCAACAGTTTCGCTAAATTTTGAGGTGCTGTGGACCGCATCGAAAGTTTAAAATGTTCTTGTCGGGTAATGGTAATTCTCTTCCCTTCCCATTTGTGCGACAACATCACGTATAAGAAGAATTTGTTGATTCCCGCTCGAATGCGATCGAGTCGGGATTCCACGAAAGTTATTATCAATGAGACAAATTTTGGTTTCGAATAACTTATCAGTGCTTCGCGATCGCATAGCAGTCCAGCGTTCGTGTTGAAGCTCGGCTTTACGGATCGCTCTCCTTGTTTCAGATGGACTGACGTATCGCTGGCGCAACTCTGCAACAAAAATGGTCATATTAGCGCAACACACGGATCTGTAAACGTATAAATGCCTACTGCGCGTTTACGAATCACCAGCATGGTCTAGCTTCGAAAACCTTGTACTGAATGCAATTATTGCCATGATCCCGTTATCGAAATCTTGCAAGGGGTGAAACGCCGCGTGTTTCATTTTAAAACCCCATGGCGATGAGGGAGGGATCAAGTCCAGTCGCCTGACAGTGAATTCCATATCATCAGCAAGATCCGGAGCTCTGGCGCATGTACAACAGAGATCAAACTCAAGCATACCTGCTGTGTCCCCTGGAACACCACCACAAGGCTTTCGCGGCTCTTACCTTGATGAATTCAAGGAAAAGGCGTCGCGTAGTGGATCAAGAACTATCGCTGCTGAGCGCTGGGTACCAATCGATCGCCTAATCATAGTATTCGGTGCGTGAAGCTGCGCTGTCTCCATCACTAATACCACAGCACGTTTTTGTTTGAAACCTGGTGTTGAAATTCCTTCGAGATGATCTCCTCCAGGGCATAGTGCGGGACGGACGGGACTTACTCATCAAGCAGTTGATTAATTCTGCCTCAGTATTTGTGCCGTCGTCAAACTTGTGGGCCGACCTGCATGTCATATTATAGAACGATTCCTCAGTCGACCTTTATTATTTGCGACAAGGATAGGAGAATCTTGCACCACGACAGCATCAGTAGACAGCACTTTCACAGCAGTAAACTTAGCTACCGGAGGAATGGTCTCGAGCCTCGGAAATTCGGGACCAAATGGATCAAGGGTCCTTGCGTTCGTGAATATATAGGTAGATTTCAATCGCGATCCATTCCCTGCTGAGTGGACTATACGGAATGTAGCGCACACATTCAAAAATAATGGATTGTTACCCGGAAATCCGCATATCATCTGAGGACCCTGAAGCGCATGGCCTGTCCACCACATCTCTGGGGCCCAGCAAGGACGCTGCTTTTCAGATTCTATATTGTATCAGTAGTAGGTGCAAATAATGTCGGTATCGTGACGTTGTTAGGATTAAGCTGGTAACCGAGCATTAGACTGGAGGAAAGGACATGAATTCGATGGTGGGTTTATTTGAACACAGCGCTGGGCTATTTTTTCACCTTGATTGTCCAGAACAGCTGTTGCTCTGGACAGTGAAGGTGGAACATGGCCGTAATCAAGGAAGTGATAGCGCCCTGCGTGGAAAGGGAGGGAATTGATCGACTACTATATAGTACTATGGGTAAGTAACTCAAGTGAGCTCGAGAGATACTGCCGGTGCTAGCTATGACTGTTGCGATGATTTTCAATGACAGCGGTGAGGACGATGGATGATCATGGATCAGTTGATCGACTTACAGTAAATTTTGAAGTTTGTGGTTGATTATGTAATTGATTACAAATTAATTGTGTGCCTTTACTTGCCTCCAATGACATTCGGGTCATGGCACTGATAGCTATGTATTTACACTCCACTTCCACTCGATGATTATCACCCCCCATGTCTACGCCCAACACCAACTCAGTTCCTGCCCCGCTGCTACGACCTTTGGGCAACGAACGCTTCGTACTTACGGACCCTTACCGTCGCAACGTCACCCTGCTCCTCACCCTTGACCAAATCCGTCTATATCTCCAGCATGACGCGGACTTACGTGGAGGAGCCGCTCTCGACACTATTCCCTCCCCCATTGGATACGAAGAATTCGTTGTTGCGCTGAACGCCAATGCGGGAAACGGAATCCAACTCGCATTCATCCCTGAAGGCAAGGCGGGCGTGTGGATTACTGGTCGTCCCCCTGCTCTAACTGAGTTAGTGGGACTTGAAGCCACGCGATGCACCTTACCCGCGCCTCACGACCCCAGAGAAGCCACCGGGGGTGAATGGCTAGACCCCTGCAGGAGCAAGCTGATGGACGAAGCCCTGTGGGATTACCCTGAGCCCATCAAGAAGCAATGGCAATGGAAAGAGAAGGGGGTATCCGAGAGGCAGGCCAAAAGGTGGAGGCGAGAGGATGAAGAAGCCATGAAACCATTCGTACCTTCCATGGCCGTGACTAATGCCATCGTCGGCTCCTCCAACAGCTCTAACCCCTGATCCTGCAACCCTCCAACTCCAGTGCGCTATCCTCAACGGCCGCAACATCAACCGCATCTACTCATAAACTGTCTAGAGCAGCATCTGGAAAGACTCCGACCCCGCTCCCTTCGCAGTCAGCTTGGGCAAAGGGCCCGCCGCAGAGCAATTCATCTGCAGCTCCTTCATCTCGATCGCAGTCTCCCGCTCCTACTCATGTTGCATCTCCAATAGCTATTTCTCATTCGAGACGTCCAAGTGCGTTAGGCCAGGGCGGTGTCCGTAAAAGATGGCGTCTCAGTCCCTCGAAATATTGTGGGATCGGTAGTACGACCAGGTTTGATTTCATTATTACTCCAAAATCATTTCTAGTTCTAATTGATACTCTTAGCATCCGTTGTGTTTGGATCAATAGATGATGCCTCGGCCCCGTTATCTTCATCGCCGGCTGCCATTCCCGCTGTAAAAACCGAAGTCGTAAAGTCTTTCGGATCCGTACCTGCTACGTCTTCCAACCATGTAAATGGCAAAAGCTCAGCTTCTGCATCGGCCACAGGGTCGTCGAAGCAGCCTTCACGACCTTCCCTATCATCAACACCTTCCAACTCCAGTGCGCCACCCTCAACGGCCGCAACATCAAGCGCATCCACGCCTAAACCGTCTAGAGCAGACATTGCAAAGCTCTTCCACGATCCTTTGTCATCGTCTTCTCGGCCGTCTTCTGATACATCATCTTCTGACACATCGTCTTCTGACACATCGTCTCCTTCCACCTGGCCCTCTAATTTACCTCCACATCACCAGCCATCCTCATCTTCGTCACAACAGCCACAGCAACCCTCGCAATTCGGCACACATTCATATTCGCAGTTCGTGCCAAATAGCATGCGCCCACCGGGTGTGCGGGGCGGGTCTCGGCGGGTAGCTGGCCCGGGGGGTCCCGGTGGCCCACCTATCCCTGCTAGTCCCCGAATGGCTTCGCACCCACACCAAGCACCTCCTGGAGGTATAGCACCGCAGGTACCCATGCAGCCCATGTCATGGGGCGGATACTATGTCAGTACTCCATTTTTCTAAATATCTTTATCAACCTTAACGTGATCCAAGTATATGGATCCATATCAACCACAACCTCCTTGGGGGTATTATGCTATGCCCTCCCAACATATGCACCAACAGCCTCACCCGCAACATGTCCCTCATGTCACCTCTCCCCATCAACCTGGACCTCTTCCCCTGTCACCTCGCCCCGCAGACCCCCAACTACCTGGCACACCAACCACGGCACACGCTATCCCGCACCCCCCTCATACACCTCAACCGCCTCCCTCCATGTCTTCCCCGCCGCCCACACCTTCCACACCTCCTTAACACGAACGTCTGCGACTTTGTTCCTGGTGGACGCTCTATATCCAAGGTTTCCATCAAGATACAGGATGACATAGAGGCGACGCTTGATGCTCCCAAGAAGCACAGTTCCCAACCACCGACCGTTCCTACTCCACCTGTTGTGACCAACCGATGGCAACCTTCGGTTTCAGTACGCATCGAGAGTGAGGAATCGAAACGGGCGCGAGAGGAGAATGCATTGAAAGAGCCTGTGGTGCAGCCAAACTCGACGCTACAGCTATAGCCTCAACCTCAGGTACAGACGGTGACGCAACAACCTGCACAAGAAAACTGGTTATTGGGATAATTTTTGCCTTGCACTCTGGTGCTCCCGATCCTCTTTTACTGTTCAGCCTGCTACCTCGTAATAATGCTATCATACCAGGTGTGTTTCATCGTTTCCTTTATCTCAGTCTCTGCTCGGCTCTGCTTTGATACCCGGTTACGTGTTCTATCACTTGTCCAGGTTTAATTATACTGTCTCTACCATGTACATACGTCACAATTTACTCCCGCGGAACCGTCCAGTTACACATGCTAGACGTCAGTTTTCCTGCTGTCCCTTGCATGCGGGTCATGATCCATTTTAAAAAATTACAAGTGAGTTGTCATACCGGCTGTTCTGGATGGGCACGTCGCAGTTTGCTATTGGGTCCATCGCCAATTACTAGCATCGATGGCCCTATGCCGTTTATAATCAGCTGTGTATATACGAGGAGACTTGGGACGTCATTTAACCAATCCATGACAGACGACCTTTGTGTGATAATGTTCGTACAATCCTTGGCATGTATATTTGATGAAAGCTGGCCAGGGATCGATGGCCGCTCCGTGACTATTCAAACATTCCACACAGTATTCCTGTTCAAGCCCAGCCCCAGTGCTTACTGTACTTGACAAGCCACGGCGATGTGCTTTTGATCGAGGTATTCTCTAATCCCAGTCTGAGAAATACATGTTGCGTGGGTAGAAATCGATTGTAATACTTGCGATGGAAAAGCTTAAAGCATATTTGAAACCTCCTCCCACTGTGTATACTACCATCAGCATGATGAACATGGCCAAAAATAAGGTGAACATCTTTGCGTGAAACCGAGACAGACCTCAGTGATACGATCGACATTTCGGTATCTGGATCAGGCAGAAATCGAATCATCAAGGCGTCGCAACCCGCACTGACCGATTGGTGAATCTCACATTCATCACCACTGACAGTCGTCACGAATGAGGGAATTGTAGCCAACCACAACGAAACACGCATGTGTACGTACGCCTTAAGGGAGTGACATCTAAGTTTCACTCGCGTCATGCAATGAAGAACTTGTCATCTACATGGTGTGAATGCGCAAACTGCGACAAATACCTGCCTTCCTCCGTTGCAGAGAGAAAGGCCTCGTATGATGCTCATCAGCTGGTTATTGAAGGGTTCGTCGTGCACAGCTGAGAGGCTAGTGAGTGCACACTCTCAAGAGCCTTGACGTCTGGAACAATCGGCTGAATCGGTCAGGAACAGCGAGTAGCCTGGTATAAAGACGGTTGGTATCTCCCTCGATGAGCTAGGTAAGATAAAATACAAATGGATATTAAAACACCTGTGAGCTCAGCGTAATAAACGTTTGCCCGGAGTAAACCCAACCTGATAAGAAATATATGGATGTAATAATTGACCCAGGATCGAATCTCATTACGGTGATACTGTACACGCGGATGAAATACAAATGTCTTGTGCTGGCGATGACCAGTTTGCGTCTGAGCGGCAAGAACCCTAAGGGACCGTTTGAGTACACTAGTAGGCTTATCAGTCGATATTAGACTCACCTAGAGCCGCTCGTAATAACATGACGGTCCAGAAAGGGTTCAAGCGAGTTCAACTAGTGCTCGTGACCGATACAAGTTTGTTGACCGGTTAGTAGGGCTAATTCTTATCGCCGACTAGCTGAGATGCGTGTTTTTGGCATGGATTGCATACGTGTCTTCTTGACGGCGTGTAAATGACGTTAAAGACAGTCAAGCTGGCTCGTGTTATAAGAACGTGTTTTTGAGTTCAGCACGGTTCCGTCGTCGGTTCTACATAGTCAGAACAATAAAAAGTTGGATTGCCGACTGAGTGAACGGGGACCATTTAAATGAGGTTTCTGGGGTCCAACCGTAGGGGGTGATTTTTTTGGCTGGAGTCCCACGCACTTGTTGTACTCCGTCGTTTCCCTACAGCCTCAGGCTATAGCAGGAAGACATCCTTTTAACCTGCCGAGATCGCAACTGACAGCGACGGGCTTTCGTTTTTCATAGACAGAACCAAGGTTCATACAACTGATCTTTTGTTTTCGCCTGCAGGCAGGTCATACTTGACGACCACCACGCGCGACAAATCATCGACTGTTTGCTAAAATATCTGTTACATCGAAAATTCGTCAGTTCAATTCGTTCTGTGCTCGTTGTTGCTGACGGCTAAACTCAAACTACCTTCTGCGCGTCTTATGCGTATTTTTTTTGTGTTTGTAGAATGAGCAAAGTTTCCACTGCATCTGGAAAGACTCCGACCCCGCTCCCTTCGCAGTCAGCTTGGGCAAAGGGCCCGCCGCAGAGCAATTCATCTGCAGCTCCTTCACCGCGATCGCAGTCTCCCGCTCCTACTCATGTTGCATCTCCAATAGCTATTTCTCACTCGAGACGTCCAAGTGCGTTAGGCCAGGGCGTGTCCGTAAAAGATGGCGTCTCAGTCCCTCGAAATAATGTGGGATCGGTAGTACGACCAGGTTTGATTTTATTATTACTCCAAAATCATTTCTAGTTCTAATTGATACTCTTAGCATCCGTTGTGTTTGGATCAATAGATGATGCCTCGGCCCCGTTATCTTCATCGCCGGCTGCCATTCCCGCTGTAAAAACCGAAGTCGTAAAGTCTTTCGGATCCGTACCTGCTACGTCTTCCAACCATGTAAATGGCAAAAGCTCAGCTTCTACATCGGCCACAGGGTCGTCGAAGCAGCCTTCACGACCTTCCCTATCATCAACGCCCTCCAACTCCAGTGCGCTATCCTCAACGGCCGCAACATCAAGCGCATCCACGCCTAAACCGTCTAGAGCAGACATTGCAAAGCTCTTCCAGAATCCCTCGTCATCGTCTTCCCAACCGTCTTCTGACACATCCTCTCCTTCCACTCGGCCCTCTACTTTACCTCCACATCACCAGTCATCGTCATCTTCGTCGCAACAGCCACAGCAACCCTCGCAACTCGGCACACATTCATATTCGCAGTTCGTGCCAAATAGCATGCGGCCACCGCAGCAGCCTTCTGGTACCCCACGTTCCCCTGCATTCTCTCGTGCTGTGCCAAACGTGCAAGGCCAGTCTCGACAGGGAGCTGGCCCAGGGGGTCCGGGTGGCCCACCTATCCCTGCCAGTCCCCGAATGGCACCGCACCCACATCAAGCACCTCCTGGAGGTATAGCACCGCAGGTACCCATGCAGCCCATGTCATGGGGCGGATACTATGTCAGTATTCCATTTTTCTAAATATCTTCATCAACTGTGTTCTTAACGTGATCCAAGTATATGGATCCATATCAACCACAACCTCCTTGGGGGTATTATGCTATGCCCTCCCAACATATGCACCAACAGCCTCACCCGCAACATGTCCCCCATGTCCCCCCTCCCCATCAACCTGGACCTCTTCCCATGTCACCTCGTCCCGCAGCCCCCCAACTACCTGGCACGCCCACCATGGCACATGCTATCCCACATCCCCCTCATACACCTCAACCACCTCCTTCCATGTCTTCCCCACCGCCCACACCTTCTACCGCCAACGCACCTCGCCTTAACACGAACGCCCGCGACTTTGTTCCTGGCGGACGCTCTACATCCAAGGTTACCATCAAGAGCCAGGATGGCATGGAGGTGACGCTTGATGCTCTCAAGAAGCACAGCCCCCAACCACCGACCGTTCCTATCCCACCTGCATCGCCTGTTGTGACCAGCCGGCGGCAACCTTCGGTTTCGGTACGCATCGAGAGCGAGGAATCGAAGCGCGCAAGAGAGGAGAACGCACGGAAAGAGCAGGAGAAGAAGGAGGAGGAGGAGCGTGCGAAGAAGGATGCTATAGACAAGAAGAAGCGCGAAGCAGAGGAAGAGGCTAAGCGGTTGGAGGAGGAAGAAGCTGCACGCAAGAGGAAGGCTGAGGAGGACCGAATACGCATGGAGGAGGAAGAAAAGGAGCGGATACGGCAAGCAGAGGAAGAGGAGAAGGAGCGCCTACGCCAGGAGGAGGAAGACCGTCTTGAGGCAGAGCGGCGGGAGGCAGAGCAGGCACGCATCGCACTGGAAGAGGAGGAACGGAAACAGCAAGATGCTCTTGAGGCAGAGGAAGCTCAGCTTGAAGCGGAAGAAGCTGGTGACATCGTTCAAACTCCATCACCCGCCAGCGAGTCTCAAGAGCCAGAGGACGGCGAAGTCTCCGAGCATGACGAAGCTTCTGTGCCTCAGCTTAACGGCGATAGCGGGAAGAAATTGAAGGAGTCACTTCGGATAGATACGTCTGCGATGCCCCCTCCCACTGAGATTCCACGAAGACGTCCTGGCCCTCTCGACCTTGCTTCAGCGAAGAGAGATGTTTCTGCCCCTCTCCCCTTCCGCACTCCTTACCGCACGTGTCATCGAGAATCTCAGCGAGGTTGCGTACCCTGAAGGCATCAAGAGCCCGAGGGTTGAGCTCAATGCGAACGTCAAGGATGGCCGATTCAGGTGTGTGTTTCACCTATTTAACTTCGAATGTCTCATTCATTGCTTCATGTAGATACGACCGTGACTTTCTTATGCAGTTCATGCACATTTGCAAGGAGAAGCCGCCTACCCTTCCTGCTCTCGATGTCCTTGGCATTGAACCCGTCGATCAAGTATCGTTTCCCATGGCTCGTGGTGGCTCTGGACGTCATCGGAACGCCTCTGGTGCGATGCCCGCATCTGCTAATCGCCAGGCTTCTGTAGGTCTGGGTATCGGCGGTTTCCAGAAACCTTCCATTCCAAGCGGTTTCCAGATGGGCAACTTCCAGTCCCCAGGAAACAAACTTACCAGCGAGGAGCGGTTTGCCATATCCAACACCCGTTCTGCTTCAACTAGCAGTGCTTCCTCTTTCCGTTCCCCGATGGTGCGCACGCCCAGTACAGGTGGGTCCTGGGCATCCCATGCATGGCACCACTGGCAACCGCATACGCAGTAAACGCGGTGAGAGGCGTGGTGATGCCAACAGGACACCGATGTCCCAGGAAGAACATAGTTCAGGCTTTGGCGCTGCACCTATCCTGGGCGCTGGATTCGAGCCTGTTGCACCTCTCGAATTGTCTGCTAACCGTTGGGTCCCTACGAGTACGGCTCGCAAGGTTCAACCTGATGTTGATTCACCTGAGCTGGTAGACCGTAAGGTCAAGGGGCTGCTCAACAAGCTCACGATGGAGAAATTCGAGACGATTTCAGACCAGATCATCCACTGGGCCAACAAGAGCGTGAATGAGAAGGATGGTCGGACGCTCATCCAAGTCATCCGGCTGGTGTTCGAGAAGGCGACTGATGAGGCTGCTTGGAGCGAGATGTACGCGCGGTTGTGTCGGAAGATGATGGAGCAGATCAGTCCTGAGGTGCAGGATGATGGAATCAAGAACACAGAGGGAAAGCCTATTGCCGGCGGACAGCTGTTCCGGAAGTATCTCCTTAACCGGTGTCAGGAAGACTTTGAGCGTGGGTGGTTCGCCAAGGAAGCTACTGCTGCTGCAGCTGCGGCGAAGGCTTCTGATGATCACGCAACCAAGGCTGCTAACGATAAGAAGGGCACCGAGGAAGCTGAACTCTATTCGGACGAGTACTACGCTGCACAGAAGGCGAAGCGCCAGGGTCTTGGTCTGCATCAAGTTCATCGGCGAGCTGTTCAAGCTGCAGATGCTCACGGAACGTATCATGCACGAGTGTGTGAAGAAGCTGTTGGGCAATGTTGAGAACCCCGAGGAAGAGGAGATTGAGAGCTTGTGTCAGCTGTTGAAGACGGTTGGCCAGTTGCTTGACACGCCGAAAGCCCGCGCGCACATGGACGTTTACTTCACGCGCATGAAGGAGCTCGGCAAGAGCCTCAACGTCAGCTCTCGCATGCAGTTCATGCTTCAGGTGTGTAGCAATAGTTTTATGTTTTCTTTTTTGTTAGTTGTGCTCATCATCGTGATCTCAGGACGTCATTGAGTTGCGTGACCGCAAATGGGTCAGCCGGAATACCGTTGCTGCGCCTACGACGATCGCTGCTGTTCACGAGCTGGTAAGATAGACTAGCATCACTGACAACATTTGTACTGAGCTCGTGTTACAGGCCGCCTAAGGAGAAAGCAGCTGCAGAGAAGGAGTCTTTCAACCGTCAGATAAGCATGTCTCGCGGTGGATCTCGACGCGGCGACAACCGGAACCAAGAACACGGTCCTGACGGCTGGGCTGTTGCCGGCGGCAGCTCCGTGCCACGGGCGCCTCCCAAGGCTGGTGATCTGTCGCAGTTCGGAAAAATCAGTAAGGGGCCAGCCATGGCAATGGTAATGGGTCCAAGCGGCGTCTTCGCAGCCGGCAAGAAGGACAGCAAACGGGAGACACTTTCGCGGACGAATTCGAGCTCGAACATGTTCCATATGCTCAGTCAAAACCCTGAACTCGCCGCCGAGGCGTCCGCAAAGCCCAGTCGTTCGTCGAGTCGGAAAACGAGCGTTGATCTTGGTCATGCTGGTGTCCCTGAGCCCGCTGTACAGCGCAGGAAGCTTCAGCTCCTTCCACGGTCTGTTCTTGCTGCTGAAGAGAACGCCACGACTCCTTCGGAAGAAGAACCTGAAAGCGCACCTACAGCCATGTCAGAAGCAGACGTGAAGAAGAAGATTGATGAAGATGTGAAAGAGTTCTTTGCTGTTCGCAATCTTCAAGAGGCCGGAGGTTTACTTCACCAATCTTCCTGACGAGCACCGTTTCCGGCTCGTGGACAAGCTGGTTGCGTCCGCGCTCGAGAGCAAGGAGGCGGATGCGAGGTTGGTCGGTGATTTTCTTCGCGCAGGCTACGAGTAACGGACAGTGTACGCTTGAGGTCATTGAGGAGGGGTTCCTGCCCATGGCGGAGTTTTTGGACGATATTGCCATCGATGCTCCCAAGGCGTTTGACTACATGGCTATCATGCTCAAGGGCGCTGGATTCGAGAACGAGCCTGAGAGACTCCAACGGATCGCTTCGAAGCTCGAGGATAGCAACAAGCTAGTCTCTCTCGTTGCATGATTTGTTCTACTTCCATCTGACGTTTTCAATGCGTTTTCTTTTCACCTGCATTCTTATCGCATTTTCGTTTCGTTCGTTTTCTGATCGTATTGCACATGTTCTTGGTGTTCAGCAAACTAATATATGTACATCGCACGGCACTTTTGCGTTTGTCCTCTTTTTTTTGTTATCGTTCACTACATACAGCGGCATAGGATACAGCTAGCAGTACACCAGGTATTAGCAATGCATTTCAGATTCCCACAGTTCGTCATCGACTCATCAGCTGAGGTTCTTATCATCTGGCAAGTTTCAATGCAAGCCTCATTGCAGGAAGCTGTGTTGACCCATGTGCGGCCCGTAGGACGATCATATGTGCGTAATAGGGTTCTACCCTTGAATCATCTCTCGACGTGTCTGCCAACATTCTGGTCCTCACAAGTAATACGACCCGCAGCAAGCGTCAACCTCCCGCCGACCACCAGGAACACTCCGTTCCAAACAGTTTCTAGTTTCTATATAGGCATCTTCCAGTCCCCAAGAAGCAAGCTTACCAGCAAAGAGCATCTTATCATGTCATCCAACCTCCGTCCTACCTCAACTACTAGCCATGCTACTGCTGAATTGCGCGCTCCGATGGCACACACGCCCAGTCAAGGCGGCCATGGTCATCGTATGAATGGCACTGGCAACCGCATGCGCAGTAAACGCGGTGAGAGGCGTGGCGATGCAAACAAGGTATCGATGTCCCATCAAAGACAGGGTTCTGGCTTTGGCGCTGCACCTACTACCCTGCGCGCTGGCTCCGAACCCGTTGTACCTCTCAAATTATCTGCCAACCGTTGGGTTCCTGCGAGTACGACCTGCAAGGTTCAATCTGGTATTGATTTACCTGAGCTGGTCGACCGTAAGGTCAAGGCGTTGCTCAACAAGCTCACGATGGAAAAATTCGAGACGATTTCAGACCAGATCATCCACTGGGCCAACAAGAGCGTGAATGAGAAGGATGGACGGACGCTTATTCAAGTCATCCGGCTAGTGTTCGAGAAGGCGATTGATGAAGCTGTTTGGAGTGAGATGTACGCGCGGTTGTGTCGGAAGATGATGGAGCAGATCAGTCCTGAGGTGCAGGATGACAGGATCAAGAATACGGAGGGAAAACCTATCAGAGGTGGCCATCTCTTCAGGAAGTATCTCCTCAACCGGTGTCAGGAAGACTTCGAGCGTGGGTGGTTCGCTAAGGATGCTGCTGCTGCTGCTGCATCCGTCACAGCGAAGGCATATGATGCTGGGTTCAATTTCGAAGAATACCACGCTGCACAGAAGGCGAAGCGCCAGGGCCTTAATCTCATCATGTTTATTGGTGAGCTATTCAAGGTTCGGATGCTCACAGAGCGTATCATGCACGAGTGTGTGATGAAGCTGCTGGGCAACGTCGAGAACCCCGAGGAAGAGAAGATTGAGAGTTTGTGTCAGCTGTTGAAGACAGTCGGCCAGTTGCTTGACACGCCGAAAGCAAGCGCGCATATGGACGTTTACTTCGCGCGCATGAAGGAGCTAGGCAAGAGCCGTAATATCAGCACTCGTATGCAGTTCATGCTTCAGGTATGTGGCATTTTGGGGTATCTTTGTTGATTGTGCTTATCGTCGTGATTTTAGGATGTCATCGAGTTGCATGACCGTATGTGGATGAGTCGCGATGTTGCGCCTCTGACGATTGCTGCCGTTCACATGCTGGTAGGATATATTGCTGTCGTTGAAAATGATTATATTGACACTCGTGTTACAGGCCGCCAAGGAGAGAGCAGCTGCAGAGGAGTGTTGCAACCGTCAGATGAGCATGTCTCCTGATGGATCTCGAAGGGGCAGCGACCACAATGAAGAGAATGGTCCTGATGGTTGGACTGTTGCAGGTGACTATGTTCCGCGGGCGCCTCCCAAGGCTGGTGATCTGTCACCATTCGGCAACATCACTAATGGTCCACCCAGGACATTGGTGATGGGTCCAAGCGACATCTTTGGCGCCGGCAATGACGGCAAGCGGGAGGCACTTTCACAGACAAATTCGAACTCAAAAATGTTCCACATGCTCAGCCAAAACCCTGAGCTCGCCGCCAATACATCAACAAAGCCCAGTTGTTCGACGAGTCGGAAACCAAGCATTGATCATGATCACGGTGTTCCTGAGCCTGCTGTACAGTACAGTGAGCTCCAGCCTCTTCCGCAATCCGTTCGTGCTGCTGACGAGAGCATGAAAACTCCTTTAGAAGACGAACACGAGATCACACCCACCACCATGTCAGAAGCAGACATCAAGAAGGAAATCGATAGATATGTGAGGGCGTTCTTCGCGATTCGCAATCTCGAGGAAGTAGACGTCTACGTCACCAATCTTCCACATGAGTTCTGCTTTCGACTCGTAGACAACCGTCAGATACGCATGTCTCGCGGTGGTCCTCGAGGCGGGAGCGAGCACAAGCAGGATTGCTGGGCTGCTCCAGGTGGCTCTATTCCATGGGCGCCTCCCAAGGCTGATGATCTGTCACAGTTTGACAAGATCAGCATGGGCGCGCCCATGGTTGTGAGTCCAAGTAGTGCGCTCGTGGGCAGAAAGAAGGACAGCAAGCGGGAAACACATTTTCGGACGAATTCGAGCTCCAACATGTTCCATATGCTCAGTCAGAATCTTGAACTCGCCGCTGAGGCGTCCACGAAGCCCGGTCGTTCGTCGAGCCTTAAGCAGGGCGTCGATCTTCGTCATGCTGGTGTTCCTGAGCCCGCTCTACAGCGCGGGAAGATCCACCTTCCACGGTCCGTTCTTGCTACCGAAGAGAACGCTACGGCTCCGTCGGAAGAAGTATCTAAAAACGCACCCACCACCATATCAAAAGCAGCTGTCAAGAGGCTTGATGAAGACGTGAAGGAGTTCTTCACGGTTCGCAATCTCCAAGAAGCGGATGGCTATTTCCCTGATCTTCCTGACGAGCACCGCTTCCGGCTCGTGGACAAGCTGGTTGCGTCCGCGCTCGAGAGCAAAGAGACGGATGCAAGGTTGGTGGGCGATTTCTTCGCGCAAGCTATGAGCAAAGGACAGTGTACGCTCGAGGTATTCGAGAAGGGATTCATGCCCATAGCAGGATTTTTGGACGATATTGCTATCGATGCTCCCAAGGCGTTTGATTATATGGCTATCATGCTCAGGGGTGCTGGGTTCCAGAATGAGCCTGAGAGACTCTACCGGGTCGCTTCGAAGCTCGAGGACAGCGACAAGCTAGTCTCTCTCGTGGCTTGATTTGCCTCACTCCGATGACTGACGTTTTCGATCCATTTTTCTTTTGCATTATCTCATTATCTGTTTTCGTTCGCTTTTTGATCATATTCCCCACTTTCTTGGTGTCCTGCAAACTGAAATATGCACATCGCGGTACTTTTGCGTCGGTTCTCTTTTTGTTGCTGTTACTACAACTAGCACATACTAGAATGCTTACATCACCACGCGCGTGCTTCTTGTCCAGCAAGTATTAAAGCAAGCCTCATTGCAAGGAGCTTGTATTGATCTAGCCATGTGCGGCCCGACGGATGATCCCATGTGCAGCGAGGTGAATAGGGTTCTATCCTTGCATCGTCTGGCAGATTGGGCGCCAATATCCAGCTCCTCAACATGTCTTCCAACATTCGGGTCCCCACAAGTGGTCAACCTCACGTCGATTATCAGAAACCCTCCGTTCCAGGCGGTTTCCAGATGGTCAATTTCCAGTCCCCAGGAAGCAAACTTATCAACGCAGAGCGTTTTACCATGCCATCCAACGTCCGTTCTGCCTCAACTAGCAGTGCCACTGCTGAATTGCGCACCTCGACGTCCCCTCCCACTGAGATTCCACCAAAACGTCCTGGCCCTCCCGAGTCTCGGGAGCTTGCTTCAGCTCAAAGAGGTGTTTCTACGCCTCCCCCTTCCGCACTTCTCACTGCGCGTGTCATCGAGAATCTCAGCAAGGTTGCGTACCCCAAAGGCATCAAGGGCCCGAGGGTTGAGCTCAATGCGAACGTCAAGGACGGCCGATTCAGGTGTGTGTATTATGTCGTTCACTTCGAATGTCTCATTCATTGCTGCGTGTAGATACGACCGTGACTTTCTAATGCAGTTCATGCACATTTGCAAGGAGAAGCCACCTACCCTTCCTGCTCTCGATGTCCTTGGCATTGAACCCGTCGATCGAACTTCGTTTCCCAAGGCCCGCGGTGGCTCTGGACGTCATCGCAACGCCTGTTCTACCTCAACTAGTTGTGCCACTGCTGAATTGTGCACCTCGATGCCCTCTCCCACTGAGATTCCACGAAGACGTTCTGGCCCTCTCGACCTTGCTTCAGCGAGGGGAGATGTTTCTGCCCCTCCACCTTCTGCACTCCTCACCGCACGTGTCATCGAGAATCTCAGCGAGGTTGCGTACCCCGAAGGCATCAAGGGCCCGAGTGTTGAGCTCAATGTGAACGTCAGGGATGGCCGATTCAGGTATGTGTCTTATGTCTTTTAATTTGAATGTCTCATTCATTGCTTCCTGTAGATACGACCGTGACTTCCTTATGCAGTTTATGCACATTTGTAAGGAGAAGCCGCCTGTCCTTCCTGCTCTTGATGTCCTTGGCATTGAACCCGTCGAGCAATCTGGTGCAATGCCCGTTTCTACCAACCGTCAGGCTTCTGTAGGTCTGGGCATTGGTGGCTTCAAGAAACCTTCCATTCCAAGCGGTTTCCAGATGGGCAATTTCCAGTCCCCAGGAAGCAAACTTACCAGCGAAGAGCGGTTTTCCATGTCCAACAACCGTTCTGCTTCAACTAGCAGTGCCTCTTCCCAATTTCGTTCCACGGTGGCGTGCACGCCCAGCACAGGTGGGCCTGGGCATCCCATGCATGGCACCAAGCGCATACGCACTAAACGCGGTGAGAGGCGTGGTGGTACCAACAAGTTACCGATGTTCCAGGAAGAACATAGTTCTGGCTTTGGCGCTGCACCTATCCTGGGCGCTGGCTTCGAGTCCGTTACACCTCTGGAATTGTCTGCCAGCCGTTGGGTCCCTATCAGTATGACCCGCAAAGTTCAACCTGATGTTGATTCACCTGAGCTGGTCGACCGTAAGGTCAAGGGGCTGCTCAACAAGCTCACGATGGAGAAATTCGAGACGATTTCAGACCAGATCATCCACTGGGCCAACAAGAGCGTGGATGAGAAGGATGGGCGGACGCTCATCCAAGTCACCCGGCTGGTATTCGAAAACTTGAAGGCGACTGATGAGGCTTGGAGCGGGATGTGCTATGCGCTGTTGTGTCGGAAGATGATGGAGCAGATCAGTCCTGAGGTGCAGGCTGAGGGGATCAAGAACATTGAGGGCAAGCCTATTGCTGGCGGACAGTTGTTCCGGAAGCATCTCCTCAACCGGTGTCAAGAAGAGTTTGAGCGCGGGTGGTTCGCCAAGGAAGCTACTGCTGCAGCCGCTGCGGTGAAGACTTCCGACGATTATGCAACCAAGGCTGTTCACAAGAAGATTGGCACGAAAGAAGCTGAGCTTTGTTTTGATGAGTACTACGCTCCAGAGAAGGCGCGGCGCCAGGGTCTTGTTCTCATCAGGTTCATTGGCGAGCTGTTCAAGCTGCAGATGCTCACAGAGCGTATTATGCACCAGTATGTGAAGAAGCTGCTGGCCGATATCGAGAACTCCGAGGAAGAGAAGATTGAGAGCTTGTGTCAGCTGTTGAAGACGGTTGGCCAGTTGCTTGACAAGCCGAAAGCCCGCGCGCACATGGACGTTTACTTCATGCGCATGAAGGAGCTTGGAAAGAGCCATAATGTCAGCAGTCGAATGCAGTTCATGCTTCAGGTGTGGCATTTCCTGGGTATCTTTGTTAGTTATGTTCATCATCATGATTTTAGGATGTCATCGAGTTGCGCGACCGTGCATGGATGAGCCGCAATGCTACGCCTATGACGATTGCAGCCGTTCATGTGCTGGTAAGATATAATTATCAGATTGGTGTCGTTGAAATTTGATATATTGACACTCGTTTTACAGGCCGCCAATGAGAAAGCAGCTGCAGAGAAGAAGTCTTTCAACCGACGTCAGATAGGCATGTTTCGTAGTGGTTTTCGACACGGCGACAACCGGAACCAAGAACACGGCCCTGACGGCTTGGCTGTTGCAGGTGGTAGCTCTGTTCCACGGGCGCCTCCCAAGGTTGATGATCTGTCACAGTTTGGCAAGATCAGCGTGGGCGCGCCCATGGTCGTGAGTCGCATCTAACGTTTTCGGTCCATTTTTCGTCTTACATTCTCATTGCATTTTTGTTTTCGTTTGCTTTTTGATTGTATCCCGCACTGTCTTGGTGTTCTATAAACTGAAATATTTACAATACGATTCTTTTGCGTTCGTCTTCTTTGTAGTATCGTTGATCGATATCACATACAGAGGCAAAGGCTTTAGCTAGCTATTGATGTTAGCTACATTACAGGGTGGGTATGAGGTACACGATAACAGTACTTTACGAGCTACGGGCCTCCATAGATATCATGGCTGAATCCATAGCCCTGAGGCTCGACTCTGCAGATGCACACGAAATAAGGAGTGCGCGTTGCGTCGCATTTGGGAGCGAGTAAAATGGAGGCTCAACAGGCGGCCCAGGGAAGGGCGCAGGCATCGTGGCATACGCGCTTCTTGTCTAGCACGTAATGGTGCTTGTGCACCGAGCTCCAGTCTCCGACTCTGTTAAGACCTGGTACGTATCCCATGCTTGACGTCTTTTAATGCTCAACATGATTTCCCTTTGCGTTTTTACGGTTGTCATGTAGCTTTTCGAAACACTGCAGGACGACAAAGCTACTCAGGTTGCCGCGGACTACTGTTTCCGAATAGGGTGATATTTCAGTCATTCCGTCATCCATCTTGTCATTTCCTTACCCATCGACGATCTCCCACAACGCACTAGCAAGCTCTTTCATATCTTCACTCTCCAGGCTCATGCTCATAAGCACACCGCCACTCATTCGCGCCCTTGCAGTTTGTTCCACAAATCCAGCATACTCCGTAAGCGGGATCGGTGTAGAAGGTGCTGTGACAAGCGACGAAGTCGTTCTCATCGACGTTGGTTTAGTATGCCAGAATAAGGATGGAAAATATGTCACTGGGAGGCATAGTCTCCCTACCTTTTCCTGCGACGGAAGCAACGTTCGCCGATCTGTACTGCAACTTCTCGATTGGCCTGTCAAATAAGGTGAGAATCATGTCGATGCCTTGATCACACGAACCATGACGAAGCAGTATGTGATTCTAGGATGAGCATACAGTTTTCACTAGGCAAAACGTAATTCGAGGGTTAAGTACTGGATCAAGACCTGGCAGCATTCGATGCATGGTGTGACTTGTCATGATTGCTACAGGAACCTCTGGTGTAACGGTTCGCTCAATCGTATGGCGTGCATCCTAACTAGATCAGTATCCAGTACCTGCTTATCCCATGCCCTTGTCCCAATCAAGAACTTTTCCTCCAGTTCAAGTGGTTAGCGATCATTGTGATATCCTCCCAACTGCCTTCAAGTCTGTGGGGAATCAGTTGATGGTATGCTCGTCGCCTGTCAAAGAGAGAAGCATACCTCAGTGGTAGCGCAGCAGTCTCTACCAGTGACGAGATGACTGTGGACGTGTGACACAAAATGTTTTTCTACAATGTTCCGTTAGGGAACCATATGCAACGTGTTGTGGGAGACGAACATCATAGGCAAGTTCCTGCGATAGGTTACTTTCCAACGTAGACCATGTGGATGGGTTGATATTTGGAAAGTGATATCCGAGAGCTGATGGAGGCTTTGCAAGCACAATGCGTCATTGATAATTCTCTTCGTGTCGAGAAACTATTTTCAAATGTTTACGTGCCATCTACGTGAAAGCGCATTTATTCGTGTTTCGGATCTGCGCCTGAGATGGAACTAAAGTTTAGTGTAGAAGCATCGAGAAACTCGTCGCGGAAGGAAGTCAGCAAAGTATGCGAGAAAACCCCAAAGGCGGGTGTGTCGTACATCATTTGCAATCCCTGTAGTAAGGAACGATTCAGTAGATGGCTGGGAATGGTATGAAAAAGGGCCTACCTGGAAGTTATCGCAGATCTCGACGAGCAGACGAAACACCCTTTCTACGAGCTCTGTATCCTGGAGAAGTATTATAAACACTACAAGACGGGGAGAAAGAGCAGGTACCTCATTATATCGCTGGAAGATATCTTGACCAACACTCCACCCAGCACCAGCACTTTACGGTGCGTCAGGGATGGCCTGTATAGATTCTCGATCGAGGAAAATGTGACTATAATCTGACCAGTATCTGATATTTGGGTCTGTGCATTCCAGATCGCCCCCACATTATATTTCACCTTCAAGACGAGCATGATATTTCCTTTGAGGGATCGGATTTTGTGTCTCGCGAACTACCATTCCTCGCCTGCAAAATATCAGTTCGTGCGACGAACAGCTTTCACAATCAGAGTCACTAGATTGTATCAAGCGAAGCATTGGTAATTGTATCAGCTTGGCTCGTTTTGGTGAGGGTCCCAAAGTTTGCTGCTTAGATGCAGCTGTGCCAACGAAGGCATACACTTCTGGGGGTTAATGCCAACAAGCGTGGACAAAGAGTTGACTGATTCTGGCAAGACGCAACGGCAGCGCACATTAACTTGAGGATGTCACTTGGAAATGATACACATACCTGAGGATTTTGTCCTTCTTAGAACGAAAGGTGGAATGGACAACGAGATGGATGCCTGTCACAATGTCTGGCTGTCTTGACAGACTGACACATCGAGATGACGAGCGCGTCAATAAGTGCCTTTGGGCAGATGTCAGGACAAACGGCACGAGGGTACAAATGACTCCAAGACACCAGCACCCGAAAGAGATACGAAAGATGGAATAGATTTTCCACAGATTTGAAAAAGCTATGGGGATTGATGACGAGGCGGAACAAGTTGACGGGACCCGAATCGTTCCTTCAAAAATACAATCTTGCAAATGGAGAAGAACCCACCTCGCATGAAACTGGACGTCATACTGCATTTCGCTAGTCAACCCTCTGTCCCTCGCTAATGCCGATCTGCCAAGTCTGGTTCTGAGCCTTATAAATCGGTACCGCACGCATGACTGGGATAATCAGTGTTTGATTAAAGGGACATTGCACAGCGATGTGCCTGAACCTAGTTACTCAATGGTCTGTGAACAAAGGAATGTCTCATATAGTACTTAGATTGGCATCTGACACAACCGAAGAGGAGTAAAGAAACAGGCGAGCGAGCGCATACAAAGATGGACAAGCGTTTGCAACCAGCGCACCCCAACAGATGTTACCAACGTGTGTGTCGAAAACTCAAAAGTAAAGGAGTGTACAAGGGACCGGAGAAAGCCGGGAGAAATGGGCACACTGACGCATGGGAATTCGTTTGTAGCCCTTCCACCCACTACTTAACGTGGGAGTAGGGGATTTAAGCAAGCCTCATTGCAAGGAGTGTATTAAGACCTAGCCATGGACCTGTCGGACGATCCCATATGTAGCGGGGTGGATGGGGTTCTATCTTTCTGGCGGATTGGGCGCCAATCTCCAACTCCTCGTCATGTCTTCCAACATTCAGGTCTCCGCAAGTGGTCAACCTCACGCTGATGATCAGAAACTCTCCGTTCCAAGCTGTTTCCAGACGGGCAATTTTCCGTCCCCAGGAAGCAAACTTACCAGCGAGGAGCGGTTTGCCATCTCCAACACCCGTTCTGCTTCAACTAGCAGTGCTACTTCCCAGTTTCGTTCCACGATGGTGCGTACACCCAGCACGGGCGGCCCTGGCCGTCCCATGAATGTCGTCATAGCCTGTAGACGCGGTGGGGAGAGGGGTCGTGACGCTAACAAGGCACCGATGTCCCAGCAACTTGAAGGACATAGTTCTGGCTTTGGTGCTGCACCTATCCTGGGCACTGGCTTTGAGCCCGTTGTACCTTTCAAATTGTCTGCCAACCATTGGGTCCCTACGAGTACGACCCGGAAGACTCAATCTTATGCTGAGCTGGTGGACCGTGAGGTCAAGGCGCTGCTCAACAAGCTCACGATGGAGAAATTCGAGACAATTTCAGACCAGATCATCCACTGGGCCAACAAGAGCGTGAATGAGAAGGATGGGCGGACGCTTATCCAAGTCATCCGGTTGGTGTACGCGAAGGCAATTAATGAGGCTGCTTGTAATGAGATGTATGCGCGTTTATGTCGGAAGATGATGGAGCAGATCAGTCCTGAGGTTCAGGATGATGAGCTCAAGAACACAGAGGGCAAGCCTATTGCCGGCGGACAGCTGTTCCGGAAGTATCTCATCAACCGGTGTCAGGAAGACTTCGAGCGCAGGTGGTTCGCCAAGGAAGCTACTGCTGCTGCAGCTGCGGCGAAGGCTTCCGACGATCATGCAACCAAGGCTGCTCACGAGAAGATTGGCAGGAATGACGCTGAGCTCTGTTTCGAGGAGTACTACACTACAGAGAAGGCGCGACGTCAGGGTCTTGGTCTCATCAAGTTCATCGGCGAGCTGTTCAAGCTGCAGATGCTCACGGAACGTATCATGCACGAGTGTGTGAAGAAGCTGTTGGGCGCCGAGAACCCGGAGGAAGAGAAGATTGAGAGCTTGTGTCAGCTGTTGAAGACGGTTGGCCAGTTGCTTGACACGCCGAAAGCCTGCGCGCATATGGATGTTTACTTCACGCGCATGAAGGAACTCGGCAAGAGCTTCAACGTCAGCTCTCGCATGCAGTTCATGCTTCAGGTGCGTAGCAATTTTTTTTTGTCGGTTGTTCTCATCATCGTGATCTCAGGACGTCATTGAGCTGCGTGACCGCAAATGGGTCAGCCAGAATACCGTTGCTGCGCCTACGACGATTGCTGCTGTTCACGAGCTGGTAAGATAGACTAGCATCACTGGAAACATTTGTACTGAGCTCGTGTTACAGGCCGCTAAGGAGAAGGTAGTTGCAGAGAAAGAGTCGTTCAACCGTCGAATAAGCATGTCTCGCGGTGGATCTCGACGCGGTGGCCACCAGAACCAAGAACACGGCCCTGACGGCTGGGCTGTTGCCGGTGGCAGCTCTGTTCCACAGGCGCCTCCCAAGGCTGGTGATCTGTCGCAGTTCGGCAAAATCAGCAAGGGCCCAGCCATGGCAATGGCAATGGGTCCAAGTGGCGTCTCTGTGGTCGGCAGGAAGGACAGCAAGCGAGAGACACTTTCGAATTCGAGATCGAACATGTTCCATATGCTCAATCAGAACCCTGAACTCGCCGCTGAGGTGTCCATGAAACCCAGTCGTTCGTCGAGACTTAAGCCGGGCGTGGATCTCGGTCATACTGGTGTTCCTGAACCCGTTGTGCAGCGCAAGGAAGCTCCAGCTCATTCCACGGTCTGTTCTTGCTACTGAAGAGAACGCCACGACTCCTTCGGAAGAAGAACCTGAAGGTGCACCCACCGCCATGTCAGAAACAGACGTGAGGAAGAAGATTGATGAAGACGTGAAGGAGTTCTTTGCTGTTCGCAATCTTCAAGAGGCCGAGGTCTACTTCACCAATCTTCCTGACGGGCACCGCTTCCGGCTCGTGGACAAGCTGGTTGCGTCCGCACTCGAGAGCAAGGAGGCGGATGCGAGGTTGGTCGGTGATTTCTTTGCGCAGGCTACGAGTAACGGACAGTGTACGCTTGAGGTCATTGAGGAGGGGTTCATGCCCACGGCGGAATTTTTGGATGATATTGCCATCGATGCACCCAAGGCGTTTGACTTTATGGCTATCATGCTCAGGGGTGCTGGGTGCCAAAATGAGCCTGAGAGACTGTACCGGATTGCTTCGAAGCTCGAGGATAGCGACAAGCTAGTCTCTCTCGTGGTTTAATCTGCCCCACTCGCATCTAACATTTTCGATACATTTTTCTTCTTACATTATCATCGCATTTCTGTTTTCGTTCGCTTTTTGATGGTATTCTGTGCTTTCTTGGTGTTCTGCAGACTGAAATATGTACATCACGACACGTTCCTCCTCTTTGTAGTATCGTTGATTGATGTCGCATACACAAGCAAGGCTTTTAGCTAGCCATTGATATTTACTACATTGTAGGGTGGGTATGAGGTACAGGATAACAATACTGTACGAGCTACAGGCTTCCATAGATACCTTGGCTGAATTCATAGCCCTGAGGCTCGACTCGGCAGATGCACACGAAATAAGGAGGCTTTAATCTTCTGCGCCGCGTTGCATTTGGGAGCGAGTAAAATGGAGGCGGGGTCGAAAGGCGGCCCAGGGGCATCGTGGCATATGTGCATCTCATCTAGCACGTAATGGTGCTTGCGCACAGAGCTCGAGTCTCCGACTCCGACAACTTTCGTTAGGACCTGGTATCCCATGCTTGACGTCTTTTAGTGCCCAACATGATTTCCCTTTGCGTTTTTACGGTTGTCATGTAGTTTTTCGAAACACTGCAGGACGACAAAGCTACTCAGGTTGCCGCGGACTATTGTTTTTGAATAGGGTGATATTTCAGTCATTCCTTCATCCATCTTGTTATTTCCTTACGCATCGACGATCTCCCACAACGCACTAGCAAGCTCTTTCACATCTTCGCTCTCCAGGCCCATGCTCATAAGAACACCGCCACTCATTCGCTTTGTTCCACAAACCCAGCATGGCAAAACTTGGTAGAACTCCAGGGTATCCGAGACTCGCGGAGATGTAATTTAGATCTCTGATAACATAGTTTGAATTCAAGAGAACATGCAAAACGACGTCCCTAAAGGAGATGGTGCATGCTGGAGGGCGTCCCCTCGCATCACTGACCAACGACAATTTCGAGCGCCTGGAATGAGTTGACAACAGCTCGCATCGTTACTACTGGAAATGCAAACATTGCGGCGACACTGATAACTCATCAGGTGCTTGAATCCAAGATTGTGACAACAACATACCAAACCATCGGATCAAGCGCTGTCAAAATGCAAATGCTCCTCTGCGTCAAGCAGTACGCCTGTTTGTTATGGAAAAGACAGGCAACTCTGGCGAGTTGACACATTTGAAAGACTCGGCAAAATTCGTGCAAACCTTCGACACCACAGCGCCGTAAAAGCTGCGGAGGCTGGGAAGTCCACCCCCATCGACATGCTCACATGCACACTCGTGAAGAGGTTGGCATTGCTGTCGAGACTGCACAGATCTTGAAGCATCCTTCTTCGCATGGGCACCTCTGCTCTCGACTGAGGCTCGCGATGCAGATGACCTTCTTACTGGTCCAGAGAGTATCTCGCCTGACGACATTGCCGCTGAATTTGCAGCTCTCGAAGAGTTGAAAAGGACTAAAAAAGTTCAGAGCATTAACGAAGTTGAAGTGCTCGAGGGAAATGCTTTTGATTTTGACGGGTTGGATCGGGTCGAACAAGGAATAATATCACAGACTGTTCTAGATGAGATTAAGGTGGTTAATTACAATGACGAGGGTGACGGCTGGGACGAGGCAACATTTGATGTCATCATTAGGAATGTTGTACACATACCGTATAAGTAGTCTACATAACCTAGCTAAGCGCCTAGAGTTTTGCCAGCTTTTGCCGTAAGTTATAACCAGCAAAACCAAAGTCACGTTTGCTCCCGGCCACACTACGAGTCATTATGCACATGCCATGTGTAAATCGATCCGAACTCAGGCAAATCCCTCAGTGAATGGTGCGTGAAACTGGGCATAGGGCTCCGGTTTGCAAGATCTGCCTTGTTCAGAACAGGTCATAGGAGATGCAAGACATGCATGCGTTTGCTCTACCCTACATAGCACAATCAATTGCCACACGACTCTGACACGAGGCACACACACCTTGATCTGCGCCTCCGACCTTGGTATGTCACGACCTTTGAAATGTAAGGCACGCTCCTTCGCATATAAACTTCAACACATGAATTGCCAGCCTTCGTATTACTATTATGTTTCTACGGGAACCATATAAAGGCCCAACGCGAAAGCTAGTGCTTGCATTTGATGTTGGGACCACGTTCAGTGAAGTCTCGTATTGTATACTAGACCCAGGGGAGGTGCCTGTAATTCGAGGAGTAGCAAGGTCAGTAGCCAGCTCAAGCACCGTGTCTCTTGCTCATGGTGGGATTGCAGATATCCTGCGCAAGAGCATGTCGGAGGTGACTCCAAAATACCATCAATTCTCTACTACGACCTTCAGGGAGACGTCCGCGCCGTGGGTGCTGAGGCTCTACAAGAGCATGTTATCGAACAGGCAGAAGACGAGGGATGGGTAAGGCTCGCATGGTATGTATATCGTCGAGGAAAAATAGGCTGTATATTGATCTTGGTCAGGTGGAAACTTCATCTTCGCGCCAAGCATCTGCCATCATCTCACATACGGGATGATGATATAGAACCTCTCCCACAAGGCAAATCCGCAGTAGAAGTTCTCGCCGACTTCATGCGCTACCTCTTCCAATGCGCTCGAACTTATATCCAGGAATCACATCCGCATTTCTGGAGATCGGTCGAGAACTCCATTGAGTTCGTGCTCACACATCCGAACGGTTGGGAAGGTCAACAACAACAACAAATTAGACGTGCTGTCGAGCTCGCTGGTCTTATCTCATCTAAGGAGGAGCAATCTCACGTGCACCTCTTGAATGAGGGCGAAGCGAGTCTTCATTTCTGTGTTACCAGCGTGATTGCATCGAATATACTTTCTACAACGCCTATAGATGTGTCAGATTACTCCGACGAGGAGGATGATCAATCTGACAGCCAGGGAGTCATTGTTGTTGATGCCGGAGGCGGAACCATCGATCTCAGCGCGTACTCGATGAAGTTATCTCCGACCTCTTTCGAGGAGATTGCCCCAGCTGAATGTGAGTCCCACATTCCTGCGTCGTTCCCTTGCTGAAGCCCACTCAGGTTGCCTGCAGGGCTCAGTCTTTGTTACTAGTCGCGCTCGTACTCTTTTACAAAGTCCGTGAAATAATCAATCGTACGGGGAACCAAAAACTAATAATTATTTGATTGCCCAGGGAAGCTTTCGGGCTCGGAGCACTACTCCAACCCTAAGATCATCGCACAAATGGCGGATATCTTCGACAAAAGCACGAAACTTCGGTTCCGTAAGCCCGATGAGCCATCTTACGTCAGGTTTGGTACTATCCGTGACAAGGATCCGAAGTACGACATTCGATCAGGGCGATTGAAATTGGCCGGGTTCGTCCATATTCTTAGGATGCCTTCCTCACGACACTCATGTTTTATTGTACAGCCAGGACGTCGCCGACTTGTTTGAACCATCCATCGAAGCTATCATTGAGGCTTTTGAGCAGCAGAGACGCATGGCTTTGACTCCAATTAGTGTGAGCATTATATTTCGCTCATATACTAGGCGGATTATGACATCATCGTTAAGATGGTTTGCTTGGTTGGCGGTTTTGCCGCCAGTGACTGGCTGTTCACGAGACTCCAGGAATATTTTCTACCTCTAGGCATCACCCTCTGTCGCCCTGATGCTCATGTGTAAGCTCTTGACTATCATCGTGACTACTTCTCATCAGGTAACCGCAGCAACAAGGCTGTTGCTGATGGGGCAGTTTCGTTCTATATTGACCACCTAGTGTCCTCTCGAGTTGCACGCGCCACTTACGGCATTGAATGCAACGCTCTATACAGCTCGAGTATCTTGCTGAAGGTGAGTAGAATATTTCTACTCATTCGGTACATGCTGATCTGCTTTACAGGGAAATCAAGTATCTGAGCTGCGCGAATTCCAGAGGTCTTTCCATACTACCCGAACATCACTTGCTGCATGTAAGATTGAAAGCACGGACATATTGTGCTACAAGGGTGCGCTCCAAGAGCCGCAGTGGTTGGACGTTGAACAGTGTATGCCCGCAGGTGGTCAACCTCATGTCGATTATCAGAAACTCTCCGTTCCAAGCGGTTCTGCCCCTCCCCCTTCTGCACTCCTCACCGCACGTGTCATCGAAAATCTCAGCGAGGTTGCGTACCCCGAAGGCATCAAGGGCCCGAGGGTTGAGCTCAATGTGAACGTCAAGGATGACCGATTCAGGTGTGTGTTTCACCTCTTCCACTTCGAATGTTTCATTCATTGCTTCATGTAGATACGACCGTGACTTTCTTATGCAGTTCATGCACATTTGCAAGGAGAAGCCGCCTACCCTTCCTGCTCTCGATGTCCTTGGCATTGAACCCGTCGATCAAGTTTCGTTTCCCATGGCTCGCGGTGGCTCTGGACGTCATCGCAACGCCTCTGGTGCAATGCCCGCGTCTGCTAATCGCCAGGCTTCTGTAGATCTGGGTATCGGCGGTTTCCAGAAACCCTCGATTCCAAGCGGTTTCCAGATGGGCGACTTCCAGTCCCCAGGAAACAAACTTACCAGCGAGGAGCAGTTTGCCATATCCAATACCCGTTCTGCTTCAACTAGCGGTACTTCCTCATTCCGTTCCCCGATGGTGCGCACACCTAGCACAGGTGGGGGGCATCCCATGCATGGCACCGCTGGCAACCACATACGCAGTAAACGCGGTGAGAGGCGTGGCGATGCAAACAAGACACCGATGTCCCAGGAAGAGCATAGTTCTGGCTTTGGCGCTGGGTTCGAGCCTGTTGCACCTCTCGAATTGTTTGTTAACTGTTGGGTCCCTACGAGTACGGCCCGCAAGGTTCAACCTGATGTTGATTCACCTGAGCTGGTCGACCGTAAGGTCAAGGGGCTGCTCAACAAGCTCACGATGGAGAAATTTCAGACAATTTCAGACCAGATCATCCACTGGGCCAACAAGAACGTGAATGAGAGGGATGGTCGGACGCTCATCCAAGTCATCCGGCTGGTGTTCGAGAAGGCGACTGATGAGGCTGCTTGGAGCGAGATGTACGCGCGGCTGTGTCGGAAGATGATGGAGCAGATCAGTCCTGAGGTTCAGGATAATGGGATCAAGAACACAGAGGGCAAGCCTATTGCTGGCGGACAGTTGTTCCGGAAGTATCTCCTCAACCGGTGTCAAGAGGACTTTGAGCGCGAGTGGTTCGCCAAGGAAGCCGCTGCGGCCAAGGCTTCCGACGATCATGCAACCAAGACTGCTCACAAGAAGATTGGCACGAATGAAGCTGAGCTCTGTTTCGAGGAGTACTACGCTGCAGAGAAGGCCCGACGTCAGTGTCTTGGTCTGATCAAGTTCATCGGTGAGTTGTTTAAGTTGCAGATGCTCACGGAACGTATCATGCACGTGTGTGTGAAGAAGCTGTTGGGCAACGTCGAGAACCCCGAGGAAGAGGAGATTGAGAGCTTGTGTCAGCTGTTGAAGACGGTTGGCCAGTTGCTTGACACGCCGAAAGCCCGCGCGCATATGGATGTTTACTTCACGCGCATGAAGGAGCTCGGCAAGAGCCTCAACGTCAGCTCTCGCATGCAGTTCATGCTTCAGGTGTGTAGCAATGTTTTCTTTTTGTTAGTTGTGCTCATCATCGTGATCTCAGGGCGTCATTGGGTTGCGTGATCGCAAATGGGTCAGCCGGAATACCGTTGCTGCGCCTACGACGATCGCTGCTGTTCACGAGCTGGTAAGATAGACTAGCATCACTGAAAACATTTGTACTGAGCTCGTGTTACAGACCGCTAAGGAGAAAGCAGCTGCAGAGAAGGAGTCCTTCAACCGTCAGATAAGCATGTCTCGCGGTGGATCTCGACGCGGCGACAGCCGGAACCAAGAACACCGTCCTGACGGCTGGGCTGTTGCCGGCGGCAGCTCTGTTCCACGGGCGCCTCCCAAGGCTGGTGATCTGTCACAGTTCGGAAAAATCAGCAAGGGGCCAGCCATGACAATGGTAATGGGTCCAAGCGGCGTCTTCGCAGCCGGCAAGAAGGACAGCAAACGGGAGACACTTTCGCGGACGAATTCGAGCTCGAACATGTTCCATATGCTCAGTCAAAACCCTGAACTTGCCGCCGAGCCGTCCACGAAGCCCAGTCGCTCGTCAAGACTCAAGCCGGGCGTCGATCTCGGTCATGCTGGTATTCCTGAGTCCACTGTACAGCGCAGGAAGCTCCAGCTCCTTCCACGGTCTGTTCTTGCTAGTGGAGAGAACGCCACGACTCTTTCGGAAGAAGAACCTGAAAGTGCACTTACCGCCATGTCAGAAGCAGACGTCAAGAAGAAGATTGATGAAGATGTGAAAGAGTTCTTTGCTGTTCGCAATCTTCAAGAGGCGGAGGTTTACTTCACCAATCTTCCTGACGAGCACCGTTTCCGGCTCGTGGACAAGCTGGTTGCGTCCGCGCTCGAGAGCAAGGAGGCGGATGCGAAGTTGGTCGGTGATTTCTTCGCGCAGGCTACGAGTAGTGGACAGTGTACGCTCGAGGTCATTGAGGAGGGGTTCATGCCCATGGCGGAGGTTTTGGACGATACTGTTATCGATGCTCCCAAGGCGTTTGATTATATGGCTATCATGCTCAGGGGTGCTGGGTTCCAGAATGAGCCTGAAAGACTGCACCGGATCGCTTGGAAGCTCGAGGACAGCTACAAGCTAGTCTCTCTTGTGGTTTGATCTGCCCCACTCGCATCTAACGTTTTCGATACATTTTCTTACATCCTCATTGCATTTCTGTTTTCGTTCGCTTTTTGGTTGTATTCTGTGCTTTCTTGGTGTTCTGCAGACTGAAATATGTACATTACAACACGTTCCTCTTTGTGATCGATGTCGCATACACAGGGAAGGCTTTAGCTAGCCATGCATATAAGCTACATTTTAGGGTGGGTACAGGGTACACGATAATAATACTGTACGCTTCCGTAGATACCATGGCTGAATTCATAGCCCTGAGGGTCGAGATGCACGAGGAGCGCAGACAACGCTTCAATCTTCCGCATTGCGTCATATTTGGGAGAGAGAGAAATGGAGGGGTCGAGAGGCGGCCCAGGGAAGGGTGCAGGCATCGTGGCATACCAATTTCTGCCCTAGGACCTAGTACGTGCACCACCGTAGCAACTTCGGGAGATAGTGCTAGTATGACATGCGTGAAGCAGTAGTTGGATGGTCTGAATTGAGAAAGCGAGAGATTTGGCCCGTGTTGCGCTGGTGTGCTGGATATATGGGCTTCATTACATTCTAGAGGCACTGTAGTAGCACTCCAGGAGGAGCTAACTAAAGAAAGCTGGACACCTGTTCTCGCAGCTGACTTATTTAGCTTATCAGTCCTGTGAGCCTTGGCTTTAGAATGTAAAACTCCATAAATGTAAAAGAAAACGCACCACAATCCTGCGAAAGGAGGGATGCCAGAGGCATCTTCTTTTTTCTCGGGACTATCAATAACTGAAGGTCCAGCGCGTAGGCAAGGGAAGAGAAGAAAAGACGATGACATATTTTGTAAAGACGTCTTGCCACGATCTTCCCGCTATCAAGAAGCGAAGGTGGCGTGGAGCTGTTTCGTGCGGAATATGATGCATTGTAGTGGGTGGGTTATCTTGAAAGCCTGGATCACTTGAACAGTAAGCATAAAAAGAAACGGGTTGGATCTCAAACTTCGAGTATCGAGTGTTATAGACAGAACAACTGGATAAACAGACGCACCCGACCGCCCAGAATACGCACACCGAGTGCTGCCCATGTGTTCTTTTATGATGCACGAGATGTCCTTGACATCACTTGGACACCCTCTAGCTTCTTGCTGGAAGGCACATTGCCAAGGGGTTTCTTGAGGATACACGAGTATGGTATGTCGTACAAGACGGCCCACGGCACACAAGAGACTCAAAGTATGTGACAAACGCCACTTTACTTTCAGGCTTTTGTAGCGATGGGTCGTATAAAGTTAGTATACTTAACCAGTATGACGAATCAAGAGGCTCGGACTAGGAACGGGAACGAGACTAAGTAGAGTAATAGTCAGGAAAATGTACGTAGAACTGTGAATAAGAGAGCGATCAAAAGACTGAGGGAGAATATTCGACGGGAAGAGGTATTGATATAACGCTGATTGAGACGGAGAATCAAAGGTGAACGTGCACTTATGAGAGGTATGAGAGCTGTGCATTTCAGTTTATTAGTCAGCATCGCTTCCATTGCAAGGGGCTGTATTGATTCAGCCATTGGCGGTCCGTTGGACCATCAAATGGGCAGCAAGGTGGACATGGTTCTACCCTTCGAATCGTCCGGCAGTTCGAGCGCCAATCTCCAGCTCCTCGACATGTCCGCCAACTTTTGGGTTCCCACAAGCGCGACTCGACGCAAGGGTCAAACTGGCATTGTTTCACCTGAACCAGTTGACCGCAAGGTCAAGGCGCTGCTCAATAAGCTTGCGATATAGATTCGACTTGATTTCAGATCACACCTTCCACTGGGCGAACAAGAGCATCAACGAAGAGGGCGGGCGGACCCTCATCCTAGTCGTCCGACTGGCGTTTGAGCATGCGACGGATAGGGCTGCTTGGAGAAAGATGTATGCGCAGCTTTTTGGAAGATAGATGATGGAGCAGATCAGGCCGGAGGTTCAGGGATAATGGGATCAATAAGAAGGAAAGCCTATTGCCGGCAGTCAGCTCCTCTGGATGTATTTCCTCAGCCTGTGTCAAGAGGATATTGACCGCGTGTGGCTCTGAAGGGAGGCTGCCCCTGCTGCAAGGACCTCAGATGACAGGATGAAAAAATCTCTTAACGAGCACAAGGGCTCAGAGGAAGCTGCCGCGCATGCGTCCTACGCTGCACAGAAGGTGACGCGCCTTGGTCTCGGTCTCACAATGTTCCTTGGCGAGCTGTTCAGGCTGCAGGCAATCACGGAGTGTATTATACACGAGCGTGCAAATAAGCTGTCGTGCGACGTCAAGCACCTGGGGAAGAGGAGCTTGAGAGTTTATGCCAGCTATTGCAGATAGACTGAGGTAGTTCGCCAGTCGCTAGATACGAGCCGGGCAAGGTCCTAAATCATGTCAGCTCTCGTATACAGTTCATGTTTCAAGTGAGCAGAATTTCTTTGTCTTGATCGGTTGAACTCATCATCGTGAAATTAGGGCGTCATTGAGTTGCGTGACCGTAAATGGATCAGATGCAAATGCTGTTGCTACAGCTATGACGATCGTTACGGTTCGCGAGGCCATCCCACGTTCTTTACATTCTCCCGTGCAGTGCTAAACGTGCAAGACCAATCTCGATCGGGAGTCGGCACGCACTCATGCCTGGTATGCGCCTGACACAGCACCCTGCTGGCACCCAAGTTCCACAAGTCCCCGACTCTGCTCCCTTCGCGGTCACCTTGGGCAAAGGGCGCGTCGCAGAGCCGTTCATCTTCATTTGCATCTCCAAGAGCTAGTTCTCACTCAAAGCGTTAGGCCAGGGCGTGTCCGTAAGGGATGGCGTCTCAGTCCCTCGAAATAATGTGGGATCAGTAGTACAACCAGGTCTGGTTTTATCCTCACGCTGATGCCATGTCCAATTCTAATTGTTACTTGTAGGATCTGTTGTTGGATCAATAGATTGATGCCTCGGCCCCGTTATCTTTATTGGCAGCCGCCAGTCCTGCCGTAAAAAGTCGAAGTCGTGCAGTATTTCGGATCCGTACCCGCTATGTCTTCCGGCTTTGTAAATGGCAAAACCCTAGCTTCTGCATTAGCCACAGCTTCGTCGAAGCAACCTCCAAAACCCTCTTCATCAACTGTCCCCACCGCCCACACCCTACATCGATATCACAGAAAAGGGTGCCCGCATCATGACACACGAAGAAGGCTCCGCAAATCATTATCAATTGAGGTCGCTGCTTTGACGTCGAATAGCGAATACCTGAATGCAATTGTGGCAAACAATAGCGTGCGGCTGAGGTTACTTGAAAGACGTGAGACTTGAGAGGATAAGCAATATGTGTTCATGGTAGGGAAAGGGGGAGTTGAGGTGATGCTGACGGAATGCGAAGCGAAGGTGAAAGATGCACGAACGATTTTGACTATGGAATTGCCATCGTGTATCATAATGAGATTAGAATCGTGAGTTGATAGAAACGGCCGCTGAGCTTCCTCATCTCTAACAACTCTACCATCATCCGTGTTTTCGATACGCCTTTCGTTTATTGGCATTCTCATATTACGCACGTTCTACTGCTCTGCTCGATACGTGTTTGTGCGGCATGTTTTGGCCGTTCTTTTCTACTTACTAGTACTTAGATATAGCGGCATACTTACTGCATAGACTTATTGCTTACATCAGCATGTCACAGGGCTTGTTCGATTTCCTAAGTAAGGAGCGTCAATCTCTTGACCATGACATTATATTGCCGGTTGGAGTGGACGTACATCGTATATAGGGTCGCTCTCGTTCTTAGCAAGTTCGCCCACCATCGCGCGATTTCGCCGGGAATGTCCACGCAGGTCTCAACATCGTCTTCAAAACACAGCCCATGGCAAACCATCAGGGCGCATCTCAACTTTTTCCGCATACATGTTATATTTTTGTAAGTTCGCCGTATAACACCGCTGTCTGTTGGTATCACGGAATTTGATGACATGTATGTTTAGTACTTTGACGCCCCTGATATTCTCCGGAATCCTTTATGCTAGCAATGGCAAGTATCCAGTTGCATACATTGATGCACTATACAATTCAGTCAGCGCGATGACCGTCTGTGGTCTCGCGACTGTGAACTTGAGCCAGCTTACCGCTTGGCAGCAAGTGTTGTTATTCATCCAGATGTGTATTGGAAACCCAGTGCGTTCCTTGGCTTCAGGTACACGTGATACTTCTCTAACCTTGGCTCAAGGTCATCGTGTCGTGGGTGATGGTGTACACCAGGAGGTTGTTATTTACAGCGTGCGCGTCAATGATATTCACTCCTAATCTTACAGGCACTACTTTGCTAAGACATTCGATCATATTATTGGGGTAGAGGCTGCCCAACAGGCCGCGATCAAGGTGGAACAGCAGCTCGCCACTGCGTCTCTGTCTGCAGGGAATCCTGTCGGCAGCAAAGGCGGGTGGTCCCGCCGCTTCTTCCGAAGGAAGACCGGCCTTAGTACGGTGCCGGAGGATTCTGCTAGCGGTGATGCTCGAACGGCACCGAGGGACAGCGCAAAGAAATTGAGGCCCGATATGATCAGGCGCATGGATGGACAGCCCAAACCGGTCAACCCGAGCGGACGGATCACAGAAATCGGTACGGTTCCTATGAAGCATTTTTCGTTGAAATATGTAATCAGCTTAGATACGCAAGCAGGAGAACAAGGGCAAGGGCCCTCTCCTCATCAACTTGCGTTCGCCGATGAAATAACTCAGTCTCCGACGCAGCTTGAGTTTGAGAATGATGTCGAGATCAAGAACCTACATGTAGAAACTGTCAACGCGGGGCCTGCGGATCTGAAAAGAAACGCCTCGTAGGCATCTACAACACCACTTGTTCGTACCAGCGAGCCTGACATCTGTTTTGCATCAGTGAGCGCGCACGTCGTCTTTCCGATTCAGTAAATCTTGGGGAACCTTCAAATTGTGGGCCTGAAGCGGGTCAGGGTGCTGTAACGTCAGCTGCATCGACTGGAATGCCTCGGACAGCAACTATCGAGTTTGCACCCACTGTTTCTCCTTCATATCCCCCTCTCTTTCCTGTCGGTAGCCGGACCGGTCACTCGGATTCCCCTGAAATTTTATCAGATATTTCAGTTTCAGGGTTCTCTACTCCCCGCCGTCGTCGTCGCCGTTCTTCCGCAGTCCCCCAACATTCGCATGTGCCATTAGCACAGCACCCAACCATTCAGACACATCGATCTAGCGATACTAGGCGCGTATCGAATTCGCATCATTTCGACCCACCGCAGGAGCAGATGCTACGGGGGTTCGGGGGGTTTCCTATGCCGCACGAGCTGCTGGGGATGCTGTTTGGTTGGCTGTTTCCTAATACCAACAATAGACTGAAGAGAACTGTAACGATTCCCGTTACTACTACACTGGCAGGCGGTGGGCTGGGACGGACTATGAGTGGCGCTGCGAGTATCCCTGGGAGGCCAACACACGGCGGAAGCATTAGCGCTAAGGAAGGTACGAAGCCTGTAACGTATATTTCGTTCGACGCCGTCGTTGGGCGGAATTCTGCGTTTCATTTTTCGACCAACGAGCAGCTTGAGGAGTTGGGTGGAGTTGAATATCGGGCGCTGAACGCGCTGCTTTGGTTAGTTGCATCTGTGAGTCATCTTGTTCTCAGTCGTCCTCATCGACTTAAAATGTCTTCGTAGTATCACATGGCCGTACAATTGGTTTCCTTCGTGGTGATCGCTCCTTACATGTCATTGCCAAAGTGGGCAAGCAATTTCGAACCTCCTGCCCAATTTAGAATAATCACGGTTCCTTGGTGAGCAGCGTCTTACGACGCTAAGTAACAAGACACCAACTAACAGAACCTGAATGTAGGTTTTCATTGTTCCAAGTCGTATCGGCGTACACAAATACCGGAACTTCTCTTGTCGACCAGAGCATGGTGCCCTTCCAGACAGCCTATCCAAGTGAGTATAATATATCATATATACTGGATGATACTGACATTTTCTCGATTAAGTGATCTTTTTTATGATCTTTTGTATTTTGGCTGGTAACACTGCATTTGTGAGTGTCAGTGAGCTCGTTCTAACAACATAATAATCATTCATTGTCGTTAGCCAATACTGTGAGTTCGCAATCCGGAATGCATAACAGTTCTTACTCAAAAACAACCTGAAGGCTCCGGTTTCTCATGTAAGTATGCTATCTCTGTGATAAACTTTTTGTTCATCGTAGGAAGTTGGATCATCACAAAACTCGTACCGAGGGATTCTCGACTGAATGAAACGCTGCATTTCCTCCTGGATCATCCCCGCCGATGCTTTGTTTATCTTTTCCCTTCATATCAAACTTGGTTTCTCCTTACGATTCTGGTCATTATGAAGTACGCACACCTGACGAGTATCTCTACGATCGTATACTGAACTCGGCAATATAGCCTTACAGACTGGTTTTGCTTTTTGGTCCTTGATATTGGTAATCCTGACATCGATTCCATACCTTTAGGAACAAGAGTTGTTGCTGGACTGTACCAAGCTATTGCTGTTCGTGCCGCGGGGTTTGGAATAGTTCCGCTTGCCAGAATAGCTCCCGCTGTCAAGTTAGGTTGAGCAATCATCGTCTGGAAAAAGCGCTAACTCCGGGGAACAGAGTCATATATGTTATCATGATGTATGTTAGCGTATGTGAGTGCCTTAATTATCTTGGCAATACACGTAAAACTGACTGACGGTCAAGATCCCATTGCACTAAGGTACGTTCGCCACTGGCAACCGTGCAGATAGGTAATTATGATGCTTATTAATCTAGTGTCCGCTCGACAAACGTCTACGAAGAGACAATCCCTGGGTATATACGATGATGATGATTCGAAGGATGAAAATGCCTTTTCAACCGCAGGCCCAAGGATGACGGTATGGTCTCGGTACTTGGCCATGCATGCACGTCGACAACTGGCATTCGGTATGTCTGATTTTCTCGTCTAATGATTTGTCTCACCCGGCTATCAAGACATGTGGTGGTTGTGTCTGGTAAGCTTCTATGCAGTCGCCGCGGGGGAGTAGACTGAATTTGTCTGACGTAGGCGCTGGTGTTAATTTGTATCATAGAGGTAAGCAGCCCAACGGCGGAGGATTCGCGACGGTTCTAATCGGTCGGCTAATGGTAGCGCGGAAACTTGGATAACACAGAGATACAGGGCTGGTTCAATATCTTTACTATCAGTATGTCCTCATCTTATCGGATTGTGGCCTCTGCTCAATTCCAGCAAGTTTTTGAATTAGTCTCAGCATACGGCACTGTCGGTCTCAGTCTTGGGATACCTACCGTAAGTGATGGAGATGCTATGTTACAATTGAAGTATTCTGATTTGCTGTGGTAGGAAAATTACTCGTTTTCCGGTGCCTTGAAGCCTCTTTCAAAGCTCATATTATGCCTCGTCATGCTTCGTGGGCGACATCGTGGTCTCCCAGTAGCCATCGACCGCGCAATCATGTTCCCCTCCGAATTTCAAAAGACGAACGACGAGCCGCCCGTCCCTGTCATGCATGATGACAGGCAATCAAGTCCCCACAGCGAGTTTCTGCATACTCGCGACCCCCTTCCAAAAGAGGACGGTCTCGCTTCCAGCAACGAAGGCCCAATTACATACAGGGACGACTGAAGGAAGATGAGAAGCGGAGTGGCAGCTATAATGCACTTGTTGAGCCTGGAAGGCAAAACGCGGGGACGGAAGTATCTAGTATGATCCTATGCTCGCACCACGGTAACGAGTTAACTTTGCCTTCTACTACCCAGATCCACTATCAGACAAATGGCACGGTGCCACATAGACATAACAGGACATTGATAAGTGCGTTCTTCAAAAATCTACAGGGCCGAGTTAAGATAGACCTCCGAGGATCTATACACCGCAAAAATGTTGTCAGCAGGTTTCGAACCAACTTCGAGAGAAACAGATTTTAATTCTGTTATGGTAATCACTTAGCTAAGGTCAGTTAGATGAATGACGGAGGAAACCATCTATCTCGAGTCAATCATTGTCACTGTGCCGATAGAAAAAATTAGCTGTCACAGGGCAAGTTTCGAACCTGCACAGTCCAAGAGTACAGATTTTAATTCTGTTGTGGCAACCACTGGGCTAAGACCAGTTATGAGCGTCCAAATCATGCGCGAGTGAATGTCAAGGTGTGTTCCGATAGAAAAAAAAAACTGTCACACGGCAGGTTTCGCACCTGTCCAAGAGAAACAGATTTTGATTCCGTTACGATAACCACTTGGCTAAAACCAGTTAAGATGAACGTCCGAGCAAACCATACACGAGTGAATGTCAAGGTGTGTCCCGGTAGAAAAAACACTTGTCACACAACAGGTTTCGAACCTGCACAGCACGAGTCCAAGAGAAACAGATTTCAATTCCGTTGTGCACCGGCAACCACTTAGCTAAGACCGGTTAAGACGAAGCTCCGAGGAAACTATCCATGAGCGAACGTCGAGGTGTGTGCCAATACCAAAAAACCTTGCCGTCGGCAGGTTTTGAACCTGCGCCGTCCAAGAGAAACAGATTTGGATTCTGTTGTGGTAACCACTCTGGCCAGGACACTTCCCAAGTTGAGAAGAACCTCTGAAGAACTGTCCATTAATGAATGTCAAGGTGTGATATAAGGGAAAATAATTTGTCGGCAGGTTCCGAATCCGCACCATCCACAAAACATGCCAGGAATAAGCGAGTCGGGGGCTGGCGCCGCAGCTGTTGCGATACTAGTAGGATTCGCGTTCATCAAATTTGCAGGTATTTATTGATGTGTGGCCGAATCTCAGGTAGGCGCATGAGTGTCTGCGACGCTGGATTAAGACCGGTTGAAACGTAGTGAAGTATGCCAGAATATGGATGGAAAAAATGTCGGTATAGGATAAGCAGGTGCGTGGATACTGACCCCATGACATGAATGAGATCATATGATGTTACCTGGAGACCAGAGGTTCCTGTAGCGATGACGAGTCACACCATGCATAGAATGCTGTCAGGTCTTGATCCAGCACCTAACCCTCGAGTTACGTTTCACCTCATAAAACTGTATGCTCGTCCTAGAATCACATATTGCTTCGTCATGGTTTGTGTGATCAATGCGTCAACACGATCCTCACCTTATTGGACAAACTAGCTGAGAAATTGCAACACATATCGTTGCCTCTTGCCTCTATCGCAGGAAAAGGTAGGGAGACTATGCTTCCCAGTTGTCCCAATTGAGAACATTCCTGTCAGTTCAAGTGGTCAGCGATCATTGCGATGTCCTCCCGACTGCCTTCAAGTCTGTGGGGAATCAGTTGATGATATACTTACTTGCCGCCTGTCAAAGAGAATAGGAGAATGCCAACAGGCGTGGACAAAGCGTTGGCTGATTCTGGCAAGATGCAACGGCAGCGCACATTAACTTGAGGATCTCACTTGGAAATGATACACATACCTGAGGACTCCGTCCTTCTTCGAACGAAAGGTGGAATGGACAGGGAGATGGATGTCTGTCACATTTGTCTGGCTATCTAGACAGACTGACACATCGAGATGACGAGCGCGTCAATAAGCGCCTTGGGGCAGATGTCAGAACGAACTGCACGAGGTTACAAATGACGCGACACTCCAATAAATTGAAACAAACCAGCAGAAACAATGGCCCTGGCAACGGGTCCCGAAAGAAATACGAAAGATGGAATAAAGTCTCCAAAGATTAGGAAAAGCCCTGGATATTGATGACGAGGCGGAACAGGTTGACAGGACCTGAATCGTTCAAGATAAGCCAGATCTGAATCGCTCCTTCAATAGCATAATCCTACGAATGACAAAGACCCCACCTCGCTGACACGCAAATGAAGTCAAACGTCATACTGCATTTCCCTCGCTAATGCTGATCTGCCAGGTAAGTCTGGCGCCAGCTCGCTCTGAGCCTAAACTGGTACCACACGCATGACCGGAATGATCAGAGTTTGATTTAAGGGACATTGCACAGCGATGTACCCACCTAGAGCCTAGCTATTTGATGGTCTGTGAACAAAGTCTCATATGTACACTGAAACAGTAGGCCGGCATCTGACACAACTGAAAGGGAGTAAGTAAATCGCGAGCGAGTGCACACGTAGACACACAAGCGTTTGCAACCACTGGCAGCGCACCCTAACAGACGGTTCTAACTGTGTCGAAAGTAAAGGGGCGCGCTTAAGGAGACAAAGTTGGGGTGGAGAAAGCCAGGAGAATAGGCACGGCTTTGCACGCGGACTGACACATGGGAATACGTTTGAGGTGGGAGTCGACCAGATGAATCTTCAATCGTCGGGACTTGGGGGTGCCGAGACAGCGTACAAGTGATCACTGAATCTGGAATCCAACGAACAGAAGCCATTTAGAAGTTATAGTGCATGTGTCTTGCTGCTGCGCCAATGATGTACGAAAGTTCCAAAAGGCCGTCCAACTTGAAGGAGAACAACTTCAGCAACTCTCACGCCGAGTGAGAGTTGACATCGACTGGACGAATTTTCTCCACCTCGGGCCCTGGTCTAGTGTGAGCATTTAATAATGGCGTGTAGGTCTCTTCGGCGAATTAATCGGTCCAGTGAGCACCATTCCCAGACCCTTCTCGATCTGTTTGCTCGCAGTGCTGTCACTTGTGAGATTCAGCTGATACCTCTTGATATACCTCCTCGTATATATAAAGTTGGTACACGTTCAAGTTGTGTTCCTGTGATGGGCCAGCCCATGCGAAACTCTACTCTATAATAAGAAACCTATATAAGGCTGTCATTCGGGACCACTTCGCGGGCTCTTAGTAATTCCCCCCATCCCGGTAACTTTTATGTTCCGCTGTACTAGCGAACCTCTACGTCTACTAGCATGAGTCGCCTATCTCGACTGGTAGGTAGATCTCCGCGCTGGTCGGGGTGCTGAAACCATGCATCACTGCAACATGGGAATTCCAAGATGCACAATGGTCGCATTGCAACTCTACCCGGTAATTGACACCAGTGGTGAGTCTGAATTATTAGTAGTCAGGGATGTACCTGGCTAAATTGGTCCAATGCCGATTATCAGGCCAATCATGCAACAACGACTAGCGCTCGATGAGTCGACGATGACCCACGAATTGTAAACGGGACCAGAGTCTCTGGAACCGCAAGTATCGGAAATTGAACTCCCCATCGTGGTTTCGAGTTCACGACCTGAGATCATGACGAGTGTGATTTTTGAAACGTCCGGGCGTTCGAGTTCCGTGCAACCAATATATATTGCAGAAGTTCGGAGAACCACTAAAATCTCCGACAATCCAAGGCCGATGCACAGGAGCTGTCACCGACATTACCTAATCAAAATTTGGCATGGTGGTATATCTAGCACGAACATCATTGTCGAGGCTTTATATGTCCCCACCAAGTCCGTCACTTACTGACAGCCCGACATCAATCCCTTGAATATGGCCTTAGTCTCAAATGAACCAACTTGGTGGTCGCTGATCAATGTCTATCGTGTATCCAGCTATTTCGTAGGTTCGTGGACGATTATGGTGATATCCCACTTTATCTTTGACTGCCATGGCTTTGTCACGTAGTTGCATCCGCTACTGCAGTGGCATACGACTGGGGTGAGCGAGGTAGTACTTATTGAATTATCAATGTCCTAATGGTATTCACCAGTGCTTACATTCGGACAAGAGGTAGTGTCATCATTAGAGCAGCTGTCTCGTTAATAATGGTTTATAGTTTGAACTGGTGTGGGTGAGCAAGCTCCAATATAAGAAGAACAAGATGTGATAAGACAGTGAATTCGGCAGAGGCGACGCTGGTCCCTTATGACTGTCCTGTACTTCTGCGTACGTGATATAGCTTGTGTTATGAGCGCAGCTGACAATACTAATTCACTGTCACTTCAAATTGTTTAGGTGCGTTGCTTTGGAATACTATATTCTGCGTATGTGAACAAGGTTCGCAAGTTGGGACCAAGCTAATACTAATCCCCCATGATCAGCCTGAACATAGCATGTACGTCTTCTTACTTACACTACGTTCCTCCCTTCCGACCTTCGGTATGTAGCAAGTATCCAATCAGTCTCGTTGACAGATGGAGTCAGTATTCCGTTGTCATCCATTGGCATCCGACTAACGCACTCCTACACAGGAGTGAGTTGGCTTGTCGGTCCAGTACAATGACTGACTGGAGTAGATGTGAGTTCACTGAAGGCATCGAGTTCTTCAATTCTCAGTAACTGTGTTTTCAGGCGCTATTATTAACTTCACACAATTGTGGATCTCTTTTGTTGTAAATGCCATGTTGAGCGGTGAGCTATTCAGCTACAGTACCTAGGTGAAATTGACTTAATGAATACATCATGCAAGTCATCATGATCACTCGGCTATATGCCATGTATCAGCGATCAAGAAAGATGCTCATCTTTGTTGTTGTAACCTTCCTGGCTGTCACGATTGCTTGCGGAGTGATCGCCGCAATAGGAAGCAGCTACATTTCATGGGGTAGGCTTTGATTATCGGTGAAAGATTGAATCACATCAAGCTCATATGGACAAACACCAGAGGAGCTCGTGCTCACTGGTACACATCAATGTTTTCGCAGGGGAGAGGTCCAACTTCTGACCACCGTGGCTTGGATACTCGCCACTATATGGGAGCTCCTCGCACTTTGTCTTGCGGTCTGGATTGTTGTAAAACACTTCCGTGAATTGCAACGACCATCGAGAAGGCGGCGGACCATTGGGAACTGGTTCACAACGCTGATCAAAACTCACGTGCTTTATTTCGCAGCGTGAGTCCTCGATTTAAATAGGATTATCTTTTCCGACTGAAGTTTTACATGCTAGCTATGCGGCTGTTTCTTGTTTTCACCCTCGGCTACCTGTCTCCAAAGATCTCAGTGCGTCAATCTGTGATACTGACTGTCATCTGGATCTGACCACGCTCCATCGTTTCTATAGAGCTCATCGTCTGTTGGAGCTGAGATCTATAGTGGCGTTCTCGAAATCATCACGTTCCTGCAGATGTTTGTGCTGGGACCACGTCTCATGCTCAGTGTTCGAGAATATCACGCCAAACTCACGACACACTACGATGAAGGAACTGCCATGACTACGATTGCTTTCCAGGAGCACGTACATGTGGTGTCAACTGAGAGTAGTTTGTAGCGCGGGAACGCTCCCAGTGGTTACACTTGTTGGGCACTCTGCAGGCAACATGAACATTCTGTTTCGTTGTGGTGCTCATTTGATATTCTAAAGTAGAATTAGACATGAGAAAAGCCCAAAATCATGTTGCGTCACAACTTCGGCCCAGACTTGCACACAGCTGAATCATGCGACATGTCAATCAAGCACTTTGGTGCTCGATACTTCATGCAGGTCGACTTCGCTCTTACCTGCGATGAAAAGCCCGGAAATCTCATCATTTTTTGGCATAAAAGAAACGAGGCTGGAATGTTCAACGACTTTTGCAACTCCTCAGTGGTTTACACTGCGAAGGAACGCACTAATTATTGAGCCGATCATCATCGACGGCAACTGAAAAGGAATTGCAGAGCACAATGCGTGGACGAGGAAAGTGAAGCAGGACTGTCTGGGATTGGTTGCGGCGGCCTGTGGACGAAAATGCTAAATATAATTTCGAGTATCACAACTAGTAAGGGAGGTCCCTGAACTCGAAACAAGTAACCTCTGAACCGATAGAACAATAGACTTGGGGCTTACATTAGATATCAATCTACCTATAGATGTACATAGCTCCAAAAGTTGAATGGAGGAAGAGCGGGGGAATCTGGAGGAATCAGTCATTTGCAAAGCATTGTGTAACTGCAGGACCAGAACAAGCACGATGACATTCGAATGACGGACATCTACGGTGGTGTGCCGTTGTGTGGTGCTAATAGCTGACAAATGAACGTGGACCGCCAAGGTAAGAAGGTGTGATAGCACTTCCAGCGTAGTTTACCGTCAGTGACACGTTACGGTCGTTATCATGATGTACATGCCAAGCGAAGTCAATTTTTGGAGATAAGTCTCAAGAAACCACGAACAAAATTGACGCCTTCATTCAAAAAGAGTGTTTCATGAAACATCTGCCCTTGTGGCGAGTGCGTGTCTTCTTCTTCTTTGGTCGTCATGCTTGGCACCAAGCATCGGTATCAACAGGCGGCACTACTGCTGTGTCCAACGCTGTAGTCCCATATGATTCGGAATGAAGCTTAATCGGAAGGCTTGACATAGCACCCGGCCTTGCCAAGATAAAAATTGACACACAGAAGATCATTTGGTGCGGGTTTCCGCACCTCTCTCATGAGCGTTTCATTCCCAGCTCGGCGGCCGACTTCTGCCACTGGACCAGAGCCTATAAGCATCTCGATCTCATAGCGGTCTTCATTAGTACTTGACTCGGCGGCGTTGATTGTGCGAGGGCGTAGTTAACGAGCAGCTATCGATGTATAGGTTCCAGAGTGAGTTACTCGTGTGGTGTTCGCTTTCCCGGTAGCCGGAGTCGTCAAGCGCCGAGGGCAACTCAGCGATAAGTGGGATGTGGACAAGGAGGAGTATGTGTAATTTAGGTAAGAAACCGAAAGAAGCATCATGTGAGTGTAAAATTGCCACGCTTCAGACTCGTGACGGCAACACGTCAATTCATGCTATTGTAGGCTGAAGGAATCTGCAGGTAGTTGAACTTTCAGACGGCCAGCAGCCTGCTATACCGCTCGGACATTGACAATCCGCAATCACTGCTTGGTGACCAATCATGAGTCGGTACAAAGTTGAACAAACAGTACTTTCACCGCAAATATTGCGATTATTCATGATCGATCTATTGTATGATCATCGAGTCAATGTACCCGCCCGCACCCGCCAATCGAAGTGAAAGAGTTCATGACGCCGATGCTGCTAGTTCGCCAGACAGATTCAGATGCAGCATTGGCACGACTATCTGCAGTCAGGAAAGGCTATCTGACCGACCGCTTCATCAGTTCCCTGTTGCCTCGGGCGCAGCTACAGCCCCTGCGGTCACCATTGATCAATACGGGTACCTATGTGCGATCCGAAGCCATCGACAGACTCGTGGAACAGTGGCTTGAGCTCTCCAAGCCGGAGGGGCAACCTTGTCAGATTGTTAGTCTCGGAGCAGGGAGCGATACACGATTTTGGCGTTTGATGGTGATTAATGGCTTCCTACCCCCAACGACGAGCTGACGGTGAAACGACTAGTAGGATGGACCCTGGAAAGAGCAGATTGGGGCGTATTTCGAACTCGACTTTCCGGACGTGACCCTGAAGAAAGCAATGGCCATTCGCAATCCGAGAAGCGGGCTTCAGCACTACTCTTGGTCATTCGGAGCTAGGTCAGTGAGGTCGCCCAACGATGTGCGGATAACCACTTCTGCAATAATCCTTGTAGATCTTGGGGGGCAGGCTTTGCACTCGTCCAGATATCATCTTTTACCATGTGATCTTCGCAACCCCCCCGGAGACATTTTTCCAGGGCTCTTCAAAGAGTATCTGTCACCTACTCTTCCAACACTTCTATTGTTTGAATGCGTGTTGGTTTACATGTCTCCGGAGGCCTCATCCATATTGATACAATGGTTCGTTGACTTCTTCAGCCCGAGCACCCACACTCCATCACCAGGTGCTCTGGGATGCACGGTATATGAAATGTTCGGGCTGGAAGATTCCTTTGGGCAGGTCATGATGAACAATCTTCGAGTGAGTCATCCACTTTGACATTGACTGTCTGATCTTAGTGCAATGTATCACATAGGCGAGAAATGTTTCTCTTCCTGGGGCGAAGCCATATCCTTCATTAGAGTCTCTGCCCTCCCGTTTCTTAAAGCACGGATTCACTTCTGGGAAGGCACTGACCCTTCGTAATATCAGAAGTAATTACATAGAGCCGTCAGAACTAGAAAGGTAAGTCTTCTATGGCATACAAAATACAATTCAATGAATTCCGTTTACCTGTATTTGACACAGAATATCTAGCCTTGAAATGCTTGATGAGGTCGAAGAGCTCAATCTCGTTCTTGAACATTATGCGATCACATGGGGTGTGAAGGCCTCCTCATCAATATCCCCATGGATTGAATGGGGCTTGCGTCCGGTCAAACAACAACTCGCAGATACTGTGTAGCTTGACTAACAACAGGTGCATCCTTCTGGTCCATTTGGTTATCAGAATCCTTTTTGATTCATCGACCAGCAGAGGCGGTGCGCAGCTCCAGACTCGCTGGAGGAGGGCTTTATTTTGATGATCGGGTTTTTCTGAGTCATTGTTGTGCTGGGGGTATGCTCCATGAGCTTGATTCGGCCCATCAGATGATCCGCTGTTTTTGTTTGTCTCTGGCTTCCCTCGTTGACGCTGGTCATTAGTTTATTATCATCTGTCGAGTTGTCCTTGAGGATGTTATGTAAACAAATTTAGATTCGATTATTGTACAGAATGCGTGGTGACGTGAAAGATTTGGTAGGTCTTGAACCCGTTTGGTTTTCGTGGTTTTCTGACGAATTTCGGTGCGCTCTCGTGTCTCTTGGTCTTCTCGGCCTGGATCCGACGAAATCGAGACTAGTCGATGCTGATCTGATCGGCGAGCTCAATTGTGATCCATACGAAATGATGGCGGCACGCTGTCTAATTATAGCTGTTACTCCGTCAGCGAGCCCTTGTATACAACATATAGAGTAGTCTGTAGCCCGGCAATATCGTACTCAGATTTAGAAAATATGTCAGGGAAGGCAGAGAGCTCGCACCTGGCGGTTGTTTGTTTTATTCCAAAACTAAACAAAAGCAGTGGGTTTGAATCTGACCTATCGATTTGGAAATGGCTGTAAGTTGAGCCGTATCTTATGGCACACAGATAAAATGCAGAGTGGAAATCCGCGAGTCGGGGATGGGTGGGTCACCGTGGGTGCTTGCACCGTAACTTACCAATATTAATTGGTTCCTAGTGTCAAATGTTCCAGCAGATCCGGAATGATGAAGTTCTACTCACTGGTAATCTTCTATGTAGTCTTAGTGAGTACTAGGACAAGCAGAGTATAAGATACGTATAACCGTTCTCCATGAGGGCTGCTCAATTCTGATGAAGTTTGAGTTCACTGGGATCTAAATCCGATTCAGAGCACTATCGCCACACTTATCCTAGAGTACTCGTACCTAAACGTTAACTTTAAAATTTATGCAAGGGCTTACGGCGCCAACACTTAAAGCACATCCTACTATACCTCGTCATTCATAATAACTCTCAGCAGACCCAACCCTTGTCTAAACTTTGTTAAGTATAGATTTCGTTTTTGAGACGATTAGGCTAATATTCATGAACATACTAGTACATATAATATACTCCAGGGTCAGGAATATCAAGGGTTAGCTTGCTGAGGGTCAAGAACGTGAATGACGAGTTTGGGATGTGCTTTATAAAGACTGCTTATAGATAATTTACCCCACCAAGTGTTAGCGCTGCGCGCCGTAAGGTACGAGTTCCGCAGCCGTTTAGAGGTTTGGCGACGCTTAGCGGTGCCCAGGTGAACTCGAACTTTCAGAATCGAGTAGCCTTATAGTACTGCACCATTGCGCCGCGCCAGTTTTGCCAGAGGGCGACTTCGACGGCACTCGGACCATCTGCTGAATTGAGCAGCCCTCATTCAGACCAAGAGTTGTTCGGTTTTTTTTGGCGCTAACTGCTTAGACGAACGCAACTCATCGTGTTCCAACATCAACACATGTCTATTTACACAAAATAATTGAAATCGACCTAGCATTCGAACATCTAAATCTTGCAAATGATATACAGCGGTATGATGGGGCTCCAGAGTTCAGGTCGACGCCACGGAAATATCTACAGCTTGTTCTTGATCTCTCTGAGACGGGCACCTTGAAGTCGCTCGTCTGAAAGGGCACTGTATTAGAATACCAAAAGAAAAGACACAGGACTCACAGTTGCCCTCATAAAGGTTATCACTGGGGACAGAGACTATGTGCAGGTGGATGTTTGAGGAGTCAACCATCTCTGGCACGACTTCCTTTATGTTGCGTGCCCCCAGCAAGCGCATGTTCATTTCAAACTCGTCCTATGAGTCAGCGTAATGAGAGGACGTATATTTTAGGGGAGAAGAAACACACATGCAAAATTTGAAGGGCCTGGTCGATACCTTCAGGCCCATAAGACGAGTACGCATACAAGAATGGGCGACCGACACCAACTGTTCAGGATCAGCATAAAAATGACTGAAGCATTATTTGTATTGCATGGATGATCTCCTAACTTACCAGCTGTAGCACCCAATGCAACGGCTTTCATCACGTCAGTCGCACGGCGGACACCACCATCAACGAATAGCTGGAACTTCTCATTGGGAAACGACAGTCCACGTTTCTCTTTGAGTTTGGTGGTGACTTCAACGAGTACTTCAAGACCCGACCGTGCGAAGTCGAGCTGACGTCCGCCGTGATTCGACAAGACGACGCCACTAAGCCCGATGTCGTATGCTTCGAGTGCGTCCTAGTATAAAAAAGTGTGTAAGGCTCGGTACCAGGAAAGGGCACCTAAAGTACCTCCCAACATTGGACACCTTTCAAGATGAGGGGCACTGTAAAAGTATGAGATCTAGCAGTTTTTAGACAAGTGTTTATGCCCCATACTCTTAGTGATACTCTTAAACCATGCCATATCAGACCAGTTCAATCCAGGGTCGATGAAAGACTGTCAGCCAATATGAGCCGTACACCACCACGGAACCCTAAATATCACTCACGCTGATAGCTCGTGCGGCTCCCTGGGAGCGATCAACCCCCCCTTGGTCCGCCTTACTCACCTCCGACGGATCTTCAGCTTCAAACTTCTGCCGCATATCTTTCTCTCTGCGGCCGAGTTGTGGTGCATCAACCGTAATGAACAGACCTTTGATACCACGTTGCTCGGCATGTCGTACTATGCGTTTCGTAATTTCGCGATCTTTATTGACATAAAGCTGGAAGAATTGGACCTGGCCAGGCGCTGCAGCGTCCATGATTTCATCGAAGGAACACGACGCAAGGGTTGGTATCTGTAACGAGCACGGTAACGGCAGTTCAATAACATGAATGCATCAGAAATGCAGACCATCTGGATAACGCCATGCTTCGCGGCTGCCCGCGTCAAATTCAACTCGCCGTCAGGATGGCCCAGCTTTCCCAGAGCTGTCGCAGTCTGTAGAATAGAACGTTTAGAATATAAGAACTTAATCGGAAAGGAAGAATGTACGATGTACAACGGCATGCTTGACTTGTGCCCCAGTATTGTCGTTGACCAATCAACTTTAGTGACATCTTTAAGAATTCGTGGACGGAACCATATCCTGGGGTACAGAACTTCGATCAGAACTCCACACATTAGTTTGCGATCAGATATACCTATGAAAGGCAGCATGATTCTCCCTGTTCGTAATTTCGTCATCAGCTGCTGAGGAGTAATACGCCCATGCTTTCTCTGGCATAGTATATTTCGCAATGGCCTGTCAATACATAAGTATATGCTCTGTCCACATGGCAAAGGCAAACCTCAAAGTCATGAAGGTTCAAAATCTCGGAAAGGGGTGGGCGAGCAGCAATGCGTTCTTGACGTGCACGTTCTTCATCAGTAACCTTCACCTCAACCTTCTCCACAGTTGTGAGATCAACGCTCCCCAAGCTAACGTGAGTGAGTTACGGTCACAATCACGTCAATGGGAAAATACCGACTGTTTCTCAGGTTTGAGGTTGGTCGTAATGGCATCTGGTGGATGAATTGGGTCATACTCTGCACTGCCAGAATGGCATAAGCAACAAACAAATGGGGTATGGAGAATGACGTACGTCGCGTCCTTTCCAGCATACTTCAAGGATTATCTTGCTTCCACCTGTGGTTATTAATCAGTCGATATGCATTGCTGTACAAGAGAGGTTGTGTTTCACCAGGGTGGTCTGTGCCGAAACAGTTAGTCCAGAGTTGATCACATTGCAATGTTACATACTCACCGTCTAGGAAGTCTGTGACATCATAAACCTTACCTACAAACAAAGCTCCAAGTCAGCCATTCGTTTTTGTTGATTCCGAGGTAGACCAATAGAGGGCTGGAATCATGAGAGATATGCACCCACCATGTACAATGATCCAGCAGCTCTCGCGGCTGTTGTGCACAGCAACTTCCTTGCCGGAGTACGTCTTGCCTGAGCTTGCCATGGTGGTTGTCGCGTTGTAATGAGAACCCGAACACGACGGTCTTGAACAAAGGGTCACTTACAAGTGTATGGCGGCTAGACTCTGAGGTCATGAAGAGCCGACGGAGCGCCGTGGCCGACTGGATGCCGGATGGAGTATTTCTGGAGTCGGGGACCCATTCCGGGAACCTGTGATCGTCGCACATTCGCCGAGTTTCCACAAAAGAAATCCAGGTGTATTGCATGCATTTGTTGCTTGTAGAGAGGTAAAGAAAAGTCTAATGATAACAGCGTAACGATACCGATGCTGATGGCCCCATGACATCCAGATACAATTGAAACAGTCGGAAAAACGAATTAGTGGAATAATAACGAGAGCGATATCAAAGTCAAAGAGGCTCTAAACGACGTCAAACGAACTACCTCCCGCCTTTGCGTCTAAGCTGACGACGTCTTGGAGACCCATGACATCAAAGAAGGCCTTGGGATCCATGCCCCTGGCCGATGAAAAGTCAGTGCCAGTCTTCTTCAGGGATTGCATAGCAGCACGAATGCCATGCACAGCAGCGACGCAGGATACGAGTGAGAAAACTGAAAGCATGTTCAAACATCCTTTCTCATGTAGGTAGTGTGCTCCACTTACTGATGATCTTAGCGCCAAGGGCCTCGGCCTCTTTGGTAGTGAAGGAGGGTGTTAGACCGCCAGAAATAACATTAACGAGGACGGGTTTAGGCTTCAAGGCTTCGACCGTGGAGGTTAATAGCTCGGCGGTTTTGACGCCTTCAATGAAGCAGACATCGGCACCGGCATCAGCTGCCAACTTCAACCGAAAGACGGCTTCTTCCATGCCAAGAACTTGAGCGGAGTCGGTACGTCCAATAATGACCTATTAAGATGAATTAGATCAAACATTAAGAATTGTGAAGTGTCCCTTACGAAGTTCGAGTGACCGGGGAAAGAGTCACGAGCAATGACGGCTGCTCGGATACGGGTAACGAATTCCTCTCGGGAGACAACCTGCTTGCCCATCAAGTGACCACAACGTTTAGTTTGTACTTGGTCCTCGATGTGCATGCCAGCAACACCAGCACGGATGTATTGATAGACTGTGCGAGCAACCATGGCAGTACCACCGAAGCTGAATCGAGCAAAGGTGTTAGCTGAGATGTCTGCACGTATATAAAATGTGCTTACCCAGTATCGGCATCAGCGATAACAGGAGTGCTTGGGCTTAAGCTGCACACCATCTGTGCACTTTGGACGAAGTCATTCAATGTAGCGATGGCAAGGTCGGGCATGCCAAGACGTGAAGCGGTGGTTGCTGCACCACTTTGGTACATACAATCGAAACCAGCTTCGAGTGCGCAACGGGCACTAATACCATCACAAATACCAGGGGCAATCTGGTAGGACAACTGAGAATACCTAATCTACAGAGGAAAAAAAATACTTACAACGATACCTGGCCTAGCAAGCAATTGACGAAGACGAGTGGCAGCGTCAAAAGAGAGTTCTCCCTGAAGGAAGTTCTTCGGGTCGAGGCGGGAGTTGTAGTAAACATCAGGTTTAGGCGTCAACTGGGGTACCATGGAGGCACCATTATCTTCGGGCTCTGCATCGGGGGAGATTTGGACGACTGGGGTTTCGCTCGACTCGGAGCTCCTGAAGAAATCAAGTCCAGGTGCCATTGAGAAGAAGAAGTTAGATAAATAGATATGAAGGGTGCGAGTGAGCAACAGTTTGAAAAACTTGAAGGAAAGGTTGGAATTCAATAAGGTAGATGAGTGAAAGGCAGTTTGGCAAGGAAGGGAGGAATGACATCAATTGATTCAATGTGTACGTCCTTATAAGCTTCGGGTAGTTACAAAAATTTCGAATGTTCTGTGTTACGCGGCACCAAAAACCCGTAAACCGGCAGAAAAGGGTAACGTATACGGTGTCAGGGATACAACTCATACAAGCTGCCTGCGGCCACATTATCCTTGATTCGATTTAGGGGGTTTGATTTGGGCATGGAACAATGAAAACAGCTGCGGAGACAAGTGGCGAGAGAAGATGCATGAAAGGGGAAACCACGGGACACACCTATCAGACAGATGCGGAGCAACTTGGCAAGGAGAAACCGAGAAGGATATGAGGGTTGGCTCCGAGATAGGCTGCCGGCAGCAGCCAAGCGAAATTCAAAGCGAAATTCCCGTAGGCGGCGCTAACTCAGGGTTGAATTCAAGTTAATAACCGGATGTCTGACAGTCGGACAGGCTCAAAACGCACAGCTCTAAACCCAGCACATCGGCGTTGTTCAGCAAAAGGCATAACCGGAGCATGTGGAACAAAGCTTGGAACCGACTACGTAGGACACGGACTGGAGGTCACTAGCACTGACGGTATTTGAGCGGAGATATCTAATCCAAGCTTCACTCAAGGATAAAAAAAAAATACCTAAACGGTTAGCCGTTCTCTTGAAAGCACATGGCACAACCGGTCGAGTAACTTAAATATTCATCAACTGGGACCCTTGTAACTGGGAATTTCAAAAGAGTAAAAGTCGCTGTGACGCCGTTAACGTTGAGCACTACAGTATACACTAGTCTGCAGCAGTACTAGTGCAGAGACGCTTGTATAGAACTATTTACATTTCGAGGGACCGAGTCGTCCAAAAAGGTGAGCAACAATGAGTGTCCTTGATTTGGACGCGACGTGGGTGTAGCCTTTAACCCTAACCACTAACCACACCAGCCACTGACGCACCTAGGTCATACATTTGGTTCAAATCTGAACGTACGGTAATATCAATTAATCAATTAGTCACCCATGATGATCATATTATGCAACCTGAACATATGTGTTGACGGCACATTATGCTCGTTTCCGTGGACCAAGGTTTGCAGAATATTATCCTGAGTATTTCGCCCAGATCGAATCTGCTACAAAATGAATTCTATGTGCATCCCATATGGCTCAGCGCTTAGCGAACCCCTCCCGCGGCACAAAGTCGGCGTTAGGGGGGTTAACGTTGGGCATTTATGGACATCCCTTTGGATCATGATGAGACACGGCTTACGTACATCGGTCCACCGTTTCTGACAGGCTCGCGATTTGAGAACATGTACATAGAACAACTTGCGGATCCAGAAAGTCTAGTATTGATGATGTAACGTGTTCATGACGCTGTCGTACTTTCGCTCAAAGTCCGTATGCGCACCCCATTTCCCTTCCACTGTCCGGTCTATCCCCGACCGGAGTGCGCCATCCGATCCGCTCGTACGCTCATGATCCCCATCCATGGCGGAAGGCAATTTGCTCCTAATGGTATGCTCTACGACGTAAATCGTGTATACGATCTCCGCACATTCCGCTTAGCAGGGCTCAAAAAGTGGATAAGATGAGTTTTTGCGAAACTCGAAGATACTACCTCCATTAAAATCGAACATTTGCTGATATGTCTCTAATTTCTACTCGGACAGTCGCTGAGCACGCAACTGCCTCAAGTTGTTGGATCATCGTGCACGGTGTGTGGTTCGCGCATCAATTTATTTGGCACCAAGTACTTATCAACAATATATTACACAAGGCAAAGTGTACGATGTTACAGATTTTTTGCCTGGTACGTCACTGGACCATGGCATAAAGTGAATGATGCCGCGTTCTCATCGCATACCGCTGGTTTTTCCAGAACATCCTGGTGGCAGCAAGATTATCCTGAAGTATGCCGGTGTGGATGCAACGTAAGGATCATCGCGTTCGTACAGGTCTAGCCTAATGAGGAATTTACCGGCTATCAGTGAAGCATATGACCCTATTCACCCTCCGGATGCCATTACGACCCACCTACCGAAGGATAAGCAGTGAGGAGCATTCAGATTTCCGAGAACATTCTAATGACCAATCGTGTTATCTGCGCAGCCTTGGCGTTGTCGACCCGAACACTGTGGTCAAGGTTATCAAAGAAGTTACTGCGGAGGAGAAGATTCGCCAAGAATTGATGATGGCTCGGCCTTCCTTGGATGAAATCGTTAATCTGCATGATTTCGAGGTCGGTACTTCGCGTCAGCAAGATCCTGTGCGAATTAATCACGCGTCTGAAAGGCAGTCGCAAAAGGCATTCTCCCTCCTAAAGCATGGGCCTACTACTCTTCAGCGTCTGATGATGAAATCACCATACGCGAGAATCGTGCAGCATACCAAAGGTTCGCCCAGCGTTGTCCATAATTAATAATTGAACTATGGTCTCACCACATTTTCTAGAATATGGTTTCGTCCCCGTGTTCTTCGTGATGTTTCGGTTGTCGATTGGTCAACATCCATCCTCGGTTGGAGATCCTCGCTTCCAGTGTACATTGTAAGTACTTGGCATTCCCATAGGTCGTAAATAGATGTAGCCTCACCCGGATTTGCCAGTCTGCTACAGCACTTGGCAAGCTCGGCCATCCAGATGGAGAACTGAACTTGACCAGAGCGGCCGGAAAACATGGCGTAATCCAGATGGTAACGGACAATTTTCATCAAATTGATGCTGGCCATTGTTGACCAGCGATGCAAAGATTCCAACACTTGCATCTTGCGCATTCGATGAGATCGTTGATGCTGCGGTCCCCGGCCAGGTCCAGTTCCTGCAGCTCTATGTCAACCGTGACCGGGAGATCACAAGGAAGTACGTTCAACATGCTGAGAAGCGTGGTGTGAAGGGCCTCTTCATAACCGTCGATGCCCCTCAGCTTGGTCGCCGTGAGAAGGATATGCGCATGAAATTCATTGACGAATCTGGGGTTGCGAAAGTCCAAGAAAATCAATCTGGAGTCAAGAAGGACGAGGGCGTTGCCCGTGCCATTTCCGTAGGTCCAAGCAAATCTTACGTGGCGGATGATATTGAAAATTGTGCATCGATCAGTCCTTCATCGATCCTTCCTTATCGTGGAAGGACATCCCCTGGTTCAAGAGCATCACGAATAGTCAGTACTTCTGGGCCGACTTGTAATAAATTATATCTCACGCTTTCATCTCAGTGCCTATTGTCCTCAAGGGTGTTGCTACACCCGAAGACGCACTCATGGCCTATGACTATGGTCTTGCTGGAATTGTCCTATCCAATCACGGTGGTCGTCAACTCGACACGGCTCGATCCGGTGTCGAGAACCTGATTGAGGTTGTTGCCGCTCTCAAGACCCGTGGTCCTTGGCCCAACCCTAAATTCGAAGTCTTCGTTGATGGCGGCGTCCGGAGAGCTTCCGACGTCCTCAAGGCTATCGCCCTCGGGGCATCTGCCGTCGGTGTCGGTCGGGCATTTATGTATTCCTTCTGTGCCTATGGACAAGACGGCGTTGAAAAGGCCTTCCAAATCTTCCGGGTGAGTCGATCGGGCGATGACACTATGCATATCCGATAGTCACTCCCAAATATAGGACTGAACTAGAAATGAACATGCGCCTCCTTGGTGCCCGCACTATAGATGACCTGACACCTGACATGGTCGACGCAAATGCCCTCCACTCGCACGTTGGTCTCACTCCACCAGATAACCTATATAACACTACATGTGAGTTCATGCCATTTGATCGGTGATATTCCTTCTGATTCTGTGTTTCGAAGATCAACCCCTGGCGCTTGCCCAGTTCAAGAACAAGCTGTGAGACTCACGACATTGGAGTCCCGCATTTGATTTTTGCACATAGCATTCATCTTTGCTCTTGATTCCGATTTGGTCGCATTATTCAGTTATACTTCGCATGATACAAATGATGCCTTTACCCTATAATGCATTCTCATATCCCGCACATGCTAGATTCTTATTATTGAAAGGAGGACCGTTCGAGTGGTCAAGTGCTATTTCAACCTGACTGAATTATTCCATGTAGTTGATACTATCATGATGTGTGCTGGCTCGATTGAGGCATGACTAAGTAGCCATGCCTGCGAAATAAACAATAGCGCCGATGTATGACAATGGAACACGATTTGAAAAAAAAAAAGGAGGTCCCGGATATTTGACTCCAAGGACATACTCAGTAAGATTAGCGCCGGCTCCCAGACATTGAGTTACAGGGTCACCTTCTGAAACACCCCTAGATCTTATATTATACTCGTAGATGATGATTCTTGGCATGATAGATAAGAATGAACCGGCCAAGTTGCTGGGCGTTCCGAGTCAGTCATTGCTGAATTAGTCTATTGGAGCTCACATGATAAGAGTTCGTAAGCCAAGCCTAGGACAATTGTACCTCCTGGGACATGCCAACCTTCTGTTGTTCCGCTAGTAAGGATCATGGTGTCAATAGAATCATGGGAGCGTGTCGAATTTGATCGGCTATCTAACATCAAATATGTAATGATGGAACGTTCGATCCTGCGGAAGAGGCGTAGCTATTTTGACGCGGCCGCTGAGCGGTCTGCACAGAGGTCGGCGGAATATAAGCCATCATTTTACCTGTTCTACTTGTCAAATTTGAGTTCTCAAAGGGTATCAGTCGAACGGCGCATCCGAACAGTCGTGGCAAGAGATGATGTCCCCAAATACCCAGCGGTTGATATGGATGATTGTGATTGCCTATCTCGATTGAATAGAAAAAGTTGAATATATGTTTGATTAATTCCTAGAGGATGGTTAAAATGAGTGCACCCCGTATCTCAAAGCACTCACGAAAGACATATTATATATGGATTTCCAAAAGTGCCATATCGGTTTTTCTCTAGGTCATTGAAGACAAAATAAAAGGATTTTTTTTTGCTAGAAAAATGATTTCTCGGAGTCCCGCTTTGTCCATTGCACAGAATGCTCAGTAAATGATTTTATTACAGCCGATAGACGACTACAGTGTACAACGTCTAGTAATTCACCGTTAGAAAAAAATTGGAAAATCAATTATTATGACAGATTGAAAATACACCTACGTTAGACTAACGGTTGAAATGCTGACGCGCAGGGTGGGTTTGACGCGAAATAGATGAGGTTTGACGCGGCACAAAATGTTTGACATGGCGTGCAAGTAGGCCTTGACGCAGCATAGGTAAGTGTGGAGGTTGACATTAGTAGTCATACGGAGGCTGCGAATATGTCGGGAGAACTTATGGTATGAGTGGTGCTTGACCCAGCCTGAATGAGGCTTGACATGGTAGTACAGAGGTCGCATCAGACTTAACAAGGTGGGGCCGCGGCTTGACGCGGTAAGACAATACTTCACATTGTGTCTGAAAACCAATATTAGATCACTTTAGAGGCAATACAAGATGGTCTTACAGTACTACCAATTGATACATTCCCGAGCAGTATTCCAGGTGCTGTACGCAGATGGACATTCATATGTTGATCATTAAGGAGGATTCAAAGGATTTTGCGAGCGACATAAGATGGTGTTTGAACATGATCCTATACAATCGATTTGCGACAGTACAGCGTCACGACCGCGGAAGCAATTAGTCTGTAGTCCGCGGGCCCGCGGCCATGTAATACTCCGTCCACCTTATGCAACTTGCTCGGCGACGACACAACGTTAGTTTAATTAAACCAACATGCTAATACCTTTTGGGCCTGCGATCACAGGTCTCTGTAAATTTTCCTCCGCTACAAACTATTCCACGACCAATGATGTCCGTGATTGGGCGGCAAGACCACTGAGCGGTGATTATATGTTCGCGATTGATGTAGAATGACTGTTACCTGTTAGACAATAAGATGGTCCCCTTGATGATAACTAGACCGGCGAGCAGTCATCTTCAGCGCAAAGTGGGCGGCCCGAACTCAACTGCTGTCTCTAGAGGGTCACCATCAGTGTCTTGCACATACTGCGGTCACGGGATTTATTTACTTGCCGCTCCACACGGCGGTGGTACGTATCACCCAGTCTTCAAATTTTGGTTTACAGACTGAAACAAGAAGCATTGATGAATACACAATATGAGAACACGAAAGACACCGATCTTGATGCATCGAAGTTTTGGCCCGCGATCCAATGTAGAGGCGAACCGTTGTCAATAAGAAAACAACAGGTCATAAAACAACAGAGCAAGACCATTCGTACAAGTAGGAAATTTACCTATGGTGTGAAAGCAATCCAGGAGTCGGCGTGACGCGTAGATAAGTTGCAGGTTTGCTTCAGGAGGTCAGTATGTGATCTGCTGTTTAACAGGTCGTGGCGTCCATGCTGTCGATGTGTGCGACTACCTCTTCATGATGGATGTTGTTCCCCCATTTATTCCTGTTTGTCTTTGGTATTGTACCACGGCCCGGCAAGAGTTTGAATCATCACTTAGGGAAGGCACCTGAGGCCATCGTGGCACATCACGGATAGATGCTGGCGTCAAGCATTACAGACGTCACTAAGCTTGAGTTGAACGTAAAATGCGGCCAAGTGCCACGCTAATGATCTTCAAGGCAATGATAGAGCCGCCAACTGTTACGCCGTATGGTGCGCAGTTCGTACAGAGGGGGTGTTGCCTGAGCATATTCCACACCAGGTCTGACCATATGCATAGTTGTTGTAGTTACTCAGTAAAAATGACGGTGCGCTAGAGTAACGGCAAAAATCCTGCTTACTCGAAGCAATGACCTAGATGCACATGTCACAGCAGCTCCTCGTGCACATTGAAATATCTGGACATGTAATGTTAGCTCTCTGCATACGCAACTGATAAAAATTGCGTACCGCACGACCTTTCCCATTCCGCGACATGTTCCTGCACCATCTTTTTCCCATTTCACAATCCACCGTCCCACAATCTTGCCCGAAGCATCGAAGGTTTCCGCTATTGTTTCCTCCTCGCCCGGTGGGCCACCTTTCACTGCCATGAGTGCGTCCTCTTTTGGCGGTGGCAGTAAGACGTTTTGCACGAGCTCCCACTTCGCAAATGGTCGCTTCGTCTCTACTAGGAAGTCAGCGTCATACACACGCGTGACGAGCCTTTGTAGCGTAAGCGTGAGCGTGGTCATCTCAATGCCTTCGATATTGCCATTGTCGGCTGGCGAAAGCCTTCGCAGGTCAACGACATAGGATGCGCCAGCCCACCCAACGAGGGCGGTCGAGATAGAACTTGTGGAAAGTGCGGTTGCTGCTAAAGCAATTCGAGCAGGCAGAGGGAGCGATGATTCGACAATGAAGATGAATGGGGTCATAATACATGACAGACCCAAGGATGAAAGAGAGAAAATTTTGAGACGACGGAATGTCTGTGTAAGTGGACCATGGTAAGCAACCGGCTCAGCTTGGCTATCTACGGAAGAGGGTGTTTTTGTCGAGAACGCAGCATCGTCTGCTGTTAGAGGGGATGTTGAAAAATGTCGACTCCGAGCGGTGAGCTGTGGCCGCTGCCTCTGCGGATCACAGGGTGTGGACCAAAACTTGAAAGCTCGTGCAGATCTGCAACATATCACGGAGCCATTGAATGAAGCAAGCCGATGGGCTCGATAGCTGGCCAACCTGAAAGTAGTGAGCTGGAACATGATAATGGAGGTTCAGTTATCATGTATTTGTCACTGGTATCCAAGTTGGCCCGTCGGCGTTTTGCGTTAGCCTCGGCCCTCGATGGACGCACCAGTATATTATTCCAAGGCTGAATTCATCGAAACTGTAAGCGACGAACCCAGCGGATTCAATCAATTGTTGACACTGATCTAGGACACAGGAAACAAAGTCTCTCGAAGAGCCACCATAGCTGGACCTCAGAACATCATTCTCGGAGGAAAGACTATTATTTCCAGCGGCGCAATCATCCGGGGAGATCTTCGCAGAACAGGTCCTGGTCATGCCGTTGTCATTTCCCTTGGAAGGTACTGCCTCGTTGGCGAGGGTTGCGTGATGAGGTGCGTTTTACTTGGAGGTAGCATATGCATCTAACTTGGAGGTTCTACGATACTCCAGGCCACCATACAAGACGTATCGCGGAAATTTCAATTACTACCCAATGAAGATCGGGGACTATGTTCACATTGGTGCCAATACCGTTGTCGAAGCTGCGACGATCGGGAATCATGTTGTCATTGGGAAGAATTGTGTTATTGTAAGTCTTCCTGACCATCAATACACGATTGTCTTCAAAGTTCACTGGGCATGTCCTGCAGGGAAAGTTTACAATCATCAAAGATTGCGCACAGGTGGCAGACAACACTGTCATTCCTCCCAACACTGTTATTCCAGCTCTGGCTCTATTTACTGGCTCGCCAGGCTAGTGATTTTTAACGTTTGCTTGTATCTCATGATAATGATGCCGACTATATTTCGTAGGTCGCTTTGTCGAAGATTTACCAGAGTCTACACAAGAGATGGTTGAATCCCAGACAAAACAGTACTATAGTCGTTTCCAACCTTTAGAGCGATGATTAGGCATCGTGATCCTCTAGCCTTAGCCCACTTACCATCACTTCTACCATCAGATCATCCTTATCATGTGTGACCTCTGGATAGTCACGGTATTTTGCATTGCACCTGTCTGTCTGCCTGATCCACTTAACATGACATCTCAGTTATGCTACTCGTATCCTTCTCTCCCATGGCTTTTGTCGGCACTGCCTCGGAGTCAGGCTCAAATCCCTTACCCACACCAATAGGTTGAAGTAATGCAGTGTGTACTTGTGTCTAATTTAATGCGCAGCGTCTCTAAGCACTACGAGACTCATCAGTACGGATGCCACGGGAATACAGGTGCAAGATCCTCCCGCGGTGCAGCCTGAGGGTGACGAGTCGTTTGGGTCAGAGATTTCAGTACTGCTCCCTATTAAATTATTACTACACGAGATCTTCTGAATGCGAGAAGCCCAAGGGTCCACACTTTTGTTCCAGTCGACCCCGTAGATCCAATAGGATAAACACACCACTTTATAATTAAATTGCATGCTTGGAAAAAAAGGAAATTCCTGGTTGTGATCTATTATCATGTGGGTAGTATTGTCAACTCCTGTGCTACAGAACTAGAAAATTGAAATAAATTGTCGACTTAAGAATTTAGGTAAGAGTAGGAACTCACTATATCTACATCATTTACTTGGTTCAGACTGGTTCACCTCTCGTGTTCGAGGTCGCAGTGAGGGGAACAACGACTTGCGTTTCTGTAATGGGGATGCTGGTTTGTTGCCACCATCGTTGATGTCGGAGTCGGCATGTTTGTGGTCACGTTCGTGGGCGATGGTTAAGAAATTGACGATAACAGCCCACAAGCTGTTAGCGCTCATATGACTGTACTCTTGTAGGACAGCTTGATCAGCAATCCGCGCGAGCCGTCTAGCTTCATCTGTATCTCGCCGCGATATAATGCTACTCGGTGGAGGACGCTCATCCATATCCAAAGCCCAGGCCCAACTCCAGCTGGCAGAGGCGGCTTCCAGACCTTCTTTGATACCTTTCACAGTATCGTGTGCCTTCCCCTTGCCATTTTTGGTCGGCGAACCATGCGAGTCTTGAAGTTGTGCAATGTTCTTCACAACGTCTTTTCTCGAAAGCTCGAGGTTGCGCTGACGTTGTTTCTGGATGGCATGTCGCTCTTTCGCAAACTTTTTGTCAAATTTACACTTCCCCTCCATATAGCGTCGCACGGCGAGCTCCGAGAGAACTCCTATGATTTCCGGGGGAGTATGAAATGCGTCCAAGTCTGCCTCTGGTTCCAGTGCTCGAAGTACGCCGGAAGTTGACACCCTTTCGCGAATCATGCCTTCCTTCCAGCAGAGGCCACCCTGCGAAAGAATTAGGGACATCAGCCTGGTTTTCAATAACACACTTTGTAAAACATACTTGGTCATCGCAATATACCCTACTCTCTCCTGCAAATCGCTGTACATTATCAGCGGAGTCAGACACACTACCCTTGTCCTCCTTGCCTCCCACGTTTACGTTATCCGAAGATCGAGCCCGCAGTGTGGACTGGAAAAGAGTGTTGTCAGATGCAGACTTTGGCACACCAGGTCGAGACAATGGAGGGAGAAGAGATTTGGATGAACGCGGCGAAAGAGCAACGGAATCAGGAGCATTGGACGACGACAAGCTATCTGGTTTGCCCTGGATACGATTTAGGAATTCAGGCGTAGACAATGCACGGGAGAGCAGAGAAAACCCGACGGCGGTGCGAGAGGCTAAGGCGCTAGTAGTAGGTGAGACCATCGGACTGGACGAAGATCTGGACAGTGCGCTCATGCCTGTAACGTGCTTTGTAAAAGATGCAATTGCGCGGTAGCAAAATTTTCCTGGGGTAGTAAAAGAGAACAGGACCGGCAAAATGTGAGCCGTATCTAGGGCGAAAGACTTATTTCAGGCCGCAACGTAAATGACATTGCTCACCATCATAGACCTGTAGATGAACTGCAGTTGGACTGAAACGGCCTTCTATCCCCTTGAGTGGCGGATAAAGAGAGCGTACTTCTTCCTTGAGCGGATAACGGGAAGGATGTGCAGCTTTGTGAGCCCTTCATAGGCATTTTAGATGGTGAACGGGTCAGAATGTTGACGACTAACGAATAAATAGCTTCGTCTCTCAAAACCTCCTTGTCGCTCGCAATAAAGAGCAAAGGCGGCAAGCCACCCAGGTACGAGAGGGCCGGACTAACAAGTGGGTGTCCGAGCAAGCTATTTTGGGCATACATGTGCACCTGCTCTTCTATCACCAATAATTCACCTGAATTGGTTAGAAGGCGTATGTCCTGATCTTCTTTCTTGTCGACTGACGGTAGTGCAGCAGTGGCGCCCACGTTAACAGGCATTTCACTGCAAACCGATCTTTCGTCCTCCCCGGTTAAGTTAATCAATGATACACCCCTTGAATCCTGATGTACGCTGACATTTGAGGAAGCCTCAGTGTCGTGTTTATCATGTTTCGGTTCAAGCCGAACCATCTGACGTATCCGCCTGCGCAGCCCAGAATGGACGGTGCTGGTCATTTCATCCGATGGCGGAGGCCACAAGGGACTAGGTTTCTGGAATGAAAGTCCATATACAGGAATGACGTCCTACGTATCATGGTGTTAGCATACTGTTGCACAATTTCATTGACAGCCTACCGTGGCAGTGTTGGTGTGGATGCTTGGGAAAGAGTGTGTTAAATCGCACCAAGGAGAAATCAAGATCCCCCCTGCAGGTAATGGGAGTCCAGTGTCGCGCAAAATTTGTAACAATGCGAGGGTGAGACCGCCCCCTGCAGAATCTCCTGCAAGAACGATATGTGCTGGCTGCACTGGCTGGTGGGACGCATCAGAAGGAGGTTTGATCAAGTAAAGATCTACAAGGGAGGGTCTTTTAGAACGTTGTGCTCAGAATTCTGAAACGACGGTACTGACAAGCAGCAAGAAGATCTTGTAAGGCGCAGGGAAAGGGATACTGCGGAGCCAGGCGGTAGTTGATAGCTAGCTTCTGTTCAATGACAGTCAATAGGTGGTAGTGAGAGGATGACTGACCAAAAACACGGCCGTTGATCTTCCTTGCATGTCGCTGGAGACTGTATCTGAATAACCTCCGTGAGTTTACCAAAGTTGCTAAGCGGAAAAAGAAGAAGCCAACCTTTCTTGATCAACGCTCCCAAAGTAATAACCCCCTGAGAACTGTCGTTGTATGCTTTAAATTTAAGCAAAGACACAACACACCTCCATGGGCGTATAGTATGCAGCGCATTTCGTCCATTTCTTCCTTGTAAATACTACTCTCGTTTGAGCTGGAGGCTGGCAGTCCACTTGGAGTCGAGGTTTCACTTTCACTGGTGGGTATTTCCGTATTGGAGTTCTCTTTATGTTTCGCTTTGCTCCGCTTCTTCGCCTTTTGATAGTCCTTACGAGCCGTGATCCACTCAGCATCGATACTAGATAAATTGAATTGAGTAAATGATTCCTGATTCACAAGCGCAGATATTATTACCCTTTGACTCCACGCACTTGCCACCACTTTGTGCCGCCCACTAAGCGCTTGGCGAGTTCTTCTCCACCAAGTGCTTGGATGACGTAGCTGGCAGCCTCATCGCAGCAGGATAATGGAACTAACAAACGCACGACATGAGATGAGGGAAGAGACGGCGTCCGATTATTCGAAAATGCTTGTACTTCCTCCACGGTGTGACTAGGTCACTGTCAGACACACGTATTCGCGGTCGGGTTTGTGCACGCACTATGTCGAGGCCTGGAGGAAACTCTGCATTCTGCCCTAAGTTCGGGGGTACTTGGGTGATTGACTCCGAAACGTACCTTGACGATATTGAACGCTTCATGGTAGAGAAGTTCGTCCTGGTGCAGCTGTGTTGCAAAGTTGGACTGCTGTGCATTCTCCTTCTTGATACGATCGAAGTAATGTTTGACCAACGTTTCCAGTACTAGTGGTCCCAGTCGCAGTCCCGTATTGCGCGTCAGAGAGTTTGACATCGTCCCAATGGTTCACCAAGGTGGAATGGTGCGTGGAATAGTGCAATTACTAAACGCCTCGATGCCTTCCACGGGCCCTTGCCGAATGACGGGCTACGTGCAGCTTAGAGCCGACAGTTGGTCTTCTAATCAGAGAGAAGTTCAAATAACTATAAGCTGGAACGTGTAAAGTCTACTGAGGCGACCTTGAAGTTCGGCGCGGTGGTCATGAAGAGTTTCAAATTGCCACATGGAACTATTTGGCGCATTGCCTCAGTGCGGCAGCTGACCTAATAATAATAATAAATTCGGATTAATGGTTCAGCGCTACATATAGCAGTTGCCACTGCCAGTACACATAATTATGACATTGTACTTTTGACAATGTCTCCATCAACACAAGTAGCTGATCATCGGCATCGGTCATCAACTGGCCCCACAGTACCTCAAAATTCGTCCGAATCTTGACTCATGTCTTGAATCCTTATTGTAAGTACCCTGGCAACTCGATATCTAACTTAGGATGAACAACATGGCGAGCCTTGAAGCGAGCTTTGACGTACATTCGTTCTTCTTGTCTGGCATGTACAATAACTTGCATGACATACTTCGTCACCATGGTCATTTTCCCTACTCAACGATCAGCGTTGGCGGGACCTACCTCAGGGCACGATTACTCTCGCCTTGTCCGAGAAACATACTTAAGGACTTACCCAGGCAGCATGGCAATCATCATCTACTTCCTGCCTGCTATCCATCCCAACTTCAAATCCATCCACCAGCACCCATTGTTGTAGTCATCGATACTATTTTCCAATGACTTTTGATCTCGCAAATATCTATGTACCTGATCTGACAGGAAGGGTCGTGACGACTGGCAATCACGCAATCGGCAGGGGAAACTTCGCAGACGTGTGGAAGGGAATCTACACCCTGCCAGATGGTAGAGTCACTACAGTACGTGCTGCTCGGTCACTGGTGACGTGTAACACAATCATATTAACTCATCGATGTAGGTAGCGGTGAAGATCTTGAGACCAGCGCTGTTGTCAGACAGGCGTCTTGCGACGAAAACCATACGGGTATGTAGACCGTTTACTCTTGGATTATCCTTGTTACTTAGTCTGTCTTTGTCAGAAAATTTTGCGAGAGGCTAAAGTTTGGAGCACACTGAATCATCCCAACGTGGCTCGATTCATCGGTGTGTGTTATCAACAAGAATCAGGAGGGTATTGTATCCCCCTCCTGGTATCGGTGTTTTATGAGAGAAGAACACTGAAAGATAATCTGGGATATATCCAGAACGACCACCAGAGATTGAGACTGGTATGTATCTATTTCATTCGTAGTCGTGCATATTCAATGATGCATGGACAGCTTCGCCAATTTTTTTCTGGATTAGCATATTTGCACCACAAAAATGTGATCCATGGAGACCTCAAACCCGTCAGCCCACAATTCCTGTTTGCGGGAATAACAACTTATATTCCTTGTAGACAAACGTTCTCCTTGACGACTCTTTTAATGCAGTTTTGACGGATTTCGGCCTTTCCCGTGTCCTCGAAGCTTCTGGTTTTACAACGACGAATATAAAAGCGGCTGGCACGTTTCGTTACATGGCGCGCGAGTTGATGAATCCCACGTACCATTCGACGACAGCACCGCTACCCACCGTGCAATCAGATGTCTGGTCGGCAGGCATGACGGGTCTAGAGGTGCGCTAGAGAATCATTGTCACTAAAAATTGCAGATACTGAGTGTGTTACTAGATTTTATCTGGCATTGTGCCGTACGCCGATAAGACGGGGGATGGCGAGCTAATCTATTGTATCTGTCAAAGGGGAATACCCAACAGGCATCTTTACCCTCGAGTACATAGTGAGACATGGTCAATGCTGAAGGCCTGCTGGGAAGATGAGGGGAGGCGACCGGCTGTGTCCGATTTGATAAGGTACTTGGATGGCCTCTATCCAGGCTTGCAGTAAGCCAGACGATGAAGCTGTCATATGTGTAGATATAGAACGTACATAGGTTATATATAACACGGACTTAGACGAGCAATACTATAGTTTCGGTTTTACGTCAATAGTGAATCCGTCGTCTTCTAAGATCGACTTTGCCAATTGACCAACTAAAGGAAATAATTGTGGGTAAATGAAAGCTTTTTCCGAGCTTGCCTGCCGCCGCGCATATCTGGCAGCAATACCTTGCACGATTATGGCAAGCTTAAAAGCAACCAGGTCAAAATATGCTGTCCCGTATACCAGGGTATAGTACGTACCCGGAAGAGCATCCAACTACGGACAAAGACCATCTCCTTAATGGGATATGGCTGGTTGGTCAGCCTACAGTACTCGCGCTCAAGGTCTTCCAAGGGTATAGGAACATTGTTCGTAGCATTCTTGAACGGCTTGATGATCGTGAATTGAGTGAGTATGGAATCCTTAGGTATATGGCGAGCGTCGATTGCCCATGGTTGGGTAAGGTTTGCGAGGTCAGCGAGCTACGCAGTGAACTCAGATCAAGATGCAGAAGGTGGCGATCCGTGGACGTACTGGACTACCCAGGGTACACAACTCCCAGTCCAGTATGCCAATTACCCGGTTTTCTGTTGGATGAAATATCATGTTATCAAGCTTGTAATCTCCATGGACAATCCGCAGCCCAGTTTTCCTCTCGTCTGGGAGGTGCCTCTGGTACCAACTGATCATTTCTTCAAAATACGGAACATTTCCTGTCGCTTTGCTTGTCTCGATATCGATAGCCTGAGACTGAGCAACCGATACACGTGTAAAGGATTTGATTTGACGGGGGAAGTAATCAGTCGTGGGACCAAAATTCTCGAGACCTAATTGGAATGGGTCGAGAGAGGCCAATGCTGCCAATGAGCGGACAGCTGAGAGCCAGCTTGGGGCAATCAGACTTAGTATCTCAATACAAAAAAGAGACGACAAAGAGTACCATTCTCTTCGATCCAGCTGCGGCAGTTCCAGCACCCTAGAGTCCGCGAATATTCGCCCTTCGAGGTACTCCATGATATAGAAAGGAGTGCCAATAATGCTATTGTCCTCACACAGGACAAAAGGTTGCGGGACAGGGACTATCTGCTCTGGCTTTGTGGTCGGGCTGACGTTGTATCGATGCAATGCACTCAGTATGCGGTACTCGCGCTCAATTTGGTGAGCAGTTGAGGACAACAACTGGCCCGCTGGCTTTTTGCGCAACACAAATCGCTTGGCGCTGAAGAGGTATGATTTAGATGGGACCTAGTACCTGACGAAGGACAAGCTCATACCTTGCGTCGGTCAGGAAGTATGTGGGATTAGACTGAATAGTCCGATGTCACGCAAGCCTGTGCACATTGATTCATGAGCGTACCTGTCCAAACTATCCTGCCAATCAACTTGCAATCTTTCCTCGATAGATTGCGACCGCACCTTAAACTGCTGTACCTCTACGGGAGCAGCGACAACCGGTACATGTAATTTCAGGTACGCATTAAGCTTCTGGATGTCAACATTGGCGCGCATGGCACCATACTCGCCCCCGATACTTTTTGGTGCGCTACCAGACATAAAATCGAAGGTTTCGAGGTTAGAGTTGAACTCAAGGAGGTGCGGCGTTGTTCTACCGCTTCGCACAATGCGTAGAAGGCCGGAATCAGGTGCCGGGAACTTTCACACTAAGAGAGATAAACTGTGCCCTAGTAAAATTTTTAACTCCCAACTCACCAAAATCACTTACAAAATCACTATGATGATCGTTTGAACGTTGAAGAAAGTCCTATGGATTGCAACAAAATCAAGCTACAGTGCTTTGCTTGCCGGAATCCCGAACGTTCCACGTTTCTCGGTTTCTTTTTGGCTGATGTAAGCGTTACGCGGACTCCCTAAAATTTTGAATCACCGTGTCCAATTTGCTAGTCACCTTTTCGACCTCTTCCTCCATGTTCACTGCAGTTCGTTCCTTCCGCAGCGCTGTTGCCCGCACTGGCAACTATGCCGTGCGTAGTTTGATTATTCTACTGTCCGATGCATTAACAACCCATTTCCAATAGGCTCTCCCGCGGTCTTCGATCGCGAGGAATATGAATACCAAAGTTTCCGGTAAGCTTCATATCTCTACAGCCAGGCTCAAGTTGCTCATTTGCACTATAGGACCTGTCGTTGGTATTGACTTGGGTACAACGAACTCATGTGTTTCCGTCATGGAGGGGAAGACGGCGCGTGTGATTGAAAATTCCGAGGGTGCCCGGACAACACCCTCTGTTGTTGCATTCACAAAACACGGTGAACGTCTGGTCGGCCTACCCGCAAAGCGCCAGGCCGTTGTCAACCCTGCCAATACGGTCTTTGCATTCAAGCGGTTGATTGGTCGGCGATACAAAGACAAGGAGGTTCAGGAAGACGTAAAGCATTGGTGAGTCTAGTGTTTCACAGAATGTGTATGGTCGCTCATGATAGGCAGGCCTTTCCATGTTGTAGAAAAATCTGATGGTCGACCAGCAGTGGAGGTCGAAGCCGGTTCAAAGAAGCAGCAATACGTATGTCTCTTCCTCACCTGGATCCATTGTTATGTCCTCAAATTATCTCTAGTCTCCCGAGGAGCTGTCGTCCATGGTTCTTGTAAAGATGAGGGAGACCTGTGAACAGTTTTTCAACAAGAAAGTCAAGTAAGCCATCCTTGCATGTGGCACGAATCTCAGCTCATTGTCTTTAGCCACGCCGTCATTACTGTACCCGCCTACTTCAACGACGCACAACGACAAGCAACGAAGGATGCTGGTCAAATCGCAGGTCTCGAAGTGCTGCGGGTGATCAATGAACCTACCGCTGCTGCTCTTGCCTATGGTTTGGATCGTTCTGATTCGTCAGTTATTGCTGTCTATGACCTTGGAGGCGGTACCTTTGATATCTCAATCCTGGAGATGCAGAAGGGTGTCTTCGAAGTCAAGTCAACCAATGGCGATACTCACCTTGGCGGTGAGGACTTCGACATCATTCTGCTCAACCACATCTTGGCGGAGTTCAAGAAGGAGTCTGGCATCGACCTGAGCCAGGACCGGATAGCTATTCAGCGCATTCGTGAAACTGCTGAGAAGGCCAAGATTGAGCTTTCGTCAACGACGCAGACGGAGATCAACCTCCCATATATCACTGCCGATGCATCTGGTCCCAAGCACATCAACATGAGGCTTGGACGTGTGCAGCTGGAGAACCTCGTGGAACCTCTTATCAAGCGTACCATTGACCCGTGCAAGAAGGCACTTTCTGATGCCGGTGTGAAGACCAGTGAAATTGACGAGGTCATCCTCGTCGGTGGTATGACTCGTATGCCCAAGGTCTCTGACACGGTCAAGAGCATCTTCGGTCGTGAGCCCAGCAAGGGTGTCAATCCCGATGAGGCTGTCGCCATTGGTGCTTCCATCCAGGGTGGTGTGCTCGCAGGCAACGTTACGGATATCCTGCTCCTTGATGTTACGCCCCTATCGCTTGGTATCGAGACCCTCGGTGGTATCATGACCAAGCTCATCAGTCGTAACACGACCATCCCGACGAAGAAGTCCCAGGTTTTCTCCACTGCTGCTGATGGCCAGACCGCCATCGAGGTCAAGATCTACCAGGGCGAGCGTGAGCTTGTCCGGGACAACAAACTCCTTGGCAACTTCAACCTTGTTGGCATTCCCCCTGCTCCCAAGGGTGTTCCTCAGATCGAGATCACCTTCGATATTGATGCTGACGGTATCGTCAACGTATCTGCCAAGGACAAGGCTACCAACAAGGACCAGTCCATGACCATCGCCTCGTCTTCCGGTCTTAGTGACAAGGATATTGAGCGCATGGTTTCAGATGCCGAGCAGTTCGCTGAATCTGACAAGGCTCGTCGTGATCTCATCGAGGAAAGCAATAAGGGCGAGTCCGTCTGCTCTGACACCGAGAAAGGTACGTAATATTTCGTTATTCCCGTATCGTGCTAACATGCATGACTATAGCCATGAATGAGTTCAAGGACCAGCTTGACGCTGCCGAAAAGGAGAAGGTGACCAAGCTTGTCACTGAGCTCCGCGAGCTTGCTGCCAAGGGCCAGGCTGGCGACGGTGCTGTTACCGCTGAGCAGATCCGGGAGAAGATCAACGAGACTCAACAAGCTTCGCTCGGTCTCTTCCAGAAGGTGTACGAGAAGCGGAATGCTGAGAACGCCTCTTCGGAAAGCAGCTCGGAGACCAAGGAGGAGAAGAAGGATTAAGCACCTTCGCCCACCTTAACTCTCATCCTTACGCAGCTCCCATCATCTTTGCTGCATCTTGGTTTCTCCCATCGCATTGCTGTTTCGTCACAACACATCCATCCACTCTGCACTCACGCCCGCACGCATTTTTTCTAGATTATAAGAAAAGTACCGCTCAGACATACTTTAGTACTTACATGATTTCGATTTGTACTCGACCGCTGCACAGTCTATGTAGTCGTCGGGGCACATCTGCTTTTTATTACCTGATAACGCCCTCCCCGCTCAGTTTTGTATGTATATGCATAGGATTTTTGCACTGCATCGCAATTATTTCAGTAGCTCTAATAAGATTGATTTGTAAGCGCGGCTGAGTATTTTTGCACCGAAAACATGCTGTCCGTACAGCCTATGGCCAATACTCTTGATGTGTTTTATGCATGAAATGAGCTAGATGATGCGGCAATTGTGCTGAAAGGTCGGACTCGATGAATATTCGAATGATATCGAGCCTACCTACTACTGTGTGGCAAGCAAGCTCATGCGGAAAGGCAAAAGGTTTCAGGCATATTAATACTTTTCACGCAGAAGTCGATAATTGTCTTGCGACAGACGACGATCATGGCAACACTAAGCCGGAAGCAAAGTGCCATCGAACAATTTACTTCCGCTTCAACGTTCCTGCTATATTTAGACCACTATCTTATTGTCATGAGTCACGACCAAGACGAGTCCGGGGAAGTTGCTCTTTGCTCCACGTCTATGTATCACCATAGCAAAGACCGTGACAATAGCTGCAGCTCAAAACTGACTTTGGCCAACTGCATCTGGTTGCCGGAGTCCAGTGCAGGAAGCATGGGTTTCTTGAACGATGTGACTAAGGCCTTTTGTCTGCCTCGATCTGTTCCCAGCACCAACTTCTCTGAATAAATATGAGGCAGAGGGTAATCTGATCATTGTCTTGCTTTACGACTCCACAGCTGACTGGATCAGCTGCTTATTTTGACAGTACGACTCGTCAAGACGGTATGACAAGCACCCGCACCAACCGCCCACCCCTCGCACCATTGGACCCTTTAACACTGAGACCACAAGTCTCATTGAAGCATCACTACTCGCCGCCAACCGTACCATCATACTCAGTCCCCGAATGCCTCTCCAGTCCCGACTCACCTAACTCACCTGACTCACCTCTAGCTATCTATTCTCGCCGCGTCCCCGCACTCATGCACCGCACGCCCCTCGCACACCACCGCGCGCTACCGCTCCAACGACCAACACAATGCCGGAGTGCTGAACAGGACGACATCGACGAGATTATGCGCTTCCTGAAGCATGTCTCGCGGTGCATGACTCATGTGTATCAGGTGATCCTGTCGGTTGCAACATCGATCTTTCATGCAACGATTGCCACCGTCCAATGGTTTGCTGTCGTCGCTTTTGTGATTGAGGTGACGATGATGAGTTCTTCTGTGAGTCTGCTTTCAAATTCTGGTACATTATTTTGAACGATATCCGTCAGTCCGTGCGAGGTGATCATGGGGGTGGCTTCATAGGCCCGATAGTCGAGCAGCTCACAACAGCGACTGCGACTAGTCACGCGGAGACTACTCCCGCACCACATCCCCGCCCTAGCGAGGCGGTGGCTCTGAACTTCCTATCTGAGCAAATAGACCAGGCACATAATGTATTAACGTTGGTCGAGGGACTAGGTGACGACGCATTTTTTGCATATCATCATGCCAAGTACGTAGGAATCCTACTACCTTGAGATGTTGAAGCTCAACCACGGCTAGTGTGCAACGTTTTCTGAGCAGGTCCAGAGACGACCCTCCATCTGGGGGGAGTAAAACAGAAGTCGATCTAACTGTCGACTTCAGGGGTCTTGACTCCACTCTCATTCAAACCCTGTCCCCGCACGGTTTCATTGGGAGAACGGTAAGCAGAATTGCTTTTCCTAACATCATAGCGCTCATTGGTACCAGATCTCCCATGCCCTAGATGAGGTGACATATCACTCTAAGCGCAGTCAAACGGCCTTTCTTATAAGAAGAAGTGCTGTCCGGGAATCACGTCTAGATAGCGCGTACCTATTGGCGTCTTCTAATCTGCTTCTTGAATACTCGTCCATTTTGTCAAAAATGGAGAGCATCATACTCGACGTGGGAGCTCTCCATCACCAGCTATCACCCAATCTTCCAGAAGTTCTGGCAAGCATGCAAAGCCGCCAAGCAGCTGCTTCAAGACGCTCGATATGGGGCATTTTTGCCAGTCGAAGACTAAATTCCAGAGCTCTTGAAGAAGAAAGCCTAGAAGCCTTCGTTGCGGGCTTGGAGACTGTCCTTGTCAACCTGCGACAGCTCAAAGCTTATCTGGAATGGATCACAAACCAACTGGTGAGTCGTACTCACCTCTGCTGAGCCCTCCTCGCTCACGTGGGTGACAGAGCCAACGAACTCTCTTATCAAGCGCCTCGATAGCGTTATCATTCAGTAACCATTCCTGTTCATCTGCGCTTATAGATCTGTTAGATCGCGCAAGCAGAGCTTCAAAGAAATCGAGTCGCTGTTGCCGTTGCCCAGACTCTGGAAAGGACGACTCGCCAACGGCTCCGACAAAGGTGGAATTTAATATCCCTGGCAGTCGCACACTGCCAACAGTGAGCTGATTCATTAGGCAGCGTTAAGACGTTTAACTTTACATTATAAGTATGCTAATTATGCGACAGTATGATATTATTCGATTATTGAAGGTGGTTTGGCTATTGTATGTTATGATTAAATATTGAATTACCTTGCTTGCAAGTTTTCTGTGAGGGTGCAATCAGTTCGTTTTTCGATATCGACTCCCAGGGGACCCTTCCAAGTTCAGAGTTTAGATACCCGATTCGGGCTCGCTCAACTCAAAGTAAGTACTTGCCTTGGAACGTCTGCCCTTCGACTTCAGATTTACTGAGAATGAGACAATGTCTTTTGCATAGTTAGTGTATGTATGCACCGAGTCTCGTACTACATTACACACCGTGAACAAAAACGACCTAAAGTTCCAGTGAATCTTCTTGCACGGATGGGACGTTCCGCTACTGGAATCTGTTTCGAAGGCTGAAGGCAAGGTTGTCGACAGACGTAGATCAAAGAGAATGACCGGGGGTGGAGGAGTAGTGCAACTTGATGATGGCCAGTCATCTATATGGCCTACTTTCTCCCTTCCGCGAGTCCAGGGCATCCAACTGCGTTTCCAGTTTCGACACACCCGCAAAAGAACCACGGACTCGTGACGAGGCATGTTGCCATCGAGAACTGCCAGTGAAGTGGGCGGATATGGGGACAACGACAGAAGCGGACGCCGCCGCTACTATGTTGCTATTTTTTAAGCAAAGTCAACCCTTGCTAGATCTGGGCCTTCATGATGTCGATCGCAGCCCGCAAGACTGAACGTGCCACCATCGGGCACGGCCAGCGGAAGGAGCGGCAAAGCTCAGCTTCCCCACTAGTGGCGGCAGGCCACCAACGTGAAAATGGGCGTTCGGGGGCTGTCATACATCAGATGCATGATGTTTCTCGTATAGCCGACGCCGTCTCAGAGCTTTTCAGAGGGGTTCCAAATTTCCAATTGCAAAGGCCCGCTGCATCATGTAATCTCAGTATCGCTGAGTATGAAAAACACTCCGAATCATGTCGTCTCCGCGATAGGATCATGACGCAGACTGAAAGTTAGTAGGCAACAAAATCGCGTCTGCAACAGTACTCTCTCGTTGTTTCGCAGTCGCTTTTGCATGTCAAAACATATATGTAAATAAGGCAGTTGAAAAATGTCGACACGAGTGTGCTTACCGCCCCTGGATGGTTGGAAATGAAGAATGTTAATAGGTCATGTCGACCATGTTACTCGATTTGCGGGCATCGATGGCTATGTATCTACCACTCATATTTCTCGCAGTGTAAATGGTGTTATTTAGTGGGAACAGAATTGTATCCGTCTGTATATTCCCACGACTATGCCGTCGACAGGGTGTTTCAAAATCGCTCCTCGACCCCCACCAACATCTAGTCAAATGCCACTGCCCATTCCGAGCACCACAAGGCTCCGAACTTTTGAAGATAATGTAGACACTGTACACGCCGCAGTAGTTTTTCCCGATAGACGACGAATGGTGACATCCTCATTCGACAAGGCGCTTCGTCTGTGGGACTTGAGGACAGGCGCGATGTTGAAAAAGATGGAGGGGCACCGCGACAGGGTGCATGCAGTAGTGGTATCACTAAATGGGCAAATGATAGTAAGCAGTGATGGTTGTGGAGAGGTCATCGCCTGGCACGGAGAATCTGGAGAAAGTCTCATCAAAGCTATCAAAGCCCACCCCGAAAGTTGGATCCAGGGTTTAGACCTTTCTCCTGACGGAACAATGCTGGCCACTGGTTCATATGAGAGAACGGCAAAATTTTGGAGCACGACATCATGGCAGATGCAAGGAAATCCACTCTCATGTAGTGGGAAGCCCGCGGCCTTCGGTATTCCCCCTCTGGTGATTATGTTGCGATTGTCACATTTGGCGACATCGAAATATACGATTCAGCTACTAGGGAATGTGTAGCAAACTTCAAAGGTCACACTGCAGAGAATGTCTCTTCCTTGTGGACACCCGATGGCACACGACTCCTATCAGGAGGTGATCACCATGATCCGACCATACGGGAGTGGGATACATCGACCTGGAAGCAGGTCGGTGATCCCTGGACGGGCCACACTCACAATATCAATGCCATTGCCATTAATCCTGCTGGCACACTCATCGCTTCTGCATCTACTGACAAGCAGGTCCACCTCTGGCGCCTCTCAGATCGACGATCCATCGCCACCTTCCAGCACTCGGCCTGGCTGGCATGTGTCACTTTTTCCTTGGACGGCAAGTATATCCTCAGCGGAGGTGGTGATAACATGATCTCAGAGTGGGAAGTACCGAAGGACGCTAATTCAAAGGCAACTTTCCATCTTTGACTTGTGAAACACAAACCGAACATGTATCCAGATCCAACTCACTATGAATTCGACAACACGCGAGGCGTGCATAACTGGGAACTTGTCATTAGCTCAAGAACTACTCACGCAAGAGATCGAAACTGATGCGAACGATTATGCATCCTATGCTAACCGCTCATTTGTCATGGCGCGAAAACATGACTGGGACCACGCGCTTGATGATGCAATCAAGGCAAGTATGACAGCAATCCATCATGGCCCCTTACGATTCTAAATTTCATCGTGACATAGTCCATCAGCATTCAGCGCTCCTTGATAGGCTATATCTCCAAGGGTATTGCCCTCTGCGGAAAAGGGCTGATTCGGGACGCAAGGATAGCATTTGGTCTCGCATTCATGTTCACGAATGAAGATTCAACAGCCATTCATTTACTTCTCTTGATCAAGGCAGGTCAAATTTGTCTTGCATACTCCCTGCTTCATCACGTATCTCAGGCCATCGTATTGTTCAACACAGATCTACACGAGGAAGCAGTGCTGCTCGTAAAAGAGCTAGCTGCCGATTGTCCGAATGCCGATACTGTCGCATGTCGTGTCGTGGAAGTGAGTATCACGCGATAGGCTTAGGCATCAACACTAGTACTGATCACACATTAAGCATATCTATGTGTTCAGTCTGGGATCAATGCCTTGAATGGCGCGCATTATGATGAAGCTGCTGGGCACTTCACTGCCGCTGTCAAATCCTGCACTTTCACATCATCATGGCCTATTCATGCTATATATGAGGACTTCGTCATGGTATGTTAATATAATGGAATCGAAATACTTCACATTGCCAACTGCGTGCTTTGTCCAGCTCTTCGGGTGGGACCTCAGGTCCTTGTGGCTGACTTCACACCAGAAGCGGTGCCAGGCTTTCCTTTCGGCAAATAAGCATGAAGAAGCCCTCGAATCATACCTGTTCATGATGAACCCCATTCACCAAAGTACGAAGGCCAGCTGCCTCAATTGGTGCACTGGCAAGTTTTTTGTAATATTGCTCTGTGCTATTGTCTTCACTCCCATTTTTTATTTAGTGTTCGAGCAAGAATGTGGCGCCCTCTATTTTTCTAATGGAGATGGTGCCCTCGCTGCAAGTGATTACGACATTACTGACTTGTCCTCTGTGGCAGTCAACTTTGATTCTGCAAGCTACACGCTCTTCGCAAATCATAGTAAGGTAATGTTGGGGAAAATGCTATGGGAGGAGGCGCTTTTTGGTGCACAAAAGGTGCGATAACGTCTACATACGATTTCGTACCCAATACCCACCTTGGCAATACATAGGTCATCGATCTCAACCCTGAGTCTCATGTTGGATACCAGTTAAAGCATGCAGCACTTTGTGGTGCACGATGCTACGATAAAGCCATTGAGACTTTCAATATTATGTTGTCCAAGTTGGAAGATACTCCCGAAGCGCAGTTCCGAAGTAAGCCCCAAAATATTCACGGGTTGACGAACATGCTTATCTCGGCATATAGGGCTGCGTCAGCAATATGTCTCTCCATCCGATGCGGAAGACGCTATTCGAAGAATCATCTGGATCGAACTCGAAAATGCCCCACTGCGTTTACTTAACACCCACACGGGTCTCTTGTGCGGCCGAGGGGCACAGATTAATGCCTTCAAAATGAGCACAGAGTACCAACAACTTTTGTCATTCACGACGAAGCATGCAGACCTCCGAGTGGAGCGCATAACGGAAGTGGTGGCGATGTATTTCCGCCGTGTCCTGCTATCACGCAGGTGGGACGACACGGAGTTGCTGTTTCATGACATCCAGGACAAAGTCGTGTATGAGATGAATGCACTTGGCGGCCTCCCGAAATTGCAGTCCTTCTGTAAAACTGCTCGTCGTGCAGGTTATCTCTGGGCATGGATGGATACATGCTGCATTGACAAAAACAACAATTCCGAGCTCCAAGAATCCATCAACTCCATGTTCGTCTGGTACCGCCACTCAGCCCTTACCATCGTCTACCTGGGCGATGTTTCTCCTTCATCCAACGCTGGTGCACTGGCGAGGAGTGCCTGGAACAAGCGAGGTTGGACCTTTCAAGAATTCATCGCTCCCAAAATCGTTGTCTTTTATCGGAACGATTGGTCATTGTATCTCGACGATGGCTCTCCCAACCACAAAGAGTCCCCTGCAATCGTAGAGGAGTTAGAGTGTGCGACAGCCATAGATGCACGAGCCCTCGTCTCCTTCCGTCCAGGGATGAGGGGCGTTCGAGAAAAATTGCAATGGGCGTCGACACGCATCACCACGTTGCAGGAAGACATTGCATACTCATTGTTTGGCATCTTCAATGTCCACCTACCTGTAATTTACGGAGAGAAGAAGCAGAACGCACTCGGACGGCTTCTGCAAGAGATCGTAGCTCGGTCTGGCGATATCACTGCCCTCGACTGGGTTGGACAATCATCCGAGTTCAACAGCTGTCTTCCAGTCGACATTACCTCATACACAGCTCCACCATGCACCCTACCATCCTTATCCGAAGATCAGATTCAGACGATGGTCTCTTCGCTGCGAAGTGCCGTGTCTGTAGAGTTGGCTTCGAGCCTTTATACCCTGCTTGACAATACAAGCGCCCCTCGCTTCGCGAACTGCAGACTGCATCTGCCTTGCATCGCATTCCGTGTCACAGAGGTCAGACGGAGGCTTGGTCCAGCGCAAGAGACTAATTTCACGTATGGAGTCAAGGCAGACGGGCTTCATGACTTGTTGATCGACACGGAAGAGACGATGATTTAGTTCTCGCGAGCAAGGCCCACTTGGCAGACAGTCTTACTCGTCCGCCCGTGGAATCGATATCTCCTCGAGCTTCCTGTCTTTTCAGGACTGTCTGACTTTGGAGACGATACGGAGAGCGAGGATGGTTATTGGTCCGCGCCCGGGTCGCCGATAGACGAGTCGCGCCATTGTTCCCCGGTAGAAGAGGAGCTGGTCGATCTGGAATCTCACTCACGAGCGTTGCGGTTGATTGCCCGCCTTGGACAGCCTTTCAGCGCTTTGTTGCTAGCGCAGCAGCGCGGTGGAGAATACAAGAGGATCGCTTCGGATCACGATATCATTGCACAAGTCAAAGATATAGCTTCTGTCGACAGCATGATGGACGTCAGAACCCTAGAAATATTGTAGTTGTATGTACTTTTTCAAGAAGGTCAAAATTCTAAAATCTGTCTGTGGATATTCACCTTTCGCATATGTTATACTGCGGTGAAGTCTCCTCTGGTCTTCGTCATCTCTCCCTTTAACTTTTGTGATAGGTAATGCAATACAAGGCAGATACAGTCTGCAGTTCGAGAAACAAGGAGCGCACATATTGTCAAGTCGGGAATAAAATTTCGAAGATATTATGCTTATCATGATTCACCATCACAATGCATGTTCCGTGAATTTACGAATCTCCTGTAAAGTCCGATTATTTCTAATACTGACTTGCTAAATTAGCCAATGATCTACGTTGACATTTGATTGTACAAAAACGCATGATTAATATTGAAAGTATCGAGAGGTCGTTGTGGGGCCGACCAGTGAAATTATAAAGCAATGGCTAGTTCCAGCTAGTGCCATCTCATTCGATGCCCGCACTGCAGTGCAGCATGATCAACGGACCACGGCACGACTTGCGCATTTCCCTACCTGATATGGCCGTCCGACGGGAAGCCTTTCCCCAAAAATCACTAACACGGCGGTCAGGCCACTTTGAATATTCACTTACATAAAAATTTTGGGACTTACGCGCTATTCTTAGAGCCGCTTGACAGAAACCAGAAGCCTCTGCTTAAACTCTCAGACCCCAGATTACTAACATGCACTGGCATGACAAGGTCTTTTTTTGTGTCTGCGACCATGTCTATCTCGGAAGAAAGCCCTTTGTTGGATGCGCTGCACGTCCCTGACGCGTCTGGCGACTGCGACGTGTACGACCGATTCACCAAAGCTCAGAAAAACTTCATTATTTTTGTAGTGTCCTTCGCAGGGCTGCTTCCTAGTGCGTATAAGACAGATAAATTGATTCGACAGGGCTGACTTTATCTCTCTAGCGCTCGTGACTGGAACTTTTGTCCCTTCCATTCCTCAGATAGCTCATGACCTCGATTCAAAGGGTGCTGTTGTAAGGTATGTTTTCCAAATCCTGCAGCATGAACTAGATGGTGACCTTAAATCGGCCTGTCCTCAGCTTGGCTGTAAGCTTGTCAGTCTTTGCGAATGCTATTGGAGGTTTGGTATGGGCAGCATACTCCTCATTTTGTAAGTTTTCCATAGTTGTTGTGCTTGAATCTAAACTTCATTTTCGCCTGAAGATGGTCGCCGTCCGATGTACTTATGGGGTATGCCTATCCTATGCATAGGAAGCTTCGGTGTTGCAGCATCAATGTCTCTCAGAACCCTACTGTTCTGGCGGTTCGTTCAGGCATTTGGATGCGCTGGCGGAGTATCGGTAGGTGCGGCCGTTATTGGCGATATCTACAGGCCAGAGCAGCGAGGTACAGCCTTGGGTATCTTTTTTGGGGTACGTGTGTATTTTCTTAATGCTTGATCAGCATTCGGTGACTTATCATTTCTTGTGAAGGCTTCTCTTCTAGGTGTCGCACTGTCACCTATTATAGGAGGCACTGCAGCACATTACTGGTCCTGGCGCAACCTGCACTTCTCGCTTGGAATATGGGGCGTTATCGAGATGGTTCTGATCTACCTATCCTTTCCGGAAACAAGTCATCCGCAGTCGGGAGAGATTCGTAAACTGGCGGCACTGTCAAATCATCCGCAGTTGGGCGAGACTCGTAAACTGACATTACCATTCAACTTTGTGTTGATCAATCCTTTCAACAGTCTCTGGCTGCTCCGCAGTCCAAATATTATGGCCGTCGTTCGTTTTTGCTTTTATTCTGACTGTACACTGCCTAAAGTCGCGTTCTCAGACACTAGCAAACGCATCAGCGATGGTTACGGACTATGGTATGCTGAGAATGCTGGTGTCATCTCCCAGACCTATTTACCTATGCACTAGTTTTATTGGTCCCAATTGCCTACACCATCGTGAGTTTGTCATACTATTTAATCATGTGGTTAGCTAACATCTGATTCCAGGGTGCTCGATACCACATCTCTAACGAAGCACTGATTGGTGCATGCTTCCTCCCCAGTGGACTTGGAAACTTCAGTATGTACACATTCTGCCGTTCGAGTTTCTTAACATTCAATGTAATGTGCGCCCAAAGTTGCCTCACCGATTGCTGGGCGGTTGTCCGACACCATGATTTCCAAGTGGAAGGTGAAGCGCAATGGCATTTGGGTCCCCGAAGATCGGCTACGTGCAGTATTGGTAGGCGGACTCTTAGTCCCTCTATCTGTTGGTCTTTCGGGACTTGTTACCGCGTACATCGCTGGACCGTTGGGATTGGTATTGAATTTACTTTGTTTGTTTCTGAATGGCATTGGGGTGAGTCGTACACTGACATATATTGTTGTTGATTGCCAATCTTGTGTTTTATACAGGTAGACTTCGTTCTTACTCCGATCGGCTCGTACAATGTCGACGTGTTACAATCGCGCAGCGCAGAAGTAATTGCTGCAGTTACGTGAGTCGCACCCAAAGCCAGTGGTAGGCTCCATACTAACAAATACTGCAGAGCTTTCCGCGCGATCATTCTTGCACCAGTAACTGCAGCCGTACTTCCATCGATTGAAATGCTAGGCGTGGCAGGAACAAATGGCATAGCTACGGTGATTGCGCTTGTTGGATATGGGTGAGTACTGTTGTAGGATACTTGGAGTACCGCATCTCATACTGGTGTATAGGCTTATCGTTCTCACGATTCGTTATGGAGGTCGCATGAGAGCTTGGGTGGATGTTGGATATACACCCTTGTGAATCATTACCCAATAGACTTGATTGGTTACCATTTTATTTCCCTTGCATTAAATCTAAAAATGGGAGATGCGTATATTTGCCACTAGATAAAGGCCGAGCTTCGCCGGCAGCAACCTTGTCCCACAACTTACAAGTACTAGTGTTGTGTGCTATCATTTGGAAAATGCATCAAAGGTTAACTAATTGTACATCATCAGCGGTATCCTTTGGAAAGTAGCGAGTCAGGGTAACAATTGCGAGAAGCTGCAGAAAATTTGCTATCGGACGATATGCTACCTATGCGATGAGAATGAGTGCATTTCAATAAACAGGTTCTGACAAATGATTGAGACAGATATAACTTTCAGAAAGCACAACTTAAAGGGTTGGATTTACCGGTAGTCGGAAGATGCTTGGACACTATGACATTCGAGAGGTTCGTCCGATGAGGGGCCAACACCAAGTTTACATCATTTTAGTGAACCGGAAAGTTGAACAAGAATAACTGATAGTAAATATATTAAACAGTGAACAAGCTTGATGGAATCAACACCTACAGCGTATGAATGGTGTTTAAGTTTTCGGCAAGTAGTTCGATGGATGCCATATAAGCGAGTTGGCTGGCGTTATTTGCTAATAGTTATTAATTCTCACGGGGTCACAATGAGGGATCGCCGACTCACAATTATGGGCCTTGTAGTACAAGTACGAAGTTGATAGACCTCTCGGAGCCCTAGATCTCGGCCATTAAAATTTTAATGATCATGATCTATCTAACACCGGAACGTTTGATCCCGCAGAAGCAAATCGTGTGAACCCCGTGGGGTATCCAAAACGCTACTCCTTATATATGATTTGGAGCCGAGAAAAACGTTTTGTAAGATGGATGGGTTCAAGTTTGTGCCGGCGAGAAAGTCGTACTTGACCTGCGCACAAATTCGTTCGCACACGGACAGCTACAACAAATCTCTTGTTGTAATTCACGGTAGAAAACGTCCGAAGGTGAACGGAGCGCTTGTTCTCAGTAATACTCAGAAGTCTCCGAGGACTCAAAATAACATATTTGAAAAGCTGGAGCTTCAAGCATCAGTTGGCCACTCCATATCTAGAGGGGACACGGTGTCCCAGGTAGCAGAAAGTAAGTACAAGAAGTATCCCCCTCAACCGCCACCTCCATCGATCAACAAAACCGAAGACCCATACTGCCCCCACTGTCAAGACGTGGAGGAATCCGTTCACCACTTCCTACTAGAGTGTCCCCAATACCAAAGACAGCGACACACCTTCCAGAACGAACTCGGCCGCGACGCATCATCCATCCCTCTCCTCCTGACCAACGCTGAAGCAATAACGCACCTAGTCAAATATGTCAATGACACCCGACGGCTAAAATCCACATTCGGTGAAGTACCATCGTCCAAAAAACGCAAGAACTGGCCCACCTTGTAGCACCACAATGTAACGAATGAAACCCTGTAGCAACACCCAAACGTATCAACACATATACCCAAAATACACCACCATAATTCAACACATACACCCAATATAATCACAACCCTAACACCTCGACCACACGGAATTTCGACGCCTCAAACAAGAGAGGCGGAGCACGGAGAATAGATCATACCAGAACACTAACTATATCTTCTCCCAGACAACATACTCCACTAGATTCCTGTAAAATCCGCAATAGCGGACGAGAAAACGCGTTCCATCACCATCAGCTATATATCATCACAACCGCAGAACTAGAATCATATCATTTTCGTTGAAGGGCGCGTCTAAAACGGCCGGCAGGAACGGCGGACTGATGGGGGTACGCCTCACATCAGGGCATTCGCGACTTCAGAGATTAGAAGGGACACCGGGGGTCCCATAGATTAGAAAGTACTGTCCTACATAGGGTATCATCCTCAATGGACACAAATTGGATTTTTTTTAAAAAAAAAAGTACAAGAAGTTCTATTCTTCAAATCACTTCGGAACACTAAATACATAACGCGACGAGGCTAAATATTACAACGAGACACATAAATGTACATGCTACAAGAAGTTCTATCCTCCGAATCACTTCGGAGCACCAAATACATAGCGCCACGAAGCTAAATCATTTTATCACAACGAAACAAATAAATGCTGCATGCTCCCCGCACAGTAACGTGGTCGATCATTTGGATCGTTTTGTGCGTTACACATCTTCGTCAGTCGACGCATCTCCATTGGTCAACGCATTTCCACCAGCATGAAAAGCAATGGACGTCATGGCTGTTCCCCCGTCGGCCCTGGCCACGAGCTTAGCGTGAGGTTTTCGAACGCTAAGGATCAGACGTGGTCCCAGCACAAACATCTGCAACATCTGAGCAATTGCCCAAACGCCAAAGTAGATATCGCGTCCAATGAGTGATGAGTTCTGCAGAGAAATGATGAGAGTGGTCAACTGCAGATGCTAGTCACAGGTCGGCGCACCGTGATATTTGGAGATAGTGAGCCAAGTGTGAAGCAAGTCATAGTAGCAAAACTAGCAAATGTGGAACTTCAGTGAAAAAAGATAATAACATCCAAATAACCTAACTCACGCTAGAAAGTAAAACGTGTGACTCTCTATTAATATCCTGAAACAGTCCCCGATGGTCAATCCTGTCGGCGATTGACGGATGTGCTTTATAACGATCCAGACTGCAAGAAATAAAGCGAGGATCTCCCATACAGCAGTAGATATCACACTCTCGTAAGTCAGATACATCATGTATGTATCAATTTCGGTAATGCAGGTATGGTAGCCGGAAAGGACGGCCTCCTCTGGTAAATGTTCGTGAGTCTCTTGCACTCCAGACTTTTATCAGTAATGAAAACTTACGCCCTGAAACACCCAGGTTTGCAATTACCATCATAACTCCGGAGGCTATCGTGGAAGCCAGCAAGGCTACAACAAGAAAGATGAACAACTTTTTCGATCCCTGATACATGGCATTTATCCGAGCAGTCATGATGACTTGAATGATATTCCAGTCAAGTCGATGTCAATAGGGAGACCGCAGGTGAGCTCACCGCCCAACATGGCATTGACGATGACAGGGTTCCATGCCTGTATGTACCAAAGGATAGTGCCTGAAACCCAAGTTACTTGGTGGTGGAATAAATACTTCAAATGAACTCACAGCTGTTGAAGTCGTCACCTTGAAGACACAAGCCGACCGAGAATATCACTCACCCCTATGTAAGAGCGTAGTTAGTAGTTGCATGGGAATAACAGGCATCGGTGCAGGATACGCACTACATCGGTCATCCAGATATTAGGGAGAAACACTGCATGCCGCCAGTCAGAAGGAGCGAACGCATTTGAGGACACATACATAGGATGCTGACGCTGGTTGTGAGAGATGGTTTATTAGTACATTGCAGTGTTATGTAGATAGCCTTGCCACAAACGTACACATAATATAGTATCCCAAGGTAGCGCACCTAGCATATGTCGAAGTCAGCACAACATGCCAACCGCGCTCGTAGCAATAACGTACACAAATGTAAAGAACGGTCATGAAAGACCAACGTTGGCTCTACCCCGAGTCAACTGCATCACGCTATTTGGTTCTGATACAGGACTTTGCTCACCAAGATCAGTTCGAACTGTTAAAGCATTCTTAGTGAGATGCGCAGGTCATAATATGAACTTACTTCTTGTCCGAATGTTAATACTTGAATATTGTATACATATCAATGACCCCTCGGAACGTATTATCTCGCTCACCCCAGTCGTACACCACCGCAGTAGAACATGCAGCTGCGAAGCGATAGTCAAATATATTGGGATATCACCGCTGGCATCTCTACGAACCTAGAAAATAGTTGTAAAAACGACAAAAACTGATGAGCGGCCACCAAGCGGGATCATCTGAGACTATCGTCATATCGGGATGGGGCTTATGGAATGCGTGCGGATATACCGCCATCCATCGTTTTTATAGTGATTAGTTTGGGTGAGTGTGCAATACCCTATTACCACTCCACCACTATTCGGCTGCCAAGCCGTGACGCGAAACTAGGTCCCAGCACTGGTAGGGATCCACACGGGGTTAGACTCCACGGCACCCATACCTCCAGTAGTACCCGTGACCCGCGCGGGTTACCCTGATATTAATTAATTTACTGTCCGGCAGTGTAACGTAAGAACATCACCTTGTTATACAAGTACAAGGTCACTGAGTATTGGCTGTGCCCGAATAGAGCTGAATACGTTGAGACTCAGGAAGTGCCGCCTGCGTCGGCATAACTTAAAAACTTCCTTGACTAATTAACATGACTGGTAACAGCGAAGAAAAATAAATTTGAGTTCATTTGTTGCCTGGAGTCAAGTAACGAACAAATACAATTTTGAGAGAAGAGGCTGTAACTAGACCTTACTAAAGGATTGACTGAGATTAGCACAGATTGTAGATGAAGTGTCAACTTGAAAGATTCGATGAAATAGCGTGTATGAAACGGAATGTTGGATGAAACGGACTCAACAGTGTCTCCTGGGTCAGTAGTATCGTCCATCGACAATGAACAGTCAGAAGCTGCCCTTCCACCAGTAGATCCGTCAATGCTCAAAACAGACCAGTTCCGCGCATGTGACATTCATCTCGATCAAACCTGAGCCGGAAGAGTCAATCACCGCCACCACTTCGCATGATTATTCATGAAGAGAGGGCGGGACCGGAAAGTCGAAAGTCATCCAGACAATCACGGAATATTTTGCCTATAAAAGGATGAAATACATGCTGTTGAAAGCTGCGTATACGGGAGTTGCAGCATCTCTTATCGACGGGAAAACGACGCACACAATCACAATGATCTCGCAAAATGACTCGGTGAAGCCTATCAGTGACGAGGTTAGAGCTAGATTGCAACGGTTTTGGAAGCATTGTTCCTATCTCATCGTCGACAAAATTTCCATGATTGCAAAGATGGAAGCAGGAAAACCACCATCCAGCCGCTCGTTCGGAGGCATCGATGTCATTATCAGCGGCGACTTTCATTAATCCCCCCTGTCGCAACGGCACTCAGAGGCGATCCATTATCCCGTAAGTTTCACAAACAACTTGACGGAATCCCAGCTTGGAAGGACAATTTTTGAGGAGTTTACAACTGTCGTAATTCTGAAGGAAGACTTCCGCGTGGCTGATGACGTCTGGCGCAATTTTCTGCACCACCTTTGATATGGTCAAGTACAAGAGCACCATCAAAACGTTGCGTACCTTGGTGCTATCTAATTCGGACTGCCTTCTGACAGCCTTCACCACCGAACCCTGGAACTTGGCGGGCCTAGTGGCCGCGTGCTGCCGCAGTCCGGTTCTGAGCCTCGGGTTGAACCCGCACTTTTGAACCAGACTCATGGTCCGGTCATAGGTCCGGCGTGGCTTCCGGACCGAACCTCCAAACAGGTTCGGTGTTACCCAGAACCTGCTGAAACTGATGTACTGATGGCGCGCGCTCTGCAGGTGTCGCACGCAACAACTGTAACTTCGTTTCGATCTGCCGTCGCCTTCGATATCTGTTTGTGCAGGCAGGGCCAGGTGAAATTGACGCGGCCCTCGCCTGCCGCGGTCGTGATTGTATTAGCAGTCACAAATGCATGCGAGATAGCAGCTTGAGAAAAGGGAAGTTCCCACGCTTGCCATTGATCATGATCTATAACGCTGTAAGCTTCGCAGCTTTTGCATTTCGAGAATCGAGACCGTCATACAATGCTTCCTGCAGTCTTTATCATTACATACTACACAACTTTTCTCGTACTAAGGTAAAGGCCTGCCAGCCCTGAGAGCCTTTGCAACCTCGCTTTGAGCTTCGTCGCGAAGATACCGATCATAGATAACCTGAATCTTGTCTTCATCCTACATCAAAAACCAAGAAAGTTTGAGCAAGAGCAAAAATTTCGAGTTCAAAACACTTACGCTTGAGGTTTTGCTGATGCTCTCGCGCGTAGCCAAGCGCTCCGCATACTCGCTCCAACCGTCGCCTACTTGCGCTCTGTCATACCCCCGGTGTTCAGTAAGAATATACGCCCGAGCTACCCATGGCGCATTAGCGACATCGACCAAACCAAATTCTTCCCCAGTAAAATAGGGGCCCTTGACCTGCTGCGCGAGCTTTCTCTGCGCAACGTAGAGTTCCTGGCGTGCAGCGTCTTGCTGTTCTACGCTCTGTGCCTGGAGAAGACGATGCCAAGCTGGAATGATGTTCTTCGACGTGTGGTCGATCCACAGGCGCACATGTGCGCGCTCGAATGGATCAACGGGGAGGAGGTGAGGCTTATGGTTGGGGTAAGCCTCCTCAAGGAACTCGCACAGGACGAGCGACTCATATAGAGCTTTGCCCTGGTACTCGATTGCGGGGACGAGGCCCTTGGGATTGATATCTGCGCTCGTGTGATGAGTGCGTGACGTCATGCATAGATGTAGATAACGTACCAAGGAAATGCTTCTCCTTTTTGTATGGGTTGACTTCCTTGTATTGGTATAGAATGCCCTTTTCCTGTAAGGTAATCCAGACACGCTGGTTGAAAGGACAGAACTGGACGAGACGCAAATTTGCATGTGAGCGCTCAACGGGAATGATGGAGTGGAGAAACTCACCCATCCAGAGTAGAACACCAAATCTTGCTTCGCTTGGTGTTCTGCTACTGTTTCAGCAGCATTTCCTGTTGCGGTGGGATGGATGTTCTCGTCTGGGATAGCCATATCAGTGTCACTGAATGAGGGAAACTGTGCTCAAAATTAGCCTCGTCAGGGGGGTATAAGTACTCTGTAAGCTATAACGTCAGATGACGACTCTTCTCGCGACGGTACAGCCACCGCTGCCTCTTATATGCGAAAATTGAAATAGGATACGTGGCTCTCGGCATTATGATCATAATCATGGTAGTACCAGTATCGTACTCGCGCCATCTTGCTGAGGAATTGCAACCGCACTATCACCTGCGTTCTGTACCCTCGCAGTGTTCCTATCAGCACGTACATCAACCACCCTTACCGCATCTCCTTCCACGTCAACTTCCGTGCTCGGCATGCCAACACCTTGTGAAGGCAGAACAGAGCGTCGTACATCCATAATCTTGATACGTGGAATCTTGACATGACCACATTCGATCGGGATCAAATTCCACGAGAGCTTCTCCTCAGAACCCGGTAAAAGGATCGGAAGGCGACCGTTCCGCAAGCCAGCCACGATAAACGCATCAGAGGGATCGAGATCAAGCGTAACAGCGACATTGGCGGAGCGGGAGGAGTGCCGATTGCGAACTGTTAAGTGTATGGGCGTCGTCACATGGAGCTTTGCAAAGCTAGGGACGTCGAGAAGGGCGATTAACTCGTCCTGCGGAATCGTGAGCGTCGGAAGTGCAAACCGCGTGATCGACCGTCTTCCATGACCTCCGTCAGGAAGTATCCTGTCGTGTATATCTAAGCATCATCATCAATATGTCGCAATTATACAAAATTACCTTCGCCAGACAACTTCATAGTCGCCAGGACCAGTGATTTTATCTTCGCCCAAAACCTGCTCCTCCCGTGGATTAAGTGATATCCTACTCACGTTGCAGAACTCATCGCCAGGGAGGTATTCTGACACAATCATCTAGCCAAATCATATGGCAAGAGGAGAAACTCACCATCTGGAAACATATCGTCGCTGCTTTCATCTGACGAGCAGTCGAGTACCTTTGCAAGCGGATTATCCTTGTTTAAGGGATTAATTACCAAAGTAGTGTTGCAAAATTCGTTCCACCCACCTGGCGATGTAGCTTCAAGCTCTCAACCACCAAGCCACAAAGGGCTGAACACTCTATCCTTGTCGTGACCACAGCCACCCCGCCATGGGAGTCATCCCAAAAGTCGTCTTCAATTGTAGACAGATCCGCCAAAGCAGGCATAGCGTTCTTGCTTCTCCTGTACGCCACGTCACACGTGACCGTCAAAGCTTCGGATGTCGGAATAACGATAGTTTGCAACTTCTCGAAGGAATCGATAGCCGCGTGCTCACTCAAGGAACTCGAGCTGCGGGGCTCTGCGTCATCGTCGTCGCCTTCACTCGTGGAACCGGGCTCGACTGAAGTAGATTGAATAGATATGTCTAACATGCGATCACCAGGAGCACCGCTTCCCACGAGGTAAAGAGTTTTGGTGGCCGACACGCCCGGGGCGATAGTGCCGAGTCGAATACCTTTGATCAATCCGGATGAACGCTGGTCGTCAAAGATGATGTACTGAGCTTTTGAAAAAGGGACATTAGTGTTGCAGGTCAGCGAGAAAATAAACTATCAAACCTGCTTGATCCACTTCCGTCGGCTGCAACAAGACGTCAACAACAATATCCAGATGTCGCTCATCAATATTTGTGATATCGATGACGATGGGGTATTCTTCATCGAGTAGTGCCGGTGCTTGATGAGATAATGAGACAGCGAGCTCGTGAGGACGATGTCGAACACTGGATAAAAACAGTTGTTCACGATATCCATTGTGCTCATTGGGAGCAACTTACACAACACTAGAATAGTCGTTTCTCCCAAGCTGAAGAAATCGGATGGGCTGCAGTGAAGTCAACCAGAGTGGCACAAGTGTAGATATGTCATGAGAGACACATGGCTCGTGTGGCATTTCGATGGTCCAGCCGTTTTGTGCAAGTACCACAGTAATGCTCACGACCTAGACGGACGTATAAACTGTTTGTCACACTTTGTTAAAATGACACCCACGGTAAGCATTCCAGGAGCTTCAGAAGATATACTTCCGGAGACCACAAGTCGTTCGCCTGGCCCCCACCGAAGATCAGCGCAAATTTCCTCCGGTTCTTCACCTTCACCTTCATCTTCTGGCACTACCTGTCCAATTTTCACCAGCCGGACAGCCCTATCTCCCACTTGGCCGTCCATGGGGGGCGAATGTCGGAGTACCACAGGGTAATAACCATCGGAGAACGTAATAGTCACAGAGTCTATCGGAAGAGCGGAGAGATCCATGTTCGTTGGTGTAGCAAGGGATAGTTGAAATCCGGCCTCTTCACTGACCCGTACCTCGGACGTCCAAAAGACCAGCATGATGTCCACTCCATGCCAATCAGTAAAGATAACATGAGAACATGCCTCCATCAACTTACATAACGGATCAGATTCTTTGAGGTCAACAACGAGTGGCTTCCCTGCTGATACAGGAACCGAACTCTACATGAACCGGTTCAATTTTAATCGCCTCGAAGACAAGGCAGGGTGCCTCACCTCGAGTATCGCCAATAGGTCCTCCTGTAGAGTTCTCGACTCGTCAACATCTTGCGCTGAACGACATCATCACACCGTGCGACCACCTTCAAAACATTATACGTTACTTACCATACCCAATCATCTCCACGAGGAGCGTCGCCATAAGTTCCACGTCGCCGAGCTTCTGCGCACAGGCATACCACGTTGACAAAAGCGGTCTGAGCATGTGTTTCCATTTCTCCCTTCGGTACGTCTTTGCTATCCGCTCGAAGAACCTACACACCACCATCTAGTTTGTTTCTCGTACGATAAAGATGAAGATGCATACCGTATTGCGACGTCAAACTTCTCAGATTCGTAGTATGTATGCGCGATGCGGTAAACTATCCAGAGCGTCAAGCGCCCTTGACTCGTGGTGGAGCTATGCTTCTTGAAGAGTTCGTAGGATTTGGTGTAGAGCTGAGCCAAAAAAAATCGTCATCATTGTTTAACTGCATCACAAGTCAAACAGAGCACAGACCTCGAGGATTAATGTTAGATGGTCGACTTTCTTCTCGTTTGCGTGTCCTGGGGCCGCATTTGCCCCTTGCAAGATACCCTTCTTAGGGTGAGATATGATTGAGGGATCGATGGATCGAGACGCCAAACATACCTCGTTGGCCAAGAACCTCTCCCTGCGTGCTTCCGTGCATCGGGCGGCCATGTAGTAGTAATGTCCTGGATGCTGCAAGGCGTGGCTAGGATTCAACCCTAACGCTCGAACGGCGTCTAATTCCACGGGCGTGCCTGAAGATGTCACACTAGCCGTAAGCAAAGAAGGTGAATTTGTGGGGAATGTCAGCGAAGAGTTCGATCCTTGTTCTAGAAGCTCTGCGAGGACGCGGTGTCTGGAAGACATAATAAGAAATTCGTTGGATGTGTCTGAATATGAGGGTCGTACTGTCTCGCCATCCAACTCCAATACTCAAATGTCTCCTCGCCTATGCCCCATCCCCGTGAAAAATCTGCGAACCGGCGCATGTGGGAATTGTGATGTGAAAGTGCAAGCGAGTGCTCGTGATTGTACAGGTATAGTTTAGTTATCTGTCGGTCCAGTGTTAAGAGTGATCATACAAGGTGCATACATTCGCACCTTCACATTTATGGCGTCCGCAAGGACTTTGGCCTCTGCCCAGCGCTTGGTTCGAGGGGGAAGGATGGCAGTCGATCCGAACATAATCATGAGCGTCGCGTACGCATCCTGATAGTGTCTGACAAACTTAGTTTTCCAATCTTTTTAGCAGCGAAAACGTGACTGACTTGAGCGCAACCTCGTCTTCACCCCTGAACTCTGCAAAACATGCCATCTTGTATTCATACCGCACGGTCCACCCTTCGGGACGTAGTGGGCGGGTGCTCGCAACGCCCATGGAAACAAGAGGTGGGGGGTTGTACGATGAAACAGATTGAGAGTGCCGATTGCGCTTACGCCTGACACGCTTGGAGTGTGAGGTATAGTATTCAAGTGCAGGTTCGTACAGGGCATCTTGCAAACTAGGACATCATGTAGCGCAGTTGTAGAAAAGAATTAGAGTGCCCTTACCTGCGTGCAAAATCATTCAATTCAGATGTACTAACTGGACTGAGGACAAATAAGGCTGCACGGGAGTCAAGCCCGCTCTGTCTTCTGATGAAGGTGAGACGGCTATCTAATGACGGGTCATCTATTACGCGGTTAGAAACCCATTTAACTATAACAAATGGACGATATACCGAGCATCCTCCTAGTTGCAAGTAGCACGACAGTCAATTTGATACCGCGTTCATTGGTCGTCTTCTTTCGGGCTGCAACCTCAGCGCTGAGATCATTATCTCTTCTTCGTTCCTCCTCTGTTTTATCGCGTTCATGTTCTGGGTCTGGTGGGTCCAACGGAGATCGAGCGTGTACCGCGGGTGCCTCAAACAATCTGAGAAATAGAACAAAGACGCTCGGCACTAGCGCAGTGTGTTTCCGTATCCATATGGGCGCAATCAGGCCGTCGGGATACAGGGGTGACGAAGGTGTTAAGGGTGAAAGTGGTGAATGGGCAGATGCATATGCAAGGTCCTCTGGCGGAACGAGCTTGCGAGGAGGGAATCGGACGTCTTTCCCCACAAGGATCATTTGAAACGCTCTTGTGCGCTCTGGTGCCCATATCGCGACTTTGTGCTGCGACTGGAGGGCATCTCGGAGGCGCGCAACGAGGCTCGCGAAAGGATCCTGGGTCTTGGTAGGTGCAGGCGGGGGGGATGGGGTTTGACCTGGCGTTTGTGGAGCACTTGGAGCGGAGGCAGACGATTCAGGTGGTTGGTCAAGGCCTGCAACGAACATTACCGGAGCGAGCTGGACCAAGAGCTCAGCTGGGTAGGAATTCATTCTGGCAATTCCTGATGATGAACTTCACTAAACCGATACTGAGATGGCAGTTTAACAGTTTCCAAGGCAAGAAACCTATAGAAAACAAACAAATATCATCGAACTGCCCACCGTAAACTACCGAAGAGTCACTCGAGTGCCTCCAAAGTATTGGAAGACTTACTTATATATACCACGTCCACGAAGTAAGATCTAGTAGTCGTGGGAACTATTGAATTTGAGGTTCTCGGAGCGCCGCAGACTTTGTACCTTCTCCTATATGTTGTGCGCCGAACATCAGCTGGCCCACGGACCAACCTTTTCTGTCACTGGGATGTGAAATGGTCAAGTTTGCACCGTACCACCAGTGGCTAGTGACGTCAGGCAGCGTCACTGCTATATGAAATGCGACGATTATAAGAAGAGTCCTGGTTCATCTTTATCATTCACCGAACTTCATTCCAACCACCAACAAAACATATTTGACCAACTGCATTAAAATCCACTGAGATGGCTAAAGGCTGTACTTGCATCAGTGACTGCGGGTAAGTGCTCACTCGCAAAACCTTTTATCATAGTTTCAAACACGTCCATAGCGCATGTGGCCCTTCAGGCACTGGCTGTACTTGCCCCAAGAATACTTGCGACTGTGACAATTGTGCCAACAAGCAACAATCTTCGCAGGTACATAGTTAATCGCACTTCTGATTCGCCATGGTCCTCATCATATCAGTGCGATTGCAAAGGTGCAGGTGACAGCTGCAACTGTACCAATTGTCCACAGCAAGCATGCAGCTGCGCAACGAAGTAGTCGTCTTGAGGATCTGATAGATTCATCAGAAGATGCCGCCGAGTATTCAGCCCCTTTTATTATGTGACCAAACAGTTTCTGTATCAGCGCCGCATAGTGTTGTACTTCTATGTAAATCAATAGTTCTTTAGGTCTGCCTCTTCGCGACGTTGTCCGACATTGTCTCCTGCAACACAAAGAAAATACAAGAAACCTCAATGCACGTGACTCTCACGCGCGCACATCGAGCGCGTACCTGCTATTTTCGGATGAAGGTAACATCTTCTCTTGCCAATGAGCGTTTTCGTATAAGAAGCGCCTGGCCGAGTCGTGATTTTACCATTCCCTCTCAGTCCCTCGTATCTCCCGGCTTATTGACTAGGCCTCCATCTAGATCTCGTTCACTCATTAAGTATCATTTCTCGCTGCCGCTCTTCAAACACAATTATCAACCCCATCACATATACCTCAATCCATCTTATACCCAACCAACATGTCCTCAGTGACCCTCCGCATTATGTCCCTCTGGGTTATCCTCTTTTCAATATCTGCAATGGGTATGCATATCTTTCCCAGCTCGGTACCTTACAGGGCTTGACTTTGCCGGTAGTTGCAGCATCACCCGCACCAATAGATCCCGGGCTTGCATCGGTCATCACGAGCAATATGAATCTGAATTGTGGTGAGAGCTGTCAGACCGCTAAGGGCACCAAACAACTGGTAATGTTCACTATTAAACGTGATGCATGTGTCTTCTAATTTGTGTACCTGACAGAATACGAATTTTGCCTTGACGTCTGCATCGAGCTCAAATTCATTCGTGCTTGGAGCTATACTGCTAGCTTGTGGCGTTTTGGTAGGATCATGAGAGTATATCGTTACGAAGCACCTTCTAGGTCGGACCTTGACACTTTGTACTTACTAGAACAGTTGATGTAGAAGTAAACATCAGTGTTGTTTGTAATGATAGTGTGTAATAGCACGGACAAGAGACATTGATGGGACTCCACTGATGCTATGTATCATGATTGGCACGAGAACCCATATGCGAGATATTGGTTTTCAAATCCAATTCGGCACCGAATCAGTACTACGGCAAAACCATGCACGAGCAAAGTTATTCTCAGTCTGCGATTGAACAACAGATGTAAGAGAAAGGGACTGCATAGCAGACTAGCAAGTATAAAAGCGTTCAATATCAGTCTTCGATCAAAGGAATCAGTGAAGCTAGTCGCAAGGGAAGGGGAATCAAAGAATGTCGTCGAGACGGATAATGGAAAGAAAGCGTGGAGGTGTGACTGTATCAAAGTTCAGTTGACACATCTGTGTGCCTCCGGAAAGCCATCGAAATCATATCCGCTTCTGCATCAGAGTTGTCCACGAGCTTGGCGTGATATTGTCGAACACTAAGGATGAGGCGTGGTCCCAGCACAAACATCTGCATGACCGAAAGAATTTGACGAACACCGTCATAAATCTGAGTTCCCACAGAAAGTGAGTTCTATAAAAGTAATAAGTCGTAGTCACATGCATATGTTAATGATATGTTGGCGTACCGCCGAGAGCTGCGGAGACAAAAAACCGAGATCGAAGCAAGAAACGACAGCAAAGCTAGCACGTACGGAACTTTAGCGGAAGTTAAACCATATTGAATTAAGTGTTCACCTTGCAAAGTAGACAACGTGAGTCTGTATTAATGCTGTAAAACAGTTCCCAATCGTCCATCCCCTCAACGGTCGTTGCAGTTCACGGAAGTTATAGTAGTAATCCAGGTTGCAAGACACAGGGCGAGGACTTCCCATACAGTGTAGAGTATCCATGTCATGGAAGGCAAAATTAGGGCGTCTGCGTCTTTGTCATAGGGAATGCACTGATAGGTGCCAGAGAGGATGAGCTCTTCTGATATTCATCTGACCAGCATAATACGCTCGAGCCCTTCGACTATAATATAATTTAAAGCTTACTCGCTTTGCAATTGTATGCCTGTTTATCATTGCAGTCATCACTCCACATGCAATGGTGACAGCTGTGAAAATTACAACGAGAAAGACAAGCATGTTTCTGGATCGCTGATACATGGCATATAACCGAGTTATCATGATCGCTTGCATAATGTATCAGCCATGTCAATATTGCAGAGGTATTGTAGTTGAGTAGCTCACCACCTACTAATGTCGCTATACTTTAACTCTGACATCCACTGGGATGCCTCTTGCAAGTTTAGATTTGGAGGGTATCAAAAACGTGATTAGATAAATAGATATATTTAGGAAAAGGATATTTATATCCGTCTACAGGACTCGTGACCCACTCACGAATCCACGATCGATTCACTGATGATGCATCGATGAGCCTGGGCCACGATAGGTGAATGATGCGGGACTCTTATCTTACTTTGTTTCAACTACTAGCTATTCACAATGAGAAAAGGCAATTCGTCGAGGAATTCGACACAACAAACCCACACGTCTAGTGAAGGAACAGCTCGTGAAAGTTCGGTACGTGGTTTTTGAGGGTCACTTAATTCACTCCACTCCAGACACTGACATCGACGCATCCTTTATCTAGAACCGACCCCGTAGCAGAGTCGGTCGGTTGCTGGAGAAGGTTAAAGACGGTGCGAATAAGTTAAGGATCTCGGTGAGTCCACGAGCACGTGTATTGATTGTCCTGGAATACGACTAAGATTGCAACAAGCGCTCGAAGAATTCCCGTAGCCGTAGCCTTGCTCCCCCGGATATCGAGGTAGGTCCTCAAACTTGACCTTCAGTCTCTGTGCTCTCTCTAAATTTTGGTGGTCGCGCAGGTTCAGGCTGCTCCATCTGGTGTAGAAGTGGAGGCTGATACCCAATCGGCACTTCGGGATGCACACGGGGCTGCAAAACGCATCCATCCACTCTCGGGACCTGTGATGTCTGTTGGCCAAGACGCACAAGCGGATCTCGATGCTGCCGGTGTCCAGGACGCATATCTCAAACCACTCAAGATATTCGACGATATCATCGGGAAGATCGCAGATGTATGGACCCTCCTTTCGCTCGGAACCGAACTAATTCTGTTCCACAGGTACATCCATATTCAAAGATGGCACTGGGCGTGTTGTCTTGTGCAGCTAAAGTATGCCTTCTCTCTCTCTTCCTATCTCCCACCGCTGATCAATCATTTGTGCAGATTATTCTAGCTCAAGTAGATCGCGATGCAGCGGTACTCAACCTTCTCAAGAAGTTGTGTCAAGTTTACGACTTTATGACACAAGATCAGATGCTTGGCCAAATCTCGTCGATGCGCATTATCCTCGGACAGATCTCTCAGCAGACCCTTGAATGTGCTCAATTTATCAAAAATTATTCGGAGACCAAGAACTTCTGTGAGTCTCAACAAGCTGTTACGCTTTGCATTGTCTCAAGTTTCTACCGTTATCGCAGGGAAGAGACTCGGAAAGAACGTCATCTCGGAAACAGAAGATACGATCCAACAATACAGCAATGTGTTGGATATGCTCATGCATAACTTTCGGGACCAAGTTGCTCGCGACGTAGCCATACATGTCCACCGTACGGGTAAGGGTTCGGACGTGCTTGTGACTTGACATATATTCATACCTTTTCAGGAGAAATACTGGACCTCAGCGGTATGACTTATGCCGCAGGCGCGGGCTTAGATACAAGAAAACAATGCCTCCAAGGGACGCGCACGGAAATCCTTTCCCAGATTACGGAATGGGTCAACAGCACTGGGGACAATGTTCCACGTGTGCTGTGGCTATCTGGCCCTGCAGGAAAGGGGAAATCGGCCATCGGCCACACCATTGCTAAGTGGTTCAACGACGTGGGAGGGCTTGGTTCGTGCTACTGTTTTGACCACCAGCGAGAAGCAGATCGTCGCCATGAAAAGATATTTTCCACAATCGCGCGCGACTTGGCTGACCGTGATCCGGAGATGAGGCGGGCATTAGCAGATACAGTTCAGACTGCGAATTCGCTCAAGAGCACAGTGGATATCACCCAGCAGTGGCAGAAACTTCTTATCGAACCACTGGGGAAGTCATCTGGGTCAACTATGGGACCCATCGTGATCATGATCGATGCACTGGACGAGAGCGGTGGAGTAGAGACGAGGCGAGACCTCCTCCGTATTCTAGCTGGCAAACATCAAAACCCTGCTTTTCCCAAAATCACAGACCTCCAAGACAACTTCCGCTTCATCGTCACCTCTCGCCCGCTTGGCGACATCAATGCCGAGTTTCGTGGTGTCCAGCATATTCGACAGATGTCCATGGATGATATTCCACCAGCAGTCGCAGAGCGCGATATCCGTGCTTACATATCCAAGGAGTTGGAAGGTCTGGATTTTCAGGACAGAGAGTTTGCAGTCCTTGCTGAGAAAGCTGATGGACTTTTCGAGTGGGCGCGTCTCGCCTGCGGATACATCAAAGAACCCCATCCTGGGATATCTCCGATTGAATGCTACGAAGCTGTGGTATCACGCGATCCGGCTGAGAGAAGCATGCTGTTGCACGACATGTATCGCCTCATTTTAACAGATGTCATGTACAGGAATACATCTACCAATGCCCAGCATTCGCAGAAACTGCGTTCGACGACGCTAGCAAGATTTCACTCAGTGATGGGACAAATACTAGGGACAGCTGAACCCCTTCCTTTAGCTTCCCTGAACGCCATGAGGCACTATTTTCCAAAGCGAGAGGACAATTTCGACGTGGAGCTTGTGGTAAAAAGCATGGGTTCCCTCCTCAGCGGCACCACCAACCCAGATTCGCCAATCCGACCACTTCACGTATCCTTTCATGATTTCTTGACGGACAAACCATCCAGCGGAGAGTTTTTCATCGACCTGCCAAGGGCGCAATGCGACCTTGCATTCGCGTCACTTCGAGTGATGGAACACAGTCTTCGATTCAATATCTGCGATTTAAAGTCGTCGTATTTGCCTGATTGCGAAGATCCCGGGCTGCAAGAACGAGTCCAAAAATGCATCCCCCCACATCTGTCATATTCCTCTCGATTTTGGACGTCGCACGTACGAAACACAGCCTTCGACAAGGAGCTCGCGAAAGAGGTGAAATTGTTGTTCGACCACGAGCGGCTGTTTTTCTGGCTCGAGTTACTCGCCCTGATCAGTGCGCTCAGCGGTGCAGTTGGTGCCCTTCCGCCCGTTTCCCAGTGGCTAAAGGTGAGCACACCGCTACCAGGTGTCAGATAAAGCGCTCATGCACAACCACAGGGCCATCCCAAATTCAAAGATGTCTCATCGACTGCAATGGACGTACAGAGGTTCATTCAAGTCTTCGGCGGCATCATTTTACATAGCACGCCACATCTGTATGTATCAGCACTCCCATTCTCGCCTGCCAACTCTCCGCTATCGAAAAAGTTTTCTGCACAGTTTCCGAATACTCTTCGTGTGACATGCGGACGTGATATGAACTGGCCGGCTGTTCAGACCGTGCTCAGGGGGCACACTGATTCAGTTTTCTCGGTCTCATTTTCGCCGGACGGCACTCGCATCGTCACTGGTTCAAGGGATAAGACTGTTCGGCTGTGGGATGCAACAACGGGGAAGCTAGTCGGTGAGCCCTTGCAGGGGCACACTCATTTCGTTAACTCGGTCTCGTTCTCGCCGGACGGTACTCGCATCGTCACTAGTTCAAGGGATCACACTGTTCGGTTGTGGGATGCAGTGACGAGGAAGCCAGTCGGTGAGCCCTTGCGGGGGCACACTAATTATGTCAACTCGGTCTCGTTCTCGCCGGACGGCACTCGCATCATTACCGGTTCGGAGGATCACACTGTTCGCCTGTGGGATGCAGTGACGGGGAAGCCAGTCGGTGAGCCCTTGCGGGGGCACACTGATTCAGTTAGCTCGGTCTCGTTTCTCGCGGACGGCACTCGCATCGTCACTGGTTCTTGGGATCACACAGTTCGGCTGTGGGATGCAGTGACGGGGAAGCCAGTCGGTGAGCCTTTGCGGGGGCACACTGATCCAGTTAGCTCGGTCTCGTTCTCGCCGGACGGCACTCGCATCGTCACTGGTTCTTTGGATCACACTGTTCAGCTGTGGGATGTGGTGACGGGGGAGCCAGTCGGTGAGCCCTTGCGGGGGCACACTGATTCAGTTCTCTCGGTCTCGTTCTCGCCGGACGGCACTCGCATCGTCACTGGTTCAAGGGATCACACTGTTCGACTTTGGGATGCAATGACGAGGAAGCCAGTCGGTGAGCCCTTGCGGGGGCACACTAATTATGTCAACTCGGTCTCGTTCTCGCCGGACGGCGCTCGCATCATTACCGGTTCGGAGGATCACACTGTTCGCCTGTGGGATGCAGTGACGAGGGAAGCCAGTCGGTGAGCCCTTGCGGGGGCACACTGATTCAGTTAGCTCGGTCTCGTTTTCGCCGGACGGCACACGCATCGTCACTGGTTCTTGGGATCACACAGTTCGGCTGTGGGATGCAGTGACGGGGGAGCCAGTCGGTGAGCCCTTGCGGGGGCATACTGATTCAGTTAGCTCGGTCTCGTTCTCGCCGGACGGCACTCACATCATTACCGGTTCGGAGGATCACACTGTTCGCCTGTGGGATGTAGTGACGGGAAAGCCAGTCGGTGAGCCCTTGCGGGGGCACACTGATTCAGTTAGCTCGGTCTCGTTTTCGCCGGACGGCACTCGCATCGTCACTGGTTCTTGGGATCACACTGTTCGGCTGTGGGATGCAGTGACGAGGAAGCCAGTCGGTGAGCCCTTGCGGGGGCACGCTGATTCAGTTAACTCGGTCTCGTTCTCGCCGGACGGCGCTCGTATCGTCACTGGTTCAAGGGATCTCACTGTTCGGCTGTGGGATGCAATGGCGGGGAAGCCAGTCGGTGAGCCCTTGCGGGGGCACACTGAATCAGTTAGCTCGGCCTCGTTCTCGCCGGACGGCACTCGCATCGTCACCGGTTCTTGGGATAACACTATTCAGCTGTGGGATGCATTGACGAGGAAGCCAGTTGGTGAGCCCCTGCAGGGACACACTCATATAGTTAGCTCGGCCTCGTTCTCGCCGGATGGCACTCGCATCGTTACAGGTTCAAGGGACAAGAGTGTTCGGCTGTGGGATGCAGTGACGGGGAAGCCAGTCGGTGAGCCCTTGCGGGGGCACACTGAATCAGTTAACTCGGTCTCGTTCTCGCCGGACGGCACTCGCATTGTCACTGGTTCCTCGGATAACACTATTCGGCTGTGGGATACAATGATGAGGCAGCCGTCGCCACAGCGCACCGAGTCAGACCATTCTGCATTCTCACATGAACATCGCATGATCGGAGCCACCACTACCATGATATTGCACACTTGGAACAATCACTTTATTTCCTTCTCGTCCGACTCTATTCATGCGCTGCCCAATACTTCTGAGTTAATGGAGGGAGCATCTCATGACGACTGCAGTTCGACCCCCTTTTTCCTGGATAGTGACAGTGGATGGATAGTAGGGCCCAGACATCGGCTGTTATTCTGGGTACCACCCGCTTCTCGACACCCATTTTACAGCCCTGGGACTGTATTAGTGATACCCAGAGGAGGTCCTGAGCTTGATTTGAGCCGGATGGCACATGGACAACACTGGCAAAAGTGCCGAGAGGAGTGAGTCTCTTCAAAACCCTTTCCGTTCCTCGCACTTACTAAAAATCAACGCTTGCAGACCTTAGTACCAACGATGATCGCAGCAATGGATCCAATTCAGACACAATTTAAATGTGACCGAGTGCACAGTGGATCATACTTACGTATTTTATTCTGTACTCAGCACCTAGTCCGAGTTGTCCAAGCGAACGACTTGAGCTGACTGGTATAGCATTCATGATGTTCATGCTAGTTTGTGAGAGCACGTAATGACGGACAATGCGGTTGCGAGTGCGCAATGGATTGTGTCGAAGTGTGTTGCATCGGTGCTTCCTCTTAGCGGACTGTCTATGCGCACGCCATTCTATACGGACTCGATCATAAAACCCTGAAGACGAGTCGAAAGGTTCGTAGTTTGGTCGGTTTCTTTGTCGTCTCGCATCGGTCCTAGACTCACGAAACTCATTCGTCTACGATAAGGATTACCCCCAATCTGTAAAATTTCCCCATCGATGGGTCATAGATAGTGCACGGATCATGGAACACCGTTCCGCACGATTTATTCGCCCCCATTGAAAAAAATGCATAAGGAAAGACTTTCTAAGTGGAACTAGTATGGTGCGCGGCGCCTAGTCACCGCTACTTTTGGACAGCGGCCAAATTGGTCGACGAAAAACTCCACAACATCATGCGCACATGTTTAAGCTTTCATTAAGCTACCTTGAGCTTAGAGTAATTTCATGTAACAAATAACAAATATAACTTAAATCCGTCAGACGCATTCCTGAGGCAGTCGCCCGTCTGCTTGACCAGCGTTTATTACCATATATAATAGTTCCCACGCCACCCGACCAATTCTTAGACGCAGGAAATTTATATCTCCCAGCCTCATATGGAAAATCGGTCTGGTAGATCAACTCTGATGCTTATTGTGTTTCTGTGAGAGGAATAAGGATTTGAAACATGTCTGCATGTGTGATAAATTTTGTACAAAAGTAGCGGTGACTAGGCTGCGCGCACTGTAGAAGTACAAGTGGTAGGGGTAACGGCAGCCTAACGAGAGCTTTCGCAGGCTCGAAACCGCTGTCAGTCCACTTTACTAGCCCTTCCCTCCCCATGTTAACAGCGCCCCACCCTAGGGGACGGTGGACTGCAAGAAGGTGCGGAAAGGGTGGTCAGCCTGAGTCTAGGGTCACTCCGCGTAGACTAAATCTATGCCGCCTCGTTCCTCGGCGGCTTAGAAACCCAACTGGCTGAATAGAAGGACATTGTTGTTGCGGTCATCTGTGGTCCGAGTCGTTCTTGAAGTTCCCGTTGCACCGAGTACAAACTAGTATACAGTTCAAAGTGGGCTAAAATTTTGAGAAATGGGGTGGGACGTTGAAATACGTAGCCCATTGCATTGCAAGTGTTCACTGTACAGTACAGTATATAATCATGATATCCACGACGAAGGCGGTGAGAACGCCGACAACACCATAAAAACGATGCGCGTAAGGATGATGTGAGCTGTCATGATCACGGTGAGTCATAATTTAAAAACAGCTGGAGAGCCAGGAGAGGCCCTTTTCACATGCGCAGGCTCACGATCCGCTCCTCGGAATGTACCGTACCGTACGTGCAACATGTTTTGCGAAATTTCTGTTCATCCACCATGGCAAATGCAATACTACTAAGTAAATATATCATATAGATATCATCTAGCTATTCCATGTCCCAGTCTACTTCTGTCAAGACCCTCTCTTGCACAAAGGTGCTTGCCAGTGGAAGAATGACAGTGTTTCTCGGTGCCGCAGATGCTAAATCCCTATCAGGATTCAGCAGGCACATCAGCTAGTTTCCTGGAGTCGAGATTGATCATACTGGCAGCGTCGAAACCTTCGTGATCGAAAGAATCCACTTTACTACATTCGACTCTGAGTCATTGTTAATCTGATGGACGGCCACTTGATTTGGTGAATGCTCTTGAGCGAGGATTGAAATAGACTGCGACATGCGAGAAAACATACAAAGGGTACTAGTACAGGCATTCCCAGAGGGCCATAAAGAAACCGTTGCAACTAAGTAACGTGCTCTCCGACTGTGACAGCAGAGACCGTGCTTATGGCCAAATCACTGTTGGCATGTTCCTTCTACCGACGAAAGTGAGACATCATCCGCTTTCCGAGTGACACCTTACCTTCAAGTTGTTTCAAGAGTTCGCGAGCTTCTTTCTCAATCTCCTTCAATTGTTGCAGTTGCGTGCCATCTTCAGTGTTGTGCTTGAATCCCTCGATGACTTTTCCATGCGAAACTTCCAGTTTCTTCACTTTGGAAGCTAAGGCCTTTCCTGCGTCGGTTTCAGGGATCTTTCTTCCCCAGTCAACTAGTTCCCTTTGAATCTGGATGGCGTCAACAACTGTCTTGTTCGCGAGAATGGGCTTCATGACATCCCACGGACGTGACTGATTGAACCGATCGGTCGTAGACCCATGTGCCATCATTTCCTTCCAGAAGACACTCGTCAACTCTTGCTCACGTGCTGCCAGTGGTCCCTCATTCGCGGTAATCAGATCAGCCCATTTTGTGGTCACCAGAATGACGTTCTTCTCTGCATCTTCACCGCACAGCTTTCGAAAGACATCAAGATCCCTGAGCGTCGTCCCAAACATCCGACTTTGGGTGATGTCGTGAAGGTAGAGGATACCGGCTAACTTCATGTCCTGGCCATACCTAGGATCAGATTATGAGCTGTATATACTTCAGCGATGGATATGTACTTACGAATCTGCCAGCCAAACAGCGATGCACCTCAAAACTTCCTCATCGGATTTGTATGTATCATCAGAACCAGGTGTGTCGACAAGGACTACGCGGCGGGAGGGATCGCCGGGACATTCACAGAAGACGTGTTGAATATCGGCTGTACACGACTTCATTCCATGGCCGACCGTGACCACTTCCTTCCCGGCTGCATCATTGACGAGCTATCCGTCGAAATCAGCCTGTGAAATATAGTTGAGTTATGGTCTTACGGTGCTTTTACCAACTCCAGTTCGTCCCATTACGCTGAATGATAAATATTGGTAAGTTGCATATCGTCTTGCACCATGAATTAACCTACGGTATAATGATGTCATCGACCCTCCATTGGTCTTTTGCCAGTGTCACATCATCATCTGCTTTAATACCGTGCTTGTCTGGCCATTTCGATGACATCGTAGCTGGGGGGTGGGTGGATAAGGGGACGTCTGCAGACCAGCGCTTGTTGGTAGAGAAAGATATATATTGATGAGTTGCGAGGCACGAGCTCCCATACTCTATAGCAATCAGACTTGGTTTATAAATGAATACCCTACAGGTCCTTCCGCCAGTTCGCAGAGGTGTATGTAAAGTGTGTGGCTGGAAGCAAGACCTCTAGCACCTCGGGAAGAGGTGACCGGTGACCCGACAATGATCAACTTAGGTCATGAATCCATGGCAATCTCTCGTTAGGCTTCCCGTAACTCACCGCAACTCTTGGACGTTCCAGTTGCCCAAGTCCACCGAGCGTTATTTACAATCAGGTATGTGTAATTAAATGATGTGCTGCGAATCAATTCAATATGAAGCGCACGAGTGCGACAAATGGGTGGAAGTGTTTGGTCCAGGTACCCTGTAATCATTCGGACCTTTTTCGGTTCCTTCCGAAGAATGACCTCAAATCCTGAACACGCCAAGTCTGGACACCTAGGCCTGTCGTTCGAAGGAACCGAGAAAGATCCCAATGATAACAGGGTACCATGACCTCCCAATTTAATTTTGTTCGTCTTACCGCTTCTATGGTGCTGCCTATTATGTAAGTAGAATACTTTCTGGGCGGAACAAGGGTGCAAAGAGTTTCCCCGAAATGGCAAATGACTCGGGAGTTCAAGTTGACATTATCGTACACCATTTAATTAATTATAACGACATTCACCAAGTTGGCCCTTAAAGTGTATTACATGGTATCGTAAGGCCGGAAACTTTTTTCCGACAATTTGCACTATAATTATTATCTATACCTACACCGTCAACTGCCGCCAGGCTCTGGTATAGCTCTGAACTTCAGATATCTGCCACAGGGTTTTCTCGCAGCCTGTGTGAGAGGACTTGGCTTACAAATACGATCAGCTGACGGCATTCGAAAAAGTAAGGTGGGCAGGGAATCGAACTCCAGAGCCTTCAGCCAGCAGCATCGATACATTGGACACAATAACAGCTCGGCCACAAGGGCTTATATTCGTAGGATGTCGATGTATATATGTCTGCCTTCTGGTATTTTCCCGCCCAAGTTCCGGTCTAGACTTGGTACAACACATATTGCAACACATATATATGTAGTGTAAAAATGGCCAGAAGGGTAGAAATATATTATATTTAACTTCAGTGGGCCTTGGTGTACTTTGGGAGGGATTGGAATGGTGTAAATTGTAGGAGGTGGGTGTTGTATATACCTCGACATCCTCCAAATACAAGCCCTTGTGGTCAAGCTGTTATTGTGTCCAATGTATCGATGCTACTGCCTGAAGGCTCTGGAGTTCGATTCCCTGCCCACCTTACTTTTTCGAATGCCGTCAGCCGATCGTATTTGTAAGCAAAGTCCTCTCACACAGGCTGCGAGAAAACCCTGTGGCAGATATCTGAAGTTCAGAGCTATACCAGAGCCTGGCGGCAGTTGACGGTGTATATTGATACGTGCTTTGCTCAGTTCTAAAATGTCGTTGGCGACCTTTTTAATGGGCATGATAAGGTGGGCGGCCTTACGTTAAACGTAGCACGCCGCGGCATCAAATTTTTACTCTTTCGATGCCTTGTAAGCTCTTGTAAGGCACATTGAAGAGCTAATTAAACTTGTAATCCGGCAGCATTAACATGGCTCTTTGTTTTTTCCGACAGGGGAGGTCGGGGTCCTGATCTGAGAAGGTAGTCGCCATTGAATGAAAATCGAGTGTTCATTCACCGGCGTCTTTGCCAGCACCCTCTCGCTGTGGTCTTCTCATCGCCTCATTTCGCTTTTCGAGATGAGTATGAACGAGAACGGCAGATTCCAAGAAGACGATATCATAATTTTGTTAGTATAATCGATCCACACGATGTTGTCTAGATGCTAAGTGGCATTTTAGGGTACTGGGATTGACTGGAGCAGGCAAAAGCAAGGTAGGACCACCATGTTTTGAGAAAGCACGACTAATCAGACGTTACGAACAGTTTATCAATACTGCTATCGGGGAGCCCAGAACGCGCACGAGTAAGGGGATGGCATCATGTACATACGAGGTCGAGAAGTTTGAAGTACCCCGTTCTTCCGAGTCGAGCCCGCACCGCATATTCTTGGTCGATACCCCTGGCTTCGATCATACATACATGGAGGAATCAGAGGTATTCGACCGAATTGCTAACTGGCTAAAGGATGTGTGAGTATATAACGTCGAGTGTTGTCAGTTTACACCAGGTATACTGACCGCAATGTCAGACATGTGAAAATCGCCGGCATCATATTTCTGCACGATATAGCCCACGACAACTATTCATCGCTGAACAGTGCCATTCGAATTGTTCAAAGAAGGTTATTAGGCTCTCATCCGCTAAATAATGTTATCCTTGCCACGGCGAACTGGAGTGATATTGAGCCAGGGGAGCGCCAAAAGCGAATCGCGAACACCGAGTGGGGAAATCTGATATCTCAGGGAGCTAGGGATGATCAATTTTTGAACACGGAAGAATCTGCCAGGGCGATCATCGAGTCCATCGCCCAGCAGCCCTGGAAAGAACCTCTGCTAATTCAGCGTGACATAGGTGTTCCAAGGGTATGTTCCTCATCCACCAACTCCCCAACAGCTACAATGTCATCGAAACGGCCAGACAAGCACGGTATTGAGGCAGCTGGCGATGTGACACTGGCAAAGGACCAATGGAGGGTCGATGACATCATTATACTGTAGGTTAATTCATGGTGCAAGACAATATGCAACTTATCAATATTTATCATTCAGCGTAATGGGGCGAACTGGAGTTGGTAAAAGCACCGTAAGACCATAACTCAACCACATTTCACAAGCTGATTTCGACGGATAGCTCGTCAATGATGCAGCCGGGAAGGAAGTGGTCACGGTCGGCCATGGAATGAAGTCGTGTACAGCCGATATTCAACACGTCTTCTGTGAATGTCCCGGCGATCCCTCCCGCCGCGTAGTCCTTGTCGACACACCTGGTTCTGATGATACATACAAATCCGATGAGGAAGTTTTGAGGCGCATTCGCTGTTTGGCTGGCAAGTTCGTAAGTACATATCCATCGTTGAAGTATATACAGCTCATAATCTGATCCTAGGTATGGCCAGGACATGAAGTTAGCCGGTATCCTCTACCTTCACGACATCACCCAAAGTCGGATGTTTGGGACGACGCTCAGGGATCTTGATGTCTTTCGAAAGCTGTGCGGTGAAGATGCAGAGAAGAACGTCATTCTGGTGACCACAAAATGGGCTAATCTGATTACCGCGAATGAGGGACAAGCACGTGAACAAGAGTTGACGAGTGTCTTCTGGAAGGAAATGATGGCACATGGGTCTACGACCACTCCGTTCGATCGGTCGCATCCGTGGGATGTCATGAAGCCCATTCTCGCGAACAAGACAGTTGTTGACGCCATCCAGATTCAAAGGGAACTAGTTGACTGGGGAAGAAAGATCCCTGAAACCGACGCAGGAAAGGCCTTAGCTTCCAAAGTGAAGAAACTGGAAGTTTCGCATGGAAAAGTCATCGAGGGATTCAAGCACAACACTGAAGATGGCACACAACTGCAACAATTGAAGGAGATTGAGAAAGAAGCTCGCGAACTCTTGAAACAACTTGAAGGTAAGGTGTCACTCGGAAAGCGGATGATGTCTCACTTTCGTCGGTAGAAGGAACATGCCAACAGTGATTTGGCCATAAGCACGGTCTCTGCTGTCACAGCCGGAGAGCATGTCACTTAGTTGCAACGGTTTCTTTATGGCCCTCTGGGACTATCTGTACTACATAGTACCCTTTGTATGTTTTCTCGCATGTCGCAGTCGATTCCAATCTTCGCTTAAATCAAGCGACTGCGTCTTAAATTATTCGTTATTAATCTTGTTCTATATATCACGCCGCAACCAAAATATAACTCCATGTCTCTTGTCGCTTCCCTGCTTGGCATTTGCAATCTCCAAGGGGCCATTGCATGTTTGGCATGTTTGCGGCACGAGCTATTGTCGTCATCCTTATGGGCGTCTCATGTCTACATTCCAATTATTGATTTACATCATACCATCAACAAAAGCAACAAAAACATTAATGAGCATATATAATTCTATCTTGCTGCCAACCTGCTATGCATCCCCAACTCCACTTTAGTGGAAGAGGGTTCTGTCACAAGCAAACAGTCAATCCTCCGCAAATGCACCTGTGGGAAAAGCTGAGCCAGTGGGAAAATATTTTTTGATTGAGCGTTTCATATAGTCTCATATATATACTAGTCATTCTGGAATCTGAATCTTTATTTATTTTTCCTTTCCAAACGCTCTGGACACATTGAAGACTCAGAACGAAAGGCTGAGTGAAGACAGAAATTTACTCACATGCGCCAGTTCGTGCTCAGCATATGATATGTATTGTAAGCTTGTGCAAGCTTTCCTCTCGTGAGTCAATCTCTTTGTTGAGAAGTGTCTGCCTTTGAGACTAGATGTCTACTGGAGTAGGGGACCCCAGGGGTAGGAGCCAAGTGGCAGCTGAGTAGCACCGTAGTTTAGTGAGCCATTCAGTGTCTCTCAGGCTTTGTCGTAGCGCAGTGCTCTTCACCACTTCTTGCCTTGCTCACAACACACAGGCACACAGTCGTGGATACACTGCTCCACTACCCAAGATGGTTCCACTACCATGACAGTGAGGAAATTCAAGAGTAAAATTTGCAGGCCCTCTTGGATAATGTCCTAGTTGAGTGTGTTTCTTGTATCTCTGTTTCATGAGGAAGATCAAAAAAGGATCTGGGGGAGCCCTTGGACCTGAACCATCACCATGGTCAGTTTTTTCCCACGCAATGTGGTGGGCAAGGTAGAACAACCAACGTTCACAGTTCAACACTGGCTCAGCACATAATGCAGTGGCTTATCTCCTTACTTACTGGACAGCCCAAGTTGACATTTCTCTGTGGTAGTTGGGCCAACCCACCATGGGCCCACATTATTATGTACCTCATAGCCATGGGATGGGCCCAGGTGTGAGACCGTCCCCCTAATATACTGGGTGGGCCTGAGGTGGATAGCCTCCAAGGCTAATGGATGGGCCCACAGTCTAGATATTTCAGATGTACCATAATGCATAACTTAGTAGTCTTATGATGTATAGCCTATTACTGTTAAATCAGTACCGCAGTAAGGGGTGGGCCCATACATTGGTTGGTGAGATTGCCAATATGGATAATGTCCGGCATCCGGCGGCACCGATGAAGACAGTGATAAAGGTTATGTAGCCTGTTACTGTCGGATTCAAAGGGTGGGCTGACAATGTAAGATCACCAATACATATGTGGTCATCCACGTCTAGCGAGCAGCATCGACGACACAGCATACCAATACTGAAAGCTGTGATAATGGCCGGAAAGGGTGGGTTGACAATGTAAGTTCACCGATACATATCGTCATGCACGGCCGGTGTACAGCATCGACATGGCATATCAATACTGAAAGCTCATGTGCAGCCTGTGATGGTCGCTGGAGTCAACAACCATCCATAAAAGCTGAGGTGGCGAAGGCCAACAGCTGAAGTGGTAATACAAGTTTATTGACTTGCACTTGTAGATGCCCTGGGGTTAATCTACAAATTCATAAACATCCCTATGTACCATACCGAGACTACTATGTGCAAGACAAGGAATCATCAATTATTGACATGTACTTGGAGTATTCCGCTCGGGGTACATCTACAAATTGATGGACATCATCCCGCATGTACCACACCCAACTGATTCTGTCGCCGTTCACATTGTCCACCCCATGCCAGACAATTCTACCTGAAGCTGCCGCCATAACACCTGAATTATAAGCGATCTCAATGCCAATATTGGGCATCCGCATTCGCGCCGGTCCATAGCCGCTGACACTGAGCATCGCATCAAACCATTGTGCACAGGATAAAGCATCATGGTGCAAGGGTGAGCGTCGGTTGCACAAGACGGCGAGGACTGTGAACACAGATCCCCATACTCTTAAGAGATCTGCCATGTCCTGCAATTGATTATTGGCTGCCCATAGACCGAGGCCCAGCTGGATTGTCAATGAAGACCAGTAGAGTCTGGGGTGCATAATTCTCAATGCAGCAGCAATAAGGGCCGCCGGTCTCTGCATCACCTGACATAAAGATATCCCACCCACTCGGAGGGTCGCTGATATTTCAGGATGAAATTTTGGAGCCTATTAAGAAATGAGGCAAGGCTGTTGGATGTTTGATGTGCCAACTTACTGGATGACCTTGTAAAAACCATGCTGGAGAGAGATTGATGCAACCAGGGGTAAGGCCATGATCACTGCTTTGCAAATTGGACTCATGGGTACGCCATTATGTTGTCCTTCACAGCGCCGCGAGTGATACTTGTGCCCAGCGGCCCTGACATCATAACAGTCACCGCCATCATATCATTCTAAAATGACTCAGCAGATATCATTCGGCGGCGGACGCAAACCAACCTGGATGGCTGCATCAATTGCTCCAGGAAGATACCATAGGACAATAATACCAAATTTGTCGAGGACAACTGCAGGCCGTTCCAGAATAATTTGACGATCCGGCGGGAATCGTGCAAGGAGTAGTTCTTCACGCCCAGACTTGAGGCCAGTCTCCATTGTTTGCAGCACTTCTGAATACCTGGTTATATCAAAGTTGATTGTGACTAACGCCGATTGAAGTTAAAACCAGCAGCGCACAAATCTTAGGGCCGTACCTGGATTGCGATATGCCTCGGCAAGCGTCCTGGCAAGTTTGGAGCAAGCCATGAGTAAGACAACATCAAGCTCAATCGGAGGAAGGACCTTCGGCCCCACACCGATGAGAACAGAAAACTGGCGGGAGACATATTCACTGGCAATGTGAGTTGTGGACAACGCCCAGTCAGCAGGAATGGGGTTCATCGGACGAGGGACAGAAACATCATAAGTGCTGCCTTTTTATAATTGCTACTGATCATGAATGATGGGGCCTAACATCATAAATTAAAGCATTGCAGGCCACCGGTGATGAGAAGCACATGCCCGAGTTTTCCCATGAAGGGATTGCTCCAACGTAATGATGCTGGCTTCTCAATATATTGCAGCATACATCAACATTAATGACGTGTTCAGCTACATCCAGCGTGTAATTGCAAACACTTGAAAAAACTTTTCAATTGGCAGAACTACGGTGAAACTACATGGAGGTCCTGCGGCGGTGATTACGCCAAGGTCCAGCAAGAACTTTATTCTGCTCCACATGGCGGGTGATTCATATCAAAAGACAAAACAACTCTATTACATAGACATGGAACCAATGTTCGGGACTGGCAGCGGTGGCTTACTTGAATGATTCTCTGTATACCAAGTACAAATGGCAACCAAAAATATGGACCGGCAGAAGGCATGTCTACAATGGACCAGTTCCAGATGCAGATTCACTAAAGACCTGTCTCAGGTGAGAACTGCCGGCGTTCTGATTAGTTGAAGAACCAGCAACACCATTTTGGCCAGAACTACTGGCGGCATGGGCAAGAGACGTTCCAGCGGCAGTGGAGGGACCCGGAGTGATGTTTGTGTACAAGCGTTCCATTGCCTGTGCTTGGCCCTGCACTGAAACCCTGACTGTAGGGTGTACTGTAGCTGGGGATGGGCAGAAACATAGCGTTACTGAATGCGGGAGGGATTGACACATTGGGCATGACACGTTGCCGAAGGGACTCGTAAGCTTCCTGCAGGATGGATGTGGAATGTGCTTGCTCAGCCAATTTGGCCTTGGCAGTCCGGAGCTGTTCCTCACGACTGCAAGATTCAACCTGCATGTCATTCACATCCTGCTGCAATGCTGTGAGCTCGTCGCGCATGGCCTCTAGATTTTGAATGTTTGTTTCCTGCTCGGCAAGACGGACATTCATGTTCGAAATAAGCAGCGTGGAAGCGGTATGTCAAGCATGGAGTTCAGTCAACTCTGTTTGGAGGCTATTGATGACCACCTGCAGGCCCACATATTGCAGTAACATATCTCCGTATTATATGAGTGGACGGACGTGCATAATATCCCGTATGATACGGGCCAGCGGACCATGGGCCGAGGGTAGATATATCCTCGACTGTGACGGATGGGCCGGGAGTGTTATTATTCCCGATGGAGACGGGTGGGCCCAGGTGGGGAATATGTAAAGTAGATGGGTGGGCCGATGGACATGAATTTTCAATAGACGGATCGGCCGAGGTAGTTGGATATTATGTAGATGGGTGTACCAAGGTAGATATGTATCAAATAGCCGGGTATATCAAGGGTGCTTGTTATCACATAGACAGGTGGGCCCAGATATATATCATATTAGACGGGTGGGCCGATGAATTAATATTATTTTGTAGACGGGTGGGCCGAGGGGAGCGGTAAAAGATGTATTATATACAGGTGGGCCGACGGGGAGACATATATTGCATAGATGGGTAGGCCGACGTGGGGGGTATATAAGATAGACGGGTGGGCCCAGGAGAATGATAATTGTAGACATGATGGAGCTCAGCTAGTTGTATATCATCCAAATCAAAGGAGGGTGATTATTCAAAGTCATCTAATGATGTGGTATGGCACGGAGCTTTGCAAAGGGGGTGAAGTGGAAACTCGAGCGAAGTGTACCGAGTTCCGAGACCCGGGTCTCGACAAACAAATATGTGATGTCCAGCACACTTCCGATCATCTGGTATCTCATTGAGCAATGGATGATAATAGATCTTTGAAAGCCAACATCATCCAAGCCTACCAAATGCCAAATGCCAAGTTCCGACCACCGAAAATTGAGTGAAGTGTACCAATATCTGAGCCCCAACTATCGAATCCCGAAAATCGACCATCGAGTCCCGACTATCGAGTCCCGACTACCGAGTCATGAAACCCGACGCCTGACCATTGAATCCCGACAATCGAGTATCGAGTCCTGACCAACGAGTCCCGTATATCAAGTCCCGACCATCGAGACCCGAGACCCGATGCCCGAGACCCGAGAACCCGACGCCCGAGACCCGAGATTCGAGACAAGTTCCAACTATGGTGTCCCGGGTATCAAAATCGAGTGAAGTGTACCGAGATCCGAGGCCCGGGTCTCGACAAACGAGTATCTGACATCCAACAGACTTCCAATCATGTGGTATTTCATTGAGCAATAGATGATAAGAGAAATAGATCTTTGAAAGCTCAGATCATCCAAGGCTCCCTTATCTGATCCTCTCAATCTCCACCCCCTTTAACACCAAAGTGCAGACATTCAGGATTCAGCTTCTGATCTCACAAGATCAATTCAATCATGGATGTTTCTTCCACTTCCGATGATGAAATAACCCTCTTGCGCACTTGGGCCCTGACTGTCACTCATGTGGCATGTGATTATACGGAACAGAAATTCAATGCAGAGAAGACAGGAGGAGACCCAGTTATACCTTCTCCAAACCTAGACACTGATCTGGTGATGGCTTGTGATCAATTGGTTGATCGGCTCATAAAGGCATATAAAAATCCCAGTGAGTCTTCCTGCAGATTCGGAAAATTCGTTTTATCAGTCAAATTGCTTCATCACAGTTCAGATGCCGATTGATATTGCAAGATATAGCAAATTGATCTCCCCAAAGGACACGGGGCGTAATGAAGAGAGAGAGGAAAAAGTTGCTCGAGAGGTGTCCTCCTGGCCATGAGGGCACAAAGTTGATCGACATACCGCGACAATTCTTTGATGCATCCGTGTGCCATCATCGCATGGTACCTCCCAGACGCCTTGACCGATGCCACCCAGGTGTGTTATATATATTGTGACTGGATGGATATTGAACATCAAATGGTAGTACAGAATGAAATTTGGGGCGGCCTCGGATTTGCTAGCTCCCATGCTCGAACAAAGCATAAAGCTCGATGGGATTTGGTGGACTAATCAACAGTGGTTCACACCAAGCTCGGAAAATGATGTCCTAACTCCCGGATGCGTTAATTTATCTCCGGCATGGTTTCAGCAGGGGCACGAGGTAGGATCTGATGAGATGGCGATCTCGGTAGTTAAACTCACCAATCCCATAGAATCAGTCCGATCCGGAGGTATCTGCATCATTGAAGGGACCATCCTCCGAGAACATCCTCAAAGCCATTGCGAGGCCAGCAGCCATTGCCACAGCGGCACTCAGGGTGATGCATCCTGAGCAGTACTGGGCAGGGTTGCAGGCCTTTGCGAGCCTCGGAGAAAAGGCACGAAGCAAGGAACTGCCGAAGATGTCAGAGACTCTCCAGTACTGGGCAACGGTGTTTTAACAGCCTCACACGTCATATGCAATCGGGAAACCCCGAATCATCGAGACCCCTCATCGATTTCCGAATGCTTTGATATTCTCACTAGCGTGGGGAATTATTCTAATGCTCGGATGAGTATGCCAAGCCTGCAGCTGGAGTTAAGGTACGATCCGGGGTGCATGATTGCATTTTCGGGAAGGATTGTCAGACACGCGGTTTCATGCAGTGGAAGGGGATCGGATTGCCTGGGCATGGTATATGAGGGATGCTGTTCATGTTTATGCTGGGATTCTGTCGTGTGGATGGGCAAGGTGGATTGGAAGAAGTAGAAAGGTAGTTACCCGTGTAGACCCACCTTCAAATACATGATACTAGAGGTCAGGCACTCCATACTCAACATTCGGGTTTCGGGTCTGATAGTCGGGACTCGATATTCGATTTCACCAGACTACCGAGTACAGGGTTTCGGGGTTTTCGGTACACGGTACCCCGGTACTTGAATAGTCGGGACTCGATATTCGATTTCACCGACTACCGAGTACCGGGTTTCGGGGTTCGGTACAACGGTACCCGGGTAACGGTGATTCAAGAAACAACTCCCAAAATTGATGAGTGTCATGTTTTGAGTTTTGTTTCGATTTGTTTCGAGTGTCGAATCTCGGGCCTTCGGGGGATTTTGTGTTTCGGGGTCTCTGATAATAGGGACTCGGATACTCGGATGGTCGGCAACTCAACATCTCGGGCTTCGGGAGTCGATTGTCGGGACTCGGGTTTCAAGACTCGGTTAGTCGGGAACTCGGATAGTGCGGATTCGGGTTTCAAGACTCGGTACCCGTACTCAAGAAAGTGTCGTGTTGTTTGGAGTTTTGATTTGTTTCGTGTCGAATCTCGGGCTTCGGCTTCGGGTGTTGGGTTTTGGGTCTCGATATTGGGGACTCGATACTCGATGGTCGGCACTCAAATCTCGGGCTTCGGGAGTCGATTGTCAGGACTCGGGTTTCAAGACTCGATGTGTGGGACTCGATGGGACTCGATGGTTGGGACTCGATGGTTGGGACTCGATAGTCGGGCTGTGGGACTCGATTGTCAGGACTCGGTGGGGACTCAAAACTCGCAACTCATAGCAATGTTCGAGTTTCAAGTCTCGTCTCGAATCTTGGGCTTCGGGACTGGATATCCGGGACTCTATGTTTGGGACTCAATATTTGGAACTCAAGATATCTGGATCTCGATACTCGATATTTGGTATGCAGGACTCAGCATATAGCAATAGGTCAGATATTCGAAAGTCAGTATGTAATTTTCAGTACTTATTTCATCATGTACAGAATTTAGACTTCAACATTCTGAACTGAAGGACTAGAACTACTCTGGTCCCCTTGGGTTCAATTTGGTTAGGACGGTGGTGTACATCTGAATCTCTGCCATTTTCACGGATGCCAGCTTGTTGATCCTCAATCACTGTCAGGAGGCGTTCCCTCATCCACCTCAGTGCCTTCAGCGTTGCAAGCGAGCTTTCATCCACCTGCTCGGGAACAACAAGATTCGTCCTCAACGCCAGACTAGAAAGGATTAGTCATCACTCAAGGAAATTCTGTAAAAGTCTTACTAGCCAATGCTGGTAGTGACAGACACAATTAGCGAATACCTGATCCCATGGCCATAATTCGTTCGGGATGGCAGTTGATCCGGTCCACCATGGAGTACCATAGGTGGATACAATGCGGGAGGGATCCCCCAGATCTGCAACGTCTTGAAACTGGCATAGGTGGGATGAAAAGATGTGGTCCGGAACCATGTTCCAGGTGAGCTCGGGAATCAACTGAAGAATATGAGCAACCGGGCTCGGAACAACCGAAATGATGTTCCTTGCAGCTGAGTACTGCAGGATGGGAGTCACAAAAGTCTGTTGGAAATGTCAGCATTGACCACCACAGTCATCAGCCTCTTACAGCTATCTCCCATTGCAGCCCGGCTTTAAAGTGCGTGATCCGAGTAGCAGATGGCTCCTGGGTGTGGGCAGCCTCCATCTGATATTGAGAGATGGACGCTCGGATGCGAGATGCAGCCATTGACATTGTAGCTGCAATATCTGCCTGAGTGAGTGTGAGGGGTCGGAACCCATTGCCGGAAGTCTGAGAATTAGAAGGGGATGTTGGGGGAGTATGCAATACAGACATGGTTAATGCAGGATTATGAAGCTGGAAATGACAATGACAATGGCAGTTGGTTCGGAGGTCAAGATATGAGCCACTGGTTGATTGATAAAAATTTTCAAACTCCGACATGGGTCGACCCGGCCAATTCCCGGGACTAAAATGTTTGGGTCAAAGTAGCTGTTTCATATCGTTGGCAAAAAAAATTCATTCATTCTCGAGTGTCATATCCCGTATTCTGGACCTACGTCCGATGATGTTCCCACGCCTTCCGGATGCACATCCGGACCTCCATACCCTTATCCATGACTCCATACCCTTATCCATGCCTGCAGTCCTCCAGTCCACTATCGGTTTGGATCCGTACACCTTCATACATCCATATATCCATACCTTCGGACCTCCGCAGCTAAGCCTGCTTCATCCACCCTTGATCCCATCGGATCCGAGCTCATCCTACCTGAGACTTTACCTTCCCTAGACTACCAGATGATATCCATGATATATATCCTAGTCTCGTCTTCACCTAGATCTCCGGATCCGCTCATCCGATATCCAGACGCCTCATCCGATATCTCTAGACCTCCGGATCCGACCTATACTCATATCCGAAGCTCAAACCTTAAATCAGCGTCTATCTCCTTATGGTAATCCTCTTGACTCCGGACTTCGGTTATCTGTGTTTCCGTCTTGCTTATTGATCCTTGTACTTTGTTCATCTCCGAGTTCATTTGTTTATGTTCCGTTCATACTTACCAATATGTTTCCACATGCTCGTACATAGCATTTGTCTTCAGCTTACTGATCCTCTCGGATCCCGTCCAGTATATAAACCTCTGTACAACTCCTGTAAAGTTTCCTCAGTTTGAATATCATCTTAGATTCTGCTCAACATAGACTTGCTCTCTCACATCCTAGACTTCACTCATTCTGATCTCGGACTTCGGTCCATCTTAGTATTGCCTTTCCTTAGGCCTAGGGAAGGATTCCCTAGGCCAACCTTCCGGTCCTCCGGATTTATCCTTCCGTCTATATCCATTGCTTAGGGATTGACTCCCTAAGCCGAAGCTTTGCCTTTCCGGCACTTCCTGTCTTTCCGAGACTTCTGTCTAAACCCCGTCTATCCAACTCTACCATAGTGTAGTCTACCTCCGTCTGTTTCTCTCCGGACCTTGTCCGTTGTAGCCCTTCTTCTCTTGTCCTAGAATCCTGTCCGCTCCTCCGGTCCTCCGGACGTCGTAACCTTCGCACCTTCGGACGTCGCAACCTTCGGACGTCAGCAACCTGCGGACGTCGCACCTTCGACGACCAACCTTCGGACCTCCGGACGTCCTGTCCTTCGGACTCCTCCTACCCTATCCTGCTTGGCTCTGTCCCTTGCAGCCTATCTTCTATGTGTTTCCATCTAGGGAGCTTACCTTCGGACTCAATGCAGCGGGTGAAACTCTTCCAGAGTTTCCTATACTCATCCGAAAGTTTCCCGCGCTCATCCGGAAGTCCTCCAGCACTCAACCAGAGTAGCCAGCCTCCGGAAGTCCTTCGGACTTCGTCGGATTCCATCTGGACTTCATTCTGAAATTAAGGGCACGTACTCGGGTAAGGGGCACAGCGCATGAGCTGAGGCCAAGCCCTTCGGATCCGTCTACCTTGAGCTACGGTCTTAACCGAAGAAGGAAGGTTCTATGTTCGATGAGTTTAATTCAAAATAGAAGACGCGCTGTGACGGTCATACCAGCGCTAGGTGCGTATGATGTCATAGGCATATTTTGCCTTGCCCAGAGGAAAAGAGTAAGGCGCTAGTCACCAGCACTACTCAGCTCCAAGCTATCCGCTTTGGAAACCACTTTTCTCCCATAGCGCGCTACCCGGTGTAGAGACTCGATCCTGGGTAGCCTCACAATGGCACATATTGCAACATAGGTCGAGTCTACAGTATCATGCATGTACACGACACTTGCACGATAAACGCGACGTTTGCACGACCGCGCGACTTAGGCGACACTTCCACAACATAGGCGACACTTGCGCAACTTGCGCGCGCTTTAGGCGAATTTCCCGCGCCCTAACGCTATAGGGCGCCTGACTTCCCACTGTGTTTTCCATGTCCAACCAAGTTCCCAGGTATGCATTTCTCTCATTTATCATTTTACAACTCGTACCATGTTTATTTTCACTGGTACACATTTTCATTACCATTTTTTTACTGAAAACACACATTACCACGGACCACCATCATCATAGACAGTCACCATCTCCGAGTTTTTTATGTTTGAATAATCATCGCAAGCCCTAGTAGCAGTTAGCTCTAGTGGCCATATCCGCATCAGTTGTCTTATCAGCATCTCAGTACACGTCTTAACATCTCACTATCGCTCGCATACCGCTTTCACCCAGTTCCGCTTTTCGACGCGCGACTTCCCCCCCGCTTCGCGCGCCTATAGCGCCTTTGTTCCCGCGCGCCTTTCGCGCTTCTTGGCGCATTCCCCCTAGAGTTGACCAGTGATATTTGCTTCTCCGCTTCCCCAAGGGACGAACATATCGCACTCAATTTTCCTCCCTTCACAATTATATCAGCACCCTCAGCTGAGTTGAAGATCCTTCACCGGTCCGGCGCCTAGGTATTCCGTCCTCCATCAGGAAATCGCTGAGGCAACGGTTCGTAGTTGTAGTTGGTAAGATCAGATCAAAAATTCACGCGATTATAGTAATGAGAAAAGTACAAAATAATAATAAGAGAAGCAAATTGGTAGCGAAGGATAAGATTGGCAAAAAGGTATACTGATGAAAATAGGCAAGTGTACCACATTTCTCGACTGCATGTCCCTATGGTCACCAGTGACCACTTGGGATCAAAGGCTCGGCCCTATGGGATGCTTATGTAAGTCCGAATTTTTTTCAAAGTTCAACATTAGAGTCTCTTACTAGTTCTTCTCTCAATGCTACACCACCACTTAATTACACTCTTAATCTCAAACTCTCACTCTCTTTTGGCCTTCCTCTTGGTCCCTCCCTCTTGGTCCCTCCCTTATGGTCCCTCCTCCTTGGTTCCTCCTCCTCGTGGTCCCTCCTTCCTGGTTCATCCTTCCTGGACCCTACTTCATGGATCCTCCTTCTTGGACCCTCCTTCCTGGATCCTCCTTCATGACCCTACTTCCTGGACCCTCCTTTGCGGACCCTCCTTGGACCCTCCTCCCTCTTATACTCATTTTCTGTCTTTTGTAGTGTTATATATGTATATATGTACTTACATCTTGTGAATTACAAAATGAATTTTTTTTGGAATAAAATGTGTGTACAAAGGTGAAAAATTTTTTGTTGAAGCCACCCAACATTATCAAACTTTGTCATGGCTGTCAAGTGTTGGCAACATTTGCTGGTTTGGTGAGAAATGGCAAGTAATTGCAGGTAGACTATCATGATTGTGCTTGTGGGAGTTTTCATCCAACTTACTCCGGGTATATAAAGCATTTTCTAGTGAAATATCATTTTGATAGATATTATACAAATTTTAAATCAGGTAAAGCTTGACAAACTTTACCATTTTCACATCACTTCCCTGATGTCCCATGTCCTGCCTATGTCCACCTACCTCCGCTGGTGCATTATTTTTCCTTAAATGTTGCTACTCATCAGTCGCAGGTCTTATTACATGTATCCTCGTGTTCTGCAGTGCAGCATGTTTATTACCTGTCACTACATCATGCCCTCGCAAGTGTCGCTACTATTCTCACCTACGATTCCCGAACTTTTACACAGTATGATAAATGACCCGTCGCACATACAGTACAGTACCCCCCTCCCGGACCTTTGCTGGTGTCGGAGTCACTTAGTCACTATATCCTAGTCTTGGTGCAATTGATTCCGCTCTTGCCAATCTCTTTGATCACGTGTCACTTGACTTGAAGTGCACATCACTAAAGTTCCCTCTTAAGTTTGACTTTCACAATGTCGGGATCACTATCGGTAGTCGAGCTATAATCTAGTCGCTATCGGGCATTTCACTTGCACTGTCTTACCTTACTCCTCGCTTTCGCTCCTTTTGATTTCTTCTTGCTGTTGCTAGTCGACGTTGCATAACGCTATCGCATAAAACAACTTGCAGCGCATCTCACTATATGCACGTTTTCTCTGCGTGTCGGAACTCACTTGTGCTGATCGCTATAGCGCTACTCGGTTTTTGGTCTTAGGTCGCTATAGGTTATTAGTCCTTCGCGCTATCACTACCCTTGCATATTAGAAGGGAGTTGCTTCAATAGCAATCGAACATATATAGTGCGCAGTATGCCAAACATCATACTCCAACACACGTGCTGTGATCGCATCGTGCATCAACACACAAAACAGCGATGGACTGATCAGAGTCATCAGACTAGTACATATACTGGCCATCATGCCTGGCGGAATATCCTTCGATCACAGATGGTCATTCCATCAAGACATGATGTGTTAGTTTCATCAGTATCTTCCGTCTTCACATCTACAAGTGTGCAGTGACGCACACCACTGACATGTGACTGGCACCCTGATCATGTTCCTCCCATTCATCAAGCACTTATCCTTGAAGCCCACCAATGACCATTATGACATCAGGAAAATCACTGGTTGCTCTTTCCCGCTTATGTCACTTAATGTTTAGTGAAGGTAACTAAAAACACAGACTCCTACCCAGCCACCCCGGGGAGAAGTCCTCTCATCCTAGAGCCACAATACAAATAAAACCATACATTAGTCATCATACTATAGCCGAAATTTTGGAGGACAACTCCCCACAGCGACTGGCAAAACTTGTTGTGGCGCGAAAGTTGAACACTGTTTGTCTCACCTAAAATATTCAGATCTAAGTATGAGTCAGCAACGAGCGCCTCCACCCCGCCGCTCCCATATATGGTCATGTCCTTTCGTAATACATACACAAACACATTGAACTTGTAATAGAGCACACAGCGACACATTTAAATAGTATCCCTATGAGACAATGAGATGTTAGCTGTACCCCCCCTCCTTTCAGGATGCCTGCCATTCCTCCAGTTAATGCTATGAACAGTGTCCTTCAGCTTATGCTTGAAATGAAATATCGCTGTTGGACCTTACAAAAGCAATAATATCAACACCACAGTGAAACTATCAACTAATAAAGGAGTCACTGTGGCAACATGCAGCTGAAATCTGCCATCTTCTTTTCTTGTCCACTGGATGCTGCGAGGTTGTCTTTGGCTAGGCGTTTGAAGTAGTTGTCGGGGTTCTTTGTGACGAGATGGTTGATCTGTCGAGTGAGTGCAACAGATTGCATTTCAAAGCAACAAAAACGACATCTACGCAACTTGAAGACTCATTCATCCACAAACTCGCACTGAAAATCAAAAGATCACGCCAAATATGTTTAAAATGTTACTCGCACTTCTGGATGTGAACCCAGGGTGAAGGCGGAATTTTTCAGTGGTGGACATAGAAGATATGCGCGAGAATATGAGGAGGACAGGCACAAGATGAAGAGATGGACTTAGGCAAGTTTGGAGGGGATGATTCCTGTCATATACCATATATCCGGTTACAGATCCGATCCAGATCCAATGAACATATCCGTCGTCCGGTCCACAGATCCGCTTTGATTCTTATTTCATTTCCTGTCATATAACTCTAACTATCGTTCATCTTTCTTTCGGTATTCCTGTACACCGGTATACCGGTTATCCTTTACTTCCGCTTTGCTTACTGATCCGCTACACTTACAAATCCGCTTTTACTTGTACTTCATTCCCGGTTCATGATTTGTGATCCATCCGACTTACCAATACGCTCCACTTAGACTTTGCTTATACTTTCGTTCATAGCCTCGCACCTTTGCTTATTGATCATTCCGTTAGCCATCCGTAGTATATAAACCTTTGTATATGCGCTGTAGTAGATCAGTTTGAATATCATCTTAGATTGCACTCATTCCGTCTGGACTCTAAGTCCCCCTGTTATCCGTCCGGACTTGAGTACACTACTCTTGTCTACTCTGAGACTTAGGATAGATTCCTATAGTCTACATATCCGCCTCTGTCATTCGGACAGTCCTCACCCGTAGTTTCTAGTCCGGATCCGATCCGGATTAGCCGTTACTCTATACATTCGATATCCGGAAGTCTTAACGGATCCGTTGCAATACAAGACTTATCCGTTACAATACTTATCCGTCTCACTAGACACGATACTTTAGCTCTCTGAAATAAGGGGCAAGACTCGGGAAAGGGGCACAGCGCACGAGCTGAGGCCGAAGCCCTTCGGATCTTACTACTTGAGTACGGTCTTAACAATTCCACCATGATTGATATTTGAATAAGAGGAAGCGTGACGATGAAAACAATCCAAAAGTACAGAAACGGCAACGACGAGCTGAAGAACGGAATACAGCATTAATGATCATAGTTTGTGACACTTCTCAGACAATAAGACATAGTACTCACCTGATTGACTGAAGAAAACTGTGATATGTGCATGCATCTTTGCACAGAGCTCAAATGAGCGCTGCAACACACTCCAGTGCATCTTCAGTCTATTTTTGCACTCAACTGGCACCCCGCAAAGAGTGATAGAGGCACTCGCACACACCAGTATCTCCATCAGCACACAATCCATTGCAGCAGCTGTAAGATCCTTGTCAAAAGAAGCGAATGCTCAAATCAAACAAGCCGTATGGACATTGACAACAGCACTTGCCTATGACAACTTTGACATCGATTTCAAGACTGCACAGCCCACAATCGAGCACCAGTCCCAATTCATTAGTTTGACTTCTGCAACCACAATACCTTTGTATGGTATTAATAACCCTGTGGTCCTTCAGTGCTCACATGAGATATGGCAGAATGAATCAAGCGGCCTAGTTAGAGCATCCCTGGCTGCCGGGAAACTCACCACAAAGGATCTGCGCATTTTTCATCAAGAAAACTCTTATGGGACAATCCCACCAGGGAAACATCTATCTCCATGCGAGGAGAACTTTGCCTGGCATGTTCGTGACATCCTGCTCAACCACGGCAAGTATTTCGACTTCCTAAAACATCACCATGACGATCTGGTTGTTATCAATGCCATCCCACTGCACAAGACAAGACAAGTACCTTGCCAAGCAATGCCCATCAAACAGTCAACAACTGATGGAAATATCAAGGTTATGGACCCCTTTTGAGACAAGGCAGAATTGGGGAGTGTGAAAGGTTGGATTTGATCCACAGTATGATGTTGATATGTCTGAGCATGTCCTCCTTGTCCATGGAGACCTTTTAACCAAGGAACAATTAGACACGATCATCAAATCACGACATATTGAGGACACACCTAAACACTGCTTTCAGCACGTTGTGTTTGTTCCTGGTCTCTTTCACTTCAAAATGGTGTGTGCCGATGCACTATGGCATACATGGATCCAACCACAAGCTGGTTGAACGGACATCAATAGCCTTTGGCAGCATGTTGGTGTCTTGAGGCCCCGTGAGACTGGAAAGTTCGCATTGAAGCCAGGGTTTCGATGGATGCATGACATTCTGCATCACGATCTCTGGGCGTCAATATTAGATTGTTGGCTAGTGGAGGCTCAAACAATAAACAGCACATGGGACTCACTCGAAGTGTTCGCAAAATGTGCGCCATCATGGGAGTTGATTGTCGAGATGTCAGAGTACATAGTCAACGAGTTTGTTGCCAATACAACAACACTTATGAACCTGTGTCAACGACCTAGACAAGAGCGTGATCAGCGATTCGAAAACCAGGTGTTGCCCAACCGTGATGAACTACTCTATGTCAATCTCTGTCATGCGATGAACAGTGGTGATATCGGACGAGTCAAGGCCTCTTTCTTGTTGTGGATCTACATATTCAAAGCAACAAAAAGCACAAATATGCATATCATACAGCTCGCTTTATGGTACAGATGCGGTACATTTATCCCGAGGACCTACAGTGCATGTTTCTGTCAATGTGTTACACATTGACCAGAAAATACAATACCTACAGACAACTAATCCAACTGAATTGGCTTTGCAAATCAACCAGAAGGGCCTTCAAATTTACCCGTGGATTGGCTGGTAGAACGGAATAATCTGTATACAAGGTACAATGTTTCTATCAGTAAACTGAAGGGCAACAACAAGAAAATAGGTCATTTTGCAGGGAAAGGATCAAATCATACGATCCAACACATCATCAACAAATCCCCTCTGATTGAACTCTACCGGGAATGCCATGTCAAACAGTGCACCATAAAACATGTGCCACCGAACATGACAAAAACTTTGCAAAAACTGTGTGATGAAGTATGAAGGCACTCACCACATATATTTACAGCCAGAAGACATGCTGACCATCAAGTGGAGGATGAGATTGGTACAGGGATGACTATGTTGGTACAAGGCAAGGAAGCGCTAATGGACTGTGATGGAGAAGTGGATTTAGTGGGGGCAGAGGACGTCATTGATTATTGACACAAGTAGCGCCGCTGGGAGAATGTTTTCTTGATTGAGGTTGGTGTTAGAAGGACCTGCGCGCATTGGGCAAAGATGGTTCCTCGCTGTTAAGAAAGACTCAACTTTAATTTGGTAGGTTGCAGAACAGAACAATGGACATACCATTATGGCCGGATTGCTTGCATTTAGAACACACAGTTACTTTGCGTGGTTTCTTAGGAATATTTGCAGAGTGGGCCGATGGATTAAGCAGATTTGATGCTGTTGAGAGTGACACCACATTGGACATATTAATGAACATGTTAGGCTGAGGTGGTTGCACAGCTGTCGCAGGGGATAATGCTTGCGGACCAAATCCAAGATATTTCTACCATACTCATTGGCATAGCACCAGTCTGTTAAGTCTTGGAGGGAAGCAACATTGGATAGCTTTGAGTGAAGGGAGAGATCAATGTGCATTAAGATTGGATCCAGAAGAATAAGAGCAGGACTGAAAAATGGATCATTGATCCCAAATCAACAAGTATCTTCTGGCGCCAGGTCTTGAGGTCAGTCTGTAGTGCATAGTCTCTTGTATCCATTTTATAAGCAGGAAGCATCGTTTTCCATTTTCGCTTGGGCTTTGCTGGAGGTGAGGTGTAGAAAAGTAGGAACACGTGTGGAGTGCAAACATCACAGCAGAAGCGCGGCCTCGTTGTGCGCTTCTTGCATCTTTTACAGCAGACATCTGAGTCATTATTGTTCTCTTATATTATAGGTGTCAAGTCAACGACTACCGCATCAGAATAGAATGATTCACCGATCAGATTATTCCCAAAATACTCGTCTGCAATTCTGCATCTACAAATTGTTCAGTTTCCAGCCTCAATGAAAACTTCCATGGCTGCTACCTTAAATTCATCTATGTCCAGACCAGTAGACAATGGCAGGATTTTCAGAACTCGTGGATGTGCAACCCCAGTATTCCTACAAGACGCTGCAAGAGTATCATTGATTTCACCATCTGATTCACCACTGCTATCACTGCTCTTGTCATCATGATTACTTCTCTTCACAACTCCTTCCAGACGTGCTGCCTTCTTTGGGGAATCTTGTTGGGCTCTTGATTCCATTTCCCATTTGCCCTTTTCCCTTTCCCCTTCCTCTTATAATCTTTTTCAACAAATAAATACTGCTTGCCTCAATGGAGGGATCTCGAGCAGCATGGCCCAACCTTTGCATCAAGGTACAGAGACTGTGTATATATCCCCATTGGACAACTAACTTGACATCCCAAATGTCCAGACCCTGTTAACATGTATGGTTGAGCTAAGACCAGCGAGACAGAACAAACTGACCATTCCTGCAGCATCTGTACAACACATCCCCCATAATTCACCGCTGCGCAACTTCGCCATCATGTCAGTTCTGAATTCCTGCATCATTCCGGAGTGAAACCAAACAATTTTAGTTGGAGTTCTGGTTGCAGCTGACTGGAGGTACTTGGTCATTCTCTGTGTGTCTTGTCTTGAGTTACAGAATATCATGAACTTTGGGGGATGTATTCCTTGCGTAAGTGAAGGATACGGTTGATGTCGTGGAAGCTATTTGCTGAATGGAGCATCTCAACAACAGCAACCTGTATGTTCTGTCGGTCATTCAAAAGTTGGATCATGCAGGTGTTCTTGTCCCACATATTCAGGGATACCATGACGTCTTTCAGGATGTGTGCTGGTAGGGTTGCTGAAATGATATGAAATGGTACATGCGATGGAAGGAGCCAGTGAAGTCTTCCAAGCTGACTATACATATTTGGGGCGAAAGTCTTTCCCCATTGACTGATACAGTGCCCCTCGTTGACGGTGACATTAAACAGGTGCACCGTGAAGTCCCTCATTCTCCATAGATCATTGAAACACTGGTCACTGAGAATAATCTCGGGGCTCGCGATAATTACTTGATATCTACGGCTCTTGGTTCCTGCTCCATGCTCAGAATGATTGCAATAATAGTGAACAAGACTTAACATACCTTGAATCATGTCATCTGTTGCATTTGTGCCAGTTACATTGACTGCTGAGATACCTAGCTGCTGCAACTCCTTGATATTTTGGTCGCCAAGCCCATTGAGTGTGGTAATGAGGATTACAATCCCGTTATTATTGAACAGGAGGGGGATCCAGAACATTAGAGTTTTGCCCGTGCCTGTTGGAGCAATGGTAATGACATCTTTCCGATCTAATTGTGCATGTGCACATTGCAACTGGAACTTGCATGGCGCAATGTCAAAAGTAGCATTAACAGTATCTTCAATCAGTGAAGCATCTGGGATTGTATATTGTAGAGCAGATATTGATCGTGTAATAGATTGTCAAGATAGATTAAGATACCATATATAGGAGTGGCGGGGCGGTGTCCTGCATGATTTGGGAATCATGCATGGACATGACTACTAGGTATCCCCCTAAAAGACAAAGTCTGTTAGTCTTAGTCCTCAGACTAGTCAACCCATACCTTGGTATCAAACCTTGGTCCATAGTTTCAGTTTCCCTCAGCGATTCATGAATCCACCATGTT